TTTGTCAAGTTTATTCTTCCAGATGATGAGACAACAGTCTACATCAAATCCAAGAATCGGCCGTGATCCAGTATCCTTTCTATCCATGGAGAACCTACCCCATGCATGTCATCAAGAGTGCCCATGATCGAAGGCTGTCCTTTCATAGTAGTTTCGCCCATCGAGATTCTGTCTGATCCGTATGAGGGTTTGCTAGACCTATTTAGGCATCCTAGCATCGGGTGTCGTCATCATGGTGGTCAAACAAAGGACTGTCTGGGACTATCCAGACATCATCGAATGAGTCATTCTGTCCTGGATCATGCTCGAGTCGCATTGTGGTGGTCAATAAGGACTATTAGGGGTTCCTAATGATTGAGTGTCAATCATCGGTGGATTTGGGAGGTGGGTCATGGTACTGTTAACCTCCAAGTCATTCTTCGGTGATGTAATCTCTTGTTAAGTTCAATCATCAGGCTAATCGTTGCCTCATCAACCTTCGGCCTCGGTTTCGGTATGGATCATTGTTTATACAGAAGAGCCAGAATCTGTCTTCTGTCAGAACCTTTTTTTTGCTATGTCATCCAAGGTTCATCCAGGTTCAGTTTCCTTTATCATCGAGAGCTGTGATCGACGGGGAATGATTGAAGTGTCAAATTGCATTATCTTCAATCAATTCGTCGGTCATCAACTCGTAATGGCATCGAGTTGTCAATCTTTCTGCACCCCAGGTAACTCGCCATGCAGGGTGTTCTCAGCCAAGATCTATCGTTTATTTATAGTGGAGAGTGAGTGTCCACTTGCTCAGTCCGAGCTCCCATTCAGGGATCACAATCATCAAATGGTCATCAGATCAGACTCAATTAAGAGTCTACGTTAGTCTACAGTTTATATGGGTTGCCATTCCCTGGAGCAACAATCATCAAGTGTTCTTCAGATCGGACTCAATTAAGAGTCTACAGTTTATACGGGTTGCCGTTCCCAGGATCAATCTGCACTGTGGGTATCTTGCCACACTCGGTGTTATCAGCCATGATTATTAAGTGTGCGACTTAAGTCCTTCATCAAAGGCTGCGCACCATCCTTAGTCCATCATGGTCCATAGAATCAGTACTAATTCTACGGTGGCCAAACCTTTCCGAATTACAGTCACATGCGGCTCGTACATGTCTTTGATTATTACACATGTTGTAGCTTTCCTTGCATGAGGGAATTCGACCCCTGAGAGTCACCCAATGAAGGGTAAACTCTTGAGAGTTCATCTCGGACAAGGTGCCAATAAATTGTCTCTCGAAAATCTGGTCTCACCTAGGAATGACCAGACAAGGGTCATCATTATTGTTCCAATGTGGGATATCAAGAGAATGGAGTGTCAATCGCGGTATCTCCATCTCTGTCATCACAGGTGTCCTAATGTTTAATGGACAAGGTCAAAGTCAAAGGATGCAGTCACTGTCTGTGAACTGGTCGAAGTCATGACACGGTCACTGTCTGTGAAACGGTCGAGGTCAGGGTTATTGGGCTCTAAAGCATAGGAGCTTGAGCCAAGGAAAGATCATCTTGTCCTAATATTACGGGACAAGATCGAGGTTAAAGGACACAGTCACGGTCTGTGAACTGGTCAAAGTCGGGGTCATCAGATCAGCTCTAAACTATAGGAGGTTGAGCAGTGAATAATTATCTTGTCCTAATGTCACGGGGGCCAGTCGTGCCACTGTACATCTGGTTTGTCGTCCAGTGACTAGGCCTTCACAAGAGCTGGAGTCAATCGTGAGGGGTCCGACCTCCAGTCATAGCGATGACCAGAGGTCGGCCCAGTAGAGCAGTCTTATGAACACTTGGCCACTGTCTGTGGACCAAGATCGATCTGTCGCACAGATGTAGATGGTAAAACTGGTTGATGTGTAACCAGGACAAGATGGGGACTCCAGCTTGTCCTGTCGGTCTTATATACAAGTACAGGCGTCTGTCTACCTGTAATACTAGAACTACGATTGGTCCATCGGTATCAATACAAGGGCACAGGGTTCATGTACCTGTCCCACAGTTGTGAGAATGCTGAGTCAGTCATGACTCTTCGTGAGAGACAATCAGTCCATATGGGGATAAGGTCATGCTGCAAAGACAAGGCAGCAGTGAGGTCATCGTGCATCTAGCGCATATATCAGGGTCTAGGCCCATGCCCATGAGGTTCGGTATCTGTATTGTAAAGGTAAGGCAGAGGTGAGGTGTACATGCCTTTGTCGTGTGTGTGATAGGAAGTGCGTCCTAGGTCTGGATCTCGCACATGAGGTAAATATGCCTTGAGCACAAGGCGCATATCGTCAGATGATCTTGTAGATCCGGTACAGCCCTAAGATAAGGGTTCTGGATAGATAAGCACGATGACCATGATGATGTCATGGTCATGTGGTCAGTCTAGGCAATGTGATGTCATTGTCACATGATTGTTCACGGTGGAGTGGAAGTCGTCCATGCGTTCCACAGGGAAGAGCTTTGTAACACAGACTACTTGATGCCCAATGGACTTTCCTGTTTGTGACACAGGTGAAGGGTGAGATCCTTCCGGAGGATACAATCACTTTCCCCAGGCCATTCTCGAACTCAGCAGAGGAGTTTGTCATGCTTGGACTCAACCAGCACCCCATCTTCTTCAGCTGCAGACGTGCAAAGAATCCTGACCACGTTTTTCCCGTAAATACACTCTTGTATACAACGCTTATGTTGATTGACTGACATGTGTGTGCAGGCTGATGGTGTACATCCCAAACAATGACACGGCGGGCATCACATCACGACCGCAACACTGCAGCTCCCCATCGTGAATATGAGCGAGGTCTTCAAGCGTGGTTATCAGCTCTCATTGCGTGGCTACAGGGGTGCAAACAACACCAACCTAAGCGACATGAATGTGGAGCGAAGGATGTGCGTCAAGTGTGCAGTCATGGAGCACATACGGACCCGTCGGGTTTACAAGCGGATGGACACGTGCGAAGCACGCTTTGAGAAGTACTGCTACAAGGGAAAGGTCATGTTGTAATTCTTTGGGTCTTTTGAGGGTTGAAAGGGGACTGTCGGGACAAACGACGTGCAAAGTTCGGATATTCATGTCATGATATCCAGTGATGTCAGTTATGAAAGATAACCTTTTCCATCAATAAGTAGCAAATTTTCATGAGAATTGCTACTTTTAAGTAGACTTATTTGTAGGTGCATAGATTAACTCAGGATAATCTTAATATAATCTTCCAGATAATCTGAGGATAATTTGAAGATTAGCAATAAAATACAATTTTAACTTTGACACCAGCCAGGATTGAACTCTGGACCTCAGGTTGATTTTATAGAATATAATTCTAAGTGACACTTTAGACCACTTGACCATTAGGCCATACATCACAACTATTTTCTCTTAAATTAGACATCTTTTTTTTGGAAAAGACTTAGCCAAATTCTGTTTATTAGAAGAGAGTAAGTAAAAGACACTTGACTTTTATCATAGATAGACAACACTTATAGACAAATAGTACTCTGCATCTTATCATAGTCTTGTCCTACAGCTTACAGTTTTTGTAAACTATCATGCAGTACTATAGAGTATCCTAATGTAGCCATCTATAATACATAACAAGTTATTGAGAGACAGTATTTTATTTGTTCATTTTAGGCTTATACTCTAGAGTCTATTATATTATAGACTGAGCACTTATATATACAAGATTTCTATAGCTATCTTCCAATTGTATAGCAAAGTTCTGTTTTACTGAAGTAACTGTAGAAACTTATATTCTATTAATTACATATTATACTACATTATATGAAGGCTGCAAGCATTAGAAAAGACTATAAGACTCAGAGTAATGTTTGTCTATAAGTCTTGTCTTTCTATGATAAAAGTCAAATGTCTTTTACTTACTCTCTTCTAATAAACAGAATTTGGCTAAGTCTTTTCCAAAAAAAAGATGTCTAATTTAAGAGAAAATAGTTGTGATGTATGGCCTAATGGTCAAGTGGTCTAAAGTGTCACTTAGAATTATATTCTATAAAATCAACCTGAGGTCCAGAGTTCAATCCTGGCTGGTGTCAAAGTTAAAATTGTATTTTATTGCTAATCTTCAGATTATATTAAGATTATCCTAAGATTATCTGAAAGATTATCCTGAGTTAATCTATGCACCTACAAATAAGTCTACTTAAAAGTAGCAATTCTCATGAAAATTTGCTACTTATTGATGGAAAAGATTATCTTTCATAACTGACAAAGATGTGATATCTATGTCCATAGGGTTTGGCTAATTATTACATATACAAACGATGTGATAAGTATATATATGGAGTCAGTAAATCTTTCGACTGTGGTGATGTCCCCACATTTTCAGCTTGTCAGCTTGATGCCAGACCGATGTTGGGTGAGATTCTACTGGGAGAGCTGGCTGCTCGAGTCTGGGTGCCTGCAAATGCTGATGACGAGTGCCTGTCATGTTGATTTTCAAAGTTGATAATCCTGTGTATATTTGCTCTTGCCCCCACCGCGAATGAGTACACCAACAAGTAAGCAGAAGGCAAGAAAGACTTCAAAGAAAAATGTCAGAGCTCAAGAGACAAGTCAGAAGACATAATCACGTACCTAAAGCCCCGAATTTATCTTCACAGTATACCTTTATCCCCGCAGATTGTCTGACGGCCGCCGTGTAGTGATCCAGACCCAATGAGGCAGCCGCATCGAGATTTTGAAGATCGGCATGTGTAATTTTAAAGAACAGCCCCCCATAATGTGCCCACGATCCTTGTACACAACAGATCTAGAAGCTAAGAAGTCAGTACAAAGAATAAAGAACAATTAGAACATACCTGTAGGCCTAGACATGAAGTTTTGGCCGCCATTTTGAAGTTCTTCATCAATGCAATCCCCGTACTCGAGTGCTCTTGCATGGATGCGTCTGATAACAGGCGAGAGGAGGACAATTTCTGTATTTCTGTAAACACAATATGTTAGCACATGTGACAAATAAGAAACAGAAGTGACATACTTCGAGTCATCGTGACTCACTCGGAACCGCACACATGCCATGACGATGAAGGAGTTTCTGAAAAATGAGATGTTAGCACACGAAGTTAAATAGTGAGGATATGGCTCACCTAGATGCGTATCAGCACTGGCCCATGACAGGAGCTGTTAGTCATATCTTTGGGCATGGTGCGCATGGAATGGATCGAGAGCCTACTTAGTCTCATGCATCCTTAATAGATTTCGTGGGACAGTGCTCTTGTTGAAGCAGCTCCCTGAGTTCGGGGTTTTTCCCACTGGGTTTTCCCTTGCCCTCAAATCAACTTTGATGCACTGGAAGCTGTGTAGATGAGTACGCATTGATTGGAGTAATTTCTGTCCTGGATGTGTTGTATCCTAGATTTCTGTAGTGTACTGTGCACGGGTACATAGCAGAGATCTAGGTGTGACAACTCGGTGTTCCTGAATGGGACCAATGCCAGTAATCTACCTACCTACCTACCTACCTACCTACCTACCTGGCCTCAATGCTAGTCTGCTTTCATTTGAGGGGTAAACACCGTCGCTCGCCATTTTGGAGTTACATAAGCATGTTGATCTCTGAAACGCATGGAGTGGATCTTGTAGAACGCGACACGTCGCCTTCAGCCTGAGGGCATCATCCTCATCGCGTAGTTTCATTGTAAGTGTTCACTCAGCTACCATCCTCGTAATGTAGTAATTGATTCTACATTATATTGGGCCACATTCTTTTGAATTCAGATCACCTGAAGGTCAGCTCTTGTGCCATCAAATCCTGGCCAAATCTGTACACTGTGACCCTCACGATTATCAGCTCGAAGGTGTCTGCAAGGCACTAAATGGAGCTGATGTCCTCGCAATCACACTAACAGGCTCCGGAAAAACTGTGTTTCTCATGATGTCATCTTGAACAGCATCGCAAGAGGTCGGAGTCAAGCCTACACATTGTAGATGTGAAAGTGAGGGCAGTCGTGTCAAGTCTGCGATCGGGATGTAGTGACGGATTAGTGTAGAGGACTCATTACCGACAGCCTACAGGACTGTGGTATGAGTACATATTTTACCAAGGCATACTTACAAGGCCTCAAGAATGTGTTGACACGATGCGACAACCACTGTCTTGGGCAGGAACCCGCGGCCGGAAACATGGCCGAAATTCCAGCATTGCTTCAGCATCGTCGTTCACGAGCCCAAGTTCTTCAAAATTACTGTCAGACCTGCTGGATGCCATTTAAGCACTGAGGTGTCATCGTAGACCTGGCCCTCGAGAATGACCCAACAACTTCTAAGCATGTTATGCTTCTGAACCTCCTGGTAGGAGGTGTACTTCGGAGCAGCATCCCCGTGCGCAGCTGACTTCTTGTCCGAGCTCGCAGAGTCAAGGTTTAGCAGGTGTGAGAATACATGGCGAGTTTGAATCCACTTGTCAATTAGGAGAAGCGAGCAGAGATACACACTCCGCAAAAATGCTCGCCTGCCCGTGCCCCACAGCATAAACCATCCGACATGTATAAATGACATGACTGTTGCAAAGAGGGCGAAGATACCCTGTTTATGCTCTGAGCATCATGGGTTATATATTGAACTCCCATGCACCTGTGAGCATCGACAATGACTTCCGGACGTTCAGGCCACTACACAGGGATCATCACATGCCCTCACCTTTACCTCACATGAAGGTCTTTCCACGGTGCTGATGTTTGCAAGAAAAGCCAGAGAAAAAAGTGATTGAGGTCTGGAGAGTATAGGCTCTCCAAAGTCATGGAAAAATCAGTCCAAACAGTGTAGTTTGGAAATGAGAGGTCGATTCCACTGCTTTTAATCCTACTAGAAGGTTGGTCAGGAATCCGAGCAAGATTCCTGCCCAAATGGTGACCCGAGAAATTTCTTCTCTCAGTTCTGTAGACAAGTGGAAGAGTTAGCGGACACGGTTGTCATGCAGAGAGGTGCATACAGTCACAGTATGTCACTAACTGAAGCTGTCACAATCGCGCGGTGGTGCGCCACTGTGTTCATCGTCCCCACGATGAGCTCGACCCATCTTCAATATGGCGACTTTGCCATGCAGCTGCTGACAGAATCTCGTCGCTCAATGGCCACAGATACCCTTCTCAAATACAATGAAGTCCTCATCCACTCCATCCTCTGTGAGCAGCGCCAGCTTCTCCAGGCCACCCTCAATACTGCTGACCAAGACCTGGTGGTGAACAATCCAAAAATGTCCACCGTACTCCTCTACCAGACAGCAGTTTTGCACAACAAACAGTGTCTGCTTGCATATCATCATTGTCATTTATGGAAGATAATATATACTGTTAATTAACAGACCTTTAAGATCAGCAGGCTCCTTACTTAGCAGACCTCTTCCAGGATTATCTTATCGGCAAGCTTTTAAACTGGAGGATTATCTCAAGATTATCTTTGAGATAATCCTAAGGATTATCTGAGTCTAAAAGAGATTTTTTTGAGTTGTCATCAGCCAGGATTGAACCCTCAACCTTAAGGGGTGGTCACATGATTATGTGACAGCAGACACTTTAGCCACTACACCATATGTGCTTGTAAGCTTACACTCATATGTAATATACATGAGAGATTTTGCTAAAGGGACTTAGGCAAATTCTGTCTACATGGGCATAACTAAGTGGAACACATCTTTAGTACATGCTTTATAATACAATCACATTGTTATCTCATCTTTAACAAAAACACTGTGATTATCAATTTCAAGTTCAGAGAATGAATCTTGAACAGTATCCATAAGGTGAACAGTAGTTTAGAACATATGCAAATTAATATATAGGTATTGTAATATAAACAAGAGTATAGACTGTATGAAATGCCACAATGACATTCTTTGTCTTGAGTTTTATTTAGTTATGCTCATATAGAAAGAATTTGCCCAAGTCCCTTTAACAAAATCTCTTATATATATCACATATGAGTGTAAGCTTGCAAGCACATATGGTGTAGTGGCTAAAGTGTCTGCTGTCACATAATCATGTGACCACCCCTTAAGGTTGAGGGTTCAATTCTGGCTGATGACAACTCAAAAACATCTCTTTTAGACTCAGATAATCCTTAGAATTATCTCAAAGATTATCTTCAGACATTCAAAGATTATCCTTTGCTAACTTAGGAGCCTGCTTATCCTCTCATGCTATTAACTGGCACAATTTATTATCACCCATAACTGACATCACTGTGCATATTACCACCACCGCCCCGAGAGGCTGAAGGATTTATACTGGTCTGTCAGTGGTGCACTGCCCCTTCTGCTTTCCATGCCATCTGCTTCTGCATCACAGAACGTGAATTCATCCAGTGGTGGCAACAGTGAATCTCCAGTGGACGTGCACTTGAAACTCTCGCTGCACGAAGTTGATCTCCTGCAATCACACATGGCCTTCCTTCTCACTCTCTGCACCGTGGTCTTTGCAGTGGACATGCAGGCTGAAGACATCGATCTGCTCGCTCCAATCACGCATCCCCTGAAGGACCTCCATATCTTGGTGCACATCGTCCGCGACTGTGGTGTCCACACCAAACAAGGTGCAATCGACTTTCGCCCAGGCCACACATTTTCAGTCTGCAGGTCAGACGTGGAGCATCTTATCATGCAAGGATTTTTGGAGGAGATATAGGAAGTATAGATGCTCACAGTGGGTATCTCGTGCAAATTTTCTGTGCTATTTCTCACTTATTACTTTGCAAATTATTAATTCTCCGGTGGTCAAAACATGCACAGATAAAGCTGGAGAGCTTGCGCAAAAAAAGACAGGGACAAGCCACAGTATTAATACGAAAGAGCGGAGAATGGCATAACTCACCACAATGTGTATCTCTGTGCACATCAAGCCCTATGCACCATCAACAGATGGTTCCTCCCACTCCTCACACGCCCCCTGACCCACGTCCTGAATGTACCCTCCTCCTTGAGCACGTGCACATGCATCCGCGCATTCTTCCCCTCCAGGCTAGTGCAGAGCACAGGTAAACCCCTGGGTGTCCTAAAGCATACCCCTACCCGTACCCATGGGGGTATGGTACCCATGTTAAAGAGTATGAGTGTCACACAGGTTCTCACAGGTTATGTACCCTTGATGGGTATACACGCGGGTTATGCAGATTTGTAGAGATAGTACAGAGGTATACACTACTCCAACTCAGGCAGGATGATAGCATCCCAACCATCAAAGAGGCCATCATCCTCACCCTTGCCCTCCAGCCCCAACGTGACAGCCAATATGTCAGCAACTTGCACAAACCCGAGCCGGCTCCACTCCCCAAGACAGAGGAGCGCGCGAATTGACTGCGCAGACAAGCCATTGCAGATGTGAGGCAGGAGAAGTCGGCCTTTGCTAAATAAGCGTTCGACATCCACGGATGTCGCTGCAGAGCCGCATCCGGGTCACTTAGTCAGATAGATACATTCAGGGTAGAATGTACTTACCAGAAATGGTCAGGTAGCTCATCACCATCCTTGAGAGACGTGGGTACTCCTTACGATGGGCATACAATCAACCCAGGGCATCATCAATGTCCTCTGTCAGCATGGCAAGGTAGCGCATGATTTTATCATAATCAGGTTGAGCATCGGGGGCGTGGCGCTTGAGCAAGTTGTCGAACATGTTCACCGACGGATTCTGAGTACAGGCATGAAAAGTTTGTCAGTGATCGGTGCAGGACAACAGCACGAGCACTTACCTTGAGAACTGGCTCATGCGCATCATTGGAGGTGGCATCTGGTCCACCATGGGCATATGTGTATTTGAACTCGTCACGAACGAGTTCCTCTGCCATGTCGATCCACTGCTGCTCCCACCCAGCATGCTTGAAGTAGTCGAGCTTGTGAGTGGGATGGAGGACTGTAAATAAAATATAGTTAGTACCCAAAGCAAGTGTAAGAAATGTACTTACCCATCGCAATACGATACACGCTCGAGTGGTCCGTCTTGCTGTAGTAACAGTTCAGTGTCTTCTTCGTGAGGCCAATTGCAGCGCGAATGCATGGCTGGTACCGCTCCTCAAGGGATTCATCCGTGAGGTGCTCATCGATGATGTCCATGGCCGGGATGATCATGGGCAAGCTGGGAGTGTCACTATGTAGCATCGTTGAAGACCTGCAGGTGGGGGTGAGGAGGAGTCATGGTAGGCATGAGGAGGTGAGTCGTGGCGGGAACAATGTTGATAGTCATATGTGACTCACCTTGAGAACGTCATGCAGCTGCTCAGTGATCCGCCACTCCTCGTCACTCAGCTCATACTTGCACAACTCCCTGGACCTGTCCTTCGTCATCTCGTTGATTGCCTTCCGGTACTCTAGCATGAATTGCAACATCCTGAAGGTGTAATTCCATCGCGTGGCAGCATCTCGTGGCATATTCCTTTCCGGCAGGTCCAACTCGGCGAGCACCTTCAACCAAGCTGGCAACAGCTTGGTCGATGAGTGTATGATGGCATTCGCGATCTTCCGCAGCTACACAATGCGACTCAAAGGGTGCATATGCAGATACTGACTCTTAACTAACCTTGATGAGCACGAGCTTCACAGGGTGGACACTTTCGTCCAGCTTGGCATGCTCCTCAGCGGAGAGTCCCTCTCACTCATCCTGCCATCCATCCAGATCATTGGCATCTTCTTCGCCCGCATCTTCTTCATTGACATCCACTTCCAAGTCTTTGGCAAGCTCGAGCAGCACTTTTTCAGCTTCATCAAGAGTGGCTGTGGCCTTCCTGGGCACCACATCAAACTGGCGCAACAGCGTCTTCGCGACAAGGTTTATAATGTGGTCGAAGCAGTGCGACCTGTTTGCCTGGCCTTTGAATGAATCAATGAGCTTCACAAGCTCATCAATCATAATGTCGTTCGATGTGGCATTGTCGGCTGTCACTCCAAGCAACTAACCCCCAGGTGAGTCATTTACCCTCGATGATATTATATGAGTTTTCGCTGATGAACATACCTTCATAGTGATATTGAAATCCTCCGTCATCTTCGCAAATGTGACAGCCAAGTTAACACTGCTATGGGACTCTGCCACCTCCACGACATTGAGAACCATACGCAGGGGCACACCCTTGTGGTGCAGGTGCACCATGAACAGCATGATGGCCTTATTGTTTGGCAACGTCCACGCATCAGTGGCAAAATTCAGTTCACCATCGAACTCCTGCAAGTAAGTCAATATCTTTCATCTGCACTGATGCTCTTGCTCACCTGAAGCATCTTGGCCACTTGGGCACGACAGCATGCAAACACGTTGTGAACATCGCATGTCACTGTCCATCAGGAAGGTATTCAGAACTCTGGGCACCCCATCTTCATCAAACTCTGGAACGCGCGATCCTCGATGATCACAAATGGGCACAGGCTTTCTGAGACCCAGCAGACGATCTCTGCCCTGGCATCTTATCATCAGCATGTCTCATATGACAGAAGATGCATGAATACCTGCACTCCTGCCGGCTGTGTTGCCATGTCGAGTATGTGACTTTCCCTTTCCCTTTGCGTGTGAATGATGCCATTATAGAGCCAGACCGTGCAAATTTTTCCACTGCAGGGCACACATCATCCACATTTTTCATTTCATCTGTGGCGGCCAATGCTTCCTCTTCCCAACAGGCCTTGATATGTTTCCTCATATTACCCGTGGAACCCTTGTTCCCATTATCAAGCCACCTTGAGATCTTCGTTCTGCACCCGCGATTCACGCAGTGGAACATGTGGATGTGCTTCCCCATTACATCAACCTCGATTGTGACCTCCAGCTTGAAAAAGGCATATGCGATGGACTTCCAGTCCTGGCGCACATGCTCTGCAATGTGAGTAAGGCATCATACTGATCTCATTGTATCTCACTGACCTAGCTCTTCGGCAGGTGTCTCATTCTTCTTTCTCTCCACAGCCTTTGCTCGCCTCAACTTTGAACAGTTTGGTTTTGCAGCGTGCTGGTTTTCCACGATGATGATATCATCTGAGTCATCGCCCTGGCTTATCACTACATCATCCTCATCTGGCACTCTTCAATGTGCACCCGATGATCGCATGGCACATCTGATGCCTCAGGGTCGCTTGACGTAATATGCGCCTTCTTCGCCTTCGGGCCCTTCTTTGATGTTGTTGTGTGACGTTTTGGCATGGAAGTGATGGATACCATGGCTTCGGGTATTTGAGTCCTTTTATGTGATTTTTTTGTAGTATCTAGTACAAGCAATAAGGTTTTGAGAGCCATGTGAATATGTACCTATTTAGAACATATGTGGCTGTGTTCTGAGGCACGGGTCCCTTGCGGATCCCTCAGGTTGAAGCATCGGTACCCCTACCCATACCCGTGGATACCCTTACCCATTACCCTTACGGGTTTTGATAACCCCTGCTCTGCACTACTCCAGGCCCACTGCAAACCCAACCTTCTCTGTGATCCATGAGCGAAATGAGGCGAGCAATTCCGCCTGGGGCACGTGGAATGCCCAGATGTTGTCCATGGACGGCACCCATACCTTGATCACAATCAACCCATGCCGTGGGGCCCAGCAGTCTGTGCTGTCACCGCAACTGTCCTGCATGTCCAGAAAACTGGAGAGGGGCGGAGGGGTCGAGGTGCATGGGGGGTGTGGGTGCGAGATTGTGGGATGAGTTTTCTCTTTCTCCAGGGCACGTAATTGAAGCAGTTCGCTCTTCATTCAGTGAGGGATGTTTTTTTTTTTTTTTTTTCATTCCTTGTTTATAGTCCTCGAAGGCGTAGCCTTATGGTAGACTATATACAAACAGGTTCTAATCTGTCATATTCCTAATCTGTCGGGTTGGTCGATCTCAGACATATGCCTTACAGCGAGGGTTTGTAAGTGATGAGTAAGTAATCATGCAGAACGGCAGCCTGTGTGTGATGCTGAATAACCGGCAATCTCTAAGTCAATGTCCAAATCCATTTCCTCCGACTTTCCTCCCAGATCCGGACTGGCCGGACTGAATCCCCCCATGTCACAGAGTCCTTGCACGATGTACCCCTTCCCCAGGTCCCAACCGGAGATTTTTCTCCCATGCCATGCTTCTCACACGTGCTCAGGAGAGAGTCACAAAGCGCTGACAGATGCCAGGGCGTTAAATTCATGTTGCCGGCCGATTATAATGAAACGGATTGACAGGTGGATACTCGGCAGTACTCTGGATTCCAGAGACCTGGCCGCCGGCACAGAGGGCGGCACGATTTGCAATCAGAGCGGCTGAAGGGTTCCACAGTGTCTAAATTGTTTTCTCTGAGGTGGGACCAAAGGGACTCGAACCTGTGGCTAGATGAAAGGCAAAAGCCAAGCTTCCAAGCGGAACGAGCCCTACGAGGCCGTGGTGCCACTACTCCATGGTAGCCCCAGTGGGGGATGTTGTGCATGATGCTTAGCACCTTCTTGGGGGTCATTGGCATAGCGGGCATTGTGAGAGAGGATTGGTATGAGGTAGATGGCTTCGAGCAAGGATTTAGGTGAAAGTGGAGGGACAGGGAGTAAGCACGTTGTGGGTAGCTTCTTGGATAGATAAATCAGCGAGGTTGTAAATAGCAAAAAAAAAAGAGCGAGTAAGTGATGAATTAAGGATTGTGGACAGATGCACTTCAGGATACCCTTTATCCCTAGCTCTTAGCAACAAGATCTTCTATAGTATGTCATAGCTAAGAGCCTCTTAAGTGTCAGACTGACCATGGTACCTATTATGTCCCAGGGCATTCTGTAGGATTGCTCAGGGCATAGATAGAGTAGTGGCTGGGCATATGGGATGATTATTATGTGGGATATCCTACTAGGCTAGGACATTAATTGTTTATCTCAGAATTACTGGTTGTCCCATGGTGTCAGGGGTATATAAGGATGTCCCACTGTAGCAAAATATGTATTTTAGGCTGTTGTATATTTGTTGTTTCATATTTTCATCTACTGCCACACTGTATAAACCTTAATTACATAGTACAGTAAACCAGTGCTTTACTGATACTTTAAACGAGATGAAAGATCCACAAATAGTGGGATATCCCATACTAAGTTTTATATTCACCTGCAGTGTTATAATACTAATTACTGTGAGTGGTATGTATAACATGTTTATCAGATCAAATAACAACTATAACAGGCCAAATAACAGTTCTTATTCTCGTGTTTCAAATGTAATTATACCTTTTCTGATGCAATGTTCAAATTAATGTGATGTCACCTTTAGTATATTGCATCTAACATGAATATTCTATAACTTTCATTAATAGCCAGAAGAAACACAGTAACTCAGTCTACTTATACACTAGCAAATAAGAGACACTTTAATCAAGTCTGCTACTATAGAATGTACCTGAACAAAGCAAGGAAGACATTTGACCTAAGATTGCAGTAAAGTTGCATTCACAAACACATTCACCCAATGACTTCTTATACTCTGGGACATTATGCTATAGGATGGGATATCCCATCTAAGAACCTGTTACTCTCCAATCTTAATAATGCAATAACTAGTATAGGTCTTTAGGTAATTATAGTAGTCTAACAGATATATTCAGACAAATAATAGCCTGAATAGCTGTCAGCATACAAATAAATCACATTTTGGGATGTCCTAAAAATGGGATATCCTTAAAATGAAATGTTCCATTTTTATATAAAGTGTTAATAAAACACTGATTTACTGCACTACGTAATTACAGTTTAAATAGTATGGCAGTAGATGAAAAGATGAAACAACAAATATACAACAGCCTAAAATACATATTTTGCTACAGTGGGACATATTTATGTACCCCTGACACCATGGGACAACCAGTAATTCTGGGATAAACAATTAATGTTCTAGCCTAGTAGGATATCCCACATAATAATCATCCCATATGCCCAGCCACTACTCTATCTATGCCCTGGGCAATCCTACAGAATGCCCTGGGACATAATAGGTACCATGGTCAGTCTGACACTTAAGAGGCTCTTAGCTATGACATACTATAGAAGATCTTGTTGCTAAGAGCTAGGGATAAAGGGTACCCTGAAGTGACAGATGGAGTGACTGAATGTTTGTTAAGAGAGGTGCAGCCTGTGAGACGATTCTGCAACACTTCATGCATCTGCTGCTGTGCAGAAAGAAATGGCTCAGTGAGTAACATTTGCGCGCCCCTCAAGCTTTGCACTCATTTAGTTATAGCCACCGAGTCAGTTGTTGGATCGTCGATCGATAAACCGCCAGCGGCAAGATCATGAATGCATGCTGCGAATCCTTGGAAGTGGTGAGTATAAGTTTGACTTATGAGGTTGCCATCCCCTCACGAGATCAGACGCTGTGAATGTGCACTCGGTGACACTCTCGGATGGAGGTTGTGGGTCAGCAAGAGCGTCAACCAACCAGCAAATGGTGGGAATGTGTCCAGGAGCAGCAGTGGTGGAGAGTTACTGACTAGCATGTTTGTAGCACCGATGCCCCTCCGGACATCGAGCAATGCTACTCTGTTGCGACTGCAATGCTATGCCATTATGCTAGCCATTCCTGTATGTGGGTTCATCTGCCAGCCTATGAGGCCTTCTTGGAGATGCTGTGTGCCACTCATGGGTTACCAGTACAAACACCTTTACCACAGAAATGGAAGCGATGCAGCCCAATGAAGACATTTTTCCCATGTCCACCTCCGTGCTCAGTTTCTCACTGGTGTTGCGGAGTCTTCCTCTGCTACAGGTGCAGCTCCCATCATTGGCCATGGCCCCTACATCGATGTGCCCCCTATGCCTTGCCATCACTGTGATGCGCTTGCTCGTGAGTCACAGAAAGGGCTCATGCAGGACCTGGAGGCTCGTATTACAAGCCTGGAAGAAGAACAGGACCGACTCATATGCGACAACAACAAGGCGACTGCTCTCCTCAACAAGCTTCGTGATGCTCCCACTCTGCTGGTGGTGCTGACAACCTCACCATTTGTGTCAATGGCTTCGAGACTGCACTCTATTTCATTCATCAAAGGCAGGGTCGGGTCACCGTGGACGTTATCACTATCGCAAATGTGCTGCATCAGGCTGGAGTGATGATCCCCACTTTGGGTGTGGAGAAACATGACTCCGATGTAAATAGCGCGCTCGTGGGTGAAGCTGAGGATGATGACAGGGATGCGGAGGTCTGAGCGGAAACGTTTCCTTCATGGTCTTTTACTGTACTAGTATTACACTCCGCGATCGAGCTGTAGTTATATTGTCACAGCTCCACATTCGCTGAAATTGTGAGTATGCTCCAGAAGGCACACGAAGGGTGCAGGTGTGCACTTCGGGGTGCGTGCATGTGCCCGTATAGCTTCTGGCCTCCTGGGAACTTCCGCGCATTGTGTTTCTTTTCATCTCTTTACCCATATCTCACACTCTCCTCCCTTTGCATCATGTTGTCTGAATATCCTGATCTCCAACTGAAGGACTACGTGGTCTTCATTTTCGGCCTAGTGACTGAGATAAAGGTCCTATGCATGCGGGATCACGGATGGGCTGAGGATCTGAAAGATCGTATCATGCATCGTGCCCTATTGCTACTTGACCATCCAGGACTAACCGTGGTGCTGTTCCGAAATTGCAGGAGCGTGCGAGGACTATGCATGCTTATTTAATCACTAAGGGATCGAAAGTCCCCCTCGCTCTGGAGGGACGCACCAATATTCAGGATGCGTTGGTGGCATATGATTCTCTCATGGCGCCTGCTCCGGCCTCATCAATCTCGAAGAAAGAGGGGAAGGCTAAGAACTGCCTGCAACTGTCCCTCCCATCTGGTGCCAAGGTTCCAACTTTGGATGCACACAGTAAGCCCACTGTCATGTCGCCTATTCCTCAACCTGCATTTATGGGATCCACTCCACACACCATGCTACCTACTTTGAACCTCGAGATGGGCGGTGCTCATCCGATCAATCGTGCGTCCAGCATTCAGTACACTCCCAAACGTCATTACAGTTTCTGGTGCACCATCCTTGCAGAGTCGCCAACCATCTCCACTATTGATCAGATCAATCGCAGGAGATGAGCGTCCGGTGAAGCATCACGCCGCCTCCCCGCAGCCGGATCCCATGATGATCGATGACCTGCCAACAATCCATGCTGCAGCATCAGCCATGCCTCCTTCACCACTTCAGATAAGTGTGCCCTCATGCTCGCAATCCATCACCGCAAATTTGATGGATGAGCCATATGCCCGCCCCTCTCCTCGCATCACAGCTGCACTTTCCAGGCACCCATCTGATTGTTCCCTCAGTTGGCAGGCTTCTGCATGGTCCCTTCACATTGCATCATCCCCAATTGAGCACAGTGGGTCCCAAGGTAGCCATGGCAGTTCGATGGTCCCAGCCATATCTCTCAACAATCTGCCTTGCCCTCAGGCTTCACCAGTGGTGGCCATTATTATATAACAATACCCCAGTTACCTGGGGGAAGAATTGTTCACTACTCACCAGTTATTGTCAATTGTCAAAGTTATTGTTAACAACAGTCTGAGAGGATTGTAATACAATAACAACTTGTACAAAACAACTTGCACTCAGACATAAGCACATGCCGCACACATAATCTACCAACTGCTCCATTGGGCCATGTATTTTTATCAGCCTCAATTTTATATAAGGCTACTGCCTTCTCTAATACACCTATTAGAATCTTTTGTAATATCTACTATATCCTGTTGTTACTGTTGCTTCTAATAGATATTTGCTTACATTTTTCTATTTATTTCACCCCTCTAATAGCTTTATTACATCTACAAATTTTGATATTACAATTTTAATCTTATTTGAATATTTACTCAACTAAAAAGGAAATGCTTAGTCAAAAACTTATTAACAGAGACATCAATCACTGTTAGAAGCAACAGTAACATCAGCATATAGTAGATATTACAAAAGATTCTAATATGTGTATTAGAGAAGGCAGTAGCCTTATATAAAATTGAGGCTGATAAAAATACATGGCCCAATGGAGCAGTTGGTAGATTATGTGTGCGGCATGTGCTTATGTCTGAGTGCAAGTTGTTTTGTACAAGTTGTTATTGTATTACAATCCTCTCAGACTGTTGTTAACAATAACTTTGACAATTGACAATAACTGGTGAGTAGTGAACAACACCTTGCCCAGTTACCTGGGCTATTGTTATACAAAAGTGGGAATCACAGCTGCAGGCTTTTCACTCGCACTTTGCTGATATTCTCCCTGCGAGCTTCCGGTCCATGTAACTGAGCAAGCAGATCGCAACGCTGGAAGCCACACTTCATCATAGCTGGCAGCACACACGGGCACTTGAGGATAGCCAGCATGTTATGCACTCCCAGCTGGATATCATCATGAGTGCCCTTGGGAGCGACCCCGCCGTGTTTGCCATCCAGTTGGAGGTGTACGCCACTCATGTCAATACGATCCCGTCTAATCAGCACAAGCTGACTCAGAGTTTGGCCAAGTTGGAGGAATACATCAGGGAGCTGGAGGAATGCGCCAGAGAGCTGAAGGGTTCGGATGAAGATTTTCCCTCCGAGGAGGAAGATAAGGTCGTGCATAGCATCTCAACAGGTGCCTTCGACCTCAGTGTGGGTTCCCGCAGTGGTGGGGATGAAGGGCTCGATTTCGACGGGCAGGATTAGAGGCAGTAAGGCGAAGGAGATCTGAGGCCTTGGAAATGCATTGGCTGACATTTCACAGTAGTGTACGATATCTTTGTTGTGTTCTGCAAAACTCGCTCCTGTGGTTATAACTTGTACAATATTCACTGTGTCGAAATGGAGTGTTCTCAAAAGGAGTCTCATAGTCAATTAAACAAGCATTGGAGAAAATAAACTGAAATGGATACATGCTGGTGTTAGGCCTCATCATCCAATCCTGTGGAGGTGTCCACCTCATCCGCGTCAGACAATGAGGTGAAACGGAGATTGGCCCGAGTTCGGTACTTGTAAGGAATGACGTGAAAAGCTGCAAACCATAGCTGAGACACCACATCGTCCAGTTTCGCAAGGATGTACAATCTGCCCTTGGTCCTTCAAACAACTACCATGGGTCCCCAGTAATGCGGCTTCATCTTACGATTGAGCTCCAAATTAATTCGGAAATTTCGAACTAGCACTATATTGCCCGGCTTGAAGTCGTAAGACTTTATCGTTGCATGAAACTCTTGCGCAAACTGTTCCATCGACTTGTATCTCACTTTGATGACATGCTCGCGTACTTCCTCCAAGTCTTCTTCCTGCTTTTGGAGCCAATGAGCCCAGTGTGCCAAAAGTTCAATCCAGGACATCTGCGCACCTTCATATGAAACCAGATATGTCACTTCTGCAATGTCAAAGGGGAACAATGGTTTGGTTCCATGTGCCATGTAATATGGGGCGTATCCTGTGGATTGCTGAATCGTGACGCGTTCTGCCCAGAAAACTGCGGGCATGACTGTAGGCCATTTCCGCTCATCTCCCAGACACATTTTTATTGCAGCCTCTCGCACATCCAGATGCCAGTGTTCCACAAGCCCGTTTGCCTGGGAATTGTATGGGGATATTCAGATATAATGAATCTTGTATTGCTGAGCCAAATAGTCTAATGCCTGAACAAAAGCGGAGCCATTATCAGTGACAATTTCCGCGACTGCCCCCCAGCGATAAAGGATTTCTTCGAAGATGAATGAGCCAAGGGTCCTCTCATTTTCCTGTTGGAGCATTCATCATTCAGGATATGATGTAAGTGAGCAGTGTGCTTGTACGATATATTGGTACCCCCCTGCTCGCGGCATAAGCATCGTGTCCATGTGTGCCTTGTGAAAGAGTGCAGAAGGCAGCACAACCCTGGGTGGAATGTGCACTTTCATCATCTGGTGGACCTGGCATTCGTGACATGTGCCCATGTACCATCGTACGTTCTGGTCTAAGAGTGGCCACCAAAAGCATTCCAGCAAGCGAGTCCGTACTGTGACATATTACAATTAGATATAAGTGCTTCTTCTTATATTATATATAAATTAAAGTACCCCATATTAAGTCTTTAACTAAACAATGATGCAAGTGGTTTGTATAATAGAGTTATAACCGTTTAAATTTGTAAATAGTGTATAAAACTTTTAAATTAGCTGTTTAAAACTAGTTAAATAACTGTAGAGAGCTCTGACTTATTAAAAGTAAGTTGGATATGTGGAAGGTTATAGTATAGTCACAGAATATTTATAACAAAGTTCTAAATTTTTTAAAGTTAATTTAAAAGTTCTATACACTGTTTACAAATTTAAACAGTTATAACTCTATTATACAAACCACTTGTATTATTGTTTAGTTAAAGACTTAATATGGGGTACTTTAATTTATATATAATATAAGAAGAAGCACTTATATCTAATTGTAATATGTGATGTTACAAGGATATATGGCTCAGTGGTCTAAAACATCAGTCATTGTAATAAATTGTCAAAACTCCGCAAGGTTCTGGGTTCAATTCCTGCTGTGGACACTGTTTTTTGTCCATTGTTAATTGTAGTACAATGAATTACAAGGAATTATAAGGTGATCACGTTATACACAACACTTTGGACCCCTTGTGGGGGCATTGTATTACAATCTGGGGCACCACAGCTGAGCTGATTCCATGTTGAGTGTTTTCTCAGACTGCAGCACCGACCCGATGCATTCTCAGATGTCCCATCGCATTGCAATGATCTGCGAGCCTTGGTCAAGGATACATTCCGCCGATTCCTTGCCTTCAACCAGGGCATCAATTGCTCGTAATGGAAGAGAATTGTCGGCCACTATGAGCGGCCCGCCGCCATCGCTCATGTCCACCAAGAGAGCCTTCGCAACCTCCTTGCCATCCACAGCCTCAAAGCTCCCCGTCGTCGTCACTCCCTTCACAGTGATCTCCTCCTTCTCGAGCTTGCGAATCTCTGGGCACAATGCCATCAGTTCCCGATGCGTTAGCGAGATGCGAACTTCATTTTGGATGCACTCAAATATATCCTGCACATTCACCTTGTCCTCAACCGGCATCTTATAGCTGTATTGCGTAGCCCGATTTCCCAGTGATGGTAGAGATGCCTTCGCACCTCCTCTTGGCACTACAAATGGATCCGACATTGGCTTGAGAATTGACGCGGGGACCTGGGAGGCTGGAACATTGGGAGGACACTTTGCAGATTTCTCTGTGGTGTTGTCATCGAACTGAACAGTCTTTTTCTTCGGAGCCATGCTGGCTTCTAGCACTGACATCGCGGAGTCATCAACACATTCCTCAATGTATGCCGATGATGGTTCCTTGGGGTTAAGTGCCTCCTTCGTGATCTCCCATAGGGTGACCATATGCGGAGGTTGGTCACGCCCATCCCTGGAAACATTGGGTGGAGGCACTGCAGACGGCCCCAGACCATCACCAAAAAGGTTCCCAGGATACATATCATGCCACACATCAATGTGCTCTGCCATGCTACATCTCGGTAGGTCACAAGGAATGAACCACCCATTTGGGAGAATGATCCTACTAAGTGCATCACAATTAATCTTCCATGCCCTGATGTAATCCTCGATGCGTGGACAGTTTCACATGAAATGGTCGATGGCTAGACAGAAGTTACAGGCATGGAGCACTTGTGGAAGAGGGTTTTGTGCGACCGCCGCCTGAATGTTAACCTGCATTACTGGCACCTGTCCCCCTCCCAATGTTCGCATCGCTTGCTGCAACACGTTTGCTAGAAACTGCATCACATCTGTCTCATTCCCTTCCAACTTCACCATCCCTGCACTTGGATTTGACACTGCCACAGTGCTCGATGCACTCTCACTCCCACTGAGAACGTGCTGCGCTGCGGAATGGACTTCCGATATTGCATACAGATCATCTGGATTCTGATCGGGAACCTTAATCGCCAGTCGATTTTTGATAGCATGTAAGGGGGATGCTTCGAATCCCTCAAGGTACAGCCGGTCCTGCTCATAGGTCGATAGTCGACCCCTGGACAATAAGAACAATGCAATGTGAGTAAAATCCCGATAGTACTGTCCCTCCTCTGCGCAACTGGACACTCCTCTTGTCCATGCTGCCCGTACAATCTGGGTTAAGTCAGACTGCATGTAGTGACGGTCATCCTCCGCCCCCGGGTACAATGTGATGACTGCAGTCTTGAACTGCTCATATGTCTCCCGCTCTGTCACACCCATCCAAAGATCCACCTCATCCAATGAGATGTACTTGCAGGCCACTCGGATTTTTGCATCATCGTCCAACTGTGCTCGCATCACCAAGTCTTCAAGATCAGCAAAATATCGCATCAAGGCTCGTGGGGATCCATCAAAGGTTAAGGAAGGACACGGGTTAGGGTTAGCATGCGGTATTCACTTGACGGGTCTGACAGTGACGGGTACGGGTCAGGCTATGTACACCCTTTACCATATCGCTAACCTGAGCCGTGGTTTGGTGGGTCTATATGGTTTGGCAAGTTGACTGCAGCTCGACTTTGTAGTATAATTTATGCAACTCAAATTAGATGTCAGTGCCAATTGTTATATCACCACGTGTCTACTGCACGCTTTGCTATCTCTGAACATGCATCGCTATCTCACTTTACATGTTCATCGCTAAAAGGCCTCGGTGCAGAGAGTGAGGAGTGAGGCTGCGTATGATCACAGAAAATCAACCTCGTGCGGTGAGAGTTTTGAGTGCACATCCACTCGACCCATCTTCAATATGGTAACGTCGCCATGCAGCTGCTGACAGAGTCTCATCACTCGATGGCCACAGATACCCTTCTCAAATACAACGACATCCTCATCTGCTCCATCCTCTGTGAGCAGCGCCAGCTCAAGGATCTTCTCCAGACCACCCTCAATGCTGCCGACCAAGACCCAGCAGCGAACAATCTAAAAATGTCCACTGTACTCCTCTACCAGACAGCAATTTTGTGCAATAAACGGTGTCTGCTTGCATATCACCACCACCACCTGGAGAGGCTGAAGGATTTGTACTGGTCCGTCGGCGATGCGCTGCCCCTTCTGCTTTCTATGCCATCTGCTTCTGCATCGCAGAACGTGAATGCATCTGGCAATGGCAGCAGTGGACCCCCATGCTTCCCTCATTTCACTAACTATAATGCACCAACCTCTGGTGACTGCTAGAAAAAGTGCATGATAGTCAAGTTGGTGAAAGGCTCATCCTGCAAAGAATAATTCCTTTGTACACCAGAAATTGTAACTACTAATGACTATACAACAGACAAATATAATGTGTTCCTTAGAGTTAGAAGAGCAAAGGTAGATCTCAACATCACTGTCAATTTGATATATAGAAGCAGCTAAAAAAGATAAAGTGAGAATATATATTATTTTATTCTCATAAAAATGTATACTAAATTTGCTGCTCAGAGATGCCATTGAATGAATAAACAGATGACTATAAAGTGAAGAAAAGTGCAAGAAGAGTAAGTAGTGAGAGTGAACAGATAAGATAAAGATCTTATCAGCTATATTGAGCAATGTTTAGCCAAGTCGCACCAGTTTTCAATACAAAAATTTCACAGTCCGACTGAGTGCAAATTGTAGACAAGTAAGCAGAGCAGTAAGTAACTTTGTTACCAGAGTGGACCCTAACCCTAGGTGTCCCATACAAATTTTGTATTGAAATTTCATTCTCACAACTTCTTGTGACAGTTTCTTGTCACACCCAGGGTCCAACTAGAACAATTTCTTCATACCTCAGTCATCGTAATTCACAATAAGTATCCATAATTGAGTTGAAATGGGGCAAATCCTGTTGTCGCACTCATGGCTGAGTTCAAGGCAAACTCAACCATCAGAATCTTCTCTATCTAATCTAATTGATTGGGAGACACGATAGACCGTAAAATGTGAGATACCGATTGGATGGTCCATTCAGACAGCCCATCGGTTTGCAAATGGAATGACATCGACATGAGCAACTTTGCACCCAGAAGTTGATGCAGTTCATGTCAAAATTTCGATGTGAACTTCGAATCCCGGTCCTAGATGATAGATTCGGGCATCTCATACAATTGCACAATCTCTCGGACATAGAGCTCAGCTATGTCTGAGGCCATGCTCATTGTTACATATTCCCAACCATGAACATTCTATTGGTTGAATCCAGGCTCGACATGTTACAGAAGATAAGGCTAGAAGCATTAGCCATGCATTAGCCCGACAACAAATGGCAGACCGAGTCAGACAAGGATCACCGAAGTTTACACTAGGACAGAAGGTCTGGCTAGACTTGAGGAATCTGAAGGTCAACTATGCCTTGTGCAAAATAGCACCTAAGTGTGAGGGACCATTTGAAATTGTTAAAGTCATCGGACCAGCCAACCATCATCTCAAACTTCCAAGGACCTGATGAGTTCATTCCGTATTCCATGCTGCCCTTCTATCTCCTTATCGTGAGAATGACATACATGGTCCGAATTACATAAACCCACCACCTAATGTCATTGATAATGAAGAAGAATACGAAGTCAAAGCCATTCTGAATCATAAGACATACCGAGGTCATCTGAGGTACTTAGTCAAGTAAAAGGAATCATCAGCAGAAAACTTATGGGAACCTGCCCACAATTTGCAGAACGCAAAGCAAACCCTCGGTGCATATAAAAGGACCAGGGGAATTCAGTAAAGGATGAGGGAACTGAAATTGCTATTGCGATGACCTTCCTCATTATCTTCCTAATCGTCCTCCACTGCACAACCCTTGCTTTCCTTTGGATCATCCACTGAATCCTTATCAGATGACTCATTGAGCACATGCTCTTCACACGAGACAACCCACATGCTAACAGTTGAGATGATCAGAACAATGCTTGGAACTGATCAGACAGTTCCTATCTCTGTGAGAATACTCTCTATTGCCCAATAGATTTTCATCTATTTGATTGTCACCCACATCCACAATATTCTATTTCATATCACAGATAACTGTGATCCTCTTAATGACTGAAAGGTATAAAAGGAGGAGAAAACAATGTATCATCAATGTCTACTTCTGCCATCGATGCTCTTGTCAACAACATACTTGCCAAAGTCACTTTCATAATTATAAATACTCTCGCATCACCTACACTGGTTAATGGAGTACCTTCTCGAACACAAACACCCTTTATCTGTGTCTCATCACCCTCACCTTCAATCGAACACAGTCACACATCGGACGAACAAGAATTTGCCACACATCTGATTTCAGCGATCTGCATTCCTGTCAACTTCACAGATATTCTCATTACTCTACGGAATCGCCCACAAGATCAACAGGTGGTGATTTCTATGCAGCGAGCATTAGAAATGGTTGAGTGGATGCAAATGGCCAGACAAGAGCTCATCTCAGCAGATGATATAATGAGTAGGGCCTGAACCAGAGTTGATCAAGTCTGGTCTTTATACGGTCACCCATACAGCACAGGAAATCTGGAGGGAGCATGGAGATGAAGATATCGGACACATCCTCAGATATGCCAATAATGCAATACCCGCATCTACTCCTCGCTCATCGCCAGAACCAATTCCTGTTTGACCTCACTCTCCTCGTTCACACGTATCCATCGGTCGATCCCCACTGTCACAATTCTCCTTCTCACCTGTATCTACTTCTTCACATTGCAGTAATCCCTACCATGATGGACGTACGCATGAACAAGGACCACAAACCGGCCGATGAACATGCTACAGATGTGAAAGTGATCATTATGTTCATGACTGCCCCCGACAATGGTAACAACTACAATTTCTCTTGTGGGACAAGAAACGTTAGACGGGAGCTGATGTTATAACACTTCTCAGTTATGGCATGTCTTTTCTTTTATCTTTTCTTTGTTCCCTTTACTTTACTGGACTCCGTGATTTACCATGTGACTCATCGGAGCGTAACCTCCAATTTTCTATTCAGATATCCAGAACCCCTATTCTAGGGTTATGCCGGATTCAACTCTGGATCTTCTTTTTATCGCACATGCGAGATACGTATATTCACCTCATTGCTACCTTGTTCTGATGCACGACTTGTTATCTCCATTAGTACTGATTATCTCTCACAATCTTACTCAGCATTCCCATACATATTACTTCCTCGCTGTCACCTTGCCCAGATATCATTTTACCTTATCCAGCCAATGAACAATCTTGTATTACTGCGTAGTACTACAGATACCTTTTGTATGAGTAGTTAGTCTCATCGAGCTGGATCCCCATCTCAACCTGGTTACCATTAAACCAGCTCTTCACTTGCCTTTGACTGAGATCGACCATTGGTAGCAGACAGCTACTGCGAGTTATAAGAATGAACTCTAATCGACCTTCAGTGTGAGGATATTGCCCAAAGTGTCTCTTGAACAGACTTGTGTCTTAGACTAAGACTTTGTCTTGTGATAACTCGACTTGATGCTTGTGTTTCACTGCCGCGTAACATAAAATGTATATAAGAAATTGTTCTTATATTTTCCACTAACTCTCAGTATGCCATCTAATTATGTCTAGTAAGTATTCTACAATGTTCCACTATACTAAGTTATATGAGTTAATAAGGGCCTTACAATAGTTTACAAAATTGCCTACTGACTCTTGGTATATTATGTAGCAATATTCAGCAAGTCAACAATAGTCTATTATACTGGCTCCTAATATACTTACTCTTTAGTATCAGTTTGTAATGAGCTTACAATAGTCTGAATATATCACCTGATATTGCTTTGTAAATCAATTTAGTAACCTACAATAGTTTCTAGTAATCTCTACTAAATGTTGTCATCCGCAAGTTTATAAGATGCTTATAATAGTTTAGTATACCACCTAGTACCAGTTTATAAAGGCCTTACAGTAGCCTACAAAGTGATAGATTGACTTTTGAAACTAGCAAGTAAATAACAAGCACCAAGAGTTTATACCAAGGTTAATGCTAAGTATAGGCACTGCCTGCACGGCAATTGTCTGAGTTTCAACACATGATGAGTTTAGAAATCTTGTTAATGAGCAACATTCATTGATAAGATTTCTAAACTCAGCCATGTGTTGGAAGTTAGCCTATTACATTTGGACAAGATTTGTGAACTCAGCCCATGTACTCAGATTTTAATAAATCAAATAGGCATCGTAATCAGTTTTTTAAGCTGAATCTGATAGTGTTATCCTCAAAACATCAGGATCACTTTCTACAGTGCTACGATCCATTTTCTTAGTTTTCTCTTGTTTCGTCGCATTTTGAGCTTCAACCCCGAGAAACTATATTCGAAAGTAAATATGAGGACTACTTCACAGTCTTCTAAGATTTTATCTCCTTACCATCATCTAATACATCGACAATCTCAACATGCCGGGCAGTAAGTTACCATGTTCATTGTTCTGCAGTTCTTGTTTAGTGGCTCACTGTGTCCATAGAGAAGACACACTGAGGACAACAGAAACTTTGGTAGAGCGGCCAAATGGTAGACAGCCCAACACAGTTTCAGCTTTATAAGCTATTATTGCCCTGTTGAAGATCAAATTTCAAGAGCTCACCATAAGTCTCTTACCTGATTTTCAGTGTACACATGCACGTACTAATTTTGTGAACAGCAAGTGACACGCACAGTTATCCAGCAGCGCCTCAATATAGCCCATAGATTTTCTGACCAAGATCTGAAATTTATAGATTGAGTTCAGCAGGAAGTGCATATAAATGTACTTGTGGGGAGTAGGCAACTTCTTTGCATGGCAGGAACGATTCCTGAGGTTTTGTAGTCCTGCCTTTTTCTCATCATCTAATTATTTTTGTCACATGTATTAATTATTTTGTATTACTCCTTAGTAGTTAATTACTTGTGAAAAGTGGTTCATTGCATTACATTGCATGTTGTATTTTTATTTAATACCTATTTAAAGGTTTTATCATTTGTATTCACTCAAAACAGTCACTTTAGGTGAAAATCTACTAAAATTTGATGTTATACTAATAAGTATAAAGAACTCAGGTCTTTTTAGTTCATGTATAAGTTTTTGAAGCTCCGAAACTCTGTTTTTATTTCAACTAAATTTATGTAACAGATACTAAAAAGAAATAAAGTATTAGAATGACTTAAAATATTATTTGGCCACTCTAGATATCATTAACCACTGCATTACAATATTTTAGTATGCTATTCATCTAATATTTTATTTACAAATATTTGACGACAATACTGCAATAGTCCAGCATGCCAAGTTACAAGAAAATGCTAGTGCTTTTTAAATAAAAGAATTATAACAGACTCTAATGTTATTCAATAACTAGTGTATTGCTTAGTAATATATAGTAAGCTTCTAACAATATTATACTCTTGACTTAATTATAAGATGTCATCTGAGCGTAGTTTATAAAAACCTTATAATAGTGTATTAAAGTATGCAACACACTTTATAACAATAATATGTTAGGTTATCACATGAGTCTCATACATCTGCTATGTCACCTACTAACTTTTTTATACCAGTTGATAAGTAGTATAATATAGATAATAATTTATTTATAGCTGTCTTATAATAGTCTAACACATTGCTAAGTATCTCAGAGTAGGATTATCTAAAATGTGGCCTTAAAATAATATTACTCTGTCCTTTTATCAAAACTGTATAAGAATATTACTAAAAGTTATTAGTACGCCTCTCCTAAAAATGATCTTCAAAATTGCTTAAAAATAATACTACTATGTTGTTCTGTAAAAAGTATATAAAAACATTATTAAAAAGTTCCTAGTATGCATTTTAAAAGACTCAGCCAAAAATGGCTTTAAAATGATATTACTACGTTATTTTGCAAAAAGTATATAAAAACATCACTAAAAATGACTAGTATGCATTCTAAAATACTCAGTATAAAAATGGCTTAAAAATAATGCTACTTTGTCATTTTATAAAATTGATAGACAAACATTATTAAAAAGTCATTAATATTCATTCTGAAAGACTTAGCTTCAAAATAGCTTCAAAATGATATTACTATGTTGTTTTGCAAAAAGTATTTAAAAACATTACTAAAAAGTGACTGGTATGCATTCTAAAAGATTTAGCTGAAAAATGGCTTCAAAATAATATTATGTCATTTTATAAAATCTATATAAAAACATGACTAAAAAGTCATTAATATTCATTTTAAAAGGATTACTTTAAAAACCTACAATGTCATGTACCTTCTCTAAGATAACTATCTCATAGAAGTTTTTAAAATTTAAGATCATAACAGTGCAATTTTATCTCTCACGTGTTTTCAGTGTTGCAACTACAAAATTTTGCTAGCTACACTATTGGGCTTCCCACCTCATACTTCTAGAATAGACTTTCTCCTTTCCTGCACTTCAGACCTTATGCAGGCTTGATTCCACTCATACTCCACCTTTGTGGCTTGTCACAGAAATAGCAACATATCATTACCACAAGGATACTGTCACCTAACCTAAGTGCCATCATTTATACTAATTAGATGAACGCAGTTCTTGAATTTACATTACACATCTGGCACAAATCTCCATATCAAATTTGACCACATTCATGTGAGGCATGAAGAACTTCTGAACCTTGAGATCAGCATCAGTGAAGTGGAGTACACATTGCTCATCATTGCCTTCCTAACTTATGAGCTGTCCGTATTTATCTCATAAGTTATTGCAACCGCACAGGCTACCATACTGTAGCAGCAGTGTGCTGCAGCAAAGATTAATGTCAGTATATGATATAAACAGACCAATTGACATAAAAATGGCTTAAGCACTGTATTAAATATAAAGTCTAATAAAAGCACACTTTACCAAGATTATATAAGAATATTAATATGATTACTAGCATTTACATATTTAAAAAATCTCAAAATCTAAATTGGACTATTATTGCCTCAACAGTAACTCACCTAAATTACCTCACTCACCTATAGCCTAAGTTATCTCTGTTATCTGGTATTTTTGTTATTTGTATATCTAATCATTTTAACATATTGACATTCAGATATCTAATCATTTCCTCTAATACTTTTAACACCTCTACCACTTTACTACCTCCAACACCTCTACCACCTGTAACACCTTGATCAGTCACCTAGTCACCTGGTCACCTCTGACACCTCGATCACCCTGTCACCTGGTCACCTCTGACACCTCTAACACCTCTGACACCTCAATTACCCTGTCACCTGGTCACCCTTGACACCTGGTCACCCTTGACACCTGGTCACCCTGGTCACCTCTAACACCTCTGACACCTCAATTACCCTGTCACCTGGTCACCCTTGGCACCTGGTCATCCTGGTCACCTCAAACATCTCTGACACCTCTGACACCTCTGACACCTTGATCACCCTGTCACCTGGTCACCTCTAACACCTTCGACACCTCGAACACCTGGTCACCCGGTCACCCTCGACACCTCGAACACCTCGGGTGACTCCATAAAAGGAAGGTGACTTGCTATATATGGGTGACACCCGACACCATCATATTTTAGAAGCACAACCTACAGTACTTATCAGAAAAACAGATGTATCGTTTCAGGTGTCGGGTGTCACCCATATATAGCAAGTCACCTTCCTTTTATGGAGTCACCTGAGGTGTTCGAGGTGTCGAGGGTGACCGGGTGACCAGGTGTTCGAGGTGTCGAAGGTGACCGGGTGACCAGGTGACCAGGTGACCGAGGTGTCGGAGGTGACCCGGGGTGACTGTAGGCCGCATACAGATAACTGTAGACCACATACAGAGTACTGTAGGCCACTCTAGACCGCATACAGAATGCTACAGACCGCATACAGAGCACTACAAACCACTCTAGATCGCATACAGACCACTCTAGACCGCATACAGAATGCTATAGACCACATACAGACCACTATAGACCGCGTACAGACCACTATAGAGCGCATACAGACCACTAGAGAGCGCATACAGATCACTATAGACCATCGTAGACCACGTACAGACCACTATAGACCGCATACAGAGCACTACAGACCACTCTAGACCGCATACAGAATGCTACAGATCGCATACAGACCACTATAGACCATTATAGACCGCGTACAGAATGCTATAGACCGCATACAGACCACTATAGGCCACATACAGAATACCGTACGCCACATACAGAGTACTATACATTGCATACGAACGTTTATAGACCACATACCGACGTTCGTAGACCTACAGTACTTATCAGAAAAACAGATGTATCGTTTCAGGTGTCGGGTGTCACCCATATATAGCAAGTCACCTTCCTTTTATGGAGTCACCCGAGGTGTTCGAGGTGTCGAGGGTGACCGGGTGACCAGGTGTTCGAGGTGTCGAAGGTGTTAGAGGTGACCAGGTGACCAGGTGACCGAGGTGTCGGAGGTGACCCGGGGTGACTGTAGGCCGCATACAGATAACTGTAGACCGCATACAGAGTACTGTAGGCCACTGTAGATCGCATACAGAATGCTATAGGCCACATACAGAATGCTACAGACCGCATACAGAGCACTACAGACCACTCTAGACCGCATACAGAATGCTATAGATCGCATACAGACCACTATAGACCATTATAGACTGCGTACAGAATGCTATAGACCGCATACAGACCACTATAGACCGCATACAGAATGCTATAAGCCACTATAGGCCACATACAGAATACCGTACGCCACATACAGAGTACTATACATTGCATACGAACGTTTATAGACCACATACCGACGTTCGTAGACCTACAGTACTTATCAGAAAAACAGATGTATCGTTTCAGGTGTCGGGTGTCACCCATATATAGCAAGTCACCTTCCTTTTATGGAGTCACCCGAGGTGTTCGAGGTGTCGAGGGTGACCGGATGACCAGGTGTTCGAGGTGTCGAAGGTGACCGGGTGACCAGGTGACCAGGTGACTGAGGTGTCGGAGGTGACCCTGGGTGACTGTAGGCCGCATACAGATAACTGTAGACCGCATACAGAGTATTGTAGGCCTCTCTAGACCGCATACAGAATGCTATAGGCCACATACAGAATGCTATAGGCCACATACAGAATGCTACAGACCGCATACAGAGCACTACAAACCACTCTAAATCGCATACAAATCACTCTAGATCGCATACAGACCACTCTAGACCGCATACAGAATGCTATAGACCACATACAGACCACTATAGGCCATTATAGACCACATACAGACCACTATAGACTGCGTACAGACCACTATAGACTGCATACAGACCACTATAGATTGCATACAGAATACTGTACACCATGTACAGGTTACTATACACCACATAGGAACATTTATAGATCACATACTGATATTTGTAGATCACATACAAATAATCGTAGATGGCATACAAATATTGCTAAGTGGCATACAAATATTTCTAAGTGGCATACAAATATTTCTAAGTGGCATACAAAAAATACTTGTAAGCAACATACCAAGGCGTACCATAGACAGCATACAGAATACCACAGATGACATACAGAGCATAGTAAACCATGTACAAAGAAATGTAACCGACATACTGACATTTGTAAGCGGCGTACAAATATCTTTAGGTGGCATACAAATATTTCTAAGCGACATACGAATGCTTACCATGAGCAACATACAGAGCATCGTAAGCGACATACCAACATTTCTAAGTGGCATACAAATACCACATACATAATGCTATAGAGTGCTATAGACCGCATACAGAATGCTATAGACCACTTACAGAATGCTACAGACCGCATACAGAGCACTATACACCACATACAGAGTGTTGTAGCCCTCATACCAACATTTATAGACCACATACCAACATTCATAGACAGCATACAAATATTTCTAAGCAACATATCTAAGCGACATACAACTATTTACCACGGGCGAATTTGCCACTTAGAAATATTTGTATGCCACTTAGAAATATTTGTATGCCACTTAGCAATATTTGTATGCCATCTACGATTATTTGTATGTGATCTACAAATATCAGTATGTCATCTATAAATGTTCCTATGTGGTGTATAGTAACCTGTACATGGTGTACAGTATTCTGTATGCAATCTATAGTGGTCTGTATGCAGTCTATAGTGGTCTGTACGCAGTCTATAGTGGTCTGTATGTGGTCTATAATGGCCTATAGTGGTCTGTATGTGGTCTATAGCATTCTGTATGCGGTCTAGAGTGGTCTGTATGCGATCTAGAGTGATTTGTATGCGATTTAGAGTGGTTTGTAGTGCTCTGTATGCGGTCTGTAGCATTCTGTATGTGGCCTATAGCATTCTGTATGTGGCCTATAGCATTCTGTATGCGGTCTAGAGAGGCCTACAATACTCTGTATGCGGTCTACAGTTATCTGTATGCGGCCTACAGTCACCCAGGGTCACCTCCGACACCTCAGTCACCTGGTCACCTGGTCACCCGGTCACCTTCGACACCTCGAACACCTGGTCATCCGGTCACCCTCGACACCTCGAACACCTCGGGTGACTCCATAAAAGGAAGGTGACTTGCTATATATGGGTGACACCCGACACCTGAAACGATACATCTGTTTTTCTGATAAGTACTGTAGGTCTACGAACGTCGGTATGTGGTCTATAAACGTTCGTATGCAATGTATAGTACTCTGTATGTGGCGTACGGTATTCTGTATGTGGCCTATAGTGGCTTATAGCATTCTGTATGCGGTCTATAGTGGTCTGTATGCGGTCTATAGCATTCTGTACGCAGTCTATAATGGTCTATAGTGGTCTGTATGCGATCTATAGCATTCTGTATGCGGTCTAGAGTGGTCTGTAGTGCTCTGTATGCGGTCTGTAGCATTCTGTATGTGGCCTATAGCATTCTGTATGCGATCTACAGTGGCCTACAGTACTCTGTATGCGGTCTACAGTTATCTGTATGCGGCCTACAGTCACCCCGGGTCACCTCCGACACCTCGGTCACCTGGTCACCTGGTCACCTCTAACACCTTCGACACCTCGAACACCTGGTCACCCGGTCACCCTCGACACCTCGAACACCTCGGGTGACTCCATAAAAGGAAGGTGACTTGCTATATATGGGTGACACCCGACACCTGAAACGATACATCTGTTTTTCTGATAAGTACTGTAGGTCTACGAACGTCGGTATGTGGTCTATAAACGTTCGTATGCAATGTATAGTACTCTGTATGTGGCGTACGGTATTCTGTATGTGGCCTATAGTGGTCTGTATGCGGTCTATAGCATTCTGTACGCGGTCTATAATGGTCTATAGTGGTCTGTATGCGATCTGTAGCATTCTGTATGCGGTCTAGAGTGGTCTGTAGTGCTCTGTATGCGGTCTATAGTGGTCTGTACGTGGTCTACGATGGTCTATAGTGATCTGTATGCGCTCTCTAGTGGTCTGTATGCGCTCTATAGTGGTCTGTACGCGGTCTATAGTGGTCTGTATGTGGTCTATAGCATTCTGTATGCGGTCTAGAGTGGTCTGTATGCGATCTAGAGTGGTTTGTAGTGCTCTGTATGCGGTCTGTAGCATTCTGTATGCGGTCTAGAGTGGCCTACAGTACTCTGTATGTGGTCTACAGTTATCTGTATGCGGCCTACAGTCACCCCGGGTCACCTCCGACACCTCAGTCACCTGGTCACCTGGTCACCCGGTCACCTTCGACACCTCGAACACCTGGTCACCCGGTCACCCTCGACACCTCGAACACCTCAGGTGACTCCATAAAAGGAAGGTGACTTGCTATATATGGGTGACACCCGACACCTGAAACGATACATCTGTTTTTCTGATAAGTACTGTAGGTCTACGAACGTCGGTATGTGGTCTATAAACGTTCGTATGCAATGTATAGTACTCTGTATGTGGCGTACGGTATTCTGTATGTGGCCTATAGTGGCTTATAGCATTCTGTATGCGGTCTATAGTGGTCTGTATGCGGTCTATAGCATTCTGTACGCAGTCTATAATGGTCTATAGTGGTTTGTATGCGATCTATAGCATTCTGTATGCGGTCTAGAGTGGTCTGTAGTGCTCTGTATGCGGTCTGTAGCATTCTGTATGTGGCCTATAGCATTCTGTATGCGATCTACAGTGGCCTACAGTACTCTGTATGCGGTCTACAGTTATCTGTATGCGGCCTACAGTCACCCCGGGTCACCTCCGACACCTCAGTCACCTGGTCACCTGGTCACCTCTAACACCTTCGACACCTCGAACACCTGGTCACCCGGTCACCCTCGACACCTCGAACACCTCGGGTGACTCCATAAAAGGAAGGTGACTTGCTATATATGGGTGACACCCGACACCTGAAACGATACATCTGTTTTTCTGATAAGTACTGTAGGTCTACGAACGTCGGTATGTGGTCTATAAACGTTCGTATGCAATGTATAGTACTCTGTATGTGGCGTACGGTATTCTGTATGTGGCCTATAGTGGTCTGTATGCGGTCTATAGCATTCTGTACGCGGTCTATAATGGTCTATAGTGGTCTGTATGCGATCTGTAGCATTCTGTATGCGGTCTAGAGTGGTCTGTAGTGCTCTGTATGCGGTCTATAGTGGTCTGTACGTGGTCTACGATGGTCTATAGTGATCTGTATGCACTCTCTAGTGGTCTGTATGCGCTCTATAGTGGTCTGTACGCGGTCTATAGTGGTCTGTATGTGGTCTATAGCATTCTGTATGCGGTCTAGAGTGGTCTGTATGCGATCTAGAGTGGTTTGTAGTGCTCTGTATGCGGTCTGTAGCATTCTGTATGCGGTCTAGAGTGGCCTACAGTACTCTGTATGTGGTCTACAGTTATCTGTATGCGGCCTACAGTCACCCCGGGTCACCTCCGACACCTCGGTCACCTGGTCACCTGGTCACCCGGTCACCTTCGACACCTCGAACACCTGGTCACCCGGTCACCCTCGACACCTTGAACACCTCGGGTGACTCCATAAAAGGAAGGTGACTTGCTATATATGGGTGACACCCGACACCTGAAACGATACATCTGTTTTTCTGATAAGTACTGTAGGTGGCCGTCCAGGACGGCCGTGTAAGTTTGTTAGTACCCTCAGTGGCAGTCTGAGATGAGCGTTTATTAGGTATGTCATGTATGGCCTTCCAGTACTACCACTTATTGTTCATCCTTGTGAAGGTCATTGAAGCAGATGGCCGTCCAAGATGACCACCTATAGTCAGTACCACAGGTGGCCGTCCGGGACGGCCATTTCTTGTGCAAGCCATTTATGGCCTTCCTGGACTGCCACTTGTGGTTTGTCCCTCAGGCAGCTATTGCAGCAGTGACCGTCCAGGACAGCCACTCCTGGTCAGTATCACAGGTGGCCGTCCGGGAAGGCCATTTCTTGTACAAGCTGTACATGGCCTGCCTGGACTGCCACTTGTGGTTTGTCACTCTCATGGCCACTACAGCAGATGGCCGTCCGCGACGGCCACTCATGGTCTGTACCACAGGTGGCCGTCGAGGAAGGCCATTTTTTGTGCAAGCTATGCATGACCTTCCTGGACTGCCACTTGTGGTCTGTCTCTCTGGTGGCCACTGCAGCAGGTGGCCGTCCGAGAAGGCCATTTCTTGTGCAAGCTGTTCATAGCCTTCCTGGACTGCCACTTGTGGTTTGTCACTCTCATGGCCAGTACAGCAGATGGCTGTCCAGGATGGCCACTCATGGTCAGTACCACAGGTGGCCTTCCGGGAAGGCCATTTTTTGTGCAAGCTATGCATGGCCTTCCTGGACTGCCACTTGTGCTTTATCCCTCTGGTGGCCACTGCAGCAGGTGGCCGTCCGGGAAGGCCATTTCTTGTACAAGCTGTACATGGCCTTCCCGGACTGCCACTTGTAGTTTGTCACTCTCATGGCCAGTACAGCAGATGGCCATCCAGGATGGCCACTCATGGTCAGTACCACAGGTGGCCGTCGAGGAAGGCCATTTTTTGTGCAAGCCATGCATGGCCTTCCTGGACTGCCACTTGGTTTATCCCTCTGGTGGCCACGACAGTAGGTGGCCGTCCAGGATGGCCACTCATGGTCAGTGCCACAGGTGGCCGTCCGGGAAGGCCATTTCTTGTGCAAGCTGTACATGGCCTTCCTGGACTGCCACTTGTGGTCTGTCCCCCTGGTGGCCACTACAGCAGATGGCCGTCCAGGACGGCCACTCACAGCCGCTGTGCTTTGCTGACTGTGCCACCTGACCCATGCAGCCATCTGAGCCTCTTTTGGCCGCGAGCTATGGTTGAGGAGTATGAGGCTTTTGAAGTGGCATTGGTTATGGATATGTCGCTGTAATAATACATATCATGATTGCGTAGTACATTACTACAGGTCTAGTTTATCATATGCTTACTACAGTGGCAGCCCAGCATTCCTAACTGGGACCTATGTCGGTAATACACCACCACCACCATGTATGGCCGTCCACGACGGCCACGCAGGACAGCGGCCCCTCACCAGCGCTAGTGATGGTGCATGTGCCTGCAGCACCTTTTGTAGTGTTGGGCAACAGCCTCCTTCCCAAAGCAGACACGTACCTAGCCTTGGCTCAGGTTCCACTCAGTACTGGCAGTTCATGCACCTCGAACGGCCGTCCAGGACGGCCACTCGTGGCCAGCGTGGTTTACCTCCTGTGCCACCTGGCCTATGCAGCCAGTGGAGCCTCTCCGTGCATGGCCGTCCACGACGGCCACGCAGGACAGTGGCCCCTCACCAGCGCTAGTGATGGTGCACGTGCCTGCAGCACCTTTTGTAGTGTTGGGCAACAGCCTCCTTCCCAAAGCAGACACGTACCTAGCCTTGGCTCAAGTTCAACTTAGACCTGGCACCCCATGCAACTCGAACGGTCGTCTACGACGGCCACTCATGACCAGCATGCTTTGCCCCCCCCCGCGCCACCTCGCCTGTGCAGCCACCTGTGCCTTTCCACGCATGGTCGTCCGCGACGGCCGCGCAGGTCAGAGGCCCCTCACCAGTGCTACTGATGGCGCACGTGCCCTACGGCACGGTCCGTAGGGTTCGGCAATGGCCTCCTTCCCAAAGGGGACGCGTACCCCTAGCGTCCGCTCGGGGAACCCCCACCCTAGGGTTGGGGTTGCCTGCCCTCAGCGACCCTACAATCGTCCTAGGAGGCCTCATAACCCCGCTTCGCAGCACCTCGGACCCTCCGCGATAAGACGCACCGGCAAGCGACTGAGTACTGCCCTCCCATCCACGCCTAGCACCACTCATATACGCGCGCTGAACTCGTCTCGCCCCCGATCGCCGTATCCCACCATATCCGACGACGACGGTGCACCCCCCGCACTGGATGAAAAGGAAGAGATGGTGAGGGTTCCAACATTGTCCAGTTGGTCCTGGTCAGGATGGTCCTACAGTTGGCCTTCAGGGGACGTCGGGAATCACATCAAGGTCAGCGTCGCATCCCCCCAGCAACGCGAGCGCGTGCGAGAATAAATGCGACGAGCACCGTAACCACATTCTCTGAGCACAGGACATAAACCCGCTAGATAGATAAGCGAATGATATAGCAGAGAACAGCATACACGCAGCAGCACACTCAAATAAACCCAATCCCCAACCGCAGCTCCAAGCGTATCCAACGAACCCCCCCCCCCCCCCCCCCCCCAGACGATGCATATGCATCACCGCACCAACGCCCGCTCCCTTACAAACACCGCACACACCAGCCCCAGCCCGGCGAGCCCGACCGCGAACCACAGCGCAGCCTGCACGCCCGCCGCATACGCCTCCCGCACGACCGCGCGCACCGCCGGCGGGAGCTCGCCCACGTACGCGAGCGACGCGCGCACGTGCTCGATAATCTGCCCAGCGTCAGTGTCAGCTCCAGTCCACTCGGCGGCGGAAGGTAAAGGGGAAGGGGAAGAGAAGGCAGGGAAGGAAGGGAAAACGCACCTCGTCGACGTCCGCCCCCGAGAGGCCCGCACGCAGCCGCGCGCGGAGCACCTCCTGCGAGAGGGTCGTGCCCAGCGAGAGGAAGACGACGGAGCCGAGCGAGCGGAAGAGGTAGGACACTGCGCGGCGCGTTAATTATGACAGGAGTAGGAATTGGAGAGGGGACGCACCGGCGGTGGCGACCGCCTGGTCCGCCGGCCCGGCGTTCGCGATGAGCGCGATGAGCGTCGTCGTCAGGCTCGCACCTGCCAAACACAAATGAAACGCGTAAAAAAATAATCGCTATAGGAAAAAGGAAAAAAAGGAACACGCGTTCCGCGTACATACCGCCTCCAAAGTTCATCGCAAACAGACCTGCCAACACATATCAGGACACATCAGGACACACACACAGAGCTCACACACACACCGACGCAGAGCCACACCATATCGAACCCCACCGCCCCCGCCTCCAGCGCAACCAACACCGCCCCCGCCAGCGTCACCCCAAACGCGCCCACCGTCAGCCAATAATACCGCCCGGTCGCCTGCATCACCAGCCCGCTCAGCACGCTCGCGCTCACGCCGCCCGCGATGCACGGTATCAGCGCCGCCCCCGCGCGCGCCGCGCCGAGCCCCCGCACCGCCTGCAGGAACAGCGGCACGTGGAACGTGATCACGAAGAACACCCCGTTCACGAGCAGGTTGCACAGGTAGCTCGCGAGCAGCGCCCCGCTCGCCACGATGTGCCGCGGCGCGAGCGGCTCCGCCGCCACGCGCGTCTCGACGAGCGCGAAGAGCGCGAAGGCGAGGGCGGAGACGGCGAAGGCGCAGAGCGTGAGCGGCGCGCGCCACGCGGCGTTCGCGCCGCGGTCGAGCGCGAGCAGCAGCGCGAAGACGGCGAGGACGAGGGTGAAGGCGCCCCCAAAGTCGACGCGGCGCAGCTTCGCGCGGAAGGCCGCGTTGTCGGCCCGCGGGAGGCGCAGCCCGAGCGCGACGGAGAGGATGGCGAGGACGGTCAGCGGGACTTGCAGCAGGAACGCCCTGTGCGGGTGCAACCCCCCCGCCATCTGTCAGCGCGCGGCGGAACGGAGGTGTTTGGGGCGTAGTTACCATCTCCAGCCGATCGTGTCTGCGAGGACACCGCCGAGGGGCGCGCCGGTCGCGGAGCCCGAGGCGAACGCGATGTTTGCGATTCCTGTTCGCGTTATTGGGGCAGTCGTAAGCGTGTGAGGTGTGTGGAGGCGCACCTTGCCACGTCCCGCGCTTCCTCAGCGGTACGACGTCGGACATGATGATAGTCGCGACGCTGGGATTTCGGTCAGCTGGAAGCAACAGGGACGTACGTGGTGCTCACGTCGACATGCCCCCGCCACCGATGCCGGCGACGGCGCGGGCGACGATGAGCTGTGGCATGCTGCGCGCGAGCCCGCAGAAGAGGGAGCCGAGGGCGAAGACGGCGTATGCGAAGATGAGGCACGCTTTCCGGCCGAAGATGTCGCTCAGCTGCGAACGCGTGAATGAGATCGTTCGCGGTCGCGCGTCGGGGGTAGACTGACCTTGCCGTAGAGCGGCCTGTCGGGACGCACGTCAGGGTCAGGGATCAGGAGTGGAACGGTGGGGAGGCGCACTGGAAGCTGGTGAGGGTGAGCATGTACCCGGTGGCGATCCAGCTGGTGTTCTGGAGGGACTCGAACTGGGAACCGATGGAGGCGTAGGTGGCGGTGACGATGGTCTGGTCCATGGCGACGAGGAAGATGCCCAGCATCATGGGGACCATCTGTTGCAGGGTAGGAACATTAGCTTGTGGAGTCCCGCTGTCGTGCGCCGCAGCACGCGCATACTCAGCAGCCCGACCGGCGCACATACAGCGGACAAAGTGGGAGAACGTACGACGGCTCTGATGGACGCCTTGGGCTTCAAGACTTCCTCCTCCGCGGGGCTGCCTTCTGGATCGCCCACTTCCGAAGCGCGACTGGAGGCATTGGCCTCGATGGGCTCGGTGTAAGCGACGATCTGGTCGTCTTTTGAGTCGGGGTCGCGCAGGAGCGGGGTCGCTTCGTCGGCCATGGCAGCGAACGCGAGGGTAAGAGAAGGAGGAAGAGGAGGAGGGAGAGCGCGGCGGGTTTGGCGGAGGAGCAGCGGCGGGAGCTCGAGTTTCGAATGCGTTTCGCCGATCGTGATGGGTCCACGAGCGTCTATCTACTTCATGTAGGTAGGTGTCACATCATCTGAGCTCAGCCTGGCGTTACCTGTCGTGCGACGACGGCCACCGACGATCCACTCGACACGCAGACTGCCTGTGTTCCCCTGCATCTGATCGTCGAGAACCTTGTGCGCCTCTTGTTGATCAGTCTTTGACACAACTCCTCCTGGCTGATCGCCCTCTATCCATGCTCAGCACTCAGCCTTCTACCATCCTGCGTGGTCGAGCACAGCCGCTGCAAATCTGCGAGATGTCGGACTTTCTCAAGTGGGGCGCCTGACGCGAAACTGTCGTCCTTTAACATGCAAAGCGACAACTTCACTTTAGGCGTCTCAGTTCAGCGACGACTTTTGCATTTGGCTGAGGGGGGAGAGGGGGGACGGCGGGCTACCGACTCATTCGACACGACGATCGACGATCTGCCCGGTGGATGTCCTGGTCGCGATTTTCTAGATCATACCCCAGACGAGAATCTTTCCTTCCTCGCTCCGCAGATCATCCGCCGAAATAGTTCCCTGGCCAGTTGTGCGTTTCTTGACACAGATCTGTCCGAGCTATCGCAATCGCCTTCTCATCCCTTTCGCGTCGCGCCCAGGGAAGTGCTTTTCCATGTTCTGCATAGGCGTTCGCTAGTCGTTGCTCCCCAAGCCTCGTATCTTTATGCAATAGCCCACATCGCCTCCACCTCCAATCCGGATGACAGGACTTACCGCGTATCCGTCACTTTCGTCCGCCGATAAGCAAACGCAACTCAAGAGTCAATATTTCAATACCTGCGTCGTCGAGCAGCAATTTAGGACAACGACGGGTGCGCGATGCCGATGTCTTCTATGCTCCAAATCGGGTCATGGAGAATTTGCCCGTCGACGGCATGTTCTGCATGACGCATCCTTCGCGTCTGTCACGAGCTGGCGATATCGCACCGTCCTATCTTCCACACGCCCAATTCACGCTTCACTAACTCGTTCTCGTGCAGGCGGTGCAAGGCCTCTCTCGAGCTCGCGCGTTCGTGCCGCGTACCGATTTTTGCATGGAGAAAGTCGTGCTGAAGAAGGCATTTCCTCGCGGAGACACAAACACACGACGGCGATTCGCGATTTCTCGAGCAGCCGCGGCAGATGGTAGAGGCGGTTCAAATTGACTCGGAAGGAGAGGAGCGGAGGAGGACCCGTTTTTGCGCTGGGGGCGCCCATCTCCAGCTTGGCTGTTTGGCCGTGCGCACTGGACCTGGGACTTACACGACGAGGAGTTCCCTCGCGGTGCGTGTCTTTTCCTGTATATTTGGCTAGGGTGGTGTGCGTGGTGTCGCCGAGTTCGTGAAGCGACGTGGCGTACATTTGGGGAACGGCGATGGCGCTACATGCACGGGAAGCCACGGGGTGGACAGTCTGTTGTATGCTCGATTGTATCATCGTGGCTGTTCTTTGTTTGAGATATAAAGCGCATTTCGCGGCGGTTGGATATCTGGTCTGACGCTGTTAAGAGCACTCGCTCGCGGGATACAGACTCGGAGGTATCTTCCATCGTACTCCGAGTAATATATCTAAAAGACGGGACAAGCTTACAAGCGAGAAGAGGGCGAAAAACAAGAGATGCGCTGAGAGACCTACAGTATGAACGCAAGGGGCGACGGCGTTTGGACGACTGTGCAGAGAGGTAAACGCTTAAAATTTATACGTGGGCGTGTCGCATGCCGAGCAAAGTAGTTACGACCGCAAGTGGACCAAAAGGTGCGCTTGCGATCGTAACTGATTCGTTCGGCAGATCGCTTGCGAAAACAAACATCAGTATATTACTCGAGTACTAGAGAGGAGAGCATACGAGGACGAGGGCGATGACAGATTGGTGCAGTTTCCAGAAAGACAAACGGACTTGAAGTTCGCAGACGGTCCGCGGAAGTCGATCGATATGGCGCGTTTGCGCGCACCTTGGTACACGGATGCGCCACGTTGAAACCTCGTGCACAAGCGGTATTCTCACCGAACGCGACATGGCCGCGGTTCTCGCCAGCTGCAGACCGGGTGTCGCTCAGAGTTTCTTCTACAGATAATGTTGGATCCCTGGGTTGTAAGACGGCAAGTGGCGCGGGCACAGTTGTAACGGCTACATGTTATCTGTGATCGTCGTGCATTTAGTCCTGGAGCACGCACAATCAAAGTATCATCCAGATGTATACTACCTCGAAGAAGAGTACGTGCAACCAGACGGAATCGTCCTCGCCGGAGAGTACGAACGCGACGAGCGCGACGAAAGCGAGCACGCACGCGAGGATACCGCTATATGCCAATGCGAGAGCTATGATCTCCGTCTTGGACCGCGTGGTGTCTGGTTTCCATCCGCCGTCCTATGAGCCTCCGCCGCCGCCCTCTAAATCGGGCGCATTTGGGTTCGCCACGTTGGCGGCGGGAAGATCTGGCAGTGAATCGGTGTCAGCGTCGGTGTAGTAGGAAAGGACGGGTACGGCATAGCGCTCACACGTTCGGGAGGTTTCCATCGGAAGCTCAATGGGGTGGTAAGATCTGTCTGCTGCGGTGCAAAGTCAGGAGGCCCGGGACTTTATACTGCCAGCGCGCGGATGAGTGGCGTTTCCAGTCTTCGTTCGAGAGCAAGTACGGCTGTAAAGCAGTTGGCACGGTAAACAAACAGAGGAATGCGAGGAATAATAGCGTGAAGAAATTTTTTAAACATCTGAGCACTTACGAACATAACTACCGGTGCAGAGGAACAACAGCTCCTCCGCACCGACTAAGGACGGGCTAACGCGTCTAGATGTCTTCTTCCTGCCAGGAGACGTCAGGAAGACAGCAGCATACGCAACGTACCTTCAAGTCATGGATACGCGCACAACCTTTGGTTACAACAAAACGACAGGTTGGGTGGCCGATGAGCAATGTGTCCCACATCGCTCGCGATCAGCAGTCGCATGAGCTCGACTTCATTATTAGTATGCCTGTGAGCACGAGCTGGTCAGAAATCGACATGTAAGTTATGTGCGCTCGTTCACACGAATGAAACGCGAGCAAGCCACGTTGATAAATAAAAAAAATGCAGTCTAGGCCTACACATATTTACCATACGGACCTTAAGACCAGATGGCGCAACCCTCCGAGCCCAGTAACGGAACATTGTCCTTCCCATCTGCAATGCTTACGCCGCTGAACCAGCCTCAAGACGAGCATCTTCGAGGAGCGACATAAGCACCGCGGAAATCCTCTAGAGCTGGTAGTAATAATCAAAGTACTCGTTCGACATTCCGATGACGAACAGGAGGGCGACCAACATGAGCCACATCAGCGACACACATTGGCAGAGCCAGATGACCACCGAGGTGATCCGTCTGCGCCAGAGCATCGCCGGTGCAATGTTCTCGCCCTCCTTTGCAGATGCCACCCCCGCGGTGCGGCTCACGACAGGCACGCCGATGTCATACAGTGCGCATGGCTTCTCTGAAATGTCCGTCATTGTGGCCTCGTACTGCATGAGGGTGTCTAAATCCTCCTCGCTTAGCGGTGACTCAGACAAGAGGAAGGAATAAGGGAGAATGGGCGTGGACGCGTGGGGCGTCGGCATATCGAACGAGGTCACGGACTCAGACTCGGAGTTGGCAGATGAAGGTTCCGTTGAGAGTTCCGAAACTGCGGAGGGGACATCCGTCATGACCTTCTCGAGCGAGGGCTTGGCCGCAGGGGGCTCCAATAGAGAGAGATCGTCCGAAAGCATGGGCGACACGCATAGCGAGTCCGATGCGGTAACAGCGGATGTGGCTGAGAGGACTGGTAGGCCGTCACAAATGGTGAACACAGGGAGTGCAGGCGGAGTGGTGCTTACCTGTGGCGCTGGGGGTGTCCACTATCTCGAACGATTGGTCCATGACGACAGACGAACAGCAAGCCTAGTTCTGCAGGGGTCGGGGAAAGCTGTTTGCGACAAAGTTGGCGGAAGACACCAGACGAGCTTTATACTGCGAGCACGTTACTGAGTGGCGTGCCCAGCCTTTGTCCTGATACACAATGCAGATCGTTATGACAAAGCCACAATGGAAAGCAAGAACAAACAGTACCATCACGTAGCGTTGTAACCTATTTTCCCAATATCTCTCTTAGAGCAGTATACAAACCGATTTCCTTGGGGCCTGCATTCACCATTCAGAAGGCTCACATCGACGGAAGTAGAGAGACAATGCTCAACGAGCCATCCTGGGAGCCCTCTCAAGATTCGCAGTGTTTCAATTTTTTTCTTGCGCAGCATCTCTTGGTCCCCGTGAGTCTGCGCAGGTCTTTGTCCTTGTCGAAAAGACACAACACGAGAAGAGATTCAGTCGAAGACACGAAAAATAGTTAGAGTGGAGTCACATACGCGATGTGGATCGTGCGAAGATTTGACGATGACAGGCCCCGAACGGGTCAACGAGCTCAGATGGTCGCTTGAGTAAACCACGGTGGTCCTCGAAGATGACCTCACAATCCACAGTAAAAACATGAAATACATACTAATCCGTCCACAATACGATAAAGCGGCGACGGAAATTATGATGAGTTTGGGTTGCAGAGCGCCATATTGGGACATTTGTGGGCACAATGCCGCTGTCGACCGGATTTTAGATAAACCTAGGTGATATCCTCGACTTCGACGGCTTACATCCCGTCTCTGGATCCTTCATGCCTGTAGGAGCCATTTATGCGTACACTCACCTTGATTTCAGTCCATTGAACGCACACAACATCATGGATCGCACACAGATATGAGCAGCATGAGCATAACTACACCACAAGTCAGATACTAGTCGGAGCATAACAGTCTAGACAGCGTGCTAGCCTAGTCAGCCTTGCGATGGACTAGCGACTGCCAGTCCACCAGCATTTTGCACCAGTGCAGTACCCACGCCATCGGCTTTTCCAGAATCAAGACGCTCAGCGGCACCGCGGTAAGTAGGCTCATACCAAGCGCCGCAATTCTTCCCTGGCGAACCTTTCGGAACAAGTGGTCACGGTTCTCATGCAACGAACCAGCGAGCGTCTCTGTAAGCAATACCAGCACACCCACGAACATCATGCAGCACAGAGACATGATGAACCAGATCTCCAATGGCCGAAACTGGACGTCTTCGTCTGAGGTTGCATCCTTCACAGTGTCCTGTACCACGGCCTCAGTTGCGTCGGCCTGTATTCCAACCGCACGCGCCCGCGCCATCCCTGTGACACGCGCCACCATCCGATCCAGCGCACCTGGAGCATAAGTAGCTGCCACGCCCGGACTCACCATCTCCGTAACATCGGCCGCCCATCCTTCGTCGGCCACGGGCCCCCGAAGGCCTGCGGCATCAAGCACCGATTCGCCAAGTGTATGCTCGAACCAGAGCGAAATTGCACACCACAAAAGGAGTAATGCGTCAAACGCGACGGGTAGGTGCCTGCGGATGGACGTGGAGGGCGCGGGTGGCGTAGACGGTGTAAGCTGTATGGATGAGTAACTACGGAGGGGTGGGATAGTAATTGTGAGCGAAGGCCGCGCTTTACGCCTGCCGGCCGGAAGAACTAACAATGAGGACACATCAGAGGTAGTCGTCGGATAGATGTGTGCAGTGGCGCTTACCGTGGCCTTTGTGCGAGAGGCTGGACATCTGGAGTTCGAAGGATTCGTCTATGACAGCGGGTTATTTTAGAGGAGCCGCGTTAGAGAAGCGCGCTGCGACGGGCTTGAAAGGATTGGAGGGTCCCTTTATACTGTGGACGAAGCGGCCAGTGGCGTGGTTCGAGCATGCGCTATCGGCGAGGCCACAAAGAAATTTCCATAGCGAGGAGATCAAGCAAACACAATCGAAGTTCAAAGCGTCCGCCTCTTGGTGCGATTCGTTTGAACACCACCGAATATGACCGAGCGCCTTTGCACTTGCTCATAGTCTCTCCAAGTAGATCTCCCTGAGGCGGCTAGAATGCACTTTCATCCTTGAAAATATCCACACGACATTATGCAAACGTGAGATAATATTGACGTTCGAGCACTGCGAAAGTTCAGACATACTTTTTGATACACTATCTGGAGCTCGAAATGCTCGTCGTGCATGAAGTTTTTTTTTGCATGACTGACCCGTTGCCATACGTTACAACTCATTACCGAGAGAAGTACACGTACAAGCAGAACTGGTTCAAATAGACAAGAGCCTGCGCGTAGCCGTGTCGCTCGTCGGCGGCCCATTGCTGCTGGCAGTGGCTGTCACATGCTGTGACTTTAGATCTTAGACTTTCGCCTACTGAACTGCCATGGAAAGAGTGAGTCCGAGTCATTTCCTCCTGTTTACTATCATTCTCACGTTCAGTGAATTGCTTTCGCCAGAGTGAAACTCACGGTGTTATAACGGCTCCTTCGAGTGATATACTGCGGTCTACGGTATCTCTTGCACCCAGATAACAACTGCTTTGGCGAGAGGTCGTATGCATTACTTATATGAGCGTGACCCACAGACGAATCTCATTCGCTAGTCGGCTTCTGGAGTTTGGTTTTACCTGTATTGTGTTTTAGGCATATTTAGAAGACTCTATCAAGTTTCGAGGCTCCGAGCGCGGTACGCCACATTTCGCTGTCGCATTGTCAAAGATCCATATTCCACTTGAACAGACGCATGAAAAATGGCACATAATGACTCAGGATACAGAATCTGATTGTCTTCACTAACACCATACAGCAAAACGCAAGATACTATGTTCAATGATCCCCCTGTCGATATCTTGATCATGATATTCGAGGTTGTGTACTCGATGTCGTGCAAACACATCGGTACGACGGCTCATGACGATTTCTTCTGAGAAGATGACGATGTATACTCTCCGACAAAGCTCCCAGATACTCTTGCTGCTGTTTATCACTTATGGAAGGACACGCTCTCTCAAATATCCGCATTCTGGACTCGTCTAGTTATCTTTGTTGGCCATGACTCTACCTCACTGTCGGTAGTAGTCCGGTCGTATCTCAGTCTCTTCACGGATTGACCGCTGGAGATCACCATCACTCGCCGCCCCACAAGCTTGCTCTCCGATCCGTTGGAATATGGGCGGGTAGATGCAGCCATGTGTATGCTCCGTCCTCACATGTCGCGCTGGAGTCTTCGCATTGACGTCCTGCACTTCGGCTCTATCCCTCTCCCCCACATAGCTCTACACGGTGATGCGTGCCGCCTGGTGTATCTCAGTCTGCACAGCAAGTTGCACGATGCACCCCCAGAGGCATACTTCTATCCTGTAGTTGTCTAAAGATGGAGTGAACTTGAATACGAGCGTTCTCGACTTCGACAACATGGAACGGAAAGGTGGCGGCTGGCAGGCTACCATTAGTCAAACTCGTTTTGACCAACGCCTCCGCACACGAAGGCCGATTGAAATGGACATGGATGGGCTGGTATTCCGTGCAGCATATCTCTCCGCGTCGATCACCCTGACATTAATTACGACACTGACCATCTCGAACTTCGCGCCAGTCTTTCGCGATCATTTCAAAGCAGTTGCCTTTGTCAAATTTTGGCATCCCCTTACGCATCTGCGGGAGCTCACCCTGGTTAATGTCAAGCTTGAATGCTTTTTTCTTGATCCACCGGTTGCCAGGTGCCGCTTGGAAAAATGCACGTTCGAGGGCGTCACCGCGGAGACCCTACGCACCCTTCTCGTAGTGCTCAACAATGCAAATCAAGCGGTACGGCATCCGGCGCTGAGTAGGACAATTGCATCTACTTTCGCTCACCGTAGAAGACATCGACCAGGCAGGCGACCTCATGTCGTTGTTTCCTACCTGGCCACCGACGGTGCTTACTGTGATGAACTACCGGGGATTTAGTAGAGGTGCTCATAGCGCTAAGCACACTCACGGATGCAGGCGAGTGGATGAGCCCGAATTTGAGTATGCTTATGTTTTCAGGCTACCACGAGTTCTCCGGTGCGGAGCTACGACAGATGGTCGGGAGATATCGCGCATAAAGTTGCGGATGAGGGTGCAGGCCTGAATGGACCCGTAGTGCCCTCCATTGTATCACTGTGTACGATGGACGGCGGAGAGCTCGACCCGTGGGTCGCACTGTTCTTTGACATGAACGTGTTCTACGTCAACTGGGATGGTTTGAGATTCGGATATGCTGTTCGCAGTGCCCTGGTCGAGAATCAGTAATAAGTCTGTGAGAGGCTCTCCGTAGATCGTTGTGAACCTAGCTATATTTATGTACGTATGTACATATTTCTCTTATCGTTGAAGACCAAAATTGACCAAGATGGGAAACAGAAGACAGAGCGTTCAGATTCAAGTTGTTCACGAGTTGAGCACCCGATAAAAACTTCATCCGCCGGTGTCATTACCGCTCAGCAAGTACTACTTGTCGCCACTATTCCTGCAGCTGGGCTACTGGTACACCATCCATTTTGTATATGAGCTCCATACTTAGATTTCATTCGCACCGGTCTGACTCTGGCAAGGTGCTCTACGGCTTGTGCCCGGATACTGAACCTGACTGTCCGATGCTGCTCAGGCATGGAATCGATCACTTCGATCGCCGTGGTGCCCACACACGCCCACAGCCTAAAGCGCCCCTTCAGGATACTTAGTACAAACGGGAATCTTCGAGACATCTTTGTAAGATACCTATTGTACGGCGGTACTCGAAGTGGCCTTTCTGTCCTGGGAACACAAATTTCTACACAGGCGTATTTTTTTAACGGTACTGCAGTATAAAATCGAACTCCATGAGTTTGTTATACACCATTCCACATAAAACTTTAAGGGGCTAAACTACCCATCACCGTCTCGAATTCACGATAACCTTGGACTTCGTTCACCGTGGAAATATCCCTTCCAATTATCGATCTCTGGTGCCACAGTGCGTGTATACACTAAATGTGTAAGACCCTTTCTTCTCGTTGACCACACTGGGTTTCCAGATTTACATTCAAGTTATGCCGGCAGACTCGTACATTGCGTTACTGGTGGATAGCATCGACGGAGAGGGGAGATGGAACACGCAGCGAACATTAAGTCACTGGCCGCTCTTCTGGTGGCATTCGTACTATGACTGCGGGAGTCTGTTCGGAGGCGCGTACTTGCTCGCGAGGATGCTATCTCATCGCGGTCTAATAGCCTCAGTCAGAAGCTGTGACGGGTTAGGGGGGCCACTCATGACTGCAAGGTTTCTCCACTACTCTTTCCTTGAAACAATGTCAGCCTCTTGTCTGTGAGATACCCTGTATATACTACTATTCAGCGGAAAGAATAGCACCAGTGACAGATACCGCAGTTCGAAAGTATATTATTCGTCGACTCTAGTGATGAGGCCAACACTGTGGAGCTTCAGGATCACATTCACCAGTGAGAAATTTGAAAGTGAGTATAGACACCGGACAATGTCGAGTAGATCGGGGAGAAGGTGAGTATGAAGGATGTCATCCGCTCACCGCACCGCTTCGGAAAAGATTCACGACGAGAAGATCAACCACCATCATCGTGATCCATATCATCGTGATAGAACCCTCATAGGCGCATCCATTTTTTGTAGTCGGGCTGACGTGTAACGGTTAGATTCTGAGTCGAGTACTCCTAGCTGTCTCCGTATGTCAGTGCGCTCAGAACCGCTACGCGTTACGATGCGGTACATACACTGAACACAATCTTGTCATGCATTACTACCCACCCATGCCACCACCTTCTTGAGAATCTCCGCCAAATCTTCCGAACACAACTCGTCTACTGGCGGACAGTGCAAAAACAGAACCTTCGAGGGCTTATCGCACGTCGATGCCGATCTCTGGGACTCAGCCAGCGAGCAGTAATACGTGAAGTCACAGAGATAGTGACCAGCGTCCGTCGATGCCACGATTCTCTGTTCAATTCGAAGTAAAGTCTACACTCGAAGAAGGCCACTAACGCACCCACCTCAACACCCAAGCTTTTCACATTGTTGATCAACGTCTCCACATCGATCAGAGTGTGGATCTCTTCAGGGAATGCTTCGTACCCTTTCCCGAACCCACGGATGCGCGTTGGACCTGCCCCACCGATTTCTCCTGGTCTCTCCCGCTCCGCCCTCGCCGCATCCGAATCGGCAGGCACCTCCTTCGGTGCCGATGCGGCTACGACAGGAGCCTGCTTGCCCTCAGCATCCGGCAAATCGTAGCCATACTTATGGCCGAGTTTCTCGACACGGATGGAGCCGCGACTGGCCACGCCAACGTGGAAGACGAGATCGTAGCCATCCTTCGGCGGCGACGCGGGTGGAAACTCGGGATGCGTGGAAGGAGGTAACACCGGGGGCCGGGCGTGCAGACCGGGTAAGATGCTCAGGACAGAGGTGTACACGGTGGGAATCTCGAGCACCGTAATATGCATCTGGCGTGAGGAGTCGGTACCGAGGACGCAGTTATGCAGCTTCTGCACGGCGAGCCACGATGGATTCTCCTCGTATGTCCCAAACGGCTGCCAGACGATGCCGCAATGTCAGATAATCGCGCACGAGCCCGGACCGACGTACCCCAAATCCAGTGATCAGAACTCGGTAAGCACCTTCTGGCGCAGCGATATATACGGCTGGCATGGACGTCGGTGGTTAGAACACTCAATACGAAGGCTCCACACTCACTTTCGTATGGCAGATAAGCAGGCTTCTATCTCATCAGCCGTCTGTACTTCGGTACCTGATATTCGCATTGATACCCAAATGCATCGCGACGCCGCTCGGTCCGATATGTCAGAGTTGATAAGTTAACATCTGCATTTTAACGCTGAAGCCCAGCGTTCAAGGCAGCAGCATCTGAACGACATCAGTGGCTCGCATCCACAAACATAGCATTGTTTTCCACCTATTATATGGATGTTCGTTAAGTTGCGAAACGTTCACGGGTCGAGGTATGGTCATATGGATCCGAATGTTGGCCACCAGACGGCGCCGAAGCATCAATTTATCAACAGCCCACGATCTCTGTCCTGGATGCGTTGTATCCTACATTACAGTAGTGTATTGCGCACGGGTACATAGCTGTGATCTAGGTGCAACAACCCGGCGTTCCTGAATGGGACCAATGCCGGTAATATACCTACCTACCATGAGCCAACAAAAAGCCTGAGCACGCAAGGTTTTCCTTACACTGGAACATCAACGCGAGCATTTCTTATATTTGGCTCTTGCACTAAAATGGCCAAAACTAGGGACACTCTTGTCATATATTATAGAGGGTTTGATTTTGCAAAACCAAACCCTTTACAATTTCATGACAAGAGTGGGACTTGAACCCACGCCAGGTTTCCCTGATGAGAAGACTTTAAACCCTTACAGGGTCAAGCATTCGCTTGAGTCACACGCCTTAACCGCTCGGCCATCTTGCCAACATTGAGCTTTGGTCTAATGACTCTCAGAATGAAGTAATGACGCTAGAGCACGCAGATCACATACGGTAGTCTTACATTGTCTCCCCGCGATTCGTAAGTATACACCGCACCAGTTCCAAATCATATCCAACTCGATCCTACACCGAGGCACTTGCCTCTAACTCAACGCTTTTCGTCACCGACGTAACCTAGAGCGGCGTCGGGCTCTTGTACCATACGTCCATACGCACAAAGTTGTTGTAGATCTCGCCCGACGCCAGTAGCGTGTCGCTGCCTGACGATCCCTGCGTCTCGGGGTGCAGCCACGCCGCGAGCGGCTCGTGGAACTCGAGGAATGCTGCAGCTGGAAGGAATAGATCAACATCATCAGCATCGCGAGGCGAACAACGTTAAGGAATAGAATGCACATCCAGCATCGTATCCGTCGCCTTTACTGCCCGACCCGCCGTGGATCTTCTTCCGTGCGGTCTTCGAAGGGTCGCTACCGTTGTTCGTGTAGAACTGTACGCCGGACTCTACGCGCGCGCAATCTATTCAGCACATAATCCCGATATGATTCGCGGTGAACGTACGGTTGGTGTCGAACGCAAGACGCAGGCCGCTGCGATCGCTCTCGAGCTCAACCACGGAATCACGCCCGGGCGCGCTGGCGTCGATCGCCGCCTTGACGAGATCGACCGATGACTTCAACTCGCTCTCAGCCACGCGTGTCGGCGCGGGCGTCAGGCGAGGTGCGAAGACGTAGAATTCGTCTGCCGTCACGCGTAGGACGTGGAGGCGCGGAGAATGAGCAGACGGTCAATAAGTACAGCTGGTACAGTACAACTGTGGCGCACCGTATCCGCGCTCGGGCCAGTTCTCGCCGATCTTACCCGTGGACTTGTCCGAGTGTGCGTGCTGCGTGCCCTTGACAGGAGAGAGGACACCGGTAGAGAGGAAGTTGTTCTGGAGTGCGACAGTGTTGTTGGCCTGAACAAAAGTGGTCAGCACTGCCGCAAGGGCGAAGGCGCAACGTGTACAATAATTATATGGCACAGAAAATAACAGAAGAGATCGCCGAGCGAGATGTGATAGAAGCGAGCAGATCATGACGTAAGGTGGAGACAGTACTGAAGAGCGGAAAATAGCGTAGCAGACCGAACACCTCGAGCAAAAAAAAGATTCCCGAAGATTTATGAAGCAGCAGATAGACATGGCGACGCGAAGATAGAAGAATAACATGCCTTGATAACGAGCTTGTGGTCCTTCACACTGAGCCCTTCCTGGAGCGATGCGTCGAGGTTGAAGCCCCAGTGCTGTTGACACGATCGAGCCGATCACCGACAGTCAGACGCAATCGCACGCATCATCAGCAGGGATCACGAAGACGCACCTGTGTGAGATTGATGGGCGTGACCGTATTTGCATCCAACAGCTTCGCGCGGTAGTTCAGCAAGACGCTCCCGAGGTTGTACTCAGTGTCCTCCTTGGTGGGCGGGCTCTGTGGCTGCAAGAGACCGACGAGGACCTCGACGAGGAGCTTACCGGGATAGCCTTCCTCACCATCGGGAGAAACACGCGTGAATATGCACGATGCCGGGATCTCAGACTGGATAGTTTGGATTTCGGCCTGAGTGAACAACTTGGCAGAATACGGGTCTATGAGAGGTTCCCAGGGCACGAGATCGTAGCCAGTGATGCCGCCGTGAAGGGAGACGTCGGGACTCTCGTTGTGTTTCGCGTTGAGTGTTGCCGTGAAGCCATTGCGGGAGAACGTATGTGTGCCTGAGGGAACTCGGTTGGCATAACGACCGATGATGGTGTTGGTATACTTCTGTGTGAGGTGCTCCGCAGGTGCTTCAGGGCCAATGAGGATGTCATGCGTCTACGCAGCTGTTAGCGATGTCCAAAACATGACATCGCCTTAACATACCTTTCCATCCGCTTGCACGTAAAGCCTATGGAGCGTCACGCCATACGGAAGGACCTGAAGGATGAGGTAAGGTGAAGCGACATTCGTGGAGCGTAGGAGGTACCTCGAGTGCAAGACTCGGAGTGAGAGAGGGGAGAGCGAGGAGGATGGGGTTGAATCCTGGATCGGACGCTAATGAAGGGTTAGCCATCGTGAAGAATAGTGAACAGAGAAGACAGTCGAGGGGGAACAGGAGAAGAAGAGGAGAGAAGACCAAGACGGACCGATGGGCACAGCAGATGACTGTGGTGGTCGAGGTTTGCTGCTTATCTTATCTATTCCGAGCCTCTCCCGCGTTCGGATTACGTCGCTCGCTCCGACGATCCTCTGCCCTCGATCCTACCGGTATGTACTAGTACTACACAATACACATCTGACCTGCTCTGTTTTGAATACTTCAACTAGTACTGTACCGCTTGCTTCCAGTCTCTCAAGGTCTTGGCCCCATGATAATTATTCCGCCATCTTGCGTGCGCATGCTGAAGGTCTGCCCTCTCAAACACGCCATCCTATTCAACCTCCTCTACCTCGACCTTGGATTCGTGTCGATAGCTTAGCCTACACCTCTGCACACCGCCTTGGGCCGTACGAGCACCCTCTCGAACTTACCCCCTACCACTACTCGTCAGGCTTCATGTTTTCCCGGACTAGAGCTGTCCACCTCTATCGGAAATAAAACTTTAGAGACGGCGTGTGATTTCTGTACGCGGTGACTAAGACGGTTTTCTGTAGATCCTGAAATGCGGCGGCTGTGTTTTCGGAGGAGTCTTTGCTATAGCGATGGCGTTCGGTGAGCCAAAAATGGGATCTATACTCGGTAGTAGGTGCCTGGTTGGTGGATCGTCCGAAACCCGAAGACAGCAGTACGGAGCCCCCAACAGGCCTCTCAGCTATGTGAAACATACGAATACCTTGAACACTGGACGCTTGCGCAAACCAGCATCGATCGCATGGCGTACTTTTGTACGGAATTGAGGCCGTACATTCCATGCGGTTCAGAAGCTGTATTCGTAGGTCGGCGGTGCACACTCCTTGTCAAAGCTCACTAACACAAGTCCTACTGGCAATTTTTCCAATGCGCAAAATTCAAGAAGACATTCGGCTGACACGATCTTTATCCGCAAGACTGACAGCGTGTACGTCGTTCGTGCCGGCGGTTCGATGAAATTTCACCGATCTGCAAAGTTTCCTCTGCATCTCTGGGTCGAGTTGGGCGGTCTATATCCAGCAGTGACTCGACTATCTATATGGCACTTGACCGCTCACCTGCTAGACATGACAGATACGCTATTTAACAAGACAGTCAGTGCTGTTTAGGGTCTGTCTGCTGATCGCGACTCTGATATCTGTCCTCGAGTTCGGGCGCAGCCTCTCGTTTTTCTCGCATCTTGCGAAGGGTATCCATATAAACCACATGCATGAATGCTATTCGAACTCCTCGTTTGGCCGAGCGCGAACATGTCGATTGGCCATACCACGCCTACCGTACACCTCATCGTCGAACTTCGCGCGATTCGGGCGCATGGATCTGTCTTTGTGGTACCCTCGTTATTCTCTGACGGTCGTATGGTATAGATGTGGCGGTGGTGGTGTGCGTCGAGAGGCGCCAGCGATCGGAGGCGCGTGCATGGAGATGGTACCGGCATCCATCACAAATTGTCGTACTGATACCGATGCCGTGACATCAATGCAGAAGGGGCTCACCGCCCCAAGTGCGATGCCCCGCATTTATATGAACTGCGCGTCGCAGTGCGACGATGTTCCGGCGCTTTGTTGTTGGGGTTCAAGATCTAGGTCGCGCCGTCCAGCATCTTGTTTGTTATTAACTCACGGATTGTCATTGTTGCAGAGCTGCATGGACTTCGATTTAGCAGTACATGCTCTTGCACCAAACGGAGGTTCTCAGCGAGCAGCACCGTCCGAATCACGCAAGATAAGCCAAAGCTGATTTATTTTTTCGTCCTCTCGCTTTTATGTACCGTGGTGCAACACAGTATCAGGCCCCGTACAAACCAACGTCTCCTGAAGATTCAAATGTACGTCGAGAGCCGTCTGCTAGACCCCATGAGTCTACTGCAGACATCAGAGTAAGGCCCGCAGCGCTAGTTTTTCTGCTTAATTGCAACCCCTTCATGAATACTGAAGGTCAAGTTCATCGCCTTCTGTCCATTGCATCACTCTCGGACCACGGAATCTGTGGGGGACGAATCGACATCCGTACACACATCCTTCCTCATCAATGTTCATTGAGTGTATGCTCCATTAGATGAACCGTACTATATCAACTTCAGAAACATAGCTCGATGACGAAGCACGGCTATACTTCCGACCGCGCCTGCGACGTGAGCGGCGTCATGGAATTGCGGTGGTAATCGTCGAACTCATCATCACCCTCGGCCTCGCCCACGAGATCGAGGTCGTCTGGATTGACCGCGAAGTAGAGGTCCCGGCTCATGTCAACTTGACTGAGCGCGGACGGGGTAAGGTGCTCCCTGTTCGCTGCACGGACGTTCAGAAATAGTCGTGGGCCCTGCGCGGCACATAAAATTAGAGTGTGATGGCAGGGGAGGCTAGAAAACAGGCTTACTATGGTGCCTAAGAGCGCTAATAGCCATCTGTACAGACATCAATCTCACCGACACAACTACAACGGCGTGCACATACGGGAAACCCATTGCTGCAAGCGTCCGAGGTCCCAGCGTGAATAAAACCATGTTGGCAATCATGGCAACTAATTTATCGGATCAGAATTATGCACAGCAAACGGGTGGAGGAAACAGCTACTTGCCGAAGAGGATGCCGAAAGCTCCGGCACTGTCTCGCATGAGGACTGTCAATAAGCTCCTGTTCCCCCACCCGCCGCGTTTGGTGTCGCGGAACTTGAGCATTGCAAGAGTGAATAGGAACCCTTCGCATGCGATCGAGGCGATGCTGAAAGAGCAGAAAACGCTTAGACGACTCATCCTCAAACTGAACGGCTCGTAGACGCACGTGTAGACGATCATGTAGCTCGGGAGCACGGCTTCGACACACTGGGGGCTGATCATGATTTTCGGTATGCTGATCCCGAGGCTGGTCGCCATGATGATGATGCAGAGCACAAACACAGCTATCATACTGTTTAGCACCTTTTTGTTACCCGTGTACATAGCGTATACTGTGACGGAAATTGGCGTCAGGCATACAAACGAATGCGTGCGGAAGAAACACACGGCGGAGAATCAGAATGAGGTCGACAACAATTTCCAGCGCAAGCGCCGAGAAACCCTCGAAGACAAGCCACTCAAGACATGTCATATGATGTCTATTGACAATGCTGGAGTAATGATTATTGTAAACCTAAGCAGAGAGCGACAGCGCAAAAAGACGTACCATAGGGCTATCAGTGAGTAGTACCGCGTGACGAAGTACAGCAACTTCGTCCATGACCAGGGTGTCCTGACCGTCGATACTCAACATCAGGGATCGAATCAGTGCTACACAACGTACAACCACATGTACGTGACCTGGAAAACTGTTCTTGAGAAGATCGTGCATAGAGACGGTTCACGAGCAATGTACCTCAGCATCGGTCGTGATACAGATATCCCATGCAAGGAAGCATAGTGCCGCGACTATGAGGCGGGTCATCAGGATGTGTACTAATTTTAAAAAAAGGGCAATACACTTACCTGAGCTGAAACCAGCTTGTTGCGACTGCGCCAACCGAGCGAAAGCAGCTTTGTCGACGGAGGTCAGTGACATAGATGTGTTCCAGCGAAAGGAACTCCGAACGATCGACCACTAGCTTGTAAAAATGGGAGAGGGGGGAAGAGGGGACGCAAGAGTGTGGGTGTCCCTTGAAACACTAACATAATGAGAGCGGTCCGACTCGAAAAGGCGAGTGGTTCCAAGGCCACCAACGCTGTGTTGGCGGGATCGGAGCCGGCCCAGTGGCACTCCTTGCACAGCACGCATCTCTGTTTCTCCGAATGGCTATATCCGAACACAAGTTACACAACCGCATGCCGCATGCTTCGAGGTTGTATAAGCTCGTCCCATCTTCCCCAGCAAAGATAACTTGAAGCCCCTTTTCTGATTACTCCAGAATTGTTAGGCACACGACATGACAGCATCCTCGGAGCTCGTCGAAAGTCCGTATTCAATGATCTTCTGTCCTTAACCTGTCCCTCGACCGGTACCATTCTCGTGATTTGTGAAAAACAGCGCGCGCGTTGGGAGCATCGTCAGGCGTAGCTTTGCAACTGGTTCCTTTGAAAAGATAATCAGTACTTCGGGAACAAAGTTACGTGGCGCTTACTTCTGATTCTACGTGACTCGGCATGCCAGGTCTCTTCAGGGCGATGTGAAAGCAAGCCGTCAGATGCATTATGTACACTCCCGTGTACTACAAGTCCATCAAGTTATTTGACAGTAACTGTCTCCGCCTCCTTCGTGACGATCTGATGCCCTCTTGCAAGTGCCGCTTGATTCCGTGCAGCGTGGTTGCGGCGCCGATCCAAGCCTTTTTGAATCTTCGTTTACAATACCTCGCTGGAGTCGCCACTAACAGCCTGGACGGTCATCGGCCTCACCTGTGTTTTGCATTTGCATTTTGGCAGTCGTTCCTTTCTGCCCGGACGCCTGCAAGACGCCTGTGCTTGATATCACCTGTACCCGCACGGCTCTACGAGCTTATCCCATTTACTATGTGGACGTGACGGTGTGTCCTCTTGCCAAGGTCGATCTCACCTGTGTTTTGCATTTGCATCTCTGCGGTCGTTCCTTTCTACCCGGGCACCTGCGACCTTAGTTACTGTGAGGAAGTCTGAACTTCCGGCGCTCTCTCTTGCCGAGGTCTTCTCTGCCACGGTGGCGCAGCTGGTCTCAAATGAACTACTGCATTTCCCGCAATTACAAGCGACGTGCGACCGGATACTCGACTTATCGAAGCATGAATGGCCGCTCTCTGCCATTCAGGTGGTCGCTCAGAATGACAAACATCGCATGTTGCTTGCAGCCACCGCTGAACTTCAGTATCGTAAGCTGCGAATACCATCCCTCCATCTATCGTGACCGCTCACGTTGCACGACGACTGCCGTACGAGTCGAGGTGTTAGCCTGCAGCTTGGGCTGTGTCGGTCTCCTGCGACCAAGTGGATGTGGTCGCATCTACCAGATTGCAGAAGAAAGACAACGGACGTTGCTTACGGTCCAACGTATGCTGTTCCGCGTCTCCTTCGCGAAGGCGCTGATCTCCACGTCGACGAACGTTCAATCTTTGCATGCGTGATGGACCTACAAGAAATACGATGTGCAACCATGGGGTCGCAATGATTCGCGGTCATGTTGTCTCCGACGTGCACGGGTGGCGAGAGGATGACACAAACAGTCTATGGAAAACAGCCCACAACGTCCTGTGCAAGCCGCGCAACCTGAGCTGGAACAAGGCAATAATTTATGGTGCCACTATGACATGTACGGGTATCAATTATACATTGCGCTAACCGTAAAACCGCAATAAATAGACAACAGGGATGGACCACCAGCACAGCCGTGGAGAGACATACATACGAGCGATATCGCTATGCCGTCTCGTTCTCGTCCACGAAAATGTCGACATAGTGCTCTAGGATCGTCTCGACGGCCTGCATCGACCTACGTTAGCGGAGAGGGTCAGCAATAGTCGACGAAGGTAGGCACCTTGTTCTGGATTGGCGCGTCTGCCATGGCGGGCCCACTGTCCATTTGGCCGTTCGTGCCAGTCTGGCTCTGCCCGAATAGTGTCGGACCGAATACAATGGCAAGATTTTGTATCGACATGGCATTCTCGGACTCGTGCTGGGCCACTCTAGCAGAATCTATCAGAATCGTGCGCCCAGACATTCAAAGTGCACGCACTTATGAAGATGGCCCATAAAATACTTTAGTGTGGCGTAGTTCGGATCGGGCAGATCGTTAACGCGCTCATGCAACCGGATGTGTCGTAGTCGCTCGTTCTCGTTCCCTGCAGACGCGTCAACAGACGGGCCACACAAACCGGCGCAGCAACTTACTCGCAGCATCTAGGAAGCTCTTATAGAGACTGTAAGTGAGAAGGGGCTCCGGTAGCTCTCGCAGCCACATCTTGAGCACACTCGTTACGTTGCTGATGTCAGAACTCCACTCTTCAGCATCGAGATCCACCGAATCGAGGTCTGCGATGATATGTTCAGATCACACCACGGGCGTGCAAAATGTACGTACCTCGGTCCAGCCGCTCCTTCAACTTCGCGATCTTGCTCACTGACCCACCTATCCTGTATATACCCTGTGACTGCAGTCCATATTTCTCGATGGCCTGACAGCACTTGACCATGATGGGGGGCAAGTCCTCGCCGTCGCGCGCCATTTGTTCTGCGAGATCAACGCCAAACGTCGGCCGCCCTCTGTCCGCGACGTGCACGCTGGTGTTAGCCTGGGCGGTAGGGGGGTGAGAGCTCAGGGCCGGAATAGGTGGAAGCTGGAAAAATAGCATCAACACAAGTGGCCCGTTGGGTATCATGTAACCACCTACGTATCCTTCTTCTCGGGGCCCGTCTCGGCGAGGTCCACGGTTGTTAGCGCCACCATGAGCGAACGCATAGTTCTGCATGTAAGTCTTGAAGTCCGAACGATTATCGATGGACTCAATGATCGACTTAAGACCCGAGGACGCTGTCGTTACTCGTCAGCAGCGGCAAATATCAGATAGCCAAAGAGTCTCGTACTGTCGTCGGGCGGCGCGAGCGTCGTCCCGTCACTCAAGACGATGTTCTCGTATAGGAACGCGTACCGAGAGAGATGGTACTGCGTTCCTAAGTCGATCTCGTCCACGCACTCTTTGAGAGCCTTCCCAGAAAGTGAACTCAGGATTATTGACTACTACTTCAACAAGACAACTTACGCGCAAGATTCGAGGCAACTGGAAATTGAAGTACTCTTGCCGGATCGTTTGAGTCTCAGTGACCATCTTGCGGTACGTATCTGACGTATTGGACATGCGTGCTCGGACGTCATCTTCTTGCTTTTGAATCTGCACGTAGGTGTATATTGAATGTGAATCGATCTCGTCGACAATAGGACACGTACATTGCCCGGGTTGCGTCCCTTCAGAAGAAGACCTCCCTTCGCAACGGCCTTCCCTATCGCCCGCTTTCCTCCTGCACCCCCGCGTGAACGACCCTGCACGGCCTCCCGGTCAGATTCTCCCTCCTTCTGCAACAACAAACGCTCCAGCTCTTCCGCGGTAACGTCAAATTTGTTCTTAATCTTCTCCGTCGCTATTTCCGAGTCTTGGAGAGTGCGTTCGTATCGGTTGGCGAGCTCTTTGGTCTGGGAGCCGCGAAGCGCGTTATAGCGCACCCACACACAAAAGATAGTGAACGACGCACCTGTTTCCGGTTCTTATCTACCTCCTTAGCGAGAGTAGCAAGCTCTTCGCTCATCTCGTTCAGGCGCTGCGCAAAACGAAGGCGGTTCTCTGCCAAGACCTCATGGTTCTTCATCGTCTGATGCCAGGCGCTAACGAAGGACCTACGGCACGATGTGAGACGAGAAAAAGAAATGGAAGGCATACAGGATTCACCCAGCCTTCCCGTCATTCGCCGCATATGCCTCAGATGTGCTCTTCGCGAGCTTTTGCATATTTCTCCCGTATTCCTCTTCCAGCAGCGCGCGTTTCTTGAAGAAAACGGATGCTTCCTAGACGTGCGACCAGCGAGCTCGTTACAGACAACCACCGAAGAGATAAGAGCATGCATATAATGACAAATACATACCCTGCACGAAACCATGCTCTGCTTTATCCGGTCAAGTAACAGTGGAACACCGCACTGTCGTTCAACGACGTTAAATTCGTCCGAACTGACATTTATGAAACGAATGAGACAGAGACTAACATCAAGTTCACAAAGAGCTCGTAGCACGTTCTCGTCGAAGCTGGCTTCTACCAGAGTGGCACTGTCCGCGGTTGCATTGTCGAGATATTCCACAGTCGCCGGAAGCGCGCCTTCACGCCATCTGGACTCGGATTGTCTGCGCGGTGATTCTACGCTCGAGCGAGGGGGTGAGGTAGATTTTGTGGGCGTAGGCGGTACGAAGTTAAGAGAGTCTGCAGAGACGCCGAGCGGCTGTATCTGTGCGAGTGGGGAGCGGCTGTAGACGTTGTGGGTGTGAGTGTGGTGAGATTCGGAGCCGTCGGCATTCTCCCACGAGGAGGACGGGTATCCTTCGTCGCTCATCGTCCGTAACGACGACGAGGGCGGGGGCGGGGGCTAGAGATAGAAAAGCTCGTGGTCGGGGAGCAGCCTCTGCGGCAACCACTTGGATACTCGCGTAGATCACCTGCGTTACGTAAGCCATTCGACGAGATCTGTCCCAGTCGGAGAGATCTCTTCTCCACATGTTTTCCGCCACCGCGTTATGTTTTTCTATCTGAGTTTCCTCCGACCACCCCCTTTGCAGACTTCTCCCTCGGGTTCCATATCTATTACTCCTCAGATTGCTAATGACCTGCGCACCGAGCTCTTCGCCGGCGAGCAAGACATTTACTACGCCTGGTCCGCCGACACTCCGCCAAACGGCAGAGCGAGCACGTTTCCCTGCATCAGCAAGCCGCAGAAACTCACGACATGGCGGAAGAGCAGCGCATACAAGGAGCTCGCGGTCCCACTTCCACCAGGCATTCGGGAAGGCCAGTCTTTCCGGCTCGTTCTCACCGCGCACTCTTCAGGAAACCCGCACGTCGTGAATCTCGCAGGTGCGACGCTCGGCGAGCGGCCTTTCCCTGTGCTGTCTATGCCCATCCTGTTCTCTTCGCGTTTGTCCGCAAAGGCTGGATCCTCGACCATGGGAAAGCAAGAACAGGTGGAGCGCGTGTACAGGATCGCGGCGGGATCCGGAGACCAGCTCTTTTTGCATGTGAAAGAGCAGACGTCGTTCGATCTCGACAAGGTGAGCGATTAGTGTCGCGTTCTCACCGTGACAGTTTAATTTTCTTGAAGATCTCTAGAAAGTATGGGACAGCGGGATCGGGCTGAGCTCTTGGATCGCCAGTCTAGCACAGGCGCGACCTTCTGACTCCGCTCCCCTTGTCGACAACCTGCTGGATATATTGATGTCGCGTGAACCACGGAATATCGTCGAACTAGGTAAGTGAGCAGAGAAATCTTGCACCGCTTGTCTCTGATCCTTGCAGGTGCTGGTACTGGCATCGTCTCGCTGACGGTGGGAGCTCTGCGTGCGGCTATTCCGTCCTCCAGCAATGGAGGATGCATACTAACCACTGACCTCCGTGAGTGACTTCTCATTCTGTCCGTAAACGTGGTCTGAAATTTGTTGGCATTGTCGCAAGCTTCAGCGATGCCTCTCCTAGTACATAACATTGCAGAAAACGAGGCGCTATTTCGATCGACTTCAACCCGTCCGCGCGCACTCGTCCTCGACTGGGACGACGAACAACTCCCGAACGAAGTGTCGGCCGTCGTGAGCGACTTGGACCTCATTCTGTACGCTTACGGTGTCTTCACTAGATCATAAATTGACTGTTGTGGTGCCCAGAATGGCCGACGTCACCTACAACACCTCATCCTTCCCCTCCCTCGTCCGCACTCTCTCCGCCCTCACAGGTGCGCACCGCGAGCAAGCCGGGGACGAGACCGGGATCGCGACGCGACTAAAGTCGCCGTCGATTTTGCTAGGATATAAAGAACGCGACTCCTCTGAGCGAATCCTTTGGAATATGGTACGTGAGATTGGGATCGTGTTCGAGCAAGTGGGCGAGAGGGTTGGTTCGGGAGGGGAGGCCGTAGAGTTTTGGATTGGGCACGTATCGCGATAGTGTTCCAGCGCCTTTCTCAGCGTTAGTGGCCGCGACTAACGGCGGTACTAGAAAAGCGATACAACTTTTTTCTCTGTACGTTGTCGCATCTTTTTTACGAGCAAAATGCAAGTTAGTTCACTATCGCACTGTTGTATCGGAACTTCTCAGCAGTAGGGTTACATAGTTCAGACGGTAGAAGGCAGGTCGCGGACAGGGAAAACACAGGGAAAACATACGTTAGTATAGAAAAGCCTTCGAGGACGATCTCAAAACACATGTGCGGGTATAAGCACTCAGCAGGCAACACATTCATCGTCACGCTGAGAACGACCACGACGGCCGAAAGAGCCGCCCGACTCGTCCTCGTCGCTGTCAATAGGTGCCGTGACTTGCTCGCGGGATAAGTCTGCCCTGTCTGCACACACGGGAGTCGAAGCGCGTGAGCGGTCATGTTATCCTGGTGAGAGGAAGGTGTACCATCACCAGGCAGAGGGTCCATACCACAGATCTTGCGCAGATGAGCAGCACTGATACCCGGCTTCTCACTGTCCAAGTTCAGAGCGAGTTCTCTCCCGAACGAGCGACTATATCCATCATCGTCTCCTTCCTCCTCCGCGACGTCGAGCCTGATGCCAACGCACGCGAGCTGTTGAAGTACATACATTGCGACACGGGCAGAGTAGTACGGTATTTACGCCACCACGTTACTTACGTAATCACGTAGGTAGTACTGGCGGACGTTCGGACGATGCACCTCAGTCACTCGTTTGCTATCGCACGAGACTGAGGTGAATACTTTCTTTACCTACCTTTTATCTCCTTACTGACCTGTAGTAGCTGCGCTTGGTCCCGCTCTAGGTTAGTATTAATACAGTCACTCGTTTGCTATCGCACGAGACTGAGCTGCGCTTGGTCCCGCTCTAGATCCGTTAGACATCCCCTGGACGCCTTCCCCCCTCGCCGCGTACTCGCGATAGGTTATGAGCCCCGGCTCCAACTGAATCTGACAGCATCGGAAATATCGAGAACTCAATCGCTCGTCATCACCTTCCTTTCCCACAACCTGCTTCTCTCGTTCACACCCCTGTCGAACCATGTCTCTATACCCGCCGATATCTCAGGCCAGCTCCAAAGCTGAGTCGAAGCGCCTCTACGATGTCCCGTTCCTCGAAAGCAATGGCGGAAACTTCCAGACGTGGAAGTACCGCACGACTACCATCCTCCGGTTGCTTGGTCTCTATTCGCTCATCGACGGCACCGAAGCCGACCCCGGAACAGTGGATACTATGAAGAAGGCGGAGTGGGATGTCCGGAACAATGAGGCTCTCGCGCAGATCACGTTGACGCTCAAGGACGAGCCGCTTAACGGTGTGATGTACTCGATGACGGCACAGGACGCTTGGGAGAAGTTGAACAGACGTTACGAGGGCAGAGGCAAGCAAACCTTAGCCTATCTCATCAGCGACCTTTTCCGCAGCACACTTAGTGACGAGTCGCCGCTAGAGCCGCAGCTCAACACGATGCAGCAGAAGGCCCACATCCTCGAGACACTCGGGCTAACGCTAGACGACACGCTCATCGCCATCGCTATGGCTATCTCCCTTCCTCCATCCTATTCAACCCTTCGCACTATCCTTATGGCCTCTGACTCGAAACTCACAGTCGAGAAGGTCGTCAATGAGGTCCTTAGCGAGGAGAAGCGACGTGGTGAGACGACCGCAGCATCTGCACTCATTGCAAAGCATGCTGATACCAAGTCGAAGTCGAAGGGGAAGGACAAGGACAAGAAGAAGAAGGGCAAGTGCGCTTTCTGTGGCTACACTGGTCACACGAAGGACGAGTGTCGGAAGTTCAAGGCGAGCCAGGTGGAGGGCACCACAGCGAAGGGCGACAAGAAAGCTGAGAAGGCTGCTGATGCAAAGGAATCTGCGAAGATCGTCAGTGTCAGTGAGGCTGACTCCGAGATGCTCCGCCTCTTCGTTGCTGAGGAGTTGGCACGTGGTGATGACCTGCACCGCTGGATTGTTGATTCAGGAGCTTCCTCCCACATGACATCTCACCGCGAGTGGTTCGTAAACTACCGTGCCCTTGCTACGCCCAAGCGTGTTTACCTCGGAGATGAACGCTTTATCCTCGCCGTTGGTATCGGTCAGGTCACACTCCATGCAGCAGTCGACCATGGCTCAACGAACACTGGCATTGTGCAGGAAGTTCTCCATGTCCCAGATCTCAATGGCAACCTGCTCTCTGTCTCGCAGTTTGACCGCAACAGCTACGATGTTAGGTTCGCTGATGATACGTGTCACATCAGCAATGCCCAGGGCCGACTTAGTGCCATTGGGTACATGCGGAGAAATCTCTATGTTCTCGACGTGACCACGCAGCTCCCCGAGCGTACCTACATCCTGCAGGCAGAAGATCTCCCTCCCTCTTACGATGACTCCATGGATGATCCCCCACTCCACGCTTTTGTTGCTAAGGAGACAACATCCAGTGCGAGTGCTCAGGTCTGGCATCGCCGCCTTGGTCACATCTCCGTAGACTCCGTGCTGAAGATGGTGCGAAAGGGAATGGTCAAGGGCATGTCGATCGTCGGAGAAAAGGTGAGTAACGTCACCTGCAAGCCCTGTCTCCATGGCAAGCAGACACGCCAGCCAATCCCGAAGGAGTCAGATGTCGAGAATCCCCACATTCTCCATCGCACCTACTCCGATGTCTGTGGTCCCATGCAGACTCAGACACGGTCCGGCCACCGCTATTTCATCACGTTCATCGATGGACACACGCACCACCTTGTCGCCAACCTCATGAAGAAGAAGGATGAAGTGCTTTCACACTTCAAAGCTTTTGTTGAACGAGCTGAGGTCGAGACCGGGCAGCGTGCCAATATCCTGCGGACTGATGGTGGTGGTGAGTACGAGTCGAAGGAATTCGAAGCGTACCTAAAGGAGAAGGGCATCCACCACGAAAAGACGAATGCCTACACTCCACAGGAGAACGGCGTTTCCGAGCGGATGAACCGCACTATCGAGGAGATGGCCAGGAGCATGCTCAATGACGCTGGACTGCCGAACACATACTGGGGTGATGCTGTGTTACATGCAGTACACATCCTTAACTCTGTTCCAACCCGCACTCTCCCTGACAACCTCACACCACACGAGGCCTACACCGGAAACAAGCCGAGCGTGGCGCACCTCCGCGTTTTCGGCTGCAAAGCCTATGTCCACGTTCCGAAGGAAAAACGTCAGAAACTCGACTCGAAAACGTTCGAGTGCACGCACCTGGGGTTTGCCACAAATCGCAAGGCCTACCGTCTGGTTCACAGAGCGACCAGCCGCATCGTCGAATCCCGCGACGTGTATTTCGACGAAGGCACCAAAGTCGCACCCAGTCGCATCACAATTGACGTCACACCTACACAGGAGGCGCCCGACGCGCGGCCGGAGCTGCCGCTGTCTCCGCGCCCGCCAAGACCCACTGTTGAAGATGTCCCAGATGAAGATGAGGACACACCTGCACTCCTGGATGTGGATGACAGCGACGACGAGGATGACGATGACAATGCGGATGAGGACAGCGACGATGACGTTCCACTGCCCGAAATTAGGCGCCGGCGTCACGCCGCGCGCGCCGCGCAGCCACCACCACCTCCTCCCCCAGCTCCGGAACTGCGCCGTTCAGGTCGAACGCGCACGGCACCGGTAGCGGCCGATGATGACCGCTATTTCGTGTCCTCCTACACACGGAAACCGAAGGGCCAGGATGATGTGGGTGGAGTGGGCGCTGATGCCGCAGCGGCAGACTCGGAGAACGCAGAGGAAGTGGGCAATGCAGAGAATGCTCACAAAGCCACAAGCTGGGATGAACCACAGACCTACGAGGAGGCGATGTCACGCCCCGATGCTGCGCGCTGGAAGGCTGCGTGCGCAGAGGAGCTACACGCATTTGTCAAAGCGGAGCTCTACGACGAAGTGGAGCGCCCGCGGAATCGCAAGGTCATAGACTGCAAGTGGGTCTTCAAGATTAAGCGTGGACCGGACGGTGAAATCGAGAAGTACAAGGCTCGACTTGTTGCCAAGGGCTTTACACAGGTTGAGGGCCTCGACTTCAACGAAACCTTTGCACCCGTCGCAAAGTTCGCTTCTGTCCGAACACTACTTGCTCTTGCTGCCAAGCTCGACCTCGAGATCCACCAGATGGACATCAAATCGGCATTCCTGAATGGTGATCTTGATGAGGAGATCTACATGAAGGTTCCCCCTGGCTTCCGCAGGTCCAACAGCCTCGTCTGGAAGCTGAACAAGGCCCTCTATGGTCTTAAGCAGGCTGGACGTGAGTGGTACAAGAAGATCCGTGCTGAGTTCGAGGCGCTTGGGTTCACCCGCTGCCACTCGGACCACAGCGTGTTCTACAAGAACGATGACGGTATTCTCCTCATTATCGCCATTTATGTCGATGACATGCTCATTCTTTCTGACAACCTCACTGCTGTCACCACCCTCAAGGAAGATCTCAAGTCTCGCTTCGAGATGACCGACCTTGGCGAAGCACGGTGGCTCCTCAGCATGGAAATCACTCGTGATCGTCCTCGCCGTGTCCTCGAGCTCTCGCAACACCAGTATGTCGAGAAGTGTCTCGCACAACATGGTATGGCCGATTGCTGCCCGGTCAGCACACCTATGGCACAGAACCAGAAGCTCGTCAAGCTCTCGGAGGCGGAGATCGACCCGAAGCCTTACCAGAGCGCGCTTGGCTCTCTCATGTATGCAATGATCGGGACTCGCCCCGACCTTGCGTTCACAGTGGGCGCGTTGAGCCAGCATGCTGCAACACCAGGCAAGGAGCACTGGATTGCTCTTATGCGAGTCTATCGCTACCTGCATGGGACAGCAGACAAGAAGCTTGTCTATTGTGGCACTACCAAGGAGAAGGAACCCCTTCTCGGATACGTGGATGCAGATTGGGCAGCGAACGTCAACGACCATCGATCGGTCACAGGTTTTGTTTTCCTCATATCGGAAGGCGCTGTCAGCTGGTCTTCAAAGAGGCAGCACTCGACGGCGCAGTCCAGCACTGAAGCTGAGTATATGGCTGGAGCTCATGGTACAAAGGAAGCAGTCTGGCTTCGCGCTTTCCTCTCGGAGATTGGACAGGTTCAGAAGGGCCCTACTCCATTGCTCATCGACAATCAGTCCGCCATCGCGCTATCCAAAAATGCTGCTTTCCATGAACGCACCAAGCACATTGCCGTCCGCTACCACTTCATCCGCGAGAAGTATGACTCCGGCGAGATCGAACCTGAGTACGTTCCTACCGGAAATCAGGTTGCTGATGTCTTGACGAAGGGGCTTCCTCGTGAGAAGCATGAGAAGTTTTCAGCGGGGATGGGCTTGGCGTAAGTATTTTCATTTATCATTTATATACTCTATTCCCTGTCACTCTGAGTGGGCGTGTTGAAGTACATACATTGCGACACGGGCAGAGTAGTACGGTATTTACGCCACCACGTTACTTACGTAATCACGTAGGTAGTACTGGCGGACGTTCGGACGATGCACCTCAGTCACTCGTTTGCTATCGCACGAGACTGAGGTGAATACTTTCTTTACCTACCTTTTATCTCCTTACTGACCTGTAGTAGCTGCGCTTGGTCCCGCTCTAGGTTAGTATTAATACAGTCACTCGTTTGCTATCGCACGAGACTGAGCTGCGCTTGGTCCCGCTCTAGATCCGTTAGACATCCCCTGGACGCCTTCCCCCCTCGCCGCGTACTCGCGATACGAGCATGAGCAGCGCCGTCTCCCGCAGTCCGATTCCCGAGCCAAGCGTGTCATCGTCCTCGTCCGCTTCCTCTTTCTCCGCGCCTTCGTCTTTCTCATCGTCTCTGCCCTGGTTATCGGGACCGAAGAGCGCGTCGTGGACGGCCTGCAAGTCTGCGCCGGTCACCGCGCACCTGCTATGTTCGGCCCTGCGGTTGTCCAAGTAGAACCACCCGAACGTGCGCCACCCGGCCGCACGTTGTGCCTTATCGACCTCCAGGTCACCGTCCCCGTTGTAGCACCGGGTGCACTTGACCGGCTTCGTGTTCACGCGGAAGGCAAGCGAATACTTCCACTCCACAGAGTCCATACGCGTGCGGTGGTGGAAATAGAACTAAACGTCCACGGACTGCGGCGAAGCGAGCGAGTGGATGCGAGAGAGGACTTCGACATCGCGTAGCTGAAAAAGAACGCGAGGAAAAATTGAGTAGGGTTACCGCACCGAGTCGGGTCTCGAGAAACTCACGCGCCCCCAGCCGTCGTCCTCCGGAACACACCGGATGACAGACACCGAATCGGCGATCTTCTTCCAGTCGTCGTCCATCAGCGGATTCACCGCCTCGGCAACGTCCTGCACGACCTCGCGTAGCTGGGAGACGAACGGATCCATGTCTGCGCCCGCCATACCTTCCATGAGGTCGTTCGTGACCTTCTCGGCCTCCTGGCGATGCTTGATGTATGCCGCCCAGTCAGGCGACTCGACCGGGTCGATAAGCCCAAAAAGCGCCATGGCCTGCTCGCGGGGATCCTTCGGGAGCGCGGCAGGGGGTGTAACGGGAGCGTGCTTCCAGGTGTGGGACTTCAAGTTCTCTTCCGCGTACCTCCCGATCTCCCAAACTGGCAGCAACACGACCTCTGCGGTACACGGAGTCAGAGGGTGAACGAAGAAACGCGTAAAGGCGCGTCACACCTATAGTACCGGGCTGTCTGAAATGGTCGAGACTCGCCACCAGATGGCCCGGGTTGTACATCACGCCGTCGCCCGCGAGAGTCTGAGAGGGACCCAGAAAATATCAGGACCGCATGCGTTGACGCAGATAAAGAGAAAGAGAGCGCGCACCCAGTACTTCATCGGCACGCGAATGACTTTCTCGACTCGCTCCATCACCCACAGCAACGAATCCATGGTGCTGAAGGGTACCTCGATCCAGCAGCGCTGTGCATGCCCGCTTGCGATGTTGAGCAAAGCCTTGACATCGTCGGAGGTGCCAGTGACGCGCACCTTCGGGGAGTCCTCGTCGACCGTGGACGGGCTGCTGAGGAATGTTCCGGAGCGACGTGCGGCAGATAAACGCCCATATTCCTCCTCGGAGAAACGCAAATCTTTGAATAGGGTCCTTGGAGGAACAGAAGGCACAGCAACATTGTTGTGCTGCATGCCAGCCTGGGATGCACGGAGCGGTTAGTCGTCTAGCCGACAGACCGATGGATGCGAAGATTGACCTGACCGCACATAATACACATCTGAGACGGAGCCTGAAATCAAAGGGAAGAGCACCTTGGCGGTGTTCCTCGGAAGTATGAGGGAGGTGTGGTGGACAAGAAGAAGAAACAAAGGGAGATGGCAGCTGGTCGCCGCCTTTGCACAAAGGGAGACGCGTCTCCGATCATCACTCGTCGATGGGCATTGCTAGCTGACTTTCCACCTCATGTATGCCTCGACATCTCCCAGCATGGCTGTGGGTGCACCTGAGACTTTGGAAATTGAACGTACTCATTGTCTAACAAATACGTCGCTCCCGGCATAAGTATGTATATATGTATACGTATGCTGTTTTTTTCTGCGCGGTTCTGTCGTGGTCGTCGTTGGAGATCTGTCGGAGACGGTGTGCGGTGCTCGCCGCTGTGGGATATTGCGATGCGTACTCGTTTGTCCCCCCAGAGCGCGCTCGTCTCTCCGTGCTTCGACGCTTCGTGCTCGGGCCTCCGGATATCTCTGTCTGCATATTTAATTCGTGTCTGTTCAGAGTCGAGGCAGCGCGCGCTCGCCATCAGGTGTGCAACTTGCCTGTCATGGGAGAGGGTACGCAACTCCGAGCTCGACGCGCATCCCGACGAGCTCGCCTGCGCGCCGTTCTGACCTGGGCCAACTGAACGAGCCCTCCGGAGGATCCCCGCGCGGGGGATGCACCTCCCCGCGGCTGGCGAGGTGTGCGAGCCCTCAGGTCTTCTGAAAGCCCTGGTCAAGTATCGGCGGATTCTCCTCGCTCGCATGCGCCGCCTCGATTCTGTCGTTCTGCAACTCTATGGGTTATCGGCGTTATACCGCGATGTAGTGCAGCCCCTTCGCCTATTCGGTCCTCTGGTGCCAGAATTGGTGCGCTTGCCCGAGGAGAGGAGAGCTGCAGTTTACCATCCAGGCTGCTCGATATCGGCGTGTCGGTTGAAACAAAACACATTGACCGTCGCGCACGCCGCCGTCCGACCGCGCTAGTGAATGAGCACAAAAAGCGCCCGGGTGACTTTATCGACGCGCAACGCAGGCGGCGAGTACGACAGGCTGCCAGTAAGTGTCACGGTAATGATCACGCGTATATGTCACACCGCGCCAGCGCGACTCTCCTCCTCACTCCAAAAGCATGTATATGCAATATTACCGCATTCAGTGCGTTTGTTTTTTCTGCAGCTATCTCTCATCGAAATACCGACCGCATACGCTCGCTCTGGTTCGTTCCTCTGTGCGTCCGCCCGAACCGCGTGCTCCCTGCCGAAGAGCTCCGGTGCACAGGCGCAGTCCCGCGTCGCAGCAGCGCCGTCGGCTGCTGGGCAGCGTGCCGCTCTGCGGGATGTCGCGAGCACGGCGTAAACGCGTGTGGGGAATGCGCGATAAATAATAAATAAAAAACAAAAAAGCGAGTCGGATCCTCGGCGTTCCGGCCAGACGTTCTCACCTTGTAACCCGCTCGATGCTGCGGCCGCGGATCGTCTCCTCCACACACATGTTGTCCTGTTCCCGCGGGACACGACGCGTCAGCGCTCTGCGAAACGGTGGTAGGGGGAACATACGGCTTCTGTGAGGTAAGAGACCTGCTCAGGTACGAGACGGGATGTTTGCTGCGGTAGAGATGTGGACGGATCGAGGTAGTGCTTGTATACTCCGAGCGAGCACGTCCCCGGGTGGCGTTTGCGTCCAAGCACGTGGCGCTGCAAGGTTGCACCGAACACTCGCCACGGCGAAAAAGCACGAGAATATAAATATACGACGACAGATAGGTAACAAACCGTCAAAGGGTGGAACGCACCCGCAAACACGACAACCACCCCCCCCCCCCACTCTTTTCCACGCAATAATCCTATCTTCTGGCCATTCGTGCTCAGCCGTTCTCGAGATTTCGAGATTTCCGTTCTGGCGGCGGAGATATCTGCAGTGGAGCAATATCGGGGCCACACGTCTTCGGGGGAGGTAAAGAATAGTTGAGTAGTTCTTCTCCGAGCCCTGGTATTCCAACTACGTCTCCTCGGGGAAGGTATGGCAGGTCACTCCCCAGTTCGCCGACGCACAAGCACAAGTCCGTGATAGAGGTCTGGACTCGACACGACAAAACAAGGTATAATGAATAGCGCGCGTAGACATTGCAAAGGGACACCGGCAGAGACACCGAGAACCATTAGCGGGATTAAACCGCGGTAGGACACAGTTTTGCGCAACCTGCAGGATACGCTCAGCAGAGAACCTTGAAAATAACTATGGAAGGCTAGGATGATCGATGGGGGCGTCGCCAGTAGCTAGCACAGGATAAACCGGACGGAGCTCGCAGACGCAGTGTCGGATTCGGTGTACCCTATTCGGATGAATGATCAGGGCACGGTGGGATCGGTGTCATGTACGGTGCGTGGGGGCGTCGCTGGCAGCTGGACGGAGTTCGCGAACGCAGTGTCGGATTCGGTGTACCCTATGATAAATATCAGGGCGTCATGTACGGTGCGGAGTGCGCAGACAACACGTACGTTTCGCGACGCGCAGCACAGTCTGCCGCAGTACTTACTATAGACCCAACGGCGTCCTCTGCAGACATCCTCGTCGGACGAGTCCAAGCGGGTTCAGGCTAGCAGGAGCAGCCATCGAACCCCGGACTGAACCTGAACCTGAAGGTTCGGACGAAGGTTCAGGACCGAACTTCGGGCGTCGCTGCATGGCACGAGACTATGCCATGCCACGCAGAAGAGAGGCGAAGCACGGGATCTCCCGCACCCGACGGCGTCACCAGGTCCCCATCTGGGACCGAAAAGCGCGGATTCGACCGGCTGCTGCTACCTGGGCGTGAATCGGGGGCGAGGCAGACGCGCGCGGGGCCTTTGGCTTGATGCGTGCAGGGGGCCTAGGCGCACAAAGTCGAGCCCCAAAATGTGTTCGACGGAAGTGGACCGCGGGCGTTGAACGTGAACGTTTGAACCCTGGCCTTAATTCCCTGCATTAACCACTTCGCAGAGTTAACGCAACTCGCCAGTGGATCACCCGATGTTGGAGGTCACGAGGCCGGCGATGCTCTGGATAAGACGAGCGTGGTCGCCAGACAAGGCACGGCTTGAGGACCATATATAAGCCGATCACGGCAAGACGAAAGAGCCCACCAAGCGAGACAAAGACCAGCGGAATTGGCGGTCAACGCCCTGTGCCTCCCGCCCCGGAGACGAGCAGCCGAGGACTGAGGACTGAGGAGGACGACGCACGAGAACGCCAGCGGGAAAGGGAGCGCCAGAGGATGCAGCGACGAGGGGGGCACAACGTTCGTATCCGAGAGTTCGAGCACTTACCGGACCGCGTCCTTAATGTATACTCGGAAGGATCAATGAATCAGAAGAGTCGGGGCAGCGCTCGTCGCGCCGAAGTGAAGGAGGAACAGTCTTCTCGGGGAAGATCGGGATGGGAACCAATTGCGAGGCGGAGGTAGACGACGCAGAGATGGCGGGAGCGAGGGATGCCGTGCACCCACTTCGCGAGGACCGCCAGCCCGTCGATCGCGCATCTGCACTTCTATGCCGACAACACCGCCGCGATCACGATGATATTAATGGATCCCTGGCCAAGGACACGCCCGGATCTTCCGGGACCAGGTCACAGCTTTCCTGGAAGACCCCACACACACCGTTGAGATCGCATGGACACCCCGACACACGGGAGTACGGGGGGATGAACTAGCGGACAGACTCGCAAAGGACGCGACGAAGATCAGTGAGGGACCGACGCGAGCAACGAGATCGCACGCGCTACGAAGGGCGAAGGAGAGGGAACACGAGAGGTGGGTGGAGGAGTGGCAGAAGAAACAAAAACGAGCGAGATGTTCAGGACGCTTCCGAGGGAGACCTTCGGACGTCTCGTACAGTGCAGGACAGGCCACTCGTTCTCAGGAGACCAGTACAAGAGCTCTGTGCGGACAGAAGACACTGCATGCCCATGCGGAGCGCAACTACAAACGAGGAGACACGTATTACAGGAGTGCCCGAGATACAATGCCGAACGACCTATACTGGAAGAGGTGGGGGAGTCCGGGGCATCTGGTGTCTCGTACTACGAGGCCGAGGGGTTATATTCATATTCGGATCGATATCCTTGAAGAAGGGGCTTAGGATCATCGCGATGCTGCGAACTTGCTGAAGCCGAAGGCGAAGCCACTGCAAAAAAAGGGGGTCCGAGATGTTGAACAAGGGGGGATAGGTAGAACGACGAAGAGTGCGGGTTAAGACCAACATGGTGGAAGATGAATGTCGAGACTACGAGCCATGCTCTAGAAGAGGACCGGTCAGGTTTTTAGGTGGCGTTCGTGTTCGGTATCGGCTATCTCCTCTTCCCAGCCACGGAGTCTTTCCATCCGATGTCGAGTTGCACTTAGAGCAGGGACGGCTGAGATCTCGCCAGCGCCGCGATCCCGTCCTGGGTACCCAGGACAGTCGGGTTGTCGATCGCCTCGCTCGCCTCGCTCGCCGTGCCGGGCCACCCAACCGCACTATATTATATGTCCAAGCTTCCGCCGATCATCCATCAGCCACCGATCGGACCAAGGAGGCTCAGCGGAACCCTCACCACCCTCGTAACTTACCCGTCCCGCACCAGACGGCTTCACAAGTTATAAACCCGGAGGTCGCTCGCAGCCACCCACCTCGCCCTTCCGTCCACGACCGTCACGAACATGCAGCCGAACAATCCCATCGCGCTGCGCTGCCCTAGCCAGCCACTACGCCCTCTGCTCAGAACATCGGGCGGAACGCCCGCGGTAAAGAACCAAGTTCTCGAACGGAGTCGTAACGCCGTAGATCAACCTCGTTTTTTTTCTCGTGCAAAAGCTCGATCGGAGAAAGCCCGATTAGGGGGGAAGACGAAATATCCGAACGCGCTATACAAGGCGCTCAGGCAGAGGGAACATACCAGCATCATCCGCCGCATCTACACGGCGGCGGCGGCGGAGGAGCGGATGAGGCAGCAGGACGGAGCCGCCGAGAGAGAGTCTACCAGCGTCTTCGTCCACCCCTCTTCTGGCAGTGCATCCTGCCGAGCCTCTACATCCCGAACTCGAATCTCTTTGGACAAGGCAGCAGGCTGCGGGTGTCATATTTGCTGGCGCAGTTTACTCGTCCACCAGATCATGCCGCAAGTGCTCGCTCCCGACAGACACTACCTCCGACTCGAACCAAGTCATGAAGCAGATCGAGCTCGCATGCCGTCTCATCAAGCAAACCGGCGACGTGCTCGACGTTGCCATCTTGCACACATCAAGAGACGTCAGCTCTGCAACTCAGCGCAGATTTTCGCCCGGCGACGCTTGCATGCGCACCCTAGCTCTTCGTGCTTCGCGTGGTCGGAGGTACTCGATGCCAGAGCTCAGAGCGCGGCGCCGCACCATGCAGTCCTTTCCCTGGCGGGGATAGGGAGGGCGCTGACGTGCGGGGCTGCGGTCCGCTCAAGAGTGGCTAAGAAGGGTTCGGAATGATAACAGGCCGCGGCCGTCGACAACAGGTTGGGGAAACGGACGTGAGATGGGGGGGGGGGGCACTGAAACTAGTGGGGCGGATGGGAACGACCAGCACAAAAGTCGGCCAGCGTGTCAGCCGTCGCTGGGGTTCTCCGTGTCCTTCCACGACACATTAAACATCGGCAACCAGTCCCACAACGGCGCCAGTGAAAACGCACGGACGCGAAAGAGCACAACGCAGCATAGATATGCAACGCCAACGCCGTGCGCAGAAGTCGAAGCAGAAGTCCACCGCCTTCGCACACGTACGTCCAGCGAATCAAGGCCGACCGTGTCTTGCTCGAGGAGTATCGTTGGGCTGTCGTTAAGCATACGAGACAGTCGAGCGGTCGATAAGTCGACCCAACGTCGTCGCGTTGGACGGGCGGGGGCTGCCGAGTTTGCTTCGCATCAATCGCGAGGTCGTAGAACGAGCTGCAGAGTATGAGCGTAGAACGAAGTCCGCGCAAAACGAAGGTAAACAGGCCACGAGCGAAAGAACAAACCTACAATAGGTTAATAGTGACGGTCCGAGGACGGAAACTATACATCGACAAGCCCAGACGACGATCTAGTCAGACAAGTCAAGGGAAATTAGACGGCGAGAAGTCACACAGGCGAAGGCGCCACAGCAATGTCTCGAGGGCGAAACCACACGAGCAAGTCACGGCGACGAAGCGGTCAAGGGGACGAAACAGCCAGCGCGGCGACGTCGCAAGCCGAAAAGAGACACTTAAGGGGACTTGGCACGGATCTGGGAACTCCGTTCGTCACGCGCGAGTTAAAACACAAAGTCATAATGATATTTCATAAAAGGGGTCAAGTACGAGTGTCCAAAAGGGGGGGGGGGCGCAGGGGGGGTATAGTGGTCAAAGGCTAGTCGTCAATATTCTGGGAGAGAAGGAGCTACCGTAACAAGACCAGTCGAAAGCTTGCATATGCCAGATCCTGCACAAGGTGGAGCTGGACGCTGAAAAAGGCCGTCGTCAGTGCGTGAGGGGGATGAGACAAGAGGCAATGAGACGAACCCGAACAACAGGTCAACCAGCCAAAGCATCCGTCTCCACCGACAACCGAGCCATAGATAGATAAAGAAGGGTAGAAAAAGTCATCGCAGGACAGTAAGGAGGGGGTAGAAGAAGGCATAAAACAGGCAGGAAGGGGGCTGAGAATAATAATAATAATAATAATTGAGACGGCTCCACCTCTCGCCACCTCGCCAACGTCCATTGAATAAACTTCGCGACAACGCCTAGGCGCTGAGAGTCGCCTCGACGGTGACGTTGTACCCGTTGGCCTTGAGGCTGTCGAGGATGAAGGAGATGGGGGTGGCATACGTAACATTGGAGTACTCGGTAACGCCATCGCCACCGGTGAGAAGACCGCCGAGACGTCCAAGGCAGTCGATGATGCCCGAGCCGGAGTCGCCCTCGTCGGAGAAGGGGCCGGACTTGTCGTCGTAAGAGAAGATGGCCCATTCCTTTGAGGTCTGAGTGTCGCCGTCGTCGAAGTAGTTGCGCACGTAAGAAAGGATGTCGTTAGCGCGGCCGACGGTCAGACCAGTGGTATTGCCGCGCTTCATGACGATGAGGCACGGATCGTCGTTCTGGTCCAAGATGGTGGGGCGGCGCATCTCTTCGTCTGAGATGATACCCTGGACCTTGAAGAGGCCGTTGGTCGGGTACTCGAAGGCGTGGCGGTTCTCGGGGTTGGGGAACATCAAACGAGCGAACTCGGCGGGCCCGATCTGGTTACCGAGGTCGATGGCGTTGCGGGTGAAGCTGGCGGCGTCGATCTTGGAGCTGTCGATCTCGACGAGGGCGTAGTCCTGGGTATACTTCACCAAGTTCGATGGGAGGGGAGAAGCGGACGTAGCCTAGGAGGCGGTTGTCGATGTTTAAATGCCCAGTCCTCCTCGACGTCGTCGCAGAGTTTCTTGAAAGCCACGATCGCCTCCTTCGCCTCCTTCACGAGTCCCTCCGCATTAGCGCGCACCCGCGCAGCCTCGTCCGCGTCCATTCCATCATGACCTTCCACGGCCTCCTTGACACGCCTCTCCTGGAACTCGAGGATCATCGCCTTCTCTCCGATGGCTCGCTTGATCCGCTTGACGTAGCTGTTGAAGGCGGCAGTGCCGAAGAGGGCGACGTCGACACGAGGCTGACTGGAGAACTTACGCTCGTACGTGTCGTTGTCCGCTCGGTTTGGTTTGAACACAACGTGGCGGGCAGTAACGAGATAGAGCTTGGAGTCGTCGCCGGTGACGTAAAAGCCGCCGGTGCCCTCGGCCCAGGGGGTGCTGGTGTTGCAGAAGGGTGGAGGTCAGGGGCTCGAGCAGCTCGGCAGCGGGGTCGAACGAGCGGGCGCGCTTCCGGAGTGTGGGGCCGACGTAGCGGGTCACGACCGACTCGCGGATCTCGACTTCGACGTCGAGGATCTCGTTCGCCACGAGAAGCTGCTTGCACTCCTTGGCAACCGCGAGACCGTCTTCGCCGCAGAGGCTGTCAGGCTTTGACGCCGATCCAGACGACGACGGGGGCGACGGACTCTCCGACGAAACCGATGCGAGCGACGTCCGTGCTCGTCCACTTCACCCCCTTGGACTCGAGGATGCTGTGGATCCGAAGAGCGAGGTTGTCCTCCCAGACCGCCTTCAGGGGGTGGTTGCCAACGGTCCTAAGCTCCTTGCGCAGGAGGTACGCCTCAGGGCCGGCCACATTCTTTTGAATTCAGCTCGCCTGAAGGTCCGCACTTGTGCCATCAGATCCTGGCTAAATCTCTACACTATGACTCCGATGACTATCAGCTCGAAGGTGTCTGCAAAACGCTAGATGGAGCTGATGTCCTCGCAATCACACCAACGGGCTCCGGAAAAACTGGGTATCAGTCCGTCCCTCCCACCTCTCGTAGGACTGATTTTGTAGTCTGCCTTTGGGCGACTAGATGTGGCCCGCTCTTTTCACTCTCATGCCTACACAGGTTCTCGGTTGACACGCCAATCCTCTCGTGCAACGGACGTCCTCCTTGCGTAAACCTTTCCTATCTTGTCCGCTGCCCTCCCACTTTCCAGAGGTCATCGTCCGGTTAAACAGGCTTCAGACTTCGCGTATTGGATATCACACCGTCTCACCTTCGATTCTCAAGGCGCTAGCTGATATGCAGTCACCGCGACATCTGCACCGTACAGCTGGAGCTGCAAAAGTCGTAGTTCCCCTCATCATGCTCGTAACCCGGCCCGCCGTCGGCACACCTACAGTTCACTCCGACACACGTTCGTCCACGCGTATACGGCGTCCTCACCATCCGCGGCGATTTCGACTCTATTTGTCTAGGATGCTTCGGCGACTCCTCGCTGACGAGGTCGGAGCCCTCTTCAGCCTGGTCAAATATCTACTATTCACGTGGATTCTCCTTGTTTACACAGTTACACCGCATCGATTCTGTCGTTCTGCAATTCTATGGGTTATCAGCGTTATACCACGATGTAGTGCAGCCCCTTCCTTATTCTGTGCTCTGGTGCCAGAATCGAGAGTGTGCTTGGCCGAGGAGAGGAGGGCCGCAGTTTACCATCCAGGCTGCTCGATACAGTATCGGCGTGTCGGTCGGTGAAGCAAAAATGCACTGACTGTCGCGCACGCCGCCGTCCGACCGTGCTAGAAAATGGGGCAAAACGTGCCCTAGTGACTTTATCGACGTGCAACGCAGACGGCGAGTTCAAGATCCAAGTACGACAGGCTGGTAAATCTGGTGTCACGGTAATGATCACGCGTATATGTCACACCGTGTCTCAGGCTCCTCCGCACTCTGAAGTATGTCCAGCTGTAGCAATATTACCGAATTCGGTGCGTTTATTTTTTCTGCAGCTATTCTCAGTGAAATACCGACATTTGCTCCCTCTAGTTTGTTCTTATGTGCGTATGCCCGAACTGCATGCTCCTCTCGCTCACTGGTCATCGGACCTGCTCTTACTGGCCATGGCTGTGGATACTATGTGCACTCCGACGCTGATGCTCGTCATTCATGGCATCCCATGACATGCGGCACCAAGCCCCCATCTTCCTCGGCACGGATTCACCGCTGGCATCGCGAGACATACCGGGATACGGTGGACGGAGGACGGAAGGTACAGCGGGATGGCGGCGGCGATACTTGACGCGCGCAGCTGGGCAGGCGGTGCGTCTTATGCGGGAGATCTGGGCGGTGCGCTGCGGATTTGGCACGGTGCAGGGGTGGCGGTCTATCGCGGGCTGCCACCCTGATCTTCCCCGGCTTTGCGTTTCTGTCTCGTCGACCCACACCTAACTCCTCGAAGCGAGGCCCTTTGGCTGAGCTTATCGGGTACCTAGCTGTACGGTCCCCCTGCTGGTGGATTGCGTGGACTGGGCCGACATGTTCTTTTCAGAGGAAGGCGCGGATAAGGCCATCGAGGAACATGTGGGTGCTCTGCGCCGCGATATGGACATCGCCCTTTAACTTTGTCGTGAATTTTCAAGAACGTTGCAATTCATTCGCGGTGGGACTCATTCATCCGTCTGATCCTGCTGACACACAAGGACTTGGCGCCGGTCGGCATGGGTCCTCGCAGACCCAGCGAGTGCTGTAGCCCGTATCTTACCTCACAGAAGCCGTATGTTCCCCTTGCCACTGTTTCGCAGAGCTTTGACGCCTCGTATCGCGCGGAAACAGGACAACGTGTGTGTGAAGGAGACCATCCGCGGCCGCAGCATCGCGGGTACAAAGTGAGAACGTCTGGCCCGAACGCCGAGGATAACAAACGTGTTTCCGACTCACCTTTTTATCGCGCATTCCCCACACGCGTTTACCCCCTGCTCTGGAAATCCCGCAGAGCGTCACACTGCCCAGCAGCCGATGTTCGTCGCTTAGCGCTGCTGCGAGGCGGGACCACGTCTGTGAGCTCTTCAGCAGGGTATTCTGGCCCAACCCGACTGAAGGCACTTCTGCACGGACCACTGGGCGCGGCTGGCGAAGCCTGACATGGATCAATATTATGGGGAAGGTGAGGCCTTGTAAGTCGAAGCTTGAGGCCTGGGGCAAAGAGTGTAGTTCTTCTTGCGCTCTCAGCCCACCGTTTTGTCCGGCCATTTCCGATACTCTAAATGTCAGCTAAATTCAGAACGTTAGACGTTTTGCGACGAAACTCACCTCCCGATCTTTGTTTGTGGCGCAGCGCTTTAGTGCGGAACAAACAGACTTACGCCGAATTGGGCAAGCAGTCAATATGCGGTCAACCCTCCATCATCAGATGCTGGCAACCATGTCACCCTTTGAGAACCATAAACATATTCCCCAAGCCATGAAAGAGCTCATAGGGATCTTCTCGGCTCTCTTCAGGGTAGATGCCAATGCGAGAACTCTCGATGTCAGTCTGCACACAGGCTATCCGGCGAGCCGCTTGAGGTTCCGCATTTGGTTTAGGTCGTTCGTCCCACACTAAAGTGCTGCTCCGCGAACAAAGGTCGGGAGGTGAGTTTCGTCGAGAAACGTCTAACGTTCTGAATTTAGCTGGTATAGAAGCAGGCTAATGGACTTGTATCAGCTGAAGAAACGGGCGAAGTCGTTGCGCAGGTGAAGACTGCGTAACTTTTTCTTTCGCTTTCCTCAGCGTTTGTGTCGACGACGCCAGTTTCCCCAGCGTCTATCGGCGCCAATGCATCGGCGCCTGGATCATGGGAGTTCGAGGAACGCTGAAGCCTGATGGTTTCCTGATGAAATCTTTGCAGACAGTAACTTACGTCTCGACCGCGCCCTCGAACACTGCCTCCCAATCAGCGGCGCCTACCAGCGCTTCGACGGTAAGATACATACATATATGCACCCTTCCACCAGAGATGCCAAATCTCAGCTCCTTGACCGGAATTAGTAGGCCTCTGTATCCCACTAGTACGCTCCACCCCGCGCCATGGACGGAATATCGTCGCTCTCGGCGATCCTCGGCGTGCTGCAGGTGGTCGGCAGCGCGACGATCGCAGTGTACAAGTACGCCGCAAGCGTAAAGGGCGCACCCGCGGCGTGCGACAGGCTCCTCCAGGAGCTCTCTGCCATTGGTGGGACGCTCGGCCATGCAAAGGTCGTGCTCGACGGCCTGCAGGGGCAAGACGACTTCTCGACAAACCATACCCTCAAGATCATCGCGTTCCTCGGCGGGACTGGGGGCCCGCTCGAGAGCTGCAGGGCGACGATCGACGAATTGTGTGCGTGGCTTGCGCGCGATGGTGATAAGCGTATGCGGGTGGATAGACGCATGTTGTGGCCATTCCAGGAGAAGGATTTGATGGAGTTTGTGCAGAGGCTGGAGAGGCACAAGACACATTTTATTCTCGCGCTTTCGTTGAATTCTGCGTATGTTGCGCTTTCCCTGTGTTGGTTCACCGCAGAAAGCTGATTGCGTTCAGCGACTCATTGATGCACCTGGGAAACTCGGTGGAGGACGTCAAGAAGGAGCAGCAGCGCGTGAAGGACGAAAAGGCGCGGCAAGAACTACGTAAGGACATAATGTCTTCCTCGATTACTTCTGCTCACACGCGTTTTAATAGAGATGGATATCCGCGACCTCATCAAGTGGTTGTCTCCGCTTGATGTTGACGTGAAGCATGAGTCGTCCTCGCGCATTCGTCAGCCGGGGACGGGCACCTGGCTGCTTGACAATAAGCTGTTCAGGGAATGGCGCTCCTCAAATAGTGGATTTCTGTGGCTGCACGGCATTCGTGAGCGCTCCTCGCTTGCTTTGGACGTAATCCCATCCTGATTCTACTTCAACGACAGCCGGAAGTGGGAAAACTATTTTGATGTAAGGTTTTTGATTACAGCCTTGATAATTCCCCCGACTGATTTTTGTGGACAGGTCCACGGTGATCGATGAGTTGAAATCATCCCGCAGCGGTGGCGATGAGGAGGCGATCCTCGCCTACTATTACTGCGACTTCAGCGACTCCAAGAGCGCCAACCCAGTTACGGTGCTCCGCACGCTGCTGACACTCTTTATGGCGACGATCGACGATGACTCCGTCGACACCTTCGAGGATCTCCTGAAGCGAAAGAAGGCGAGCAAGAGCCCGCCTGACGACATCGAGCTGCTGCAGTCGCTGCTGCTACGCGCCATCGGAGAGCGGAAGGCCATCATCGTCCTCGATGCGCTCGATGAGTGTGTCGACCGCCGCTGGCTCCTCGAGTTCATCCCTCGCCTTGTCCAACAGGCGAGCGTGCGGTGGCTCGTCTCGAGCCGACGCGAGCAGGATATCGTGGGTGCCTTCGAAGATTTCCCCACGATCTCCCTGTCGCACGAGTTTGAGAATGTGTACGCGGATATACAAACACATATTATGCAGAAACTGGAGACCGAGCCAAGGCTGCGTAGGCTGGATAGCGAGCTTAAAGCCGAGCTTGGGTCTGCTCTGCTGCACAAGGCAGACGGAATGTGAGTCGAGGATATGCACCGCTCTCTGAAACTTCCATCTAATTTTAATGGTACCTAGGTTTCGCTGGGTGCAATGTCAGCTGGACTTCATCGTCACTCGACGGACTAGGCAGAGTATTCGTGAGGCACTGCGCACTCTACCGCGTGGCTTGTATCCGACGTACGAAAGGATTTTGAAGCGGATCGAAGACGAAGGAGAGGAGTCTGCGTTGATCGCAAAGAAGACTTTACTCTGGCTTGTCTCAGCTCTCCGCCCCCTGAAACTTGTGGAAGTGGAAGAAGCAATCATGATCGAAGTGGGAAGCGAGAGCCTCAACGACGACGCTCGCGTATTGGATAAACACGATATCCTGGAGATTTGCAGCAGCCTGGTCGACTACGACGATTCAACTGACATCGTCAGTGTCTCGCATTACTCGGTTCAGGTGCGTGACATCGGTTGAAATTCTCCTATATGTTCACTGATACTGTGTAGGAATTCCTTCTTTCGAACTACTTGGCAGACAGTTCACTGCAGCAGTACTACATCTTACTGCCCCAAGCCCGGCGCGAACTCGCCCTCCTGTCACTGACTTACCTTCTACTTGACGATTTCGACAGCGGACAATGTGAAAGCCTCAACGAACTGTCCGACAGAGAAGCACAGCATCCGTTCTTCTGGTATGCAGCGGTCCAGTCGTTCTTGCACGTGCAGTCGGTCGAAGAAGACGACGAAATATTCACGCTTATGAAGAACCTTCTCATTGATCAGGACTACCGCGAGAGGTACCTTGCGTTCCGTCAAGTGTTCCACATGCATGACTTCCCTGGCCTCAGCTTCGAAGGCTACATCGTCCGAGACAGACTTCCGTCAGTCGCCGTTACCCCGCTCTACGAGCTAATTACTTGCAGCCTCCAGTGGGTAACCCGTCGCATGATCAAAAACAATCCCACGTTGATAGACACCGAGATTGAAGGCTACGGTACGCCGCTGACTCTCGCGACGTTCAAGAATCTGAGGGAGATGGCCGCGCTGCTCATTGAGCTTGGTGCAGACGTTAACAAGACCACGCGCAATCATTATGCCGGTGCTGGGCAGGTCGTCTCCCCGCTCCTCTTTGCGGTCCAGCTAGGGCGGGTGGAGATTTTCGCGATGTTGCTCGAGCATGGGGCTAAGCTGGAATTACCCGGGGGATCTATGGGCTATTCTCTCATATTCCTTGCAGCGTTCAACGGGCAGACGCCCATGCTGGAGGAGCTTATCCGCCGTGGGGTCGACGCCAACATGACAGCAGGGGATGCAAAGACAGCTCTCCACTACGCCGTGGAAGGATGTTCACTCGATTGTGTACGAGCTCTCGTAGAGGCGGGATGCAACGTGAGCGACCACCGTCGTTCGGGGAAGACCCCGCTCGAGATTGCATTCACTCTCCGGTCGACCGATATTATACAGTACCTGCTTGACCACGGGGCCAGCGCCAAAGACTTTGGTCATCTTTCACCCGATCAATGTGAATGGGCGGCCTCGGAGCCTTGGTTTCCGATTTTACAAAATAATCTCGCCGAATTGCCTGAAGCGAATTTTCATGTGCCAGAGTCTTCAAATGATGTCTTCCGAGTGCGGGATATGATGCATAAGGCTCTACGTCTTCCCGTGGATATTATCTGTTCAATCCTAGACTATGCCGAGTACTGGGTCCGTTCGTCCGTCAGCCGCGAAGATTATATTATCGTCGACAAAACCATCGAGACACCTTACGTCTCAATCGAGGTTACTGGCCGTCCACATCTACCCCTGCGCAGAGTGATTTTCGAGACAAGGTCGCATGATCAAGGTGTGTAGAGCAAACAATCGGATGTTCTCCAGATGTTTACTTGGTGTCTCCGGGAGCAGGTTGGAGCGACAACCGCTGGGCACACGGCTCGTACCGCTATTCATATACCTGGTTTGAGGCGGGGCAGCAGTTCACTGCTTCTGATGGCCCGCAGCGAGAAGAGCCACGACGGCACATGATCCAAACAAATGTGCATGGGTCATCAGAAAGTCGTGTACACATTAACACATGGGCTGCGCACAACGAGACGCCCGAACTTGCGGAGTGGATGGACACTTTTCGTCCGGGAGACGTGCTGCATGTCTTCCCCCGGGCGTCGTTCTCCGGTTGGGAAAATCATGTGGAGTCTGTGAAAGTGGATGCCTTCTGCGCTTGGGTGTGATTTCGTTGCTTTCAACTGCTGTCCGAATGTTTGATATCTGGAGAATGTCGTCAGGTTGTATATCACATTGTAATAAGTCCATATCATTAGATTCTTCATCAAAAATGCGAGGACCATCATGATGATACTGTTGATTCTAAGGAACAGACGGGATTCGATTTCTTGAGACACGAGAGGATGTGGAATTGCGGCACGTCAGTGCATGGATGGATGGTGCTGCGCTGAATGGTGCACCTCTCCTGGATAACCTAGTACGTCGAGACAGGGAGGAATACGGACACAGGGGGTGCCACAATGTCACGTCGACCCGCGAACAACGCATATGAACATTACTTGTGACCGACGCGCCACGGACAGTCAGATGCGCCCTGACCTGCCATCGTATGCTCGTCCACCACCATACTCTGGCGCGTACTCTCCCGCTTGGTAACTGTTTGAGCGCATCGTTTCGCTTACCACAGTCTATGCGAAATTAATGGCCGGCACACACCCACACCCACAATACCTCCCCATAAATAAAACCAACCAGGGCAAATACAGATACGTAGATTGCGAATTCAAGCACACCGACCAGGTCAGGTCAGCCAGCCTCGAGATCAACTCGCACCTGCAATCTGCAAAGTCTCTTTCCTCTCCGCAGGGCTAGTCTATACAATCAGACTCTGATACGCCGGTACACCAAAGTCCCAGATGACAAGCCGTAGCAGAGGTAACAAGATCCACATCACCTCCAATGAGATTTGCCTCGGAAACACCTGCAAGAGCCAGTAGCGCACATCAAAGGTGCCTCTCGACGCTTGGACCGCAATAACTATGACATCCATCGCGACCATGAACCAGAAGCCCCACACGCACCCGTAGAGCCAGAGTTCGGCGAGAGAATGTTTCTGGTGCATGGATCCTTGCGCCTGCCTCTCGCGATGCGCCTCTTTAGTGCGCGAGTCTGCTTTTCGCCGGCGGGTGCGTGTTCCTGGAAGCCGGACGATAGGCGAGGCCACGTAGCAGAGTCTTGCCGGCATACCGACTTCTCCTCTCTCCTCATCCGCCTGGAGTACCGCGTCGCAGAGCATGTGCTCGTGCTCAGGCGAGGGCACGGGGAGATCTGTGCTGGTGGGCATGGACCGTATGGTGGCAGTAGGGAAGGACGCGGCAACAGTATTGCGAGGTGGGAAGTCTGGTAGGAGAAAGCATTAGCAGCGGTGGACACCTGCGTGCAGTGTCGTGCTTACCTATGCCGCCGCTGCAAGAGTCGATCATCTCAAAATCGAAAGGATCCTCCATGAGAACTAAGAGACAGGATGTTTGCTGCGGCAGAGACGTGGACGGATTGAGGTAGTGCTTATATACTCCGAGCGAGCACGTCCCCAGGTGGCGTTTGCAACCTTTGTCCAAGCACGTGGCGCTGCAAGGAACAGTCGCCATGGCGAAAGAGCACGAGAACGGAAGATATACGATGACGGATGGGTAACAAAACGTCGAAGATCGAACTCACTCGCAAACACAATGCCCCACACTGTTTTTCACGCAATCCGCCATGTCGACCTATCTTCTGGTTCTTCGTGATTAACTGTTCTCGAAATTTCCGTTCTGGTAGCGGAGATATCTTCTGTTTAGCAATATCGGGCCACACGTCTTCGGGGAGGTAAAGAATAGTTCTTCTCCGGGCCATGGTATTCCGACCACCTCGCACTACGTCCCCTCGGAGAAGCTAGGCCACTCAACAGTTTGCCGACGCATAAGTCCTTGATAGAGGTTGGACTCGACAAGACAAAACAAGTTATAATAAATAGCGCGTGTAGAAATTGAGAAGGTAGACCAGTAGAGACACTAAGGACGATTAGCGGAAATAAACCGCGGTAGGCCACAGTTGAGTAGCACCACCTTGCGCAACCTGAAGGGTATGTTTAGCAGAGAAGCTTGAAATAACTATTGAAGGCTTGGATGATCGATGGAGACGTCGCTGGTAGCTGGTATAGGATGGACTGGATGGAGTTCGTGGAAGTTGTGTTGGATTTGGTGTGCCCTATGATGAATATCAGGGCATGGTGGGATCAGTTTCATGTACAGTGTGGAGTTTGCAGATAATACGTACGTTTCGCGACGTGCATAACAGTCTGCCGTAGTACTAGACCCAATGGCGTCCTTGACTCTACTGCACACTACCAATCTCATGGGCAAGTACTGGCAGTCGGCGGGAGCATCGTCTGTTCAGGATCGAACTGCGGATGAAGCGATGACCAGTCATGACGATGCGACGTTCGCCTGAGGAAGACTGGGTAAGATAGAGTGGGTGAGATTTGCGCGGTGTTACGGTTCCACGTGAGCGTTATCTGTCACCGTCGCGTCGCGCGTTAGGCCCCAGTGGACAGAGCGCCAGAATCAAACATAAGCAGGTGAGAAAATAGCGGTCACATAAATATGAGTAGTTATATATAGATGGATATCAAAGGATATGAAGCACCCTACTGCACCCGCCTAGGTCCAGTTAGCTTCGAAGTCAACCTAGATTCGGCACCTTCCTGGTCGCTCTCCAGTACCACAGCCGTCGCCTTCCTAAGTCACGTCCAGCCGGACCAGCACCAAGAAAAACTGAAAGTTTCTTCGCCCTCTCAGTGTCATTCAAAACAGAATGGCACCAATTGCGGCGTTCGGCGTCCCAAAGCTTCATTGAAGGCCACGGTTGTCGTCGTTGTTACCGAAAATCATCATGAGGATGAACGCGACGGCGTAGAGGATGAGTGCGAGCCAGGTGCCACAAAGACATGCCACGATCTTCATTGAAGTTGCCTCGGCCTTCTGCACCTTCTCTCCGCATTCCAAGTCTTCTGCATTCGGATCCTCATGATCGCGGAGGAGAACAGCTGATAGAGAATCGGCGGGCGAAAGATGGGTGAGGCACGGTGCTCACAAGGGCCGCGGGGCAGGGTGTCAGACATGAAGAACCTGGCTGAAGTAACCGATATGCACAGACTTGACCGGGGGCATGTATCTGTTTGCTGTGGCGCGAGTTTCGGAGGTGGAGGGCTACTTTATACGACGAATGTCGTGGCGCATCGTACCTAGTATTTCTTCAAGCACACACGAGGCTTCGAAGCAGTTGCCGTGGGAAAGAGACAAAGCGATGCGAAGATAAGGAATTGTGAAACCCATATGGTTTTCTTCCTCCCGCCAGATATCTGAAGAAGTCGGCGGTGTGTGCGCCAGACGTAAGTACTAGAGTGCCAGTTGTGGCCATAGGACCAGTCACCAGCATGATTGTCATATCATCAATGCGACCGCCTGCATCTGGAATGCGAGAAGACCTACGTTGCCCACATGCACACTCGTTACAAACAGCTGCGTGAGCCCGATTCTGTTCCAGAAGACCATGTATTATCTCGTACCACGACATTTCGCTGATCCTTGGCCTCAGTGAGTACCACCCCATCTCGTACATTTCATTACTAGAACTCGGTCATTGATGGATGCATATCTGGTCTTGCATTCGTGGGGAGGTGGACGAGAGACTACTCTGGTCGCACTCATCCGAAACGCGGGCCTTAAGTGAAAGAGTTTTAAGCCAACGGAGGCCAGTATACTATGCTATGACTCACTTGTTTCCCCCATCTCCACATTCTGCACCCACGGACAACCAGATGCCTTAGTCGCTATCGTCAGCGATGTCTCCACTGGCGTGACTATCAGTTGCATCAGGATCGTCCTCGCCATCGGGAGCGTCACGGCCGGGAAAGCTATCGACGCTCTCGGCATTCTCGTCACTCTCGGGATCCGAATCATCGCAGCAACCAATGCCAAACGTTTCCGTGTCCCAGGTCACCATTCCGATATGCACCGCAAGCGACGCTTTGTCCTCCGGATTCAGCTCGCCGCACCCGGAAACTTTCAACCGCGTTAATCCACGTCGACCGTTCACATTCGCACTGTCCCTTCTCTCCACCATCTGCCGCAGCTCATCGCTGGAAAAATTTCCACAGTCGGATAGCTCTAGAATCACGGGGAACTCGCACATCCACTCGCCAGTATTCGTCCGTGTCCCCAATGCCAACAGAAAGTCGGTGTTGAAACCAGGACAGCTCTTGATGCCGAGACACAGAGGCCTATACGACTGCAGCAACCATATCAGGTGGTCTGAGCTGTCAATTTCTTCTACATTCAGAAAAAATACCATACGGGGACCACCGCGCCACGGAGGTGCAGCACATCGCCTAAAATTGAGCTTCGTGATGGATGGAGATATAAGCAGCGGGCGTAATTCGAGTAGTGTCCTCGAAGAGAGGTCTTCGAGTGTGCATCGTGCCATGGTGCAGTCGCCTGCAGGAAACATGTTTCCGTTTGAGGGCCCAATCTCGACGTCGACCAGCATTAGGTGCTGGAGGTACGGCAATGCCTGCAGGCACCGTATGAGCTGGTCGACTTTGAATTGATTGCGATATGTTGAGCCGTAGTGCGATATTGTCAATTCCCTGACGCGGGCAATTGTCCTCGGAGTGGAGAGATAGGTTGTGCAGAATGTTAGCCCGTCGACGTGCAATTTGGCCAGCTGTGGTGCATGGAGATCGAGGCTGACCTGACGGCGAGTCGCGGTATCGTAATGCTGAAGCTGGCTTGTTCTCCTAAATGCCTGCTCGACGATGTACGTGTGATACCCGTCATTTGACTCGTCTTGCTCTACCTTAGGATAGTAGTAGGTGATGTGCAACGCGTCCTGCAATCTTGACTGAAGGCAGATATGACGTAGGTGACGGGCTTCACCATATATGTCAATATGAGGTCTGGGGATCGAATGGTGATGCAGGACATTCACGAAAAGGCGCTTCCAGCGCGATATATTAGGAGTGAGAACATCCATCACCGCTGAGACTCGTGATTTCTCGCACGGATCTGCGCTCGGAAATGCACCTGGCCTGCGAGTGATCACGATTTCGAGGTGATTGTCAGCGGAGAGGGCAAGATGGTCACTGATTGCAGGCGATGGTGTGGGGTGGTCATCGACGAAAATGATCAGGCGAGTCCAGAACACGGAGACGAGAGACAGAGTGTCCTTCCACGACGGACACACGGCTGCAAGAGCCTCTGGGAACCAGGTGAGCGAGGACAGATCCTCATCTTGCCAAAATATCTCATTGTTGGCACCATCTATTGCAGAAGGATATCGCAGTGACATCGAGTGCACGATCTTGAAGATCGCGATCAGGACATCCGCGGGCAGGTCATCGATTGAACGGGTCTTGTCGTTTCGTGTTGAATGAGTTGATAGCGTGACGTTGTTTGTAGTGACAGGTTGATCCTTCGCAATGAAATGTACACCGACCGTACAACGGCGTCGTTAATGCACGTTAACAACAAGACTGTTTGGACATACCATAGTCGTCGTCCTACAGAGAATCAGAAAAGACCCGATTTATTCAGACACGAGACCTGCAACGCAACGATGACCTGGAATTTCCAAGGCAATACATCAATACATAGTCCTACGTTGAGCGGTCCTATCACCTGAATAGTCGCCTCAGATATGTAGGCGATATCGATGGTGTGAACCCAAGAGAGCAGCTTCGACGACAAAGAAGCTCAGAACCACGCATGTTCTCCACGTGAGACTCATGAGGTATTCGGTTTTCCTCACGAACTCCGGCCGAGACACATAAATTTCGCTCCGTCCTGGGTGCCTTGGAATACAATTATCATCATAAACACGCTGTTCGATGCCGGTATTGGGCCGGTTAAACATGACTATTGCGCCCTTCGCATTCATTGGTGAAGCCTTGCGAAATTTGTCCAGCCTGAATTGATGAGCGTTTCCAGTCAGGGGAAGTATCGCATGCGCTCTCTTGTTTAGGTCAGAGTTGGTCAAGTAGGTGACATGAAAGGAGCGGTTGGTCGAGAGTTCGTCATGGAAAGCAGTATAAATTTTCGGCATGGAGAAACACTTACAGAGGGTCAATAGGGCGAAAATCCGGGCCTACATCAGCAAGAATAGTTCTGCGTCTTCCCAAGGCATGATGTACGTTTTACAAGACGCTGCAGCCTTCTCCTGGTGGTGAAATATAAGGGGTCTTCGGTGGCGTTGGCGTAATCAGGAACGCTGTTAGCCCGTTTCAAGACGATAGAGCCTGTGAGAGCCAGAAGTCTAGTTCACATATTGCGTCAGTCATGATCTACAGATAAAAATACTAAGTTCACGAATGCGGCGACGGTCGTGGACGGATGGCATATTATGGACTAGGACTTGTCTCATATCATCGACAGCCTTACCGCCAGCACTGCCATCCATATCAGTGTGGTCGTTTCCCCCTCGTACGCCATTCTAGTCATATGTTTTGTTAGTGCTCATCGGCGATCGCAGGATCTACACGTCCTTCAGGTCATAGCTCAGGGATCAAGGTACTCACCGTCTCGCACGCCTTACAGGGGATTCTCTTGAGGTACTAGTGGAACACTGAACCCAAGGATGCTACGTTTGTATGGAGTTATCGGTGCGCACCAACAGGCGAGTCATGGGATGAGTACTATTTCATGCTCTCGGGCTGCATATACGTTGTAACTAAATGAGAGTGAGAATGCAACCAATAAAGCAGCTGCGCACCTCCCTTGATGTAGCTGCTTCGAACTCATCGTCATTCTCACCCTCCGTGCGGCCTGTATCGACCACGATGCAAAATGACAATGTGCTTGAAGTGATCACGAAAAGCTGCGGTGACATGCACAAGTAAGTATCAAGTTGGAGTTTAGTTACAATGGTCAGCAAGCAGTGCTCAAGGTCGTACAATATTTATCGCAACTAAATGAGAGATGAGCGACTCTGTCACAGCAAGCGAACCGCGCTGATTGGACGACACGCTGTGACGAGTCCATGTGACTGAGACTGAGAAGTGACGCGAGAAGAAGCTGGACCTGGGTGACATGTGATCTTTGAGGTGAGGGGGGAGCGCAGCGCCGACTGACGAAGATATGTCGAGATTGATGAGAGAAACCTCATCCAGATGCGGGAGAGCACTGAAGCATTCGGCGAGGGCACGTACGGTGGACAACATGCGTGCCTGGATGTGTGGCGAATAACGCGAAATGACGAGCCGCTTTACAGAGACGATGGACTGAGGTATGGAAAAAAACGAACGGCGGAACGTCGGTCCATCGATTTCCATATGAGTCAGTCCAGGTGCATAGAAACAGAGTTTCGCGGTGCCGGCAGGTCGAAGTCGCTTTCTGACCATCTGTGACTGTAGACTAAGATTGATGAGGGATGCGGCACGACCCTGCATCTGAATATTTGGTGCGGGAATAGATATTGCGTGCAGCACAGCAATACGAAGTGAGTGCAATTAAGTTAAGTGCTCGTAGAGGGCCTGCATTGCGTCTGTAACGCGCCGGTTTTCGAGAGGGTCAGCGACCGAGCAAAGGTGCCTCGTTATGACGATGTCGAGAGGATTTTCGCGGGATAGCTTGAGATGCGTACGTAGTCTGTACAACGGCGTAGGGTCGTCATCGACGAAGACCGCGATGGGTGTCCAAAATAAGGAGACAAGCGTAAGGGTGTCTCGCAATAGGGTCAGACACTGATATCCTGAGGCACGAAGGTTGAAGCAAAGTACCTACTCTGCCTCGGGAGACTAGCAATAGGCAACACACAGCGGCAAGCACATCAGGGAAAAGCGAAAGAGAGCACGGGTGCGTTGCGCATCTTCGACCCAGAGTGTGGAAATGTTTCGCGGGACCATCCAGCGTTGACATATGAGCGGATCGATTAATTCATCCCAGCAGGCCTATAAGGCTTTTGCGGCCCGAGTATATTCGGAAGGCGAGTTTTCAGCGAGTAAAGTATACGTAGACGAAGAGAACGTCAACGCGGTTGAGCGCCTATTCCACGCCTCGGCTAACTCCGGCGCCTCAGTGTAGCGCAGTCTTCATGGGAACTCACGATGCGTGAAAGCCGTACTCTGCGCTTCTAGGCAACCCTGGCGATTTGCATAGAGTATCGAACAGAATCATGGTTACAGACTAGCTCTTCCATATCATGTCAGTTGTTCATAGATTGAGATTGAAGATGCTCTTCCAGATTGAACGCGACGGACGTCACAGTCTCGTCCCGCACTAGGCGCGGGCCTCTTACTGACAATTTGACTAGACTTGCTCTCGTCAGAATACTACTCTGTCCAGAACACAAGGGGCATGATTGGCCCCTAATCGTCTGCGTAGACTATAAAGTACCAGGGCTGTCTATCGCCCGGCATACCAGTGCAATATCGCTGCGCACGTCGTCACTCATAAAAATGTCCACTACCCACATTGCCCTTGTTACAGGCGCCTCCCGAGGCATCGGAGAGGCCATCGCCCTGCGCCTCGCAGAGGATGGATACGACTTGGCGTTGAATGACTTAGCTCCCATGGCCGACGGGTTGGCCGCTCTTGTTAAGAAGGTCCAGCTGAAGGGCAGACGCGCTGTGGCTATCCTCGGGGACGTGTCCCACGAGCACGACGTGAAGGCTATGGTTGATAAGGCCGTTCACGACCTGGGAGGTCTGGATGTGGTATGTTTCCATTCTCGCCAGATGTGCGGGCGCTGAGTTGTTGGATCATAGATGGTCGCAAACGCAGGCATCCTTATACTTGATTCTGTGCTTGAGAGTCTGTTCGTCCCCAAACTGCCATGTGACTGATACTGACTCGAGCGATGACAGCTTCTGTCAAAGACTTCAATCGCGTCATGTCTATCAATGTCCTAGGTACCTTCTTATGCTTCAAGTACGCTGCTATGCAAATGATCAAGCAGGGGCGAGGCGGCCGAATCATAGGTATGGAATGCGACAAATTGTTTCCGTAAACAAATTGATCTTTTCCTTTAAGGTGCCTCCTCGTTGGCTGGCAAGACAGGTGTGTCCGAGCGATTATTTCAGCTTTCATTGCTTCTCATGCAATACTTGCTCAGGAGCGTACAATCTGTCTGCGTACTCTTGCTCGAAGTTCGCTATACGTGCGCTCACACAGACTTGCGGTAGGTGGACCATCCTTTCCGGCGACGAGAGATCTTACCAATTTTGACACGCAGCAATTGAGTGGGCGGAGCATGGAATTACCGTGAACAGCTACGCCCCCGGACTCATCCACACTGCAATGGGTTCGTCTAATTGCCTTCGTATCGGAACACCTAATAGAAATTCTTTGAACAGTTGCAACTCCTGACGATCCCAAGCGCACTGATGCAAATAAGTTCAAGGAGGTGGGCCGTCTGATCCGTGTTATCTTTCACTTCACAGTCATTCACATCATCTACTCCAACGTAGTCTCTTCATATGCCCGCGAACTTACCGGAGGCGGATCCCTCTGCCATCGCAGGACTGGTATCCTACCTCATAAGGCCCGAATCTCAGTTTATCAGCGGTGGGTGTTAGATTGTTGTCTTCCGACGCCGTTGGGGAAAGTGCTGACTGGATTGTGGGCATCTCTAGGCCAGTGCGTCAACATCAATGGAGGCTCCTTTTTCGACTGAGTGCGCGACATAAATTTCGCAGTCAGCGATCACAATCACTAGCAAGCAAACAGTCTTGTGTATTATTACCCGTAGACGCTTGCTTCTGGCGAACTGCGTTGAATTTGTTCGAAACTCGTGTATACTCTATATATAACTGTAGTTGTGAAGGAATATGTACCTCCTCATCAGCGGCGCCTCGGGCGACAACCGCAAGCCTCGCGGTGAGATTTTCATTGTGTAAGGTGTGCAGAATTCCTTCGTCCGTCATCACTCTTATATCGCGCTCAGGTACGTGGTACATATAGAACACAGCGGCGTACCAAACTGTACGCTTATGCTGACAATCCTCAGTAAGATATCGTATGACACTCGTAACCGCCACACCATCCATTCGACGACATATAGCCAACGTTCTTGTCCAGCTATCCCTGTCCGCCGGTAAGAGGACCATACCGCTGATAACTGTTATGAGGTGAGTAAGGGGACGTAACGGTGAATTCACCATCAGCAAAAGCGCATTCCGCGTGAGCTTTCTGGCACGCCTGAACCATCGCACACGTCTGTAGTCATGAAGTTGGCACAATCAGTTATTTCAAGGACAATCAGCCGCGGAAAGAGCCAAATGTCGTATGCGTCGAACTTGTAGAACATGGAACGGAGACGATAGCATGGAAACTCGGACACGAGTGCAGTGCTCACCTCGGGCCGCCAAGAAGTTCAGATCTGAGATCTGAGATCTGAAGGCCCATACTGGGACTCGGCCTTATTCAATGTCATTGCCACCGCCACAATGTCTTTAGCTCATGACCAGACAACAGTTAACCTGATATCTGCCCGCGTTCGGGCGGCGCTGTCCTCCTTGCGCACTCTGACCACCATCCCAGAATCTGTGTGGCTGCCGTGGGCCAAAGAGCACCTGGACGAAGAATATGTGCGTCGCAACAACTGATGTCACCGTCAGAATACTCACATTTGACCGTAGTTCGAAGCAAGTTGGTCAATATACCGCGGCATCCGCTGTACCCGTCTTCTCCGGAGCCTCCAGCGTGCTCTGGAGGACACTAATTTTGATTGGCAGTCCATTGGGAGTGGGGATCCCCGGGTTGCAGCCGCGTTTAAGGATGATACTGGGTGTAGTGATGGTGAAGGAGAGAGGGAGGAGGTTGACTGTGGGGAAAATAAGTGGTGGATGACTCCACCCGGTGTGTCTTGCCATCCATCTTGTCATCATACTTTTCCTGACTACTTTCTAGGAGTTGCGAATCCATCCGCGGACACCGTCCATCGGGACACACCACCGGCACCGGCACCGGCAAGTCTGACGGGTGACCATTCAGTGGCATCCGAGCGTAATTCTCCAGGGGGGGTGGTATCGATGGGTGTCGGCATGGAATCTGCTGACGTTGCTGATACCCAGAGGCAAACCGAACAAACAGAAGACATACGTTTCCTGAAGCCGCAGTTACGTAGGAAGAACCAGTTGCGTAGGAAGAAAGTTGCTGCGAAGTCCGCCTCGATTCTCAAGAACCCTGATGAAAAGGCGGGGACTCTTGAGGGCCTCTCCATGCGGAAGAGAGTGAGGGCCGACGATGAGGGCGAGTTACAAGACGCCATCGGCGGGATTTCTGATGGAGCCATGGGCCTTAGTAGGCAGATGGAAACACAGCTGACGGAGGTTAATCTACCAGTACAGCGGCGGGGTCACAAGAGAAGAGCGTGTGTCAGGTCTGTGCCCACCGTCGAAGACTCTGAAGAAGAGCCCGTGTCAGACAAGGCCACCCAGAAGGGCAAGAGGCCTAGGTTTGAGAAAGAAGGCGACGCTCAAGTGGCAGCAGAGACCAAGGTGCGCAAATTCGACTCATTCGGTGTCGATCTTACCTCTACACCAGATATGCAAAAACTGTCGGGCCGCAGGAGTGGAACAAAAATGCGACCGTTCTTCGAACCGAGCATGCACGTATTGCAGGCTCAAGAAGCAAAAATGCATCGTGCCAGGTGAGCCGTTTTGAAGACTGAAGTAATATTTCCTCACTTTCTGGGATCATAAGGAGAACCGCAGCTCTATATCACCGTAGGCAGAAAAAAGAAGGGCTACACTCTCCCATCTCCCTTCATCTCCAACCTGGGTTCGCCGAGGGTAACACCGGTTGCTTCCGGCGCTGGGCGGGAACTGTCTGCGACTTCTTCGAAGTCAGTGTCTGATGATATCTATGCCTTCGGCAAACCGAATGGGCCATCCGAGTCCTACAGCCCTCTCCCCGGTGGGGCTGACCCAGACATAGCTCGCATTTGGCGGGAGGTCATCCGAACTCGGGAAGATGTGGTAGCACTGAGAGAATCTGTCAATGGGCTCGTGCGAGATGTCATCATGCTACAGAAACAGCTTAATTCTCAAGATTGAATACTGTACTTGGAGGCGGTGAACATGGTTACTTCATCATTTCAACTTTATTGTTGTCGCACAATAGATACCTCAAATCTGGTGTTTCTCGATGTATCAAAGCGACCTCAATCTGACAATTGGTTTAACGTATTCATGTCGACTAGAAGGTTCGCTGTTAACCTTCACTGGTTCCGCTGTCATGGAAATAGGATAGGGTGGATTTATCTTTGAAGCAAGGCGGTGCACGCACAGAGAGTATACGGCTACAAGAAGCCACTTTCCAAAGAGCGTCGTTCTTTGAACAGCCCATTAGCGAGCAACCACGTACATGTTTCTGGGTGACGAATGGCCGAAGGCGACTCGTGCTTCGTACCGGCATGATCAAGTGTCAGCGCAAGCACTCGCAGTGACATTAGATTCCTCCGGGTGTACCTGATTCTTACCTTCACGTGCGGCTGTTCCTTCTGGCGTCGACCACCCATTTCCTGAGTGCATCTCCGAGTCGCTGAACCTAATCAGCTTTTAAAGATGAGCCGACTAGACCAAAGCGCGAGGTACGCAGAAATCAACAACAACGCGATAAAAATCGTGTCGCTCCAGCCTCTTTTCTTCTCTTGGAGCAGCCACAACATCCACCTGTGCGCCCACATAGGCTGATCACCATCGGGCGCAAGTCACGCACACAAGTCGCCAATCGTCGCCCTGCACTTCTCGAGCGGACCCCTACCTATTCCCGCACATGCATGTCTGACGAAGGACCTAACGATATGAACCTAGTTCTCAAAGCATTACGACGTGATATGCAACCTAATGACATTCTCCAGATATCAAACCTTGGGACAGCAGTTAAAAGCAACGAAATCACACCCAGCGCAGAAGGCATCCACTTTCACAGACTCTACATGATTTTCCCAACCGGAGAACGACGCCCGGGGGAAGACATGCAGCACGTCTCCCGGACGAAAAGTGTCCAGCCACCCCGCAAGTTCGGGCGTCTCGTTGTGCGCAGCCCATGTGTTAACGTGTACACGACTTTTCGATGACGCATGCACATTTGTTTGGATCATGCGCCGTCGGGGCTCTTCTCGCTGCGGGCTCTACACACCTTGATCATGCGACCTTGTCTCGAAAATCACTCTGCGCAGGGGTAGATGTGGACGGCCAGTAACCTCGACCGATACGTAAGGCGTCTCAATGGTTTTGTCAACGATAATATAATCTTCGCGGCTGACGGACGAACGGACCCAGTACTCGGCATAGTCTAGGATTGAACAGATAATATCCACGGGAAGACCTAGAGCCTTATGCATCATATCCCGCACCCGGAAGACATCATTTGAAGACTCTGGCACATGAAAATCCGCTTCAGGCAATCCGACAAGACTATTTTGTATAATCGGAAACCAAGGCTCCGACGCCGCCCATTCACATTGGTCGGGTGAAAGACAGCCAAAGTCTTTGGCGCTGGCCCCGTGGTCAAGCAGGTACTGTATAATATCGGTCGACCGGAGAGTGAATGCAATCTCGAGCGGGGTCTTCCCCGAACGACGGTGGTCGCTCACGGTGCATCCCGCTTCCACGAGGGCTCGCACACAATCGAGTGAACATCCTTCCACGGCGTAGTGGAGAGCTGTCTTTGCATCCCCTGCTGTCACATTGGCATCGACCCACGGCGGATAAGCTCCTCCAGCATGGGCGTCTGCCCGTTGAACGCTGCAATGAATATGAGAGAATAGCCCATAGGTCCCCCGGGTAATTCCAGTTTAGCCCCATGCTCGAGCAACATTGCGAAAATCTCTGCCCGCCCTAGCTGGACCGCAAAGAAGAGCGGGGAGACGACCTGCCCACCACCGACATAATGATTGCGCGTGGTCTTGTTAACGTCCGCACCAAGCTCGATGAGCAGCGCGGCCATCTCCTTCAGGTTCTTGAACGTCGCGAGGGTCAGCGGTGTGCCGTAGCCTTCAATCTCGGTTTCTATTAAGGTGGGATCGTTTTCTATCATGTGCCGCGTTACCCACTGGAGGCCGCAACTAATTGGCTCGCAGAGCGGGGTAATGATGACCTTCGGAAGCTTGTCCCGCTTGTAGGCCTCGAATCCGAGAACGGGGAATTCATGCATTTGGAGTATCTGGCGGAACCCAAGGTACTGCTCGTGGAAGTCCGGATTGAAGAGAAAAGTCTCAATGAGAGCGAAGAGCTCTTCATCATCTTCCTCAACCAACTGCATATGCAAGATCCACCGTCGCACTACATAAATGAAGAACGGATGTCGCTCGCCCCTGTCGGACATTTCATCACGGCTTTCGCACGGTCCGCCGTTAAAATCCTCCAGCAGAAGGTAGGTCAATGACAGAAGAGCAACCTCGCGCCGTGTTTTGGGTAGTGAGATGTGGTACTGCCGCAACGAGCTGTCTAACAAGTGGTCAGAAAGAAGAAATTCTTGTGCAGCGTCAATGAACATGCGTAGGCCACTTGAAACCAACGTTACGCACCTGAACAGAGTAATGCGAGACATTGACGATGTCAGTTGAATCGTCGTAGTCGACCAGACTGCTGCAAATCTCCAGGATATCGTGTTCATCCAATACGCGAGCGTCGTCGTTGAGGCTCTCGCTTCCCACTTCGATTATGATTGCTTCTTCCACTTCCACAAGTTTGAGGGGGCGGAGAGCTGAGACAAGCCAGAGTAAAGTCGTCTTTGCGATCAACGCAGATTCCTCTCCTTCGTCTTCGATCCGCTTCAAAATCCTTTCGCACGTCGGATACAAGCCACGCGGTAGAGTGCGTAGTGCCTCGCGAATACTCTGCCTAGTCCGTCGAGTGATGATGAAGTCTAGCTGGCATTGCACCCAGCGAAACCTGGGTACCATTAAAATTAGATGGAAGTTTCAGAGAGCGGTGCATATCCTCGACTTACATTCCGTCTGCCTTGTGCAGCAGAGCAGACCCAAGCTCGGCTTTAAGCTCGCTATCCAACCTACGCAGCCTTGGCTCGGTCTCTAGTGTCTGCATAATATACCTTTGTATATCCGCGTACACATTCTCAAACTCGTGCGACAGCGAGATAGTGTGGAAATCTTCGAAGGCACCCACGATATCCTGCTCGCGTCGGCTCGAGACGAGCCACCGCACGCTCGCCTGATGGACAAGGCGAGGGATGAACTCGAGGAGCCAGCGCCGGTCGACACACTCATCGAGCTCGTCGAGGACGATGATGGCCTTCCGCTCGCCAATCGCGCGTAGCAGCAGCAACTGCAGCAGCTCGATGTCGTCGGGCGGGCTCTTGGTCGCCTTCTTTCGCTTCAAGAGATCCACGAAGGTGTCGACGGAGTCATCGTCGATCGTCGCCATAAAGAGTGTCAGGAGCGTGCGCAGCACCGTAACTGGGTTGGCGCTCTTGGAGTCACTGAAGTCGCAGTAATAGTAGGCGAGGATCGCCTCCTCGTTGCCACCACTGCAGGATGATTTCAACTCATCGATCACCGTGGACCTGTCCACAAAAATTAGTCGGGAGGATTATCAAGACTGCGACCAAAAAATTTACACCAAGATAGTTTTCCCACTTCCGGCTGTTATTGAAGTAGAATCAGCATGAGGCCATGGCAAAAGCAAGCAAGGAGCGCTCACGAATGCCTTGCAGCACAGGAATCCACTGTTTGAGGAGCGCCATTCTCTGAACAACTTATTGTCAAGCAGCCAGGTGCCCGTCCCCGGCTGACGAATGCGCGAGGACGACTCATGCTTCACGTCAACATCAAGCGGAGACAACCACTCAATAAGTTCACGAAGGTCCATCTCTATTGAACCGCGTGTGAGCAGAAATAATCGAGGTGGACATTATGTCCTTACGTAGTTCTTGCCGCGCCTTTTCGTCCTTCACGCGCTGCTGCTCCTTCTTGACGTCCTCCACCGAGTTTCCCAGGTGCATCAATGAGTCGCTGAACGCAATCAGCTTTCTGTGGTGAACCAACACAGGGAAAGCGCAACATACGCAGAATTTAACGAAAGCGCTAGAATAAAATGCGTCTTGTGCCTCTCCAGCCTCTGCACAAACTCCATCAACTCCTTCTCCTGGAATGGCCACAGCATACGCCGGTCCACCCGCATGCGCTTATCACCATCGCGCGCAAGCCACGCACACAATTCTTCGATCGTCGCCCTGCAGCTCTCGAGCGGGCCCCCAGTCCCGCCGAGGAACGCGGTGATCTTGAGGGTATGGTTTGACGAGAAGTCGTCATGCCCCTGCAGACCGTCGAGCACGACCTTTGCATGGCCGAGCGTTCCACCGATGGCAGAGAGCTCCTGGAGGAGCCTGTCGCACGCCGCGGGTGCGCCCTTTACGCTCGCGGCGTACTTGTACACTGCGATCGTCGCGCTGCCAAGCACCTGCAGCACGCCGAGGATCGCCGAGAGCGACGATATTCCGTCCATGGCGCGGGGTGGAACGTACTAGTGGGATACAGAGGCCTACTAATTCTGGTCAAGGAGTTGAGATTTGGCATCTCCGGTGGAAGGGTGCATATATGTATGTATCTTACCGTCGAAGCGCTGGTAGGCGTCGCTGATTGGAAGGCAGTGTTCGAGGGCGCGGTCGAGGCGTAAGTTACTGTCTGCAAAGATTTCATCAGGAAACCATCAGGCTTCAGCGTTCCTCGAACTCCCATGATCCATGCGCCGACGCATTGGCGCCGATAGATGTTGGGGAAACTGACGTTGTCGACACAAACGCTACGGGAAGTGAAAGCAAAAAGTTACGCAGTCTTCACCTGCGCAACGACTTCGTCCGTTCAGGTGATACAAGTCCATTAGCGTGCTTCTATACATTTCGGGTTGGGCCAGAACACCCTGCTGAAGAGCTCTGGTACACAGACGTGGTCCCGCTTCGCAGCAGCGCTAGCGATGAACGTCGGCTGCTGGGCAGCGTGACGCTCTGTGGGATATCCAGAGGAGGGCGTAAACGCGTGAGGGGAATGCGCGATGAAAAAGCGAGTCGGAGGCACGTTTATTATCCTCGGCGTTCAGGCCAGATGTTACGACTTTGAACCCGGGATGCTGCGGCCGCGGATGGTCTCCTTCACACACATGTTGTCCTGTGGTAGGATACGGGCTACAGCACTCACTGGGTCTGCGAGGACCCATGCCGATCGGCGCCAAGTCCTTGTGTGCCAGCAGGATCAGACGGATGAATGAGTCTCACCGCGAATGATTTGCAACGTTCTTGAAAATTCACGACAAAATCAAAGGAGGTCGACGAGACAGAAACGCAAAGCCGGGGAAGATCAGGGTGGTAGCTCGCGATAGACAGCCACCCCTGCACCGTGCCAACCCTGCAGCGTACCGCCCAAATCTCTCGCGTAAGACACACCGCCCGCCCAGCTGCGCGCGTCAAGTATCGCCGCCGCCATCCCGCTGTACTTCTCGACCTCCGTCCACCGTATCCCAGTATGTCTCACGATGCCAGCGGTGAATCCGCGCTGTGGAAGATGTGGACTTGGGGCAGCAGGTAATGGGATGCCATGAATAACGAAGAGGCGACGACGTAGATGTACGCGAGCGAGCGCTTGGTGGACGCTTCGTAGATGAGGGTTGCACGCTCGATGGATAGTGCGAAAGACGATCGACCGAGCGCCACAAGCGACATCTCTCCATGTTCGAGGTCGGGATCCGAGTCGCGTCGACGTCGGAGTGCACACATCCACAGCCATGGCCAGTAGGAGCAGATCCGATGACCAGTGAGCGAGAGGAGCATGCAGTTCTAGCATACGCACAGCAGAACAAACTGTTGTAGATACAATTTTGTGTAGTCCTCTCACTCCTTCATAGTTAGTTTCCTAATCGGGCACGGACGCTCGCGTAGTATACACGCTCGCTACACGTTTCGTTTCCCTCAGTCCTTTTGCTATTGACATCGGATTGAGGGTAAGCTACATTCCTTTACTATACATTATTTACTCATGCTGATCTACCTGTAGGACTGACTCAGTCCGTTTCTAGGTAGATAATTGAGTCCTTTTGCTATTGACATCGGATTGAGGGACTGACTCAGTCCGTGTCTAGTCTTCAACAGGTTACGAGCCCCGAGAGGCAGCTAAAATGCGCACTCGACTCGCCAGCCGAACCTCCCGGGCGAGACCGCAATGAGCGGCGAACGACGCAACCCCTGGAGCGGACGCTCGTCGCCACGCGGGCGCTCTCCGACTCCTCCACCTTTGCGCAGAGCCTACTGGGACGAACCCGGCACGCCTACCGGCGGTCACAGGCCGCGCGCGAGACCGCAGCGCAGTGGAGAAAATCTGTACGCGCAGTCTTCACCACGCGGATCCGCGGCACCTTCGAGACGGCCCACGCCGAGCCCGAACGCAGGCGGAAGGAGGTACAGGCCTTTGGGAGAAGGCGGAGCAGAGCACTGGACCCTGCACAAGGATACTGACCACTCTTCGCACATGAACCTTACGAAGCTCCCCCACAAGCTCACGCCGATGAACTACATATCGTGGATGACGACGATGGAATCAACGCTCGACACTATCGAACTCTTCGAGTACGCTACCGGAGAAGTTCCCGAGCCCGATCCGGATGTCGACGAGGCGCGTGCGCGACGCTGGAAGCGCGCGAACGCCTGCGTCCGACTCATACTCGCGTCGAATATGACCGAGGAAGTCGTGTCGCAGATCAGCCACCTCACGGTCGCGGCACAGGTCTGGCAAGAAGTGCGATGACTATTCGCAGGCGAAACCCTTACCGACTGGACGCTTCTTATCACCAGTCTCGTCACGACGAAGTACACCGATGGTGAAGATCTGACCCTTCATATTGCGAAGATGAAAGCGTACCGGCGAGATCTCATCCTCATGTCCCGAAATATCCCTGATGACCTCTATGCTTATTTCATCTGAATCTCTATGCCACAATCCTGGAACTACGTATTTTCTGGCCTTTCTCAGTACTACACATCTTCTGAGATCAAATGTCATCTGAAGGAAGAATATGCCATACGACAGAACCAGCAATCGACAGTGAGAGCATACAATGCCAAGCAGCAGTCCGGCAAGCGATCGAAGAAGGAATACAAACCAGGTGACCCCTTCTGCAAGAATTGCGAACGGCCCAGTCACTACATCAAGGACTGTTGGTCGAAAGGGGGTGGAGCTGAGGGGAAGGGACCACGTAGTAAGAAGAAGGAGAAGAAGGATTCGGAGAAACAGGATGCGAAGGGGAAGGAGCGAGTGAATGAGGTGAAAGAAGACTCCGACCATCTCTCGTGCATGGCGGCACCCGGCTCATCCTCCTGATTCACCTGGATTCTCGACAGCAGATCTACCACTCACATCTGCAGAACGAAATCGGCCTTCGTTACATTCATGCCTTCGAGCGAGACAATTGGCAGCATTCGGAAGACAGGACCTCAACTTGAGGTGCAAGGGAAAGGTGATATCCTCATCCTGTGCCATGTTCATAGTGGAGACCAGCACGTCGTCATGCTACGAAATGTATGCTACTGCCCGGATGCACGCGATAATATTATCTCAGAGAGTCGTATGGATCAGAAGGGACTATCGATCCACAAGCAGAATGGCCTGGTAGCTATCCAGAACTTGAATGGGAAGGTTATCATGGAAGGTGTGCGATGACGTGACTTATATGAACTCAACTGTGCGATCGCCCCTCCATCCTCCCACATCAGGAAAACCCAACTTTTACTTATGAGATTTATGCTGACTTTTTGTCCTTTTTTGCCTTATTTAAGGCCCATAAGTTCTCAAAAGTCAACCTTTAAGTCTCTAAGGAAATATGACTTATGGACTTTTTGCCCTTTTTTACCTTATTTAAGGCCTATAAGTGCATTTAAGTCATATAAGGACACCTTTAAGTGAAAGTTGGGTTTTCCTGATGCATCCCTCTGAGATCTCATTCACGGCCCAACTCTCTCCATTTGATAGCGAGCTTTGGCACTGCCGGCTTGCTCATATCGGACAGGGCAGTCTCCAATACATGGTAAAGCACGCCCTTGTCACAGGACTCGATCTGAAATCCATAGAGACACTTGGCCCATGCAACGGCTGCGCGAAGGGGAAGCATCACCAAGCACCCTTTCCGAAGCAAGCCACCGATCGTGCTACAAGCACTCTTCATTGCCTCCACATGGATCTTCAAGGACCATTTGACCTATCCATCACCGGCTATTGCTACGCACTCACTGTCGTTGATGACTACAGTCGCAAGGGATGGAAGGCTTTCCTGAAGGTCAAAAGCGATGCGACTTCAGAGATCAAGGATTTGATCACACGCCTCGAGACGTTCTCTGACAAGAAAGTCAAGATTGTTCGATCCGATGGTGGTGGCGAATTTATAGGCAACGACCTCGAGACATATTTCAAATCAAAGAGGATCAAACACGAGACTTCCACTTCACACGCTCCACCACAGAACGGTGTAGCCGAGTGCTATAATCAGACGACACATGAGCACGCCCTCTGCATGTTGCAAGAAGCGAACATGAGCTCGGGTTTTTGGCCTGAAGCCCATGCATATGCATCGCTCATCCGCAATTGGAGTCCTACAAGAGCCCTGGTTGAATCCACGCCCAACAAGGAATTCTATGGCAAGAAACCAGATGTCTCAACCCTTCGCATTTTCGGAGCATGCTGTCATGTTTGCATTCCCCCCGAATCCTGAAAGAAGCTCGATTGTAACCCCGTTCACGTGCTTACCACATTGTTTGTTCCTCCTTTCTATTTTGTCCATACTGTTTATACGATGTTCGACTTCATTGCCTCTTCTTTACTCTCCCCCTTATGGCAACAAAGGTATGTACTTGCTATCGGTCTTGCACTGTAGTATTTACTCTCCCCCTTATGGCAACGAAGGTATAGCTTGCGCCTGTTCCATTTCCAGTCTGATCTGAGTGAAGCGCACCCACAACCGGGCCTGCTTACACTTTTTTTTGAACACCGCGCGCTCATTCCTTTCATCAACCGCCTCACCCTATTGGCTAGCTTATTCACACCTCGCCAAGCTGTCTGCACTGCGCCGCTCTCCTTCCATACCTGATCTCTTAGGTACACGCTCGAGATCGCGCCTTTCGCACCTCGTCGTCCCGCCTCCCACGGATGTCGAGTATAATGACAATCAGCATACTGCCTCTGCCCTGTCGTCTCTCACACTCACTCCACTTTCTGAGCTCTTGGACCTTCTAGCCAATGCCCTCAAGGAAGATCCTTCCCCAAGCATTCCGTCCCCTCATGAGTCGCTGCAGGACCCTTCCGGTTCACAGTCTCACACACAACAACTGCCGAATACCGGTTCTCAACTTGACGCTGATCTCATAACACCCTCTGCCATTTCAACCCCAATATCATCAGCTCCACGCTTGACGATTGATCATCAGCATACCGAATCTAACTCCTTGGACTCATCTGCAGATCTCCCTGCATATACCCACCCCATCCAATCCAAGATGGACTCCACGAAGATGGGTCGCCCGATAGCATCTGTTACGCAGCACTCTATCAAGCAAGCCCTCACCATCTCCACGGGGAAACTCACTCCCTCTGTCTTACTCCAATGGGAGTCCACTTGCATCCAATATTTTAAGAAGAAGTCTGTTCCCGACGATGAAAAGGTTTCGCATGTCACAGGTGGGTTCATGGACGAGCTCGTCCGCAACTGGTACCTTAGCGACAGCGACACCATCGACGCCCTGAAATGGCCCGATTTTGTTTCACTCATGCAAAAGTGTTGGCTCAACAAGAACTGGGAGGACGCCGCCCTCCACCAGCTCATATGTCTCTGCCAATGCGATGATGAGCCTTTCGAAGATTGGATCATCTCCTTGGAGAAACAGAACGCTCTCCTCCGTGGCAGTCCTCTTCGCATGGACACCGCCACCCATGTGCACATCTCTGCCAATGCATGCGAGGAGATCTGTCTCGAATGCAACAAACCTGTATACCGTTCCCTCTCTGACTTCAAAGACTGGAAGGATGCCATCACTGCTTTTGACAACGATCACCTTGCAGACTGTGCTTGCCATCTTCGTGAACTCGATCGTTACTTGCACTCCAACTGTTCTTCCGCTGCCCCCTCCTCGTCATCTACCAACCGCCATGCATTTGCCTCCAAGACTGCCCCACCTGGCATAATTCAAAGCTACGTGCCGTTCTCCCCAAGCTCACCGATTCTGACCATGCCCTCCTCGACAAATACGAGGGCTGCTACAAATGTCGCCGCTTCTTCATCAAGTGCAAGAAGAACAACTGTCTGAATGACTTCCCCGACGCAGCGACCTACCAGCCTCTTACTGCAGCCGCTGGATTTGCTGCCAAGAAGGCCCACGACTCAGGTCGTTCTCATGTCGCTGTGGTCACTGATGGTGACAACATTGACGAACATCTCATCACCGCTGTCAACGTTACTCCTGACTCGCCGCTTGCCGCTGCTTCCTGCGTCCTTGGCACTGGCGATGATTGGGTCTCAGATGAGTACGTGCTCGCTGACCTCACCATACCCCACCTTGTTTGGTGAGCGATCATACACTCACCTTCCTCTTCTGCCCCTTTTATGCCTGTTCCTATGCTAATAGACTGCAGTTCGCCCTCAGTTCTGATTAGAGATGACCTCGTCAAATGCTACCACCTCTGCCGCTTCAAGCTCAAAACACCTTTCCCTCTTGGTAATGCATGGGGCATGGGGCATATGGAAGCGCATGAATGGGTGAAGCTGCATGTTGCATCTCCGGATTTCTCTTAGTCTTCTGTCACTTGTCGAGCTGTAATTGTACCGTCACTGTGTGCACCTGTAATCCTCGGTAACCCCTTCCTTAAATTCAATCATCTCATCCTTGATGTTGATGCATGCTCCGTGGTCAATAAATGCTCAGAATGCAACATACTTGAGGACGTTTCTCCTCCTTCCCCCCCCTCTCGCACCGAATTCCCCCGCTGCCCAACGTCATGACGTGGATGAAGGTGCACACCTTAATGCCCAGTTTCGTCTCTCCCAGCACCGGGATCTCATGTGAGACCTTCTTCTCAACCACGCTCCTCTGCCTGATACAACTTCGCCACATATGCCATCGCCCACTGTTATCGCAGCAGTGCATTCCAGGGTCTAAGACCTCACTTACCTTGAAACTCTTTCTCGCGAGAATGACATGAAAATGTGCTTCGCAGATCTTTTTCTGGATGACCTTCCGCATATCGATGAACTCCCAACAGATGTATACCACCACTTCCGCCTCAAGGATCCTAACCTTGTAATAGCTCGACGACAATATGAATGCCCTAAGAAGTATCGTGAATCCTGGAAAATTCTCTTACAACAGCATCTCGATGCTGGACGTATGCATCTGTCCTCCTCTCCATACTCCTCTCCTTGCTTCCTCATCCCAAAGGCCGACCCTACTGCTCTCCCTCGCTGGGTTAATGACTACCGTATCCTCAATGCCAACACCATCCCCGACATCCATCCCCTCCCTAGTATCCAGGAAATCCTGTCTGACTGCGGCCACAGAAAGATTTGGGGTAAGCTTGACATGACTAACTCTTTCTTTCAGACCCACGTCCATCCGGACGATGTCCCATACACCGCGGTAGCAACCCCGTTTGGTCTATATGAGTGGACAGTCATGCCCCAAGGTTGTCAGAGTGCACCGGCAACACACCAACGTCGTATGTTCACTGCCCTTTGCCCTTATATCGGCTCGATTTGTCATGTTTATCTCGATAACATCATTATCTGGTCAGACTCTTTGGATGAACACCGCCGTAATGTTGAGACTATCCTGTTCGCACTGCGCTCACACCACCTCTACTGCTCACCGAAGAAGACTGACCTTTTCTGCCTCGAACTACATTTTCTCGGCCACTGCATCTCTCGTGCTGGCATGGAAGCGGACGACTCTAAAGTTGACAAAATCCTATCTTGGCCTGTCCCTTCCTCCGCTTCTGACATCCGCTCCTTTCTGGGTCTCGTCAAATACATCTCTAACTTCTTGCCTGCCCTCTCACAATTCACACATATCCTTAACACACTCACCACAAAGGAAGCTGAACACAACTTCCATTGGTCTTCAGCGCACCAAGACGCGTTCACTGTGATCAAATCGCTCATCGTCAGCTGTGAATGCCTCACTGTCATTGACCATCAGAACATGGGCGACAACAAGATTTTCGTGTGCTCTGATGCAAGCGATTGGTGCACCGGTGCTGTCCTGTCATTTGGCCCCACCCTGGAATCTGCTCGTCCCGTTGCTTTTGACTCCATACAATTGAAGGGCCCCGAACTCAACTACCCTGTCCACAAGAAGGAGCTTCTCGCCATCATGCGTGCTCTCAAGAAGTGGCATGTAGATTTGATTGGTGTGCCTTTCACTGTATACACTGACCATCGCACTCTCGAGAATTTTACCTTCCAGAAGAACCTATCTCGGCGGCAGGCACGATGGCAGAAGTTCCTCGCTCAATATGATTTCAACATTGTTTACCTCCGCGGTGAAGATAACACAGTAGCTGACTCCCTTTCTCGGCTACCGCCCCCCCTCGCCCCACTTGCCCCCGAACTCACCCCAATTGACCCTACAACAATTGCATCCCTCCCCCTCTTTTGGTGTGCAGCTCGTGGTCTGAGCTCGATCTGTACGCCCCCACTCATCCCTCCTTCGGACATCTTCACACATGTGGCAACAACGCACCTATGTGTGGCAACTGACCCCGACTGGCTCACACGGATCCATGCTGGATATCACGAGGATAAGTGGTGCTCATGCCTGCTCCTTGATCTTGCACACACTGACTCCATAGACTCTGCTGCTGAACTTTTCACTGCCGGCAAACTCGATGGTCTACGATCTGCTGGTATCGCTGTCAACAACTGACTTCTATACGTAGGTGATCGCCTCATCATTCCTCGTGTCACTGACATCTGCGAGGGCCTTTTCTGCCTCGCCCATGACTCTCTTGGACATTTCGGTTTTGACAAATCGTACGCTCATCTCCGCACCACCTACTACTAGCCAAACATGCGTAAGGAACTTGAACACCTTTATGTCCCCGCCTGTGGTGAGTGTCAGTGTAATAAGTCGCTGACTCGAAAGCCTGTTGGTCCCCTCCACCCTCTCCCTGTTCTGGACCATTGTTGCGACAGTGTCGCCATTGATTTCATCGGGCTCCTCCCGGAGGATGATGGCTTTAACTGCATCGTCACCATGATGGACCGTCTAGGTAGTGATATCCGTCTCGCGCCATCTCACACAGATATTTCCACTGAGGATTTCACTGCCCTCTTCTTTGAGAAATGGTACTGCGAGAATGGCCTCCCTCTCAATATTGTCTCCGACCGTGACCATCTCTTCATCGGCTGCTTCTGGAAGGCTCTGCACAAACTATCCAGTGTCAAACTTTGCATGTCCACATCCTACCACCCAGAAACTGACAGTTTCAGTGAGCATTCCAACAAGACTGTCATCCAGATGTTACGGTACCACGTCGCTCGGAATCAACGCAGTTGGGTATGTGCACTACTTCTTGTCTGTTTTCAGCTCATTAATTCTAAAAACGCTTCGACTGGTTTCACACCTTTCCAACTTAATCACGGCCGCTCGGCTCGGGTTATTCCCCCCATCACTGATGCCGCTGTCGGGACCATCTCCACGAAATTTGGCCTTGACGCCACCCATGCCGCAGACCTCCTCAACCACATGGAGCTGGATGCTCTCGAAGCACGCAACAATCTCATTCTTGCTAAGTCCAACCAGATGCTCACCGCGAATTCCTCACGCTCTCCCGAGATCGTCTATTCTGTTGGCGACCAAGTCCTTCTTTCCACTTTCCATTGTCGGTGTGATTACATGCAATGTGGTGACAACCGCATTGCCAAATTTATGGTTCGTTATGATGGACCTTACACCGTTACTGACTCCTACCCGGAGTTCTCTGCTTACACTCTTGATTTACCGCCACACATGTCTATCTTTCCAACCTTCCACTCCTCTCTGTTGCGCCCTTTCCTTACTAACGATGCCACCCTTTTTCCATCTCGCGAACTTGCTCAACCTGGCCCCATTGTCATGCCCAATGGCCAGGAGGAGTGGCTTGTCGATCGCATACTCGAACGCCACTGCCATGGTTGCGGCTAGCGTTACCTCATATGATGGACTGGTTATGGCCCCAAATCCAATACTTGGCTACCCGGCTCTGAGGTTGTGGACCTCCAAGCACTCGACGTGTTCCTTCAAGGACATGATTTAATGACATAAGTCACCTCCAAGTCCACTGGCGCTCAATACGCTCTGCTCAAGGACCTTCCCTTCCTGCTTGTTTCTACAACCCTCACTTTCGACACTCTTCCTTCCTTCCCTTCCTATTACCTTCCCCCATGCCAATTTTTTTCAGCCAATGAGAGTGTAACCCCTTTCACGTGCTTACCACATTGTTTGTTCCTCCTTCCTATTTTGTCCATACTGTTTATACAATGTTCGACTTTGTTGCCTCTTCTTTACTCTCCCCCTTACAGCAGTGAAGGTATGTACTCGCTATCAGTCTTGCACTGTAGTATTTACTCTCCCCCTTATGGCAACGAAGGTATAGCTTGAGCCTGTTCCATTTCCGGTCTGATCTGAGTGAAGCGCACCCACAACTGGGCCCACTTACATCGATGCACACTCGCTTGATGGCATTTTCTGCAGTTTTGCACCTAATCAGAAGGCGTACAAGATCTGGATCCCTTCGAGGCACAAGTTTATGGTATCTCGAGATGTTATTGTCTACGAGAATGTCCCAACAATGCCCGAGGACGATGACCAAAACCCTGCTTTGAGCGAGGGGGTGACTGCGAGTAAGTCCACTCAAAGCAATAGTCCTGACAAGGCTGTTGGCAGAGAACCTTCCGCGACATCACCACCACATCCTCTAACTCCTCAGGCTTCGGCATCACCAGCTCCAGCACCAATCCCTACACTGCCCGAAAATCAGCCATCCACTGCATCAGCACCCACTCCCGCCAGTACTCCCGCACCAGCGCCAATGCCCACACCAGCTCCCACACCTCTCCGATGTTCAGAATGTGTCACGTGCCCATCTTGGATCAAGCAAGCTGCCGAGAAACAGCAGGCACAAGAACAGGTGATGAAGACACACAACAAGGTGATCAAGGAAGCACGCACACTGTGGAGACAAATGAAGGTACAGGCGAGAACAGCTCCAGAACCCATACCAGAGGACGCCACAGTCTCAACGACACCTGAAGGTGACATTGCGCAAGTCGCCTATATGGCAGCATTTGGCATGAACATGCCGATGAATTTCTGTGAGGTGACGAAGTGCTCGGAGGCCGATAACTGGTGGACAGCAATGCACGAAGAGATCGACATGCTGCAGAGGCATGGTACATGAGTACTCGAGGACTTGCCACCTGGCCGGAAAGCCATTGGCAACCGCTGGACATATGTTATCAAGTGTGGCCCACAAGGTAAGATCCTACGATACAAAGCCCGACTTGTTGCACAGGGATTTTCACAGATTCCCGGCATAGACTTCAATGATATATTTTCCCCCACTGTTCGACTCAAATCTCTTTAGGCGATCTTACATCTCACCGCCACATATGGATGGCATTGTGGACAGGATGACGTGACTAGCGCGTTCTTGCACAGCAAGGTTGACATTATCATTTATATGCAGCAGCCTGTCAGATTTGATGACAGTACTGGACGTGTTTGTCACTTACTGCTAAGCTTGTATGGTCTTAGGCAGTCATCCCACCTCTGGAACGAGTACATGGATGGCCAACTGTCAACAATCTCATTCCATCGACTGATCTGTGATAGTGCCATCTATGTTCATCATACAGAAACCGGTGCGAATTCCATCCTGGCGATCCATGTTGACAATACCCTCAGCTTCTCAGACTCAGCAGAGGAGCTCGCTTCTGTCCAAAAGCAGCTTCACAGTATCTTTGAGATGAAGGAGGAGGATCCCAACTGGTTGATGGGTTTCGAACTCATTGACAATCCCCAGGAATGTACTGTCTCCATCTCGCACTGCCAGTACATCTCCACCATTCTCAGACACTTCAAAATGGAGGATTGCATTCCTGTACCAACCCCCATGGAGTCCAGTCTGCACCTCTCAGTTCACGATGCACCATTGACACTGGAGGAGATCGTGGAGATGAAGAAACAGCCATATCGCAAACTTGTTGGCACCCTGACCTGGATCTCAGTCATCTCACGCCCTGATGTAGCATTTGTCAGCACGCACCTCGCGCAGTTTAACACCAATCCCGGCAAGAGGCATTGGGAAGCTGCAAAATGAGTGCTTCGATATCTCGTGGGCACTCGCAACCTTCACCTCGAATTGGGAACTGCGGATGAGGAAGGTGACATGAACAAATTGGTCGGCTATACAGATGCGAACTGGGCGCACGACGTTGACACTCGACGCTCCATCTTGGCATACGTTTTCCAGCTCAGCAACTCATCAATAGCCTGGAGCAGCAAATGCCAGATGATCGTTGCCTCATCGTTGACTGAGAGCAAATATATGGCCTTGTCTTATGGCGCGAAACAGGCACTGTGGTATCAGTGTTTCCTCACGGAAATTGGACTCACTCTCAGAGGAACCCCTACCACACTCCTAACAGACAATATGGCTGCAAAGGACATTGCAAAGGATACCCGTCACCATGGACGTACCAAACACATCGATGTATAGCACCACTTCATCCGCGAGCGCATATAAGACGGAAACTTCAATGTCGTTCACTGTCCCACTGCAGCAAACATTGCTGATGGACTCACCAAGCCCCTGGACAAGGAGCCATTTTCCAAAATGGTTTCTGATTTAGGACTCTCACTCCATTGAGGGGGTGTGTTGTAGATACAATTTCGTGTAGTCCTCTCACTCCTTCATAGTTAGTTTCCTAATCGGGTACAGACGCTCGCGTAGTATACACGCTCGCTACACGTTTCGTTTCCCTCAGTCCTTTTGCTATTGACATCAGATTGAGGGTAAGCTACATTCCTTTACTATACATTAGTTACTCATGCTGATCTACCTGTAGGACTGACTCAGTCCGTGTCTAGGTAGATAATTGAGTCCTTTTGCTATTGACATCGGATTGAGGGACTGACTCAGTCCGTGTCTAGTCTTCAACACAAACCAGAGTGAGCATATGTCGATATTTCAATGAAAATAGCTGCAGGAAAAATAAACCCACTGAATTCGGGTGGTGTTCTGGCGCGATCACGATGCGGTGTGACATATACACGTGATCATTACCGTGACACCAGATTTACTACCAGCCTGTCCGAGTTTGGTCCGAGTCGTACTCACCGTGGCGGCATGCGCCAGTCAATGCATTTTACTTCACCAACCGACACGCCGATATCGAGCAGGCTGGATGGTAAACACGGCTCTCCTCGGGCAAGCACACTCTCGACTCTGGCACCAGAGGATTGAATAACTTCCGCTGCCCATCCCGGTGAACCTCCTCAAGCCGCACCCAATACGCGCGTCGAGCAAGGCTCTGGCATGCTACTAGCAAGTACTCCTCTCCGCGACAGGACGCACCAAGCGACTATCGCGCTCCACCATATCTGACGACGACGGTGCATCCCCGCGCGGGGAGGGCTCATTCAGTTGGTCCAGGTCAGAACGACGCGCAGTCGGCCTGCATGATGACGTCGGGATGCGCATCAAGCTCAGAGTTGCGTATCCTCTCCCATGACAAGCAAGTTGCACATCTGAAGGCGAGCGCGCGCCAGTTGCGGAGCGAGAACGACGTGCAGCGAGGGCAGACCGACGAACCATCTGCCTCGACTCTGAACAGACACGAATTAAATACGCAGACGGAGATATCCCGAGGGGATTCGAGCACACTGCACTACATGGCGATATAACACCGATCACCTGCAGAACCACAGAATGATAGAATCGATCCAATGTAACCAAGGAGAACCCATCTACATGGTATATCTTCAACAAAGGCTGAAGAGGGGTCACGCCTCGTCATTGAGAGATCACCGAGGAATGCTAGATAAATATAGGGTAAATCTTCCCCTACGTTGAGAAAAGTGACAAGGATTTTGAGAAAGGTGACAAAAATTTTGAGTATGCGCGAACAAACGAGTGTCGTAGAAATTGTACGCATACGAACAGGTCGGGTGACAACCATGTCGAAGAGATTGTCCAGTAGGACAAGCTTAGTTTGCACGACAGGCCGTGCAGGCAAAGGCGGCGGAGGAAGTCCGCGCATCGCCCGGGATACTAATTGGCGACAACACGTGTCAGCCACGAGCTGAATAAAAGCTGTGAACGCCAGCTGGCTTACCTTCTAGCCTGATCCGCGACATGAGCATATGCACACCTTGCTGCAGTCCAATAAAAGCGTAGGTGACTGATCGCCGGGTAGAATTTTTATTAGGCGAATTCGGGAAGGTATGATAGATGAACACCGCCATCTGGAAGATGTTCATTTTCTCGACGGCGACTGGTTCCGTCGGATAATACTTGAAGGAAAGACTCGTCAGGGTCTGGCTTGAGGGACCTGCTACTATATCCGATTCTAGAATGGCAGCCTGGGAGACTACACGGGGGATAGCCAGCGTGTGCAAGCGGGGACAGTGGAGGGCGAATGCCGAGAGAGAGAAGATGGATGGCGCGTCCACGTTGTGTTTGTCATCATAAGCCAGCGTTAGTGACTCTAGGTGAGTCCAGGCTGCAGCCATGTCGTGGACATCCACACTGGTGAGAGACAACGGGACACGAACGTTCACGTCCAGAGACTCGAGGCCGCGAACCTGTAAGAGCGGTGCCAGTGCGTCGATTACACGCGCGCAAGGTTTATCCACGACGTAGAAGCATTTGATTGCGAGCACACGGAGGGAGGAACTGAGCTCCATGCTCAGTGCGTCAATGAATGCACGGCAGGGCAGCCATACATCAAAGAAGTAGTTGACCTCAACTTTGACCGTGTGCAAAAGGGGTGCAGAGAGACCTTTAAAAAAGCAGGCTAGTTTTGATGGGCGTCCTGTAATATTCAGAGATTCCAGAGATCCAAAGGTGTACGGAACTACAACTTTTGCAGCTCCAACCGAAAGGCGCAGATATCGCAGTGCCTTCATATCAGCCAGTGCGCTTAGAATCGGGGCCGAGACACCACAAGACTCGACATCCAACTTCTCGAGCCTGCTGAACTGGACGATGATCTCCGGAAGGAGGGAGGACAGCGCACCAGACACGGTAAGTTCTCGCAAGGAGGAGGTCTGTGGCGCTAGAGGATGAACGTGTCTTCTAAGAAGCTGTGTAGGTGAGAGAGAGAAAAGAGGGGGCTTTGTCTGTGTGGATGATGCTAATACCGTCATCTCATCAGAAGGGCGGATTACCCCTGTCACGAGAAGGAGCAGCATCTCAGCAGTACTAGAATTAGAGGACAGCTCCAGCGAGACTAACGATGGAAAAATGGGTCGGTCGCCTGAATGGCGAGCCAGGAACATTAAATCCTTGGGTCTGACACTCTCGGCAATGTGAAGAAGGCACAGGATATGCACCCGACGGGCATAGGCGAGGAACCGCATCCAGTCGTTATCCAAAGTTGGTGCTGAGGTGGCCTGCGGGACGATAAAATTAGCTATTGCAACGTGATCGTGCAGTATGGGGGCAAGAACATACGCTTTGATATGCATATAGCCTTTCCGAACGCATTGATTTCTCCAGTAACTTCAACAGAGGCATAACACTTTCCAAGTGCTGCCACAGAACGTCAAGCGCAGCATCACAGAAGTCTTTGCACACCAACGCCAAGTTGGCCAGAGTCCTCCCATCGGAGAGCGAGTTGAGATGGTTAAATATTTCTCGGAGGATGTCTTCTGTCTCAAGGGCACGAGTTTGCATGAGCATTAAGGCAAGAGAGCAGTGGGGAGACTACTACCCTATTAGTTGCGAGGGAAGAGAGTATATTCATTGGGGGTGAAGCCAGGGGCACAAACCCCTGGCGGGAACCGTAATGTCGACACTAGCGCCGACCTCTGCGTGAGTGGTCCAGGGGCAGTACCTACTACCGACGTACTAGTGAAACTGGCCATGGAGAACTGTAAACCGACGTTTCAACTCAACTTACCGGGTGATATCGATACCCCCCAAGAAGCTTAGTCTCGGAACCACCCGTTCTGACCTTCAACCCTTTTTGGGAATTGAGGTGGAAGGGTTGTCAGAACGTCTGGTGAAAATTGTATAGAGGGGGGGGTATGTAACGCTCTCCCCACTTGAGAGCCTGCTCAAACACGTCCGCGAGGAGTGCGGTATTGAAAACGTCGCCCACAGGAGCTGCGATGACGATCGCGCGCAAAAGATGCATGCGGGTTTGCGGGCTGCTGAGCATGTATCTGCAGAACGCGGTGAGTTGGAGGCACGTCCCGAGAACTATGGCCGAAAGTGCCTGAGGGAGCGCAATGAGATGGAGATGGCGACAGGTCTCGGACAAGCGGAGAGCATCGAGTGGATGGAGAAAAGAGGTAACAAGAAGGAGAACATCGTCGTTGAGGGACAGGCTCATGCTGTCCCAGCGTCTGTTGCGGTCACCTCGCGGCAGAGGGCGCTGGTTTAGGCTCGTAAACTATTTGATAGGAAGAAAGAGTCGTTGCTGGAGGGGATCGTACGAGACGCTTGAGAACATAGAGACGTGTTCGGTCCGAGAGGTCGACAGTGCGCTAAGCGATGGCGCGAAATGGTCTGAGTGTGAAACGACCGGAAGGGTAAGTGCTCGCGAAATATAAAACTAGAACAGTATACGTCTCTATAAGCAAGGCTTCAGCGCAGTGTGACACTCCCGACCGTCGCGTTCTAAACTTGAGCTTGAAGCTGGAAACGTTGAGGGACAGCAGGCTCATGCTGTCCAGCCATGCCCGGGCGCCTGGCACTCAGGCTGTGGTCACCGCGGCAGGCGCTAGTCGTAAGGCGCTTGTCTAACTTTTCTTCTACCACGTCTCACCTTTCAGGGCTATGTACAACTTCCCCGACTTACAGGTGGTTGCACAATATTGGCCATAAGGCGATTCCATCAAATATTCTCAGGAACGTACTCCGCATTATTGGTTCTCAAATCTTGCGCTGGCGATCGGGTTTCGCGCTTCGACAGCCTTGGATATCTATGTCGTGTTGAAGTACCACGCTTGCGCTGAAATATTATTGCAAGTGACTGGTCAAGCAAGCTGGTGAAGTGAACGTTCTCGTCGGATAAGCCATACCTCCTGCCAAATTCTGCGGTGGACCCACAAAGGCGATGCGCTGGCCATCTGAAATGCACTCGATTTGCTTTTTGTCTGCATAACCCCACTACTGACATAACCCTGCTCGCCAGATATCCAGTATACACATACGGTATTTATCATTCGTTGCTGGGTCTTTTTCTGGAAGTTGCTAGCTTGTGGTTCCGATTTCCTATACATTCTCAGGCTCGACTGAAACCTCAGTAACTGGTAAGTGATTGAAGATCCAATGGGGACTTCTACCGTCTATATTATTGTGCTGCTCTGGCCATCTTCTGGGTAACTTACGTCCCCGTGCGTATCATGGAGATATCGAGCGACTTTCACCATATGGTCGGCAGACCACAATCTGGTGAAACTTGTATTGTTCCAAATGGAGGCCACTCAATCCACCGAATCCACCTTAAAGTTAAACGCGGTAGCCAGAGCAGCGGTCGACCACATCCCATATCCCTCAACCTCCGTCCTGCAGCGCACTTAGTAGCTCTCCACCAAATAATGAATATGCTCAAGCATTTCTTTTCGACCGCTCACTCGAACGAATACGCCGCTCTGCATTCTTATGAGGAGACGCCAAACCCTACGCAAGATATCCATCTTCCCTTCTAAGTCATTTAGCGGCGGCGCCACAGCGTCTGACGAGTGCTCTGTTGTCCCTCCCATCCGATGCGCCACACCGCACTCTTCATTTCTGCCATCACATATCATACCGGAATTCATCCGCTGGGAAACGGTCAAAGGCGAGGTGAAAGAATATTGTCGCTTGACCGGAGCTTCTATCCTGGGTGGCGCGGCAGGATTGCTGCTGTACAGCAGTTACCAAATCGTGGTGATGGGTCCCGAGAGGAGGAAGGCGCCTGCTCGTGCCAATTTTTTTTCTTGCTTTGCTTAGCGACTATTCTGCATCGGACACATGGCACGTTCCCTATTGTTGGTCTCTAAGGCGATTGTCTTTGTGCTGCAACGTGACGCGAACATCTCGCTGCTTGCTTTGTGGCTGCCGGAGTTGCTGACTGGCGTAAGCGCCGGGCTTTCGAGCTATATAAGACCCTACGAGGTGCGAGCTTTCCTCAGTTAATCCCCCTCCTCCGCACTTCAACCAGACATGCAAAAACGAATTTTGGTATCCCGAGTCACCGCTTATGAGCTCTGGACCTCATTCAGACAAACTCATCCGTGGACTGCACACGTTATCTTGGAATGGACGTGCGTTAGCTCGACTGTCTGTCTCTTCACTATCCTAATGATTCCTTTTCTGCAGTACCGGCACAGCACATATGAGAATGCGTATCAAGCGTTGTCTAGTCAGTAACTTTTCCGTGAGTTCAAGAACTGCGCTGACATTATTAGTCTCAGATGCGTTCGCGGGTTTGTATTATATGCAGAGAAATCGACGGTGCGGAGTGCGGCCGCTCAGCGCGTGACCTAGGATTTCCCCTCTTTCATGATCCGTATATATTGTGCGTCAGAGTCTTCTTTCGCTCACCGATACTGATGCCACTGCTCAACTCAGGTGTGAACAATCTATGTCTGACTCCATGGCAAATATGGCGGACGTCAGTGTACAGTCCCCGTTTGTTCAGCAGGAACACGCTCTGCCGGGTCGAGCAGTACCCTCGTCACATAACGAAGGACTTTCCATCCCTGCTCATGGAGCACCATGGATTACGGAGTTGGATGATCAAACATTTTTGGATCATGACCAGCTTGATCCGCTCTCCGAGCGGCTTCTCGCTAGTTCCACGATGATGTATCACGACTTACATTATCCATATCAACCATCCTCATCACATGTGCAAGCGCCTGCAGCACGCGGACCAGAGCATCTTTCGCTGTGCCACGCACCTCCCGTCGGCATTGTGGTGTTGTCCGATTTTGGGTTTTGGACGACGGGAGGGCTTACATCTGCTCGAAACTGACTGTTTATTGCAGGGTTTGTGAAGAGAGCCCAAGGTTTCGTACACCATATTCACAGCCCTTTCCGCACAAAATGACCGATTCCCCTCTGTACGTCCTTCACCATGTCTTTCAATAAGACGATCTGACTAAAAGCTACAGGACGACCATGGGCCTGCCCAGGGGAGGTGGGAAAATGGGGAACTGCGCCATCCGACACCTCGCTCTAGCTACTCTTGCAGGAGCTCTTAGGCATCCTGCTGTCATCGAGGTATGCGATGTTGAGGCCTAAATTGTCTGTACTAATAAAAGTTCAACAGAGTCAGCCAGTAGTCGAACAGGACTAGCTAGTGATTGAACAGAACCAACCTGTATTGGACCAGCAACCAGTTGAACAGAGCCAGTTAGTGGCTGACCGGATTCCGCAAGAGCGTTGCACGCCCTCGCGTGAATTTCAAACAAACGCGGCACTGACGTTCGAATTCTGCAACAATGGAGATAAGTTCTTTCCAGCGAGGGACGCCCTAACTGAGAATTTTGCCGGACTACACCTGGCGTGACGAGGTCGTGATCAACACAGACTACGGGCGAGAAAGCGCCAAGCCGATGATTCGATTCTTCGTACGTTTTCACTCGCCCTCCGAGATCATATTGCTGATTTCTTTTCCCACAGTGGCTAGGTCAACGAACCGAGGACTCCCGTTGCTGTTTGCTTACCAGGACACGGAGCTCAAGCATGGAGCTGGAGAATGGCTATGTGTGGAAGGTGATCCACCTCCGGGACCGAAAGGTCGAGGCGAGTTCGCGCGCCGCAGACTGCAATAGGTTGGGTTCGACGTTCAGCGATTCTTGAAGACTTCGATGTCGGTTCTTTCTATCCTGTAATGTGCATGTTGTATGTGGAGAAGATGTCGTCTCGGTGCTGGTTCTATCCAATCTGTAACGTGCATCTCGTCCGTTGGAGTCTCCGTGTTGGTTCTATCCACTCTGTATTTTGAGCACTGTACTAGTCCATTTAAAATTCATATCTGTAGAGCTTGTTTACTGTGTACGTCAAGACTAGGTAAAACAAGAGTTAGTACATATGTGGGGATGTAGCAGAGAATATCATGTCAATCTTAGTAAATGTTGAAATGCCAGTCACTTTGGATGTAGCGAAGCACCAGTGTCACTCACCTCTCCACACCACTCTCCTCACCTCGTAAATTCTACCTTTGCAATCCCTCGCCCTTGCAATCTGGGCATTACAGAGAGAAAATCCTGCTCCCAACTTCTCGCGGGGTCTTCGGTATCGCCTCCGGAAGAGAACCGGAAGATCACCTGCTCTAGCAGGGAGAACTGAGACGTCCTCAATGGCCCGCGCGCTCCATCCGGAGTAATACATCTTTCGCACCGTCCAGCGGTGTAGCGTTATATCCATAGTGAAATGAAAATGTCAACGAACACATTACTCGACTGCATATATGTCGAGATAGTAACTCTTCTATCGAGCCAAAATCTGTACGATCGAGTCGGATAGGAATCTGGAGCGACCGAAGGCTCGTCAAATGAACCATGCTCAAGCCTTCTTCTGGCAAAAACCTCAGCAGTCTACCTGGGGTATCGTATAAGAAAAACTGACCTGATACGAACGACTCCATCCATTCATTGTCTGCTCTAAATGTGAGATGCTGAAGAGACGAGCCGACAGCGCGCAGTAACTGAGCTAGCCCAGTGAGTTCCACGTCATCGATCTGAAAAAGAGGTAGACACAAGAACTGCAAGCAAGGATAAATACTACGTACGACGAGATCATTCCATTGGAAGCGGGACCTGTAACAATCCAGCGCAAACGGATTTGAGCCGTGTTCCAGCCAAGATACGTTCCAGAATTCAACGGCAAGTAAGTTCGGAAAGCTCGAGACTAGGCGGGCGAAGTCCAAGAAAGTTCGAAATTCGACGTGAAAGAGCCGCAGATCGGTAACGGAAGCAAACACGTGGATAGCTAAGAAGTAAATTGGATGGAGGGGAGCCACAGACGGCGTGGAATAAGGCGATTCGATAGTAAGTGACGTCGTTGCTCGCGTTCTTAATCCTAAATTGTCCCACGTGCTTTTCCCCAGATGCGTAGACACACTTAGGTTAAGTTCGTCGTCTCTAAGACTAGCCGCTGAGTCAATGTCGCCGTGTTGCTGGTGCTCCGCACGGCCACCATGAAGAACCACTGCCGCTATGAACCACCACCACCACTGTGGAGACCGCGGCACACTGTAAACGTCTGGCTCGCGGATTCGGACACCTTTTTCGCTCACCTTCGAGAAGGCCCATAGACTGCACGTAACGATTAACGCGTAAATCCCCGACGCGGCCTTAGCGGCAGTTGAGCGGCCCTTAACGCACTGCAATTTCTTAGACCCTCCGCTATCCCACTGGCTATTTCACCCATATCAGTATCGTGAGCCTATCGACAGCGAAGGGGCGGTCAACAGTACAGGCAATTTTCATTGACGATGGAATAAACATCCGAAGTGAGGGAATTATCACAGAACCAACGGCTAAGACTGTCATCGAATACGTGAGTAATTACTCGCTCCCTAGTGCAGAACAACCTACAGGTCCGTATCGTAAACATCAAATTTAATTCGCAACTGCAGAGCATAGAGTTTCGTGAATGGCCTCACCAGCCTCGAGGGACATCGCCACGAGCCTGCGTGAGTCGCCGGATCCCTCGACACTCCACTATGAATACTCGCAATCGGTCTGCCAGTGTTCATGCTCGATGGGCATAGATTTCACTGACATGTAGCGCAACGAGGGACCCACATGTTGCAAGAGTATGTCCTGAATCTGCTGCCGGAGACTGGTGCGCGAATGCGCCACAGATACACGGAGACAGTGGAGGTTCAACGAGGCGAGGAGTGGGGATATTACGCGCTAATAAATAGAAAACCAGAGATCAACGCGATACGACAATTGCATCATCAAGACCGAGTGTGCTTACCAGCCATTCAGTAACAAAGGAAAACACTCGAACACCATTTTCAAGCACCCTCATGGTATCCAACTCTAAGTCCAGATACCTGAGCTGTGGAGAAAGCGCGACAAGGCATGTCCAGAATGCAAGCAACGGGCGGACAAAGATTTTCAGCGAGAGCGTCAGGGGCTGGACGAACTGCAGCACACGCAGTGCTTGTCCAATGTCCTCTTCTGTCGTCGCGATCCTCATCCAAGACGCGTCGAGGCTTACATTGCGCACAGTGCGCGGCGTCGGTGAGAGAACCGCATCTGGTGTGGGTCCAAGTATCTCGCCCAGCCACACCTCCACACGGTCGAGATTCGGGAACGGGAATAAAACTGCGGGGATCTGAGCATAGTGGAGGCTGAGGTGCTGCAACGCCACGAAAGGCGCTGCGGGTTGGCCCACAAGCGTGTCATCTTCGATCGTGATGTTGAATAGTGAAAGCGTCACTGCGTGTCGCAGAGCAGAAAGCTGAGAGAGATGGAGTACAAGCCGAGGATACTCCATAGGGCAGAGAAGCTGCACTTTGCGCGGCTTACTGCGCAGTCTCAGGAGCATCTCCCGCACAAGCTCGCGAGCATTAAACAGGGTGACGTCCTCGAGGTCCTCGAGGGCAGCGAGAGTAGTGCTGATCCGCGGTTCCGCCTCGATGAAGGTGTCTGAATGATGCATGTGGATCGACCGCAGTCTGAGAGCCTGTTCAAACACGTCCGCGAGGAGTGCGGCATTGGAAACGTCGCCCACAGGAGCTACAATGACGAGCACGCGCAAAAGATCCATAGGGGTTTGCGGGCTGCTGAGCATGTATCTGCAGAATGCAGCGAGTTGGAAGCACGTCCCGAGAACTATGGCCGAAAGTGCCTGAGGGAGCGCGATGAGATGGAGATGGCGACAGGTCTCGGACAAGCGGCGAGCATCGAGTGGATGGAGAAAAGAGGCGACAAGGAGGAGAACATCGTCGTTGAGGGACAGCAGGCGCATGGACAACATCATGATGCGCCTGCACCAAGTACTGTGGTCACTGCGGCAGGCGCTAGTTGTAAGGCGCTTGTCTAACTTTCCTTCTACCGCGTCTCACCGTTCAGGACCACGTACAACTTCCCCGACTTACAGGTGGTTGCACAATATTGGCCATAGGGCGATTCCATCAAATATTCTCAAGAACGTACTCCGCATTATTGATTACTTGGCGAAATCCTCAAATCTTACGCTGACGATCGGGGTTCACGCTTCGATATCCTTGAATATCTCTGTCGTGTTGAAGTACCACGCATACGCAGAAATATTGTTGCAAGCGACTAGTGACTGGTCAAGCAAGCTGGTGAACGTTCTTGTCGGATAAGCCATACCTCAGGCTCCTGCCAAATTCTGCGGTGGACCCACAAAGGCGATGCGCTGGGCCATCTGAAATGCACTCGGCTTGCTTTTTGTCTGCATACCCCACTACTGACATAACCGTGCTCGCCAGATATCCAGCATACGCATATGGCATTTATCATTCGTTACTGAGTCTTTTTCTGGAGAGTGCGAATCCCTAGCTTGTGGTTCCGATATTCCTGTACGTTCTCAGACTCGACTGAAACCTCAGTAACTGGTAAGTGTTTGAAGACCCAATGAGGACTTCTACCGTCTATATTATTCTGCTGCTCTGGCCATCTTCAGGGTAAGTTACGTCCCCGTGTGTATCGTGGAAATATCGAGCGACTTTCTCCATATGGTCGGCAGACCACAATCTGGTGTAACTCGTATTGTTCCTAACGGAGGCCACTCAAGCCACCAAATCCCTTAAAGTTAAACGCGGTAGCCAGAGCAGCGGTCGACCACATCCCATATCCCTCACCCCCGTCCTGCAGCACTTAGTAGCTCTCCACCAAATAATGAATATGTTCAAGCGTTTCTTTTCAAAGGCTCACTCGAACGGATACGCCGCGCTGCGTTCTTATGAGGAGGCACCAAACCCTACGCAAGACATCCATCTTCCCTTCTACACCTCTCTTCCTTCCCTCCACGACCCGCGGCAGTTACCCGCGGCCCATGTACACATCGATCTCCGTCTTGCGAAGTCATTCGGTGGCGCCACAGCGTCTGACAAGTCCTTTGTCGTCCCTCCCATACGATGCGCCACACCGCAGTCTTCATTTCTGCCATCACATATCATACCGGAGTTCATCCGCTGGGAAACGATTAAAAGCGGCGTGCATGAATATTGTCGCCCGATCGGCTGGGGCGTTGTCATCGTGCTATCGTGCACAGCAGTAGCGATAGCATGGTCGTGTTTTACCGTGCTCATAGGTGTGCTGGTTTTCCAAAGCACCCACTCGGAGCCTTACATTCAGGCCACTGGCGGTGTATTCATCGAGGCAACTGTCGGAGCCTCTATCCTGGGTGGCGCGGCAGGGTTGTTGCTGTACAGCAGTTACCAAATCGTGGTGATGGGGCCAGAGAGGAGGAAGGAGGAAGGCCGCATCGCGAAGCTGTATGGCCATAACTTGCTTCCCGTCATGTGCGTAACCCTATGCGGCGTCGGGTTGGCGGCACAGTGCCTCGGTATGGCGGTTCTTAATGGGAAACATTCGGGTGGGTTGGGCGCGGGCAACGCTCTTATCGTGAGCGTCGTCGGGCAGGTTCTATCTGGTATGGCCGTCTTTCTAGGCACCTTGGAAGGGAATACAAAGAGGTCGTATAGATTGTAGCGAGCAGATCTGCGTATGTCAACTCACTCTAACTTTGCGTCTTCTGCTCTGCTTCACTTCCGCAGCTGTAACGAACCGGTCCCTAGCACGTAAGTATTAATATCATGCCTTCAAGGACTCACATGAACGACCATAAACCGAATGTAGCCAAAAGTTTGACAGAATGAAGTTTAATCGCAAGTGCGAGGAATCTTGATCGATATCGTGAATCGATCTCAAGGGTAGTACGTCACAATGTAAACGATTCAACCCAAACGACGAAGCATTGACGCAGGAGACAGATACAATATGCTCACCGATTGCGTCCACACAGTCCAGTCAACTTTCACTGTTTCAAAATATTCCGGATATAATATCGTCTAGATGCATTAGCAAAGAAGATTATCGTGAAATGTATCTATATATATAGATACACGTACGGCCAATGCTGGCTAGAGACGAGTGACTGGCTGAGATAAGTGGCCTGTTCTGATTGTTGAGTTCTCTTCTGAGTGTCATATATTGTACCTTCCATGACTACAGTCCTCGTATCTTACATTCTCAACTTTAACCTCACTAAAACCGCTACGACTCAACCTTATACACTGCAGAGACGAGCTATAAGCGACAAATAATCGAAATATAATACAGCCATTCTGCTCACCACATGCGCCGCTACTTGGCTTCGTCGCAAATATCGCATCATGCAGCGCATCACCTTCGAGATTCTTGTATGGCCCGTATACTGCCTTAATCCGCGAGATGAATTCGTCCACCTTATCTTCCGCGACAAGAGATACCGTGCATCCGCCCCACCCAGCACCTGCACATCAATGCGAATCATCGGCCGCAGATATTAAATTATGTAATTGGATGAACGCACCAGTTAGTCTGCTGCCGTACGCTCCAGCTTCCCGCGCGAGCTTGGTAAGCGCGTCCAGCTCAGGACAGGAACATTCATATAAATCCGCACAGCTTGTTTGAGACGCGTTCATGAGAACGCCCAACTCCACTAATGTGCTTTCTGGCAGAGTCGTGTCGGAGGATGCAGCCGCACGGAGACAGACGTCGCGGAACTGTAGTACGCGCAGAGCCTCGGAGAAAACGTGTTTGGCGCGTTTGTAGAGCTGGAAATGTGTCGCCTCGACTGCGAACAATCAACAACGATAAAACCGTGGCATTAGCGTCGGTCATGGTTAAGAGACTCAGAAAAGCGATCCAAACGTACCGTCCACCCACGACAAATACAGCTCATGGAACTGCTCGGGCGAAAGGCCACTCCACTGCACCATCTCCTCCAGTGTCAAACCTTCCTGTCCGTCGGCTCGGCTCGGCTTCAGCTTCTCAACTTCTGGCAGAATGCGTTCGAGCCCTGCGCGTAGGGTCTCGACGTCAAGCGTCGATGGTCCGCCCTTAGTCTCTGCAATCCCTAGCCACCTACCAAAGACTTCACGTAGGGTCGGCCGCTCCGTGGGCCCCAAGGACAGGCCGAGGCGGAGAGCCAGGACACGTGCCCCGACCAAAGTCTCGACCACCCGTAAGTTGTAGCGCGTCTTCGCACCTATCAGGGTGCCCATATTCAGACATTATACGACGAGAGAGCTGCACATAACACGCACCTACGACCTTGTCACTGACGACAAGCGAGTTCGCACAGACGAAGACCGCGCGGGGGGTTGTGCGCGGTGTCGGAAGAGGGATGGGCTCCGCAGAAAGCGAGGGGAAGAAAGTGATGTAAAGCGCAGATTGGGGAATCGAAATCACCGACGCGGCTTGATCCATTCTAGACTCCTGTCAATTTATCCGGTCCTCTAAGCCGGACGACCAATTACTTACCCACCACTGTTCACGCCTGAGTAGAAAGAGCGTTATTCAAGGGGGTGGTAAAAGTACGCGATACGTACCGACGCGCTTCTCATTCTCCATATCCATTTCAACAAGCTGGCCTTTAGTTAGTCCGGAGAGCTTGTCGTTCACGGCAAGAAAGGCGAGGGTGGACGCAACAACCATCGCGGCACTGAAATCCAGAGCGGTGAATTCTACTGATGAGACTCGATGACATTGGATTTACCTCGATGACAGCCCAGATCCAGAGGGGACCGAACCTGTTACGAGGAGATTGACCGGAACTGGCCTAGTATTTGGCGCCGATGGAGGGAAGAAGCGATTAAGAATACCCTGAAAGCTGCTGTAAGCATCGTCGCAGAAACTGTCGCAGTGACAGATAATATACGCACATAATATCCTGCCTTAACATAGCTTTCCCATCTCAGCTCCTTCTTATCGATCTCCAAAAACCAGCTTTCCTCATTACTCGCTGCCTCCGTCCCCTGCGCGGAAGGTAAAAGCGTGTTCTTGAGTATAGGTGCAAAGGTCTGACGGGTATATCGCGGGTTGAGATTTTCTGCAGTGACACCGCCGAGACGCTCGTCGGTGGAGGGACCGCACGCAATCAAAATGTCGCTTTCCACGGCAGCAGGGAATACTCCGAACAACGCATAATCGATATGCTCCCCGATGAGACTGATGAATGCACAGATCAGAAGCATGCTCAGCCTAAAAGAAAAAAAAACAGACTTCACTCTGCCCGGCGCACGACAAATGTACGCAGGCTTCGTTCCGTAGCGTTTCTCGAACTCCTGGACGAGATTATCCCACCGTGTCCTGCAACAGATTGTCTCGGTGAGCGCTGATTGACCGTCAAGGTGTATATACATACGCCTGGAGAGCTGCTGTCTGCAGATCAGTGTGTATCTCGTTCAAGGACGTGAAAACAGGAATAGGTAGCTGTGCGGCCATGACAATTCAGATGATAGTGTGATGTCTCGCAGAAGCAGAGCCCGGAGCGTCTTATGGAGTCCTCAGCAGTGTTTCCCAGCCCGAGACCGGGCCGGATGTCTCATCGTAAGCATTGTAGCACATGCGAACAGGGGCCATTTCATGTCCTAGATTGAAGTGGACGAAGACTGCTAGTCTCGCCCGCTGTACATTCGAGAGAGGCTAGTAAAAGGTGAAGTGTAGATGCAGCATATTCAACGGGCGACGTCACGGCAATGATACTATAGAGTTTGCGGGTAAGCGCCCGATGGGCGCCCCCACCCTTCTATTATGATAATATATGGGCGGATTTCCACATACGCCGGCCTAACCACTGCCACCAGTGGCACTGCAACGTCTGGGTTCGACGATGAGTCAATGACATCCAGCTAATAGGATACACGGCCTACGTTATACCACTTGTGGGTTTCAGGTGCTTCTCCTTCCCCGTGTCACTGACTATCTTGATCACCACAGAAGGCAGGGTGGACCACAAAGCGAGGCCCGCCTGGGTGAGGCAGTTGGACGTCTGAGTTGTAGAACCACTCTTGCGCCTGTGATGTTTCGCCGAAACTTCGTAATATCCTGCAATCCTCTGTGGCAATGAACGTCGGCGAACCAATGTTATCCTATTGCACCGTTTGGGATCGCAGTCGACTGAACATCAATAGATTGACTGCCAAGTATGAAGGTCAAAATCGTCCACGTTTTCCAGAGTATGCCCACGCTTTGCGCCAAAGTTTCGCTCTTCTCCATATGTCCAACACAGCTAATATATCGTGGTGGAATTGACGATAGATATGTAGGACCATGTTAATTGAAGCGTTAAGAGCGATGCTCAGTGCCATGCCTGGCTCTCTCACCTTCTACCTTCACTGTCAGGTCATCTCTGCGCGTACGATTGTTCCTCCTAACATTCTATCCCACCTATTGATGCGATCATCTTTTGCCCAGTGATTGCACCACTTACTTCATTCTGCACAGTATCGAGTACACTCCGTCCGTGGACTGTGATGCTACCTGCAGCTGTGGCCATGCATGCAGTCTAGGAACCTCACAGAGCATTGAAGAATGCGCTCGGGGGGGTCCTGCCTGCCGCCTGAGATCTACGACCTTATAATTGATCTCTCGCGGGAAGAGTCATCGGACGAACGCAACTACACCACGCTTCGTTCCTGCACTCTCACATGCCACGCCTGGCTCGCCAGGGGCCAGTATAACTTATACCACACAGTCGAATTGAACACAGAAGAGCAACTACTCGCATTTTCGAAGTCGACCGAGCTGTCCCCACGCCTTGCTCCGCTTGTTCGGGAGTTGATCATAAAACATCCGGACGATAACAAACCCTTCAGGTTAATGAATATCTTTCCTACAGTTTTTGCGCGGAGGCTCCCACAACTGAGGTCACTTACTATCGAATCGCCTTATGCCACGCCGTCTGTAGCTCCCTTCCATCCAATTTACTTCTTAGCTATCCACGCGTTTGCTTCCGTTACCGACCTGCAGCTCTTTCACGTCGAATTTCGGACTTTCTTGGACTTCGCCCGCCTAGTCTCGAGCTTTCCGAACTTACTTGCCGTTGAATTCTGGAACGTATCTTGGCTGGGACACGGCTCAAATCAGTTTGCGCTGGATTGCTACAGGTCCCGCTTCCAATGGAATGATCTCGTCGTACGTAGTAGTTATCCCTGCTTGCAGTTCTTGTGTCTACCTCTTTTTCAGATCGATGACGTGGAACTCACTGGGCTAGCTCAGTTACTGCGCGCTGTCGGCTGGTCTCTTCAGCATCTCACATTTAGAGCAGACAATGAATGGATGGAGTCGTTCGTATCAGGTCAGTTTTTCTTATACGATACCCCAGGTAGACTGCTGAGGTTTTTGCCAGAAGAAGGCTTGAGCATGGTTCATTTGACGAGCCTTCGGTCGCTCCAGATTCCTATCCGACTCGATCGTACAGATTTTGGCTCGATAAAAGAGTTACTATCTCGACATATATGCAGTCAAGTAATGTGCTCGTTGACATTTTCATTTCACTATGGATATAACGCTACGCCGCTGGACGGTGCGAAAGATGTGTTACTCCGGATGCAGCGCGCGGGCATTGAGGACATCTTGGCCCGTCCACAGTTCTCCCTGCTAGAGCAGGTGATCTTCCGGTTCTCTTGCGCAGGCGATACCGAGGACCCTGCGAGAGGTTGGGAGCAGGATATTGTCTCTGTAATGCCCAGATTGCAAGAGCGAGGGATTGCAAAGGTAGAATTTACGAGGTGAGGAGAGTGGTGTGTGGAGAGGTGAGTGACACTGGTGCTTCGCTACTTCCAAAGTGACTGGCATTTTAACATTTACTAGGATTGACATGATATTATCTTCTACATCCACGCAGATGTACTAACTCTTCTTTTACCTAGTCTTGATGTACACAGTAAACAAGCTCATCTACAGATATGAATTTTAAGTGGACTAGTACAGCGCTCAGAATACAGAGTGGATAGAACCAACATAGAAATAAATTCATGCAGTACACAGAAGGTTACAGAGCGGATAGAACCAACATGGATATAAAACCATGAAGTACACAGTGGGTTACAGAGAGTGGATAGAACCAAGACGGAGGAGCACATCTTCTCCAACACATAATGTGACCATTACAGAGTGGATAGAACCAACACGGAGACTCCAACGGACAAGATGCACGTTACAGAGTGGATAGAACCAGCACCTTCACCTCCGCATGATGTGCAGCCAACGCAGGTCTTCTCTCCTCTCTCCGTCGCGTGTCACTTTAATTTCTTTCCCTTCCCTCCTCTTCTCCCGTCCCAATCATGAACTCTTCTTTGTTCGCCGATCCCCTTTGTTTGACTTCCACCTCCATATGGGATGGCCAACAGGCCGACTACCCAGATCCGCTCATCGACCCCTGTTCATTCTTTCACTCTTCGTCGGCGCGTGCTCTGTCGTGCGTGTTTCAGTAACTGAACATCATATGCTGACATATAGGCCTCGCCGTACAGTTCTGGCTTCTCACCTCTCGAGCCGTTGCCCCTGGGGAATGTTTCAGCTCCCTGGCCTACACTTGAGCACTCGCTTCCTGAGACGAACATCTTCTCCACATACAACATGCACATGACAGAATGGAAAGAACCGACGTCGAGATCTTCAAGAATTGCTGAACGTCGAACCCAACATATTGCAGTAGAAAGCGAGTGGATAGCGAGAGAATACAGCAACTGGGGAAGGTCAAGGGCGTCAGCTTCGCTCACTAGACGCGGTTATCGAGCACTCACAGCGCACAGCAAGTACTCCGAGCAGAGACGGCCCTTTATTAGCACTGTGCGGTCATCCACTCAGTGAGCCTGTGCGACAATTATCGAGGTGAGTCGCGGTGAAGGCTCATCTATAACGAACCGTTCAAATGTTGTGCGCATCTCCTGCGCCCCACTCACCGTTAGCACAAAGCCGTAGACTTTATGCCCAACTATGCGGAGCTGCTCATGGACCTGCCCATAGGCAGCCCCCCACTGCGGGATAGCATTGTCCCAGAATGGCACGAGTCGAAGATTGCCTGAGTTATGTGAGTATGGCTAATACGAGAAAAAGCATAGCGGTACTCACGGTAAGATGCGCACCGGGCGGCAATGCCCGCGGCAATTAAAGCTCCCCCAACCCGTCAATCGCACTCTTGAGATACAAATAGTCTCAGCGCAGTTCTCGAACAAACGGAAAGGTTACTGACTAGACAACGCTTGATACGCATTCTCATATGTGCTGTGCCGGTACTGCAGAAAAGGAATCATTAGGATAGTGAAGAGACAGACAGTCGAGCTAACGCACATCCATTCCAAGATAACGTGTGCAGTCCACGGATGAGTTTGTCTGAATGAGGTCCAGAGCTCATAAGCGGTGACTCGGGATACCAAAGTTCGTTTTTGCATGTCTAGTTGAAGTGCGGAGGAGTGGGATTAATTGAGGAAAGCTCGCACCTCGTAGGGTCTTATATAGCTCGAAAGCCCGGCGCTTACGCCAGTCAGCAACTTCGGCAGCCACAAAGCAAGCAGCGAGATGTTCGCGTCACGTTGCAGCACAAAGACAATCGCCTTAGAGACCAACAATAGGGAACGTGCCATGTGTCCGATGCAGAATAGTTGCTAAGCAAAGCAAGAAAAAAAATTGGCACGAGTAGGCGCCTTCCTCCTCTCTGGCCCCATCACCACGATTTGGTAACTGCTGTACAGCAAAAACCCTGCCGCGCCACCCAGCATAGAGGCTCCGACAGTTGCCTCGATTGATACACCGCCAGTGGCCTGAATGTAAGGCTCCGACTGGGTGCTTTGGAAAACCAGCACACCTATGAGCACGGTGAAACACGACCATGCTATCGCGACTGCTGTGCACGATAGCACGACGACAACGCCCCAGCCGATCGGGCGACAATATTCATGCACGCCGCTTTTAATCGTTTCCCAGCGGAGGAACTCCGGTACGATATGTAATCGCAGAAATGAAGAGTGCGGTGTGGCGCATCGTATGGGAGGGACGACGAAGGACTCGTCAGACGCTGTGGCGCCACCGAATGACTTCGCAAGACGGAGATTGATGTGTACATGGGCCGCGGGCAACTGCCGCGGATCGTGGAGGGAATGAAGAGAGGTGTAGAAGGGAAGACGGATGTCTTGTGTAGGGTTTGGCATTTCCTCATAAGAACGTAGCGCGGCGTACCCGTTCGAGTGAGCCGTCGAAAAGAAACGCTTGAACATATTCATTAATTGGTGGAGAACTACTAAGTGCTGCAGGACGGGGGTTGAGGGATATGGGATGTAGTCGACCGCTGCTCTGGCTACCGCGTTTAACTTTAAGGGAATGGGTGGCTTGAGTGGCCTCCATTTGGAACAATACAAGTTACACCAGATTGTGGTCTGCCGACCATATGGTGAAAGGCGCTCGATATCTCCACGATACGCACGGGGACGTAACTTACCCCGAAGATGGCCAGAGCAGCACAACAACATAGACCGTAGAAGTCCCCATTGGGTCTTCAATCACTTACTAGTTACTGAGGTTTCAGTCGAGTCCGAGGACGTACAGGAATATCGGAACCGCAAGCTAGGGATGCGCACTCTCCAGAAAAAGACCCAGTAACGAATGATAAATGCTATATGCGTATGCTGGATATCTGGCAAGCAGGGTTATGTCAGTAGTGGGGTATGCAGACAAAAAGCAAGTCGGGTGCATTTCAGATGACCAGCGCATCGCCTTTGTGGGTGCATCGCCGATTTTGGTCGGAGGTATGGCTTATCCGACGAGAACGTTCACCAGCTTGCTTGACCAGTTACTTGCAATAATATTTCCGCGCATGCGTGGTACTTCAACACGACAGAGATATCCAAGGATATCGAAGCGCGAACCCCGATCGTCAGCGCAAGATTTGAGGATTTCGCCAAGTAATCAACAATGCGGAGTACGTACTTGAGAATGTTTGATGAAATCGCCTTATGGCCAATGTTGTGCGACCACCTGTGAGCAGGGGAAGTTGTATGTGGTCCTCACAGGTGAGAAGGAAAGGTAGACAAGCGCCTTACTACTAGCGCCTGCAGTGACCACAGTGCTGCAGGCGCCTCGACAACTTACGTGGCGTCGCAGCATCTCGAGGTACCACCACTATGCTCAGATCCCCGCAGTTTTATTCCCGTGCCGGAATCTCGACCGTGTGGAGGTGTGGCTGGGCGAGATACTTGGACCCACACCAGATGCGGTTCTCTCACCGACGCCGCGCACTGTGCGCAACGTAAGCCTCGACGCGTCTTGGATCAGTACAGCGACGACAGAAGAGGACATTGTACAAGCACTGCGTGTGCTGCAGTTCGTCCAGCCCCTGACGCTCTCGCTGAAAATTTTTGTCCGCCCGTTGCTTGCGTTCTGGACATGCCTTGTCGCGCTTTCTCCACAGCTCAGGTATCTGGACTTAGAGTTGGATACCATGAGAGCGCTTGAAAATGGTGATCGACTGTTTATCCGTGTTACTGAATGGCTGGTAAGCACACTCAGTCTTGATGATGCAATTGTCGTATCGCGTTGACCTCCGGTTTTCTATTTATTAGCGCGTAATACCCCCACTCCTCGCCTCGTTGAACATCCACTGTCTCCGTGTATCTGTGGCGCATACGCGCACTAGCCCCCGGCAGCAGATTCAGGACATACTCTTGCAACATGTGGGTCCCTCGTTGCGCTACATGTCAGTGAAATCTATGCCCATCGAGCATGAGCACTGGCAGACCGAGTGCGAGTATTCATGGTGGAGGGTCGAAGGATCCGACGACTCACGCAGGCTCGTGGCGATGTCCCTCGAGGCTGGTGAGGCCATTCACGAAACTCTATGCTCTGCAGTTGCGAATTAAATTCGATGTTTGCGATACGGACCTGTAGGTTGTTCTGCACTAGGGAGCGAGTAATTACTCACGTATTCGATGACAGTCTTAGCCGTTGGTTCTGTGATAATTCCCTCACTTCGGATGTTTATTCCATCGTCAATGAAAATTGCCTGTACTGTTGACCGCCCTTTCGCTGTCGATAGGCTCACGATACTGATATGGGTGAAACAGCCAGTGGGATAGCGGAGGATCTGCGAAATTGCAGTGCGTTTAGGGCCGCTCAACTGCCGCTACGGCGGCGTCGGGGATTTACGCGTTAATCGTTACGTGCAGTCTATGGGCCTTTTCGAAGGTGAGCCAAAAGGTGTCCGAGTCCGCGAGCCATACGTTTACAGTGTGCCGCGGTCTCCACAGTGGTGGTGGTGGTTCATAGCGGCGGCGGTTCTTCATGGTGGCCGAGCACCAGCAACACGGCGACGTTGACTCGGCGGTTAGTCTTAGACATGACGAACTTCACCTAAGTGTGTCTACGCATCTGGGGAAAAGCACGTGGGACAATTTAGGATTAAGAACGCGAGCAACGACGTCACTTACTATCGAATCGCCTTATTCCACGCCGTCTGTGGCTCCCCTCCATCGAATTTACTTCTTAGCTATCCACGTGTCTGCTTCCGTTACCGATCTGCAGCTCTTTCACGTCGAATTTCGGACTTTCTTGGACTTCGCCCGCCTAGTCTCGAGCTTTCCGAACTTACTTGCTGTTGAATTCTGGAACGTATCTTGGCTGGGACACGGCTCAAATCAGTTTGCGCTGGATTGCTACAGGTCCCGCTTCCAATGGAATGATCTCATCGTACGTAGTACTTATCCCTGCTTGCAGTTCTTGTGTCTACTTTTTTTCAGATCGACGACGTAGAACTCACTGGGCTAGCTCAGTTACTGCGCGCTGTCGGCTCGTCTCTTCAGCATCTCACATTTAGAGCAGACAATGAACGGATGGAGTTGTTTATATCAGGTCAGTCTTTCTTATGCTGAGCCCAAGGTAGATGGAGTTTTGCCAGAAGAAGGCTTGAGCATGGTTCATTTGACGAGCCTTCGGTCGCTCCAGATTACTATCCGTCTTGATCGTACAGATTTTGGCTGGATAAAAGAGCTACTATCTCGACATATGCAGCCAACTAATGTGCTCGTTGACATTTTCATTTCACTGTGGATATAACGCTACGCCGCTGGACGGTGCGAAAGATGTGTTACTCCGGATGGAGCGCGCGGGCATTGAGGACATCTTGGCCCGTCCACAGTTCTCCCTGCTAGAGCAGATGATCTTCCGGTCTCTTCCGCAGGCGACATCGAGGACTCCGCGAGAGGTTGGGAGCAGGATATTCTCTCTGTAATGCCCAGATTGCAAGAGCGAGGGATTGCAAAGTTAGAATTTACGAGGTGAGGAGAGTGGTGTGTGGAGAGGTGAGTGACACTGGTGCTTCGCTACTTCCAAAGTGACTGGCATTTCAACATTTACTAAGATTGACATGATATTATCTTCTACATCCACGCAGATGTACTAATTCTTCTTTTACCTAGTCTTGACGTACACGGTAAACAAGCTCATCTACAGATATGAATTTTAAGTGGACTAGTACAATGCTCAAAATACAGAGTGGATAGAACCAACACGGAGACTCCAACGGACGAGATGCACGTTACAGATTGGATAGAACCAGCACCGAGACGAACATCTTCTCCACATACAACATGCACATTACAGGATAGAAAGAACCGACATCGAAATCTTCAAGAATCGCTGAACGTCGAACTCAACATATTGCAGTCTGCGGCGCGCGAACTCGCCTCGACCTTTCGGTCCCGGAGGTGGATCACCTTCCACACATAGCCATTCTTCAGCTCCATGCTTGAGCTCCGTGTCCAGGTAAGCAAACAGCAACGGTAGTCCTCGGTTCGTTGACCTAGCCACTGTGGGAAAAGAAATCAGCAATATGATCTCGGAGGGCGAGTGAAAACGTACGAAGAATCGAATCATCGGCTTGGCGCTTTCTCGCCCGTAGCCTTTGTTGATCACGACCTCGTCACGCCGGGTGTAGTCCGGCAAAATTCTCAATTAGGGTGTCCCTCGCTGGAAAGAACTTATCTCCATTGTTGCAGAATTCGAACGTCAGTGCCGCGTTTGTTTGAAATTCACGCGAGGGCGTGCAACGCTCTTGCGGAATCCGGTCAACCACTAAGTAGCTCTGTTCAATTGGTTGCTGGTCCAATACAGGTTGGTTCTGTTCAATCACTAGCTGGTCCTGTTCGACTACTGGCTGACTCTGTTGAACTTTTATTAGTACAGACAATTTAGGCCTCAACATCGCATACCTCGATGACAGCAGGATGCCTAAGAGCTCCTGCAAGAGTAGCTAGAGATGCGAGGTGTCGGATGGCGCAGTTCCCCATTTTCCCACCTCCCCTGGGCAGGCCCATCCATGGTCATCCTGTAGCTTTTAGTCAGATCGTCTTATTGAAAGACATGGTGAAGGACGTACATAGGGGAATCTGTCATTCTGTGCGGGAAATACTGTGAATGTGGTGGACGAAAACCTGAGCTCTCTTCACAAACCCTGCAATAAACAGTCAGTTTCGAGCAGATGTAAGCCCTCCTGTCGTCCAAAACCCAAAATCGGACAACACCACAATGCCGACGGGAGGTGCGTGGCACAGCGAAAGATGCTCTGGTCCGCGTGCTGCAGGCGCTTGCACATCCGTAATCCATGGTGCTCCATGAGCAGGGATGGAAAATCCTCCGTTACGTGAGGAGGGTACTGCTCGACCCGGAAGAGCGTGTTCCTGCTGAACAAACGGGGACTGTACACTGACGTCCGCCATATTTGCCATGGAGTCAGACATAGATTGTTCACACCTGAGTTGAGCAGTGGCATCAGTATCGGTGAGCGAAAGAAGACTCTGACGCACAATATATACGGATCATGAAAGAGGGGAAATCCTAGGTCACGCGCTGAGCGGCCGCACTCCGCACCGTCGATTTCTCTGCATATAATACAAACCCGCAAACGCATCTGAGACTAATAATGTCAGCGCAGTTCTTGAACTCACGGAAAAGTTACTGACTAGACAACGCTTGATACGCATTCTCATATGTGCTGTGCCGGCACTGCAGAAAAGGAATCATTAGGATAGTGAAGAGACAGACAGTCGAGCTAACGCACGTCCATTGCAAGATAACGTGTGCAGTCCACGGATGAGTTTGTCTGAATGAGGTCCAGAGCTCATAAGCGGTGACTCGGGATAACAAAGTTCGTTTTTGCATGTCTAGTTGAAGTGCGGAGGAGGGGGATTAACTGAGGAAAGCTCGCACCTCGTAGGGTCTTATATAGCTCAAAAGCCCGGCGCTTACGCCAGTCAGCAACTCCGGCAGCCACAAAGCAAGCGGCGAGATGTTCGCGTCACGTTGCAGCACAAAGAAAATCGCCTTAGAGACCAACAATAGGGAACGTGCCATGTGTCCGATGCAGAATAATCGCTAAGCAAAGCAAGAAAAAAAATTGGCACGAACAGGCGCCTTCCTCCTCTCGGGACCCATCACCACGATTGGGTAACTGCTGTACAGCGGCAATCCTGCTGCGCCACCCAGGATAGAAGCTCCGGCAGTTGCCTCGAGGAATACACCGCCAGTGTAAGGCTCCGAGTGGGTGCTTTGGAAAACCAGCACACCTATGAACACGGTAAAACACGACCATGCTATCGCGACTGCTGTGCACGATAGCACGACGACAACGCCCCAGCCGATCAAGCGACAATATTCTTGCACATCGCTTTTAATCGTTTTCCAGCGGAGGAACTCCGGTATGATATGTAATCGCAGAAATGAAGAGTGCGGTGTGGCGCATCGTATGGGAGGGACAACAAAGGACTCGTCAGACGCTGTGGCGCCACCGAATGACTTCGCAAGACGGAGATCGATGTGCACATGGGCAGCGGGCAACCGTGGCAGTTCGTGGAGGGAATGAAGAGAGGTGTGGAAGGGAATATGGATATCTTGCATAGGGTTTGGCGTCTCCTCATAAGAACGCAGAGCGGCGTATCCGTTCGAGTGAGCCTTTGAAAAGAAACGCTTGAACATATTCATTATTTGGTGGAGAACTACTAAGTGCTGGAGGACGGGGTTTGAGGGATGTGGGATGTGGTCGACCGCTGCTCTGGCTACCGCATTTAACTTTAAGGGATTCGGTGGCTTGAGTGGCCTCCATTTGGAACAATACAAGTTACACCAGATTGTGGTCTGCCGACCATATGGTGAAAGTCGCTCGATATCTCCATGATATGCACGGGGACGTAAGTTACCCAGAAGATGGCCAGAGGAGCACAATAATATAGATGGTAGAAGTCCCCATTGGATCTTCAACCACTTACTATTTACTGAGGTTTCAGTCGAGCCTGAGAATGTATAGGAAATCGGAACCACAAGCTAGTAACTTCCAGAAAAAGACCCAGCAACGAATGATAAATACCGTATGTGTATACTGGATATCTGGCGAGCAGGGTTATGTCAGTAGTGGGGTATGCAGACAAAAAGCAAGTCGAGTGCATTTCAGATGACCAGCGCATCACCTTTGCGGGTGCGTCGCCGATTTTGGCAGGAGGTATGCGGCCGGCTTATCCGACGAGAACGTTCACTTCACCAGCTTGCTTGACCAGTCACTAGTCACTTGCAATAATACGCATGCGTGGTACTTCAACACCATAGATACCCAAGGATATCGAAGCGCGAACCCCGATCGTCAGCACATGGCCCTGAAAGCGCGGTAGAAGGAAAGTTAGACAAGCGCCTCACGACTAGCGCCTGCCGCGGTGACAGTGCTGCAGGCGCCTGGACAGCACATGAGCCTGCTGTCCCTCAACGTTTCCAGCTTCAAGCTCAAGTTTAGAGCGCGACGGTCGGGAGTGTCACGCTGCGCTGAAGCCTTGCTTATAGAGACGTATGTTGTTCTAGTTTTATATTTCGCGAGCATTTACCCTTCCGGTCGTTTCACACTCAGACCATTGCGCGCCTTCGCTTAGCGCACTGTCGACCTCTCGAACACGTCTCTACGTTCTCAAGCGTCTCGTACGATCCCCTCCAGCAACGACTCTTTCTTCCTATCTAATAGTTTGCGAGCCTAAACCAGCGCCCTCTGCCACGAGGTGACCGCAACAGACGCTTGGACAGCATGAGCCTGTCCCTCAACGACGATGTTCTCTTCCTTGTTACCTCTTTTCTCCATCCACTCGATGCTCTCCGCTTGTCCGAGACCTGTCGCCATCTCCATCTCATTGCGCTCCCTCAGGCACTTTCGTCCATAGTTCGCGGGACGTGCCTCCAACTCACCGCATTCTGCAGATACATGCTCAGCAGCCCGCAAACCCGCATGCATCTTTTGCGCGCGATCGTCATCGTAGCTCCTGTGGGCGACGTTCCCAACGCAGCACTCCTCGCGGACGTGTTTGAGCAGGCTCTCAGACTGCGGTCGATCCACATGCATCATTCGGACACCTTCATCGAGGCGGAACCGCGGATCGGCACTGCCCTCGCTGCCCTCGAGGACCTCGAGGACGTCACTCTTTTTGATGCTCGCGAGCATGTGCGGGAGATGCTCCCTAGACTGCGCAGTAAGCCGCGGAAAGTCCAGCTTCTCTGCCCTATGGAGTATCCTCGGCTTGTACTCCATCTCTCTCAGCTTTCTACTCTGCGACACGCAGTGACGCTTTCACTATTCAACATCACGATCGAAGATGACACGCTTGTGGGCCAACCGGCGGCGCCTTTCGTGGCGTTGGAGTACCTCAGCCTCCAGTATGCTCAGATCCCCGCAGTTTTATTCTCGTTCCGAAATCTTGACCGTGTGGAGGTGTGGCTGGGCGAGATATTGGGACCCGCACCGGATGTGATTCTCTCCCCTACGCTGGGCACTGTCCGCAACGTAAGCCTTGACGCATCTTGGATCAGGACCGCGATGACAGAAGAGGGCATTGTACAAGCACTGCGTGTACTGCAGTTCGTCCCGCCCCTGATGCTCACACTGAAAATCTTCGCATACCCGTTGCGTCCATTCTGGACATGCCTCGTCGCGCTTTCTCCACAACTCAGGTATCTTCATCTAGAGTTGGATACCATGAGAGCGCTTGAAAATGGTGATCGACTGTTTGTCCCTGTTTCTGAATGGCTGGTAAGCACACTCGATCTTGATGATGCGATTGTGGTATCGTGTTGACCTCTGGTTTTCGGTTTATTAGTACGTAGTACCCCCACTCCTCGCCTCGTTGAACCTCCACTGTCTCCGTATCTCTGTGGCGGATACGGGCTTTGGGCACACCGTGCCACAGATGAGAGACCTACTCTGGAAACATATAGGTCCCTCGCTGCGCTACATATCACTGAAATCTACGCCTCACCCGCATGTGGACTGGCAGACCAGGTGCGAATATTCATGGTGGATGGTCGAGGGATCTGGTGACGCACGGAGGCTCGTGGCGATGTCCGTCGAGGCTGGAGAGGCGATTCATGAAACTCTCTGCTCTGCACCCACCGAATAGTTCGGTGTTCTGCCCTGGCGTCGCGCATTTGTGACGCCAGTAAGCGTTGAATCTGATTATTTATACATGATAGCCTATTCTGTGACCTCGCGCTCGCTGCGCACATATATTTATTCGTTCGTTGATGACAACTACTATAGGTGACTCTGGGCAACTCTTGCTCTGTAGACCAGCTCACGATACTATGGGTGAGGAATTTGAGGGCCGCGGAAATTGCAGCAGAGGGAAAACTACCAATCGTAAGGTGCGAACGAAGTCAATGATTCTGAGCATTCTCCAGAATGTAGGCTACCAGTACCAGTCCGCGAGAACTCTATCTTACAAGAGATGCCCGCGATCCGAGGGGACGCATACACAGACGCATGCAGTCTGGCCGCAGAATTATCGAAGACGCGCGCTTAGATCAAACATGATCGGAGTATGTAATCTAATCGCATGACGTCCTCCTTCCAAGTTGACACATCGCGCCCAAATTCTAGAGAAAGCAGTATTTTATCCTCGTTTCTCCTGATCCAAGGAAATACCCCAATGGCCTTCCGGTACGTCCTCGTTGTTCCTCCCTGAGAAGAGCTATCATTCAACTTGCCAGCAAGCCTACCAGCGGTCATCCTTCCCACCCGGAGAGTATTATGTAAGGCTTATTGACGGTCCTGTGCAATGGGAGTTCATGAATCCCTTTGGCGCGTAAGTGTTTCGTGCCCCATGACCTGCGAGTGAGCCTGCAGTCCGGTGACTTAACGCCTACAACTATAGCAACAACGCGATCAAGGTGCATCCAAAGCTTCCTACGTTCGGGTTCCCGTCTTCGAAATACTTGCTCGCTAGCATTTCAGTTTGCTTAGAAACGAATAGTCGTACTGGCCTAATATCGTTAGTAGGTTCGGTAGACACCAGATACAATGCCAGCGATCTGCAAGCGAACGTCCGCCTAAAAGGCGGAGCGAGCCCGTTCAGAATCCAATGACGGGAGATATTCGAGGAGATATGCCTTGCAGTTCACATGATGATAACGAGATACCAGGAAGCCTTCCAAGGAGAAGATTGTTGGGCACGCGCAGGTAATAATGCAAGTGAAAGGCGGGCTAGTAAACTCCAGAATAGGAGGAAGATTTAGTGAACTTTGTCGCACCAACATGCCCGTTGCTGATGGTCCACAACAACACAGGCAATCTGAAATCCGTCCATACACAGAACAAAGTGTGACGTACAAACTTCTTAGTACACAAAAATCGCTGATAATACAAGATTCACGGTGTACGAACTGCTCTTACAACTTCCAAATATAACCTGGACGCGCGACGGTCTACGCCGTCTCCTGTGGGCGCGCGATGAGCTTGGCCCCGCTGACCTTATCGGCCTGCAGCCTCGCAAGTCCGCCCGGTATACCAGCCAAACCACCCGGCAGCACCTCGACATGGTTCGGCTACACCACAGAAAAGCGTCAGCCTCAATCCGCCACCCAGGATCGCACACGCGTACCTTGATTGCGCCCTCTTCGAGCAGCGCCGTGAGCTGAGCATACAAATAATGCCCGGCCTGGCGGTTCGCTGGAACGTTGGTGTTTCCGAATACGTTGATGATTTTCTTGTCTCCGCCCTTCGCCTTCAGCGCGGGGTCTACCTGATCCCCTAGCACCAGGAGAAGCTTGCCGTGCGGAGCGAGGACTTGGTACGCAGTGTTCTGCGTGTCTTGCAGGGCGATCACGTCAAATACGGTCTCAATGGGCGCGGTCGTGATTTTGGCAATGGCGGCCTGCAACGCTGCGGCAGAGAGATGCCGGTCGAGGACGTGCGTGGCACCCTGCGACGTGAGCAGCTCCGTGTTGTGCAAAGAGGCGGTGGCGATGATGGGTGAGAACCCGGCGAGCTTGGAGAGCTGGATCGCTGCGGGAACGTCTCAACATCTGTCTGCTTCGTCAAGAAGGTGACTAACGCACCGAATTGCCCGACGGAAGAGGAACCGCCAAAGATCGCTATGGGATGGCCTGCGTACTTGCCGCGGCCACCCTCCCTCCAAGGAGGTAAGAAGCCCGCGCTTGCCTGCAGGTTCTCGGGATAGAAGAGACCAAGCCCAGCGGTTGCAAGACAGAGAGGGATCGACGCCGCTTGGTCGAACGTGAGCTTGCTCGGTATCTAGAAGTATCTTTATAAGACGCCAAGATGCACGGGCAAGTTAGGAGACATACTTTAGCAGTGACATCTGCATAGACGAGGGTGTATTGTTGGAACGTAGCATGTGTAGGATGTCCAATCAAGCCCTGTGACAACCTGACGGTAGAGCAACGTGGTCAGAACTTAATTTCGTGGTATTACACACGACTTACACTCTGTCGCCGACAGTAAACCCGGTAGCCCCCTCGCCGATCGCTTCGACGGTGCCTGCAACATCTCCACCGAGAATGGCAGGATACTCGGTGATCATAAAGCCTCCAGCTTGTATCTTCCAGTCGACAGGGTTCAACGCGGTAGCCTCGACTTTGACGAGCAGTTCGCCGGGGCCAGGGGTCGGTACCGCAGTCGTTCCGACCGCGAATTTCCCTTGCTTAGACTGGAGGAAGAGCACTTTCTGCTGCGCTGACATGGTGTAAAGGCAGTTTCTGAAATGAGGGCGAGCTCAAGTCGTTCCGGGAGAGTATATATGCAGTTAGTGTGGGGAATCCAGATGCTCAGGAGGTGACGCAATATGGTGAAAGGATGAATCAGCTCAGGAGCTGATTCATCGACAGTCGCAGGAGGCCTAGAAGAATGTACAATCCTAAAGATTCTGGCCATGGGAAAGAGCGTTGAAACGGGTTCTGTGGTATGTTTAAATTTCGGGTCGCCGCGTATGTAACAAGTTTGACCCATGGCCACAGTTCGGTCGGATTCCACGATGGTTGGATTCAGGGAAAACAGTAACCAAAATTTGACCGATTTTGACCTAAGGAAAACATCTTCCGACGTTGTTGTCACCAATATTAATGTGTAGCTGACTTCAGCCCTAGATTGAGGAGTAAAGCAGCCTTTAGAACGTCCTGGGACACGGTGACCTAAACGATCGGACTTCGCCGCCCGCGGATGTTGATCGGATCTTCGCCGCCCGTGGAGATCTAGATGTCGAACGGGCGCGACAGAGTTCATGCTGCAGAGGCGTCCCGGCGTGTTTTTGAGTGGGGATTTTTATGTACATGTACAGGGGTGCTATAGCGTACAATCGAGCAATTTTTGCGAATTTTTCGAGGCCACAGGAGTCCCGGGATTTGAGTGGATGTGTTGCTCCTAGCCAGATTACCTAAAGATACTCATCTAAGCGAGTACGTGGCGGTTCTCGGGCTAAATCGGCGTGTCCCATGAAGAATATCGCAACTTCATGGGACACGCAGTTTTTGGCTGGCGGCCCAGCGGGCTGCGCGTCCCATGCCGAATTTCGATTCTGAGGCTTCATGGGACAAGCAGCCCGATATGGAAGGTCTTCGCGGATCTATTCGTCTAGCGACGCGAGGGAGCGCCCGATGATCGCGGGCGGAGGGGCGGGGCTCGTGCTGCCTGTCGGCTAGGTGACGCGCACGCTCCGTCGCTCCGGCCCTGCCGCTCGCCGCGGGGCGACGCATTGTAAGCGATAAGCCCCGATCGGGCTAGGCTTGCGTCCCATGGCTACAAAGTCGAGCCGGCAATTTAAATATTATTATTCTAACACAAGCGCCTATTGGGTTCGGGCTTCCCCGCGCGGCACAGGCGCCAAAGTCAGAGTGGCATATGCATCCGTGAGACTAGCCACGAATTATGCACAATAGCAAGACACTCTACCGCGAATCTAAATCCGATAAAATTCTATAGAAACTGTGACTCCAGAATAAAGACCATGACAATCAGACACGAGCGCCAAACGCCCAATTCAGGCTAGCTTGTAGCAACGACCACCTCGATTCATCCATTCTCCTACTCAAGGGTCATATGTTAGGTCGATCTGTGGCACGCGGATCGCTTTGAAAGTCTTCCGGCGTAAATAGAACCTGGAAATCGCGCCGTAGTACGAGGCGACGAGCCCGATGACCCCGCCGGCCGTGTTTAGACTGGGAAGCCCTGCGCCACAAGTCGCCAGTATTGAGTTGAGAAATGGGGAGGTGGCGTACCTGAAGCAGTTCGCCGAGAGACAGGCAAGAGCGAGAATGGTCGAGAATTGGAGCACGAACGCGATGGGCAGTGTGGTAGGTAGGGATCCGATGCTGTAGGAGACGAAGGTAAGCTGTGCTCGAAGACCTATAACCGCTTTAGAAGACTTACAAGAAGACCGTGGTAATAAGCTGGGAACAAAATAATCAGTTGAGTTTCTGAGGACTCGAGAGCGGTCGAATGTACCACCAGATTGCCAGGAAAATACTGATCGCATTACACAGGTACGGGGGTGAGGAAGGGAAGGCCTAACATCGACAGCACATGTGTCTTGAGTCAACTCTTTACAGTTGTTGCTGCTGGAGGTCTCTGTCATTCCAACAATCGGTTTCCATCACTGAGTCAGGGTTAGATAAATAATTGAGGGGGTGGAATCGAGGGATAAAGGGTTCTATATACCTCTATGATTATCAACCCCAAGACACGACGCCGAGAGGTCAAGAACAACAACAATGGGAATGAGCTCGCCTGGAACGGAGTCGAACGACATGCATTAAACCGTTTCACTGCTTATGTCGGGAGTCATTTGGTGTTTAGGCAGCGGCAATTGGCGGCTGTACCAGAAGTGCACCGAGAGATAGAGGTACTAAATACCCTGCCACTGGAGGTGAGCCCGAAAAATTTGGTGCGGCAACCTTGTGAATGGTCGCTGCACCAGAAGTGCACAGAAAGATAGAGGTCCTAGCTACCGCGCCACTGCAAGCGAGCCTGCCAAAGTGGCGCGGCGACTCTTTGACCTGCAGTGATCCCATTGCAAAGAGAGCTAGAGTGAAGTTGGCGCGAGGTGGCTCTCTTCGTTGAAGAGCCTCGGGGATAAGCTGTTGTGCTGCGTTGATCTCAGATGATGCAACAGATGCTCGCACATAGGAATTCCAACAAGAGACGGATGCTGAGAGCTGAAATTGGAAAAGCTGCTCCTGACCATGGGTGTGCATGAGAAGCCATGGGAACAGACACTAGCCAACTGGTTGAAACGACGAGAATCGCGAGATCGCGGAAAGAGGACTCAAGGCACGCCGAACGACGGGAGAGCACTATATTCTTCAGTCTGCGGGACACGAATTTGAACGACCTTGAAGTATAGTGTGTAGCCAAGGCATAAATTAGGGGCGTTCAGTTGTATCTGCGAAAGCGGCTTTTCGTCGCTGTTGCTTAAGACCACATGACCTGAGCATCATGTGCACGTTGTTGCGTTCTAGCCGTGACTGTGATCACTCACTAGGGTTAGCTAGGGTTGGGAAAATGCAAACGTTTGCCGGGCCGCCGATGGTGGCTGGAGACCCAATCTGGGAAAGCTAACCCCTCAAGTGGAAACATCGGGGGTTTCCGGTGGAAAACCTCACAAACTCCGGGGACCCATCGCTAACCCTAGCATATACTCTCAGTCTGCACATGATCCTCGGATCACGCAAAAGTCATGTGCCGGTAAGCTGCTTTCTGAGAAAGCGACGAAAGCCGCTTTCGCAGATACAACTGAACGCCCCTAATATTCCGTGGTGTACCTATACGACGAACTGACAGTGGGAGTTGTCAGCGTGACATGGAACGCGTCTGTCACGTATTCGTGATGCGGGCCAACCGTGACCATGGAACAATCGGTCTGAACTTGGTCTGAACACAGTTGGCGGTGTACCGAGGCGGACCCGGTCTTGGTGAGTTATATGCGACTATCTGACCTCTTGTCCATCAATTGAGCGTGGCGGCCCACGGTAGGCTGGGGACTCGTAGATCAGGCCCTTACCACCCATCCAAGTCCTTCATCTGCGACAATGAGCAAGCTTCCTAGAGAGCTCCCAGAGGATTTACAGTGCCATTCCGAGCAATTCCCGCACCTCAACAGTGCCTATCAGATATGTTTGCGCCTCGAGGAGGAGATCGAGGCCGACGCCAGCCCTGCACAAAACTCCAAAGAGCAAATGATTTTTTGTCGCATTCTCGGCTACCTTCTTTGTTATGGCCCGAATATCGGTGCACGGGTCGCCGTTTACAAGCAAATCATATCGTGCAAAGACAAAAAGGCGCTAGTTCAACTCGGGAAGATGTATTTCGACCACTACGTCCGAGCCTGTATGTATCCCCGCATTTGTTTACTCAACTGGCGTACATCTAAATCATCCCAGTTCGATCCAACAAAGGACCGACACCCACGCCCTCAAATCACGCGTCGCGTCCCTCCCTCGACACGATGGCAGACATGATTAAGGATTGTTTGGAGGAGGCACCGCAGGGTCATTCCACCGCAAAAAATAAAGTCAGCTTCGCTTTATTTCAATCAATCATATTCACTAACTTCGGTCATTGTGAAGGCCCTTGTCCGTGACGGGTTTCGGTGTGTGGTCACCGGCGCCTATGATTTTATCTCCGTCATGAGGAGTGAAGAGTTGGCAGGCAGAGCCCGAAGTGAAGGGGTTAACCTTACGTACACGGAGTGCGCTCATATACTGTCGGAGTCAACTAATTTGAATACCGCGAATTCGGACAAGGTACTTCTGCACACCCACTTTCTGCCAAATATTCATTTGCTCTTTTCAGGCTGATTATGCTGCTAGGTCTGGAGTATCATGAATACCTTTAGTAGCCGCAAAAATTTATCTGATGACTTGAACGGCGCCAAGATCCATCGCCTGGAAAATGTCATGACATTGGAGCCCTCCGTGCATCGCAGCTTCGATGCTTTGGAGATTTGGTTCATTGTAACAGTACGTGATTATACTTTCCCTTGTTCACAGAGTAATGACAAGAACAAAAAAAGAAAACAAAAAATAAGTATAAGCTGGAAGGTAGATCTGACCTGTACCTCAGACAACTTCCAAATGATGTCACCTTTACCACGATCGATCCAGAACTCCTCCCGGTTCCGTCGCCAGACTACCTGGCCCTTCATGCGGCGTGTGCCAAGGTAGCGCATCTTTCTGGTGCTGCGGAGTACATCAACAAAGTGCTGAGAGACCTCGAAGAAATGCCCGTGCTCTCGGAGGACGGTAGTTCGGCCAGACTGCTCGAAGACGCACTTCTCCACGCTAGCAGCCGTTCTCCTGTTTGGGTTTGAAATGATTAGAAGGTGTTGACCAGCATTTTTCTGGGGTCGGTCGTAACTCAGTGGCATTCCTTTGTGTTTTTTTTTTCATCAGCAGACGCATCTGTGAATTATGTCGGTTGTTGATATTACTGCACGTGAGCACTGTACACAACTTTATAACCATCGTCTGGAATGTTTCATACCACAATATGACAATAGTTATAGAAAATATATGTTATTATTATAGAATAGAAACAAAGGGAGCTTGCTGAGCTTCACGCTTCGCGCGCAGTTGACAAGACGTTCTGTGCGCTTGTCACGCCACGGGCGTTCCGCACCATCTATGTCACAATAGACTCAAGACTGCTCGAGGTCTGTAGAAACTGTCACAGCACGTCCGAATGTCAGCTAGGCACTGACGCAAGCCTTGAGTGAGCTCGCAAGCGGATGAGGTTGGATCAGGGTCAATGCACAGTGTGCTTGCGGTGTGTCGAAAGCGCTATCCAGAGTAGTTACTAACCTAGAGCATCCCAGGTAGTCATACGAGCCTCTCCAAGGCGGGCTCCTTGGGAGTAAACTTAGGTCTGCATGAGTTTCTGGGATGAATATTCCGAGAAATATTGGCTGGTGTGTAAATCGCGAGGTTCCGATATGGATGGTGGCAGTCCCGTAACACTACTCGAGGCTACACCACAGAGAAGCGTCAACCTCAATCCGCCACCCAAGATGGCACACGTGTACCTCGATTGCACCCCCTTCGAGCAGCGCCGTGAGCTGACCATACAAATACTGCCCGGCCTGGCGGTTAGCTGGAACGTTGGTGTTTCCGAATACATTAATTTTCTTGTCTCCGCCATTTGCCTTCAGCGCGGGGTCTACCTGATCCCCTAGCACCAGGAGGAGCTTGCCGTGCGGGGCAAGGACTTGGTATGTAGCGTTCTGCGTGTCTTCCAGGGCGATAGCGTCTCAACATCCATCGGCTTCGTCAAGAAGGTGACTAACGCACCGAATTGCCCGACGGAAGAGGAACCGCCGAAGATCGCTATAGGGTGGCCTGCGTACTTGCCGCGGCCACCCTCCCTCCAAGGAGGGAAGAAGCCCGCGCTTGCCTGCGGGTTCTCGGGATAGAAGAGAACAAGCCCAGCGGTTGCAAGACAGAGGGATCGACGCCGCTTGGTCGAACGTGAGCTTGCTCGGTATCTAGAAGTATCCTCGTAAGACGCCAAGATGCACGGGCAAGTCGGAGACATACTTTAGCAGTGATATCTGCATAGACGAGGGTGTGTTGTTGAAACGTAGCATGTGTAGGATGTCCAATCAAGCCCTGCGACAACCTGACGGGAGAGCAACATGTTCAGAAATCAATTTGAATGACCTCGTAGTATAGTGTGTAGCCAAGGCCTAAATTTCGTGGTGTACCGAGACGACTAACTGACAGTGACAGTGGGATTCGGGCGAGCAGTTGTTCCGCGTCAGCGTGACATGAAACGCGTCTGTCACGTATTCGTGATGCAACGCCCAACCTTAGGTAACGCGAAGCGTGACTCCACATCAGCCTTTTCAGCCTTGTCTTTCAGGTGCCCTTCGTGAACGCGTCAACCATCTGTCTTCTTTTTGTTTAAATAAACTTGTCGCACACCCTGAATTATTACAGGCGGCCTCGGAAGATATCAGAAGACTATAGTGCGTAAACTGGCTCCGCCACATGTCCCAAAAATCTGTGCCAAATACTCCTCTTCGTCGCTCAAAGCGCGGCCAACCTGTCGTTGTAGAGCCTACCAGACTACCCGCATTACAGCTTACCGATCAGACGGATGCTCCTTCTGCCCCTCCCATTCACACTAGGCCCACCGTCATAGAAGATCTCAATCATGAGCTCGACACATCCACCTTAGAACTCAGCACGCTCAAGACCCGCTTCTACTCACAATTCGTGCGGAATGAAGCATCCTCTATGATGCGTCCCTCAAAGGTGTACGGGCGCAGAAAACAGGAGAGACCATCCACCGCACTGGAGGTGTTCAACGTTGGGGACACAGTGCTGGTGCAGTCATCGTCGAAGGATCCCAGTATCGCTGTGATTGTTGCACTGTGGGATGTCGCGGACGCTGACGGTTCGATGCAGGGCATCAGAGTAAGGCTGCATTGGTTCGTCAGACCCAGAGAGCTTGCGTCGATCCGTGTTCGGAGAGAGTACCTCGACGTGCGTCCGCTTGACCTGCCTTTCCCAAATTGAAGCTCACACAATGCACAGAACGAAATCTACTATACCCTCTCCTCGACTATTTCCATTTCATCGTCAACCATCCTCGGTCGCTGCGTGGTATCCTCAACTCTTTCCGCTGATTCATTGCGGAGTGCTCCGACGCGTAGAAAGCTTCGTGCAGCGGAGGAAAAAATGTTGGAGTTCTACTGCGGGCTTGCCACCAACGCGATGCGGGGCTATTTCTACGTCATCGATTGGAGGGCGTTCAGAGAGGAGGCATTGGCTGCTGGCGTCGAGGATGGAAAGTGGGGGGTTGGGTCTGACTGGAATGTTCTTGTCGCTGATGACCACGATCCCGACAATGAACCCAGCCCTAGGAAGAAGGCTTCTAAGGGCACGCGATCGGAATTGGACATCTCTTCTGCAGGCAAAGAGATCCATGGACTCGTTGGCGACTTGGATGATGGCTCTTCAGCAGGGGACGAGCTGCAGCATCCTGTGGTGGAAGAGGATTTCACTCCGAAGACACCACGCAAGCGCAAGCGTGCATCCACAACAACTCGTACACCCCGCAAGACGCCACGTCGAGCGCGCACCAAGACAGCGCTCGAGGATGCGGTGTCTGACATGGACACAGAGATCGGCGGATCGTCCCTAGACGCGGCGGAGGTTCAGGCTCTGGTGGCCGAATCAGACGATGGTTCTTCGATGACGGACGAATTCCGCCTACTTCCCAACGACGAGGACGAAGAAGAATGCGAAACTACCATTCCAGCTCTTCCAACCACTCCATCACGGCGAAAACGGACCGTCGTAACTCGTCGCACCCCGCGTACTCCTCGTACCCCACGCCGGCGGGCGAAAGCGGTGGAAGCAGGGCCGAGCACACTTGCGCAGCCTACCCCGCACTCAAAAGCCGCCCTTCGGAAACGCAGGCGTACCGCGCTCGCTGTGCGGCCCCCGCCCGCAGCCGACTCTGCATTCAACCTGCATCTAGACCTAGAGGCGCACCTGGCGGGAGCGGGTACGGACCCGTGGCTGCGCGCGATGCACGTGCTGCATGTCGCGGCGCGCCCGGAGGCGCTGCCGTGTCGCGAAGAGGAGTATAGGCGGGTATTACGGGCGGTGGAAGAGCTGCTCGAGGAGGGCAGTGGAGGGTGCATATGTGGGTATTTTTTCCTGCCTATTCTCATATCTCTTGAACATTGCCTGATACTTGTTTTACAGATATATCTGGTGTTCCTGGTACTGGGAAGACTGCTACCGTGCATGCAGTCGTGCGGGAGCTGAAGCGCATGGCCTTGCAGAATGTAAGTGGCTGAGGCCTCCTGATATGAAAACCTGCTGAATAATTCTACAACTTCGCAGGAAGCCAATCCGTTCAGTTACGTCGAAATTAATGGATTGCGCATCCCGGAACCTGCAGCAGCTTATAGTCTTCTGTGGGAGGCCGTCTCTGGACACGACGCCGCAAGGGACGGACACATGAAGATAAGTGCCAACCAAGCGTTGAAGTCTCTCTCGCGTCATTTCAGCGCAGGAGAGCGGGTGGGGCCTGGAGGACACGCATGGTGAGTGATTTGATCGGATTTCTAGATGCCCGAGCTTCATTCCTTTATGCTGATCAGTTGCACAGTGTAGTCCTCATGGATGAGCTTGACCAGTTGATGACAACCAAGCAGGACGTGGTATATAACTTCTTCAACTGGCCTACCCTTGTAGGCTCTAAGTTAGTCGTACTCGCCGTTGCGAACACGATGGATCTGCCAGAGCGTGTGATGACAGGGCGAGTCAGAAGTAGGCTCGGTGCGTATCTCCTGGATCTCTGCATGGTGTCATGCTCATTTTTTGTCTACCATTTATAAATACATGTTGATACAGGCATGATTCGCATCAACTTCCAGCCGTACACCACTCCACAGCTGGAGAAGATTGTCCAGGCACGACTACACAGTGCGAAAGAGGGACTCTCAGACACACGCGACGTGATCGTCCCAGATGGTGTTAAGTTCGCCGCCATGAAGGTATCGTCAATTAGCGGCGATGCCCGACGCGTACTAGACATATGCAGGTGTGTTGAGCAATTCTCCACGGATCGCCGTGGCGCTGACTGGCACGGTAGACGGACAGTAGAGCTCGTGCAGCCTCATTCCCGAACTGCAAGAACTGAAGACGTGAAGGAGGTGATCAAAGAGATGCAGAACAGCCCGACGGCTGCGTATCTCCGGGACCTAAGCTTCCACGAACGGCTGATGCTCGCCGCACTGCTGAAATGCATAAAGAAGGAAGGGGTCGAAGAGATCAAGTGGGGCGAGGTGAGTCTTTTCCTCCTGAGATTATCGCTAAGCGCAAATTGACAACATACCTGCAGGTTCGACATCAGCATATCGTGTACATGAATATCCTTACGGGTGAGGACGACCCCTCGCGGCGACCGACGTTGGGCGAGCTACAGCTGGTTCTGGATTCGCTGCTTGCTTCGCGGGCTATGATATGCGAGGATGGCGCACTTGCTGCGCGCAAGCCGGAGGGTGAGAAGAGAGTCGCACTGAACTTGGAACACGTGGAGGTCGAGAGGGTCTTGGGCGAAGTCGGAGGTGCGAGATGGAAGAATGCGCTGAGTATCTGATTTTGCCGCCGTGCGTACAGATCGGAGGGAGGATCGGGCCTGAATCCAAGTCATTCTTTGTACACGGAATGACCCACGGTGATTCGCACTAGTGTCTTATGAACGTTGGTCTGACTGGAAACTGTCACAAAACGCCCGCAGAGTCAGAGGAGGTCGCACATCCCGCGACGCACGGCCTCCACTTCTGATACGCCCAGCTTCTGGGAAGGCCGCTTGTGCGGTAAGTTCTCATGCACCCACAACGGGCTTTGTGGATGATTTCAAGGCTTCTGTCGATGACCGGAAGCGACCGTCCTTGAATTATTTCTCTCCAGTTACCAGCACTGATCATCTGATACAATGTGAAGGTCCAGTTTTCTCTCATTTAGGTGTTTCAGAGGGCCCAAGTAACTCGTGTTCCACCTGAAGTATGATTGCTGACTCCGCCTAAGGTTGATTTTCGCAGGCATCCTGTTTGGTCTGGACTAACCTCTATCGGGTTCTGACTCCCTATCGTAGCGCGCTTGTCAACGAATCATGACAGACTCGACCCAGACTAATACTGCACGGTGGTGCGTGTCTCCAGAGCCTCGGATGCGCTCTCTCATTGTTTCCACGGCTCCGTTCCATTCTTCTCTTCTCTTGAGGTTCCACCTGTCTTCCGCTCGCTACTGGCAGGTCTAAAAATTGATGCGCGAGTCATACACGACATGCGAAGCACTTTGCAGTATGTTCCACCCACGGCACTCGACCAGACAACCCCAAATATTTGCTTGTACCCTCGTTCTACACAGGATCTGTCGACTTGCTCCGAACAGGTCCGGTGTCCTTTTTTCCCTGTAAATGTGTTGTGGAACGCATGTTGCGGCATCTCCTGAGACCGGGACGGGAGCCGAATTTAGGTGGATGCGGAATTCCTACCATCCCGTATATGAGTAGCCGCGTTTCTCCATCCCTCGATAACCATCCCTACAATCATGAAGTTACTCACTCTCGGTGTAGAGCTTGAAGCTGTTGCAGAAGGCTATGATGCTCATGACAGGATCGTCAAAGCGATCACTAACGGCCCTCACCCGGCGACCGCCAAGGTCTCAGATGATGGGCCCACCACTGGCGAGACATCGTGGATCGTCACTAAAGACTACTCAATCGCCCCAGGCAGAGAGAGTTTCAGCAAGCGGATGGAGGGTGTCGAACTCATATCTCCCGTCTTCACTGATGCCGACATACCCACTCGCCTCACCTGGCATGATGAAATCCGTGGTGTACTCGATTCCGTATGCCGTGCTGTGCCGCCCCATACAAATGAGAGCACAGGATATCACGTCCATATCGGTATCGGTAAGGGTCAAGGACAAACCTTTACTCTCGATGAACTGAAGAGGATTGCGGCCGTTACTATCATCTACGAGGGTACGCTTCCTTAATGTCCTCGCCATACTCTTGGTCACTCATTTTTTGATATATTTATCTCAGAGTCGATTGATACGCTTCACCCAGCCCATCGTTCGGCTGATCGTGAAGTAACTAACAACATGCTCAGAAGCAACAGGTCGAACGTGTTTTTTGGGCAACTGAGTTCGTCCGATGTGCTCAGAAGAATTCTATCCGCTCGTGATTTCGGTCATTTGGCACGGATGATGAATCCATTTCCTGATGGCCTCCTTGATCCTGAAAACACGCCGGTGAATTGTCTGCGGGATTATAAGGTCAACTTCCTGAGCGTGTGGAAGTATGGAACTGTGGAATTCAGGCAGCACGAAGGGACTATTGATCCCACGACTGTGTGTGCATGGGCAGACTTCTTGCTTGCCTTAGTACGGCGAGCGATAGAGCTTCCAGCAGAGGTTCTGGTAGCTCTCGATACCATCAATATTCCACTGGTGGGCATCGTGGATGAGCATGTTTATGCTGGGCTTACGCCGTGAGTATACCGCTCTATTCTACTTGCGAAGCCAACGATGTTGTAAGGATATTAGAGGAATAGAGTAGTCGAGGCGTCGGAGTTAGCCGAGGCGTTGAATACGCGCTCAACCGCGTAGATGGGTTTTTCGTCTTTACTTTACTCGCTGAAAACCTGCCTTCCGAATAAACTCGGTTCAGTGCATTTCCCGCGACTTAAGGACCACCAAAGGCCGCAAAAGCCTTATACATTTTTGCACTCGCCGCTGATACCACCTCGGTATTAGTGAAGTCTATTCTAGCTAGGCAACAAACCCCTTTTCTACACTCTTTCGAAAAGACCTTGCTTCTATCATCTTCTCTGTCGACATGCCGGCCAAGAGGAACCCTACAAGCTCCACTGTGACCGTCACCACTGGAGTTGGTGGAATGAAGACAAGGCGTAGTACCGTTCAGGACACCGCCGACGACGACGATAACGTCGATGATTGCGGTCAATCCACTGACAAGAATGAACCGGTACCACCTGCCGACGTTCATGATGACGCCGGTGACCCGTCTCGTGAGGCTGATCCCTCGCGATCGGGCAGATCAGAGCGCGATGGCGTCGTCGATACGCCGGGCGACCGTGATGCTCGCACGGGCGCTGCAGACGACAACACGGTCGGTGATCAGCACCGTGTACCTGATACTAACATGGATGAGCCGCAGCTCAGCCAGTTATGGAACGACACGGAGGACCTCCTTGCTGCCATAAAGGTGAGGTTCAATGAGTCCGACGTATCCTACCAGCAGGCCATCAGCTATGCTAATCGGGCCACCCGTGAGGCCAATGCTACCCGCGCTAGAGCCGTGAACGCTCAAAGGGACTTTGAGGAGGCGATTGGTAAGATTCGCTCCTCCATACTCCGCATTAAGAAGCCGGAGAACCCCGAGATTGACGACTTAGAGACCCCGCTACGCGAGTTTTCATCTCGCGCGGCAGACGAGGCAACTCATCAGTCGAGGCCGCCCGTTGGCGTTGAAGGCGATCGGCCGCAGTCTCCGCCGATCAACTCGGACGACTATGTCGAGAGGTCGCTCGACATGCTGTTCCGGCCCCGCGACCGAAACGAGACGGATGCCATGTACAACATTCGTCTCGATGGCCAAACCCGCTTTTTGGATGTGCGCGGGGCAGAACAACGGCGTCGAGAGCGCGAGGCCCGCATCAACGAGACCTGGCAGCAAGCCGAGTCCCGCGTAGACATGCGTGCGCGCTGGGGTAGTGCGATGCCCTTCGCCACGCTGCGCACCGCATTTGGTGATGCACCGCCGCCGGGACCACCTGGTGGTGGTGGTAGCAACAACCCGCCGCGTCGTGGAGGAATGCCCGCGCGTGGTCGCGGATCACACTCCGTCTACTCTGGTCGGGGATTCCGTTCTGGTGGATTCCCTGGTGGAGGCGGTGATGGCGGTCCTCCGGATGGCGATGGCGACTCGAGTCCGCACGGTAGCGGCTCGGATGGAGACAACGGAGATGACGACGAGAGCTCCGAGAGGTCGTCTGTCCGTAATCTTGACAGGCATGCAACGCGGAGTCCCAGCTACTTACAGGGTAGACATAGCATGCCCCGTGGTAGTGTACCTCGTCAGCAACAACAGCCACAGCCGGGATATACGTTACCCGCTGTTGACGACCCATTTATGCGTGATGGTGTGAGAATCATCCACAAGAAGAAAGTCAGGCAGGCATTACCTCAGAGGATTGCCCTGGAGAATTTTCCATTGCCTGACAAGTATTCCGACCTCGATGAGGATTGGCACCAATTCATGGGCCAACTTCTCAAGGATAACATTGCCAGTGTGACTGTAGCCAGCACACTTTATGTACACCTTATTCCGGAGTCGAACAATTATCGTCTCCGCGACGTCGCAATTCACTCTGCGAAATGCGGCGTCAATATGCAGATGGCACAAGACGCACTGTCGGTTTGGGCCCGCGGAACTCTTCCCGGACCAAATGCAGAGGCGGCGCCGGAGCAACCTGCTCCGGGACCATCCAATATTGCCCCCACTGCCGCTGATAGCACCCAGGACGGCCATGCCACCATAGCCGGCGATCCTGTGGGCAACATGCCGACTGAACCCGTTCCTAGACAGGACGCGGTGATGACGGATGTGAATCCTGCAGCGGTCAATGGCAACCCGGCTTAAATATGCCTATCATGCGGCGATGGATCCGTGTGGGTCCCCGCTGTACCTTAAGGCCGCCATTGCCTCTGGCCTCCGCCCCGCGCAGTCACTGCTCCTTTATCCGCGTCGAGTGTGCGCGAGTGCTCGACGTTAATCAGGAATCTCGGCCCTAAACCGGGAATTATGCAATCCGTCTCGCTCGTCGGGCGGTTCTCTTCAAACCCCTACTCAAATCGCAGGTTCAACAGCCTGCTGTATTTCGCTCCCCCCCGGACTCGCTTTGGAGGAGGAGGGTGTAAGGATATTAGAGGAATAGAGTAGTCGAGGCATCGGAGTTAGCCGAGGCGTTGAATACGCGCTCAACCGCGTAGATGGGTTTTTCTTTACTTTACTCGCTGAAAACCTGCCTTCCGAATAAACTCGGTTCAGTGCATTTCCCGCGACTTAAGGACCACCAAAGGCCGCAAAAGCCTTATAGATGTTGACCTCCGGTCATAGGCTGCGCCAGTAATATCAAACTTTTGTCTTCCACAATGGCCTTTTACTATTCGTCTACCTGTTACACGCTCATCGTGAATCCTATGATACGATCTCGGTAGGATGCTCACTACTACGATCATCAATGTACTTATACGTAGAACCGAACTTTGAGTATCTCCGGTACGGTGCAGTCTGTGCAGTTATGCAGCTTCATGTAATGTTGCCACGAATTGATATCATGTATTTATCACTGCATCATGGTGACAGCTAAATTCAAAACGTTAGACGTTTCTCGACGAAACTCACCTCCCGATCTTTGTTCACGGAGCAGCAGTTTAGTGTGGGACAAACGACCTAAACCAAATGCGGAAGCTCAAGCGCTCGCCGGAGAGCCTGTGTGCGAGAGTTCTCGCACTGGCATGCCCTGGAGAGAGCTGAGAAGATCCTTATGAGCTCTTTCATGTGGGGAACATGTTTATGGTTCTCAAGGGGTGACATGGTTGCCAGCATCTGATGATGGAGGGTAGACCGCATATTGACTGGTTGCCCAATTCGGCCTAAGTCTGTTTGTTCCGCACTAAAGCGCTGCGCCACAAACAAAAATCGGGAGGTGAGTTTCGTCGCAAAACGTCTAACGTTTTGAATTTAGCTGGAACCGTGCGGAGAGGTGCATTGGGCTCAGCCACAACCCGCTGTCACGTGCAGGAGTTACATTGAAAATCTAAAAACTTCGCAGTGCGGAGCTTTTTGAGAGAACAACAAATGAAGAAAATTCAGGATCCTTAGCCGCTAATTTTTCTCATTTGAAGAATGGCCATCCGTTGAGTTGTTGCAATGTAGTTTACAAGACAAGTGCAATGCACGTGACTTTGAAGAGATACGGCTGAGACCTTCAACGTTGGACCTTTGTTACGGCATCCACTGACTCGCGATCGTTTTGTGCACATCCTACTGTCATACTGTCCTTCAGTAACTGGGTGAGAGATGTTCAAACCATGCTCAAGTTCATCATCTGACGGTAAACATTGAAATTGTAGCAATTACGATTTTTCCGAGAAACAACAGTAACCTCCTTCAGTCCGCTCCACACCTCTCACAAGTTCTACGTAGTCGTGTCATTCTGAGCGATACGACATGGCTATCTGGTGGTACATTACGGCAGTGTGGTCACGTATCCTACAGGTTTTTCTCTTTCAGCTGAGAGCAAAACCTCTTACCGTATCTGCATCCCGCTGGAATGAGGATGTTCTATACCACATCTTCAGTAGCGCCTTATCCCAAGATCTGCTCCAAGCAGCGCTGGTATGCCGTGATTGGAGCCCAACTGCCCGCAGGCTACTGTATTCGCGCATCTTCTTCGATTCAGATGCACCAAATGCTTCTGCACTCGCCCGTACGCTTCGTACCTGTCCTCATTTACGGAAATTCGTGCGGTTTTTATCAGTCACTTCCGGTCTCTCCACAAGGGACGCTACAATCTTTGATTGGCTAGAGCTGATCCCCGAACATGGCCTTCGAGAAGTTACAGTTAAGCTGCTAGGGAGGAATGACCAATTCGCACAGCTGGTACTCCAATCCCCGGCTGTCCGTACGACACCAAGTTTGATAATTCGAGGTTTTTTTGCTACCTCTCCGGAGATTCTATGCAGCTGCTTGGAGCTTCCATCGCTGGAAAGAATTTCCTTCCACTTGCAGAGGGAATGGGGTCCAATTGCATTGAACCCCACTGCGAAACTCAGACGCCTGAGTATTGGAGCATACCGATACTACTATACAATCGGACACCTGTTAGCCGTCTTCGGGCCTCACCTGGATCACATTGATATCGACATTACAGGAACGGGTGTTTCTGAGGATGAGGTGGAAGACCTGGTTATCCTCCTCCCGCTTCACGCCGGCCGTATCCGAACCCTCGCCTTCCAATCATACCAGCTCCCATTTGCTCCATTTATCGATGACCTTGTCGAGCGCCTTCCGTGCCTCCTCCACCTTCATTGCGGTTACGGGAGTTACAGCAGTGCCCTATTCGATCAGTTGCCACACCGTCTGCGCACACTCCAGCTGGACGGCAACCACCGGCACCCTTTCCCAGCGCAGGACATCATTCGAGCAATAGACCGCGTGGGTGCTGGAAAGAGTGAGCTGGAAGCGCTCTCAGTCGTAGTGCAGTGTCACGGTCATCACAACGAGCTGACGGATGTGGCTCATTCATGCGAGCGCAACGGTGTATCATTCCGCATTCTCACGGTGGGGAGGGCTGATATCCTCACCACGAGTTTTGCGTGTGCCACTTTCGAGGCATAGAAGGCCACTCTCGTCGATTAACGAGGACAGGATGCTGTTGTTGTTTGAATGCATTTGGCGGAGGAGGACTTAACCACGGGAGGGAGCAACTTTATTTCCTATAATGAAAAACAAGTAGGACACATCCCGTCCACACAAGGAGCATCTCATTAAGCGACGTAGGTCTCAGCCGTACTTACGAGGACCTACGAATTTACACGAAGGTCGCGATGTTTTTGCGCCACGAGGAGTATCTAGATCTGAAACATACATAAGTAACATCTAGGAGATCTCGGCAGTTGCCGTGCGTGGTTGGTCCTTTACTATCTTAACTGCTCCAACCAAGTTCTAACAGACTTATATCCAATATCAGCCATGTCTTATCCGTATACGCATTCAAGAGGGTGCAGACTGTGATCCACAGCTATCTGATTTGCGGTTTCTCAGAAGAGCGCTTCGTGGTCACCTCATCCGACTTCGCGATGGCGCTATTCAATTCTATCGTGCCAAAAACTCCAAAAGTTGATGTCAAGAAACAGCCTGTTGCAGCGAGCTCTCGTATCTGGCATCTTATTTGTCGTCTCATATCGTGCCAGTGTTGCGTGCTCTCGTGTTTATTATCTATTGAGAGGTTTGTGCTGGCGCTGGCAACCACATATCTTTTTCAAAAAGATACCGAACGTTTCACTTCTGATCGTGCATCTCCTGACCAGTCCGAAGGCATCGAGATGCCCTGACAGCGTTATCTTTATGATGATGCCATACACTCTACGTATGAGTTCTTTTCATAGAGGGCCTGCTGTAGCGGATAGGGCGTCCTATAAACTCCTCGCAAGTCACTGCCTTGTCTGTGGACTATTCTTGCCTGACGTGTCCGTGTCTCTTGTAAGATGACCTCCGAGGACTTGAAGCAGAAGCCAGGGTCACGTCCTCTTCGGAGCTATATCTGGTACGCTGTCCGCTGTGTGCCGTCGACTTACGCTCGATTCACTGGTTTTCCAGGGATACGTGGGATAAACCACCTGAAGAGCGGAGGTTTTTGGCGAAACTTGATGCATGCCTCTTGACATACGCCGCGCTGTCATACTTCAGCAAATAAGTTGTTAAACTCAATCTTCGTTCATGCAGGCACTGATCTTGTTCGAAATCCACGTATCTGGACCAGCAGAATGTCACCGTATGTCCCCCCCCCCCCCCACTGTCCTTGATGGCCATGATTGACACATCCCTCACAGAACGCGTATGTCTCTGGAATGAAAACAGAGTACGTTGATAATATTCATCTTTTGTCTGCCTCTGATGACCTCTACAGCCTTCGCCTGTAAAGCATACGTGTTTCAGTCGTCGAGATGTTCCTGAAGTTTCGTCAGGCACGGGAATCAATTGAACTACATCACAACTGCATGGACGTGTGGTTATGTTATCGGCCAGATTCCATCAAAGTGTGTGCACCGACGTACTCGTATCCTCCGCAGACATTAATTCAAGCGATGGCACAGTATGCTGATCACGAGAATTCGTCCCTCAATATGGGTTCGTTCGTTATTTACTCATACTTCTGAATCCTCTGACTAAGGGATAGATTCCACTAATGGAAGTTCTCTGGAGCGCACTAACAATGACTCTTGCTTCTGCCAAGAACTTCTCGACGATTGTCGCGATCCGCTTTCTCGTGGGCAAGTAGCCGTCTTCGTGGCGTCCACTCCGCCACTTGACCAACTTTCTTTTCGTGAGCAGGGCTGGCCGAGTCAACATTCTACCCTGCGATGCAGTATGTGATTGGTAGCTGGTATAAACCAGAGGAGCTAGCAAAGAGAGCATGCATATTCCATGTAAGCGGGTTCGATGACTTCCAATGTGACCGCGGATTAAGGTCTGTTTACATTATAAGACTGCAAGCGCCATAGGCCCCATGATCAGCGGCTTTCTTCAAGCGGTATGTATCCGGCACAGCCTAAAGGCAGTATTATACGCTGATGACTTTTGTAGGGCGCCTACAGCGGCCTCAATGGCGTGAATGGTCTCGCTGGCTGGAAATGTGTGTTCATTCAATGTCGCTATTACGACATGCGCTGATTCTTTCAGGGTTGTTCATCATCGATGGCATCATCACTCTCCCTATCGCCTTCCTCGGGTTCCTCGTAATGCCCGGTGAGTATTCACAACGTCTAGATCTTTCTATATACGTCGTCGACATGGTTCTGACTGCTAGGGTTTCCACAGACCTCCCATCCAATACCCGTCCTTCGATATTTTACACACAAGAGCAGATCGAACTTGGACAGCGCAGGATGGCGGAGATTGGACGGAAGCCACCTGCACCGTTCACTGGTAAGAAGGTGCCTTTTTGTTTAACACCTATTTTGGGGATAATAATCTACCCCTCTTACAGGTCTGGGGCTTCTTCAACACGTGGCACTTGTATCTATTGACGCTGCGTACGTAGTCTGGTTCACAGATGCAGATGGTACACTAAATTCTTATTTATAGTGTATATCCTGGTACGCACGGCCCCTCTATGTGTAACTCCGCCTCACCGGGGATTACAAACTGTGTTCTAGTTCAACAACGGCGGGGGAACTTCGAACTCGATGATATTCTGGTGAGCTCTTATCGAATGTACCACGGACGCGCAGCTGACATAGTATCTCCAGGCTGCAGAGTTTCAACACTCCTGAGAAAACGGTGTACACTGTAGGCCAGATAAATACATATCCACTTGGTATGAACGCTATTCAAGTCGTTACCAGTAAGCATATTTAGCAGAGTACAAGTTAAGCGTCGCCGACTTAGTGTCCGTACTGCAGCTCTAACCTGGGCGTGGTGGTCGGATGCGGTGAAGGCCCGATGGCCACCCATAGTTTTGGCGGGGGTGAGTATCAGTTTAGGGTCCGGAGGTCATCGCTGACTGTACGGCTCTTAATAGACGTGGAGCATGATCACGAATATCATTCTTGCAGCGACTCCATTGTATACGCACATTACAAGGTACGTTCGCATGCTCGCAAATTTGGAATTTACTAATGCTACGCCGTATTTTAGACGCTGGGTCTTCTACTATTTCGTCAGTAGCTTGTACATCTGCGTCTACCCCTCATTGATGCTACTGCATTGCAGACTTTGGTTGCTGGAGGGCTATCCGGGATCATCCTTGCTTGGGCAAACGAGCTGACAGGAGCCGACAGCGAGAGTGAGTAACGTCTCTTGTAGCCGAACGGTATTTATTTAACACAATACGTAGAACGTTCTTTCGTCGTGGCGTCGTGCAATATGTTTGCATATGTGATGCAAGCATGGTTACCGATGTATGTCGCTTGGCTGTCTCGTGTGTGCCTTCAGCTAATGGAGTGAATTTTAGTGTTATCTTTCCTCAGGTTGAACAGCCGCGGTATGGAATTCCGATCTTCTATTTGCGTCACGACGTCTGACCCCGCACTGACAGTGTCTTCAAAGGCACAGTTGCTTCCGCGTGCCTCAACTTCTGCATGAGTACGCTCTTTGTTCTGTTTCCGTCGTTTACCCTGACGCGGCCGTTCGACGTCCAGTTTGTACAGCCATGGTCGTTTTTTTCCTCCAACGACATGACGAACGCAAAGCCGCGTTGCTGAACCCGGATGCAGAACTGAGCGGTGACGATGCTGCATCTACATCAGATGACGCCGAAGACACAGATAACAAGGATTTGAAATCTGCGAGAGAAGAGCTGGTTTCTGTGGAGAGGTTGGAGTCGTGAAATTTTGGGCATTGTGCAGCGTCGATGGGACCTCGCGATTCCAGTGTATGACTACGTGACATGCAAAGGACGAAATTGCTTCACAATTGATTATATATACAATACGTATAGAACTTGCATGTTTGAGCCCATAAGGAACCAGCCACATATCTCATCTGATAGTTAATCTCCTGGCTGAACAGCCTTGGGCAATGGCACGCCATGAGCATCACTCTCTTGAAAACCTTCCTAAGATGGCAACTGTCTTTCCTTTTCAGGTCGGTACAATATTTCCGCCGCGCAGCTCCCAAGCGCTCAAGCACCCATGTTTCACTCGCCATCATCTGATCTGTGAACTCGACCACACTTTTATCAGCTTGCGGACCACTGCGCCGAGCGGTCACTTGATCTTGTCGCAAGAGCACGCCAGCATGACCGAAGGCGACACCATGCATAGAAGTTCTTGTGCTGGGAAAGAGCGCAACTCAGATGAGATCATTTGCTTGCTGGAGGAGCCAGTTTGACAGCCCTACGCCTAGCACCGCTGCATCCGATAACACCATCGCCCTCTGCAATGAGGTGAGAGTGTGCCGGTTACTTGCAAAGGACGCTCTCGTCTTCGGATAAGCCACTAATAGACAATGCACGATAACGCCCAGGAAGATGGCCGTCTCTGAGATGAAATGATTGAAAAGGTCGAAATGCTGAAGAAGCTTAAACTGGAGCATCTTCACATTTAACGACCCAGCTTCATCTCCGTCTAACTTCACTGTAATCAGAGGAAGATGCCAGTTCCTGTTCCTGAACTCGGTTCATTTAACTTCGTTCCCGAGACGAAAGTATGTTGTAGTTTGGTGATACGTCTGTGTGAAGAGCACATCACTGAGGATCGCTGATCGTTGTCTGTCCTTCAGGAGGATCTTGACTGGGCTGATCTTGTCACGCTCGACTTCAATCTTTTCGCCACTGCAGAGGGCAAAAAGGCACTTGCAGCCACTTTCGTCAAGGCCGTGCGCGAATATGGATTCTTCTACGTGAAGAACTTCAACATCTCGCAGGAGCGCGTGAACAGGCAGTTCTCCGTCGGCAAGCAGTTCTACGAGCTCCCTCTGGAGGAGAAGCTCAAGTATGTCCCGGAGGGTTTGGGTGTGTCATTTGACGTATACGTGCTACCATCGTCGAGCTCACCTCAAATTTATCAGAGGACGGTTACTACAACGGATACGTCCCCGCCGGCCGTAGGATGTACGAGCTATGCCTCATAGTTATGATATTTTTGAACTCATCGTCAATTGCCGCAGTCTTGATCCCGTGTCTGGTCTGAGAGACCGTGTTGAGGTGTACAACATTCCGAGTGAGCTCCATTCTCTTTTTATATCGCGGCATTTTAGAGTATTCATGCTAGTATCTCAGAGTTCAACGGCGATTTTGAGCACCAGCACCCGGCTATCATCCAAGAGCATATCTCTGAAATCGAAGAGTTTGCGAGAGTACATCATTGGCTATCTAGCCGCTTTTATGGTGCTGATAGTATGGATTTAGTCCCTTCACACTGAGGTCCTCGATCCCCTCCACGTGCTGCTTGCCCTTGCGCTCGAGCTCCCAGAGGACTACTTCCTCAATATTCACAGGTATGATGTGAAGAGCGAGGTGAGCAATTTCGAGGAGCCTTCGCTTGACGGTAACCGACCGCATTTCATTAGGACCACCTCCGCTACATGAAGTACTCTAAATACACCCCGGAAGAGAATTTGAAGATCGGGAAGAAGTGGGTTGATGGGCACACGGGTGCGCATCCCTGATATTTGGCCCCATACGACGCTGATTCCCCACGGCTACATGGTCGTAGACCTCGGCTCCTTCACGCTGCTGTTCCGTCAGCCTGTCGCGGCACTGCAGATCAAGAACCCAATCAACGGCGAGTGGAAATGGGTTAAGCCCCAGGACGGCACTATCACCGTCAACACCTGCGACGCATTGAACTTCCTCACTGGCGGATACGTCAAGAGCACCATCCACCGGTGTGTCTTCTCACTAAATTTATGTAGATTCATCTTACCAGGTAATGGGAATAGTGTTACCTCTCCTCCGAAGGATCAGGAGCATGTCGATAGGCTCGGGCTGCTCTACTTCTCTCGGTAAGCGGTTCCCTGGGCCACTCAGGGAGCATTTCACTCATGCCTCTTACACAGTCCGAACAACGAGGTGGTGCTTGCTACCGTGAAGGATTCGCCCGTTCTTCAGCAAGAGGGTCTCACCCAGAACAACTTCGAGAATGATGGCCACAAGGTTCCGACCATGGAAGGTTCGTCATAATATTTTTCAGCCATATTGTTGTGCTGAAACATACTTTCCTTAACTCTGTCCGCCATGGTGCACAGAGTGGACGTTCGCGAAGCAGAAATGGCAACGCGTCAACAATATCGCTCGCGGTGATCTGAAGCACGAGACGGCGCAGATTCTTCCGGGTTTCAGAGAGCAGGTTTATGCTTAAGTCGCCCAATGGTCTATTGGCGGAGATTTGGAACGTAATTCTGTGGCCATGTCTGTACCGTTCGAAATGGAACGTATTCATGCTATGACGTTCAATACTGCTGAGTGAGATGAAAGCGCCTTGTGGGCGCTTGTGGGTGCGGGCGCCAATGTATATTATAGTGTTGGTCAGCTATTTCTCTCCTTGCACCTCCCCTTGTCGACATCTCCAACGCAGTCTGCAGTCCCTTGAGAACAAGATGATCGCTATCTATCCACATCCGCGGCTAGCGTGCACGCACCCGACGCGAGACGAAAGTTTGTCCGTGGAGGACTACGCTGACCCAGGCTGTATTTTCTTTTCCAGTGACACCTCTCCATCTCCCGGGATAGTCATGGTTTTGCAATAAAACATCTAACATCGTCGTTTCTCGCCTGTGTTCTCCTTCCGGTCATGGATGCAGCAAACTCAACCATGACATTCACGTCGTATCTCATTCCAGCTGTGAATGCCTATGCCTCTGCTCCAATCTCTTGGTCTATATACGCGCTTGCGGCTGCTTTGGTTGCCGTTTCGTGGAAGCTCAGAAGGAGCTTTGCGCAAAGTCCTTCCAGCGTACCGATCGTCAACGGGAGAGGCGAAGCCCTGCCTCACGCGGACGAAGACACGCGTTTCTCGCGGTTTAGTCATGGCAAGGAGATAGGTGACCAGTTGCTGAAGGAGCTGGGCCCTATATACACGTTCCAGGCGGGCAAAATCCGTGAGCTGTGAGTGTCATTCGTGCGTGTTGCGTTACGGAGAGCGATTTCGTGCCGGAAGAAAGACCGCAGTTGCAATCAGTTGCATCGTACTGACACCCGTTCAGTGTCCTGACGTCGCCAGAGGATATTAAAGTGTACTACAAGGATGCATTGGGGCGGGACGAGGATAAGGCTCACAAGAAAGCCTTGGGCGCTAGCTTCGGAGACTATATGACACGGTAGGATTCTTCTTATTCTGCTGCGTTTTCTACTAATCACCTACATATCTAGATTCTTGAGCAAGGCTGTAGGATTTCAGTATGGTTACTCCTGGAAACGCATCAGGAACTCCTTGGATCCGCATTTTGTACGAGTGGGTATTTTTCGCGGTTTTACACTTACCCCTTAGGCACTTATAATCTCTCCTCTCAGAAAATGGCCCTAGATGCGATTCCGTACATGAAGTCGGACTTCGTCGAATGGATTGTCGCACTGCGCTCCAGCCCCCAAGCGACCGCGATGGGACCAAATCCCTCTGATCCATTTGAAATCCAGGCTATTGCAGCCACGAAAGAGCTGCCGTTCAAGGTCATCTCAAAATCGACTTACGGAGAGACCTTGACACCCGATGTAAGTCTGACTTATTCCCACCTTATGTCGGTACTAACCATTTGAGAGTGGTACGCAAGGCTGTGGGCACTCCATCCGATTCATGATGAATGTATGGCAAATGCGATCGGAAATTCGTATGCGACCCACTGGTGGTACCGCTTCATGCCCACGGCAGCGAACCAGAGCCTTCGTGCGTTCAAGGACGGCTATAAGTCATTTAACCGGGAGATCGTTGCTGAATCTGAAAAGGCGTGTTCCTAACGTCCACTTATAACCAACTTATAACTACGTACTAATCTTTCGCCAATAATAGCGTGGACACGACACTGTGGCTGCACGGATGTATACATCTGTTGTTGATGGACTCATCTCAGAAGACGAGGTGCGCGATGAACGTTTAACAAATCCACTCAGTACTAACTTCGCCTCAGTTCCACCAAACTCTGGATGAGATCCTGTTCGCCAACATTGATGTCACGTCCGTCGCACAGGCGTGGCTGCTTGTCGACCTCGGACTCTACCCAGAGATACAGGAAGAAGTGCGTGCTGAGGTACTGGCAGTCGACGAGTCCAATCCGAAGGCGCTCGAGACTTACCTCTCATCTACCACGAATCTTCTACACCTCGTGCACTCCGAGTCCGCACGACTGCATCCCGTGCTATGGTACAACATCCCCGAAGGTAAGATGCCCTTTCCTTGACCAGCGTCGAGTAATGGCTGATCCGCCAGCAGTGATATCCGTCGATAAGACAATCAGCGGGTACCGTGTGCCCCGCGGAACGTCCGTGTGCGTGTCTACTTATCATCTGAACACGAACCCCTCCGTATGGGGCACGGACGCGCAGACTTTCCGCCCCTCCCGCTTCACCGAGATGCTGCCCAACAAGTACCGCCATGCGTTTTGGCGCTACGGCCTTGGTCCACGCCAGTGCCTCGGAAAGAACTTCGCGCTGCTCATTGTCAAGCTCGTCGCGATGAAGGCGCTGAGGAAGTACCGCATCGAAACTATTGGGGAGATCGGGTTTGATAAGGCACAATTCACTGTCACGCCACAGGCGCTCTTAAGATTCACACCTTTGTGAAGCCGGATCCGGGTTATGTTGTTTGCTATCTACATATTATTCAAGCCGTGTACATTTCGCATGACATGAATTGTTTTCTGAAACCTGTAACGCACGTTGGGCAGTTCCTCTTTTTTAACTGTCGGACACGAACTGCAAACCGCCTCAATTATCATCACAAATCAAAGCTCACCGGGTGCATACGCGTTTTGAAAATATACTCTTGATCCTTCTTATTTCTGAGTGGAATGCATGCATCTCCAGTGGAATGGCTGAATCAATGTGGTCACCCATCATCAGTACCTACTCGTCCGGCCATGCCAATTTTGCCCAAAGTTTGTCCGGATTGCGGAGATGGCCTCGTGGGACCATATTTCGTGTCCGGATCGTCAAGATGGCCCCCAGAAACACCATTTTTTGTCCGGATTCCCTCTATGGCCTCTACAGAGACTGATTTTTGTCCGGACCATTGTCTAGTGTGCTGTAGCGAATGAGTACAAGACACATAATATAATTACTATGTTACTGTACTCGACAGTACAATTAGTGATCACCTTCGCCTCCCTGAGTCTTCTCCTGCTTGCGGAACAGCTGCATCGCCATTCGCAGCCTATCAGCCCCACCATGCAGCTGAATGGGCTAGAAATTTTTTTTAGGTATGGAAAGCATGTCCTTTTGAGCCTGGTAGATGTGCAAGGGTGGATTCACTGGATATTCCCTTCCTGTCCCAATCCATTCTTCGTGCAAGAAAGGCACCGAGTACTTTTGAGAAGAACTTGTCGACGAGAACATCTCAAGAATGTGGATTGCACCACTTGAATGAGTAACCTTGGGCCAAACAAATCAAATTTAGATTCCTGCATAACTTTCGACTCCGCAAGTTCAGTTACACAGTAGAAAAAAAGACTGCAGCGGGGTCTAACGTCTCCGAGTTTTCGGACAACCTCTGCGCGCGACGCGTCGTGGATGCCAGATCTATGCACGCGTTTCTGAGATCGACTTTTCGGAAAATCCCGAATTCGTGTACTGCGTTGCCGACAAGACTCGACATGCATTCGCCGAGGCTAGGTGAATCCTTAAATACGCCCGCGATGAGTCTCAGTAAGTGCCCCCGCTGAACCTGCATCAACCACCAGCCTACCATGCCTTCCGAGCAGAAGGCCCTTCTTCTCCAGTCCAAGCAAGGCTCCCTCGCGGTTGGTACAATTGACGTACCGAAAGCCGGCCCCGGCGAGCTGCTCGTCAAGACAGAGTCGACTGCATTGAATCCTGCCGACTGGAAGGTCCAGAGCTATGGCATTTTCGTCACTGACTTTCCCGCAGTCCTGGGAGCAGATGCAGCTGGTATCGTAGAGGAAGTTGGAGAGGGCGTGAGTGGGTTTGCCGTCGGTGACCGTGTGTGAGTTCTCTGTGCAAGAGCGTTGTTTGCGTATCGACGAGAATCGCCGACCGGTTCTCCCAGACTGACTGAAGGCAACCCCGATAATGCACGCGCCACTTTTCAGCAGTACTTCATCGCTGTCGCCGACATAACGGCGAAGGTGTGTAGCTCTGTGTACTATGCATTGACGCTTGTCTGAGCGTCCATCCCGAAGATCCCGAACAACATCTCATTCGATCACGCTGCTTCGCTCCCCGCATGCGTCGTAACCGCTGTGCTGGGCTTGTTCAACCAAGATGATCCGGCCAAAAGTGCGGCTTTGACGCCTTTCTGGGAAGAGAGTGGGAAGGGGAAATATGCCGGAAAGCCCATTGTAGTCTTCGGCGGTGCTACTTCCGTGGGTCAATACGGTGCGCACTATCTTAACAGCTTATATATCAGCGTGAATTAACCCTCAATAAAAGTGATCCAGGTTGCGAAGCTCGCAGGCTTCTCACCCATCATCGCCACAGCATCTCTGCATAATACCGACCTCTTGAAGTTCTTCGGCGCGACGCACGTCCTAGACCGCAAGCTTTCCGCCTCTGAGCTCGTCGCTGCCGTCGGCAAGATTACGTCCGCTCCTGTGGAGTTGGTATACGACGCAGTGAGTGAGAGTGACACGCAGAACGCTGCATACGATGTGCTCGCCCCAGGTGGTACCCTTGTGATCGTTAGACAAGAGGCAATAGACTCCGCGAAGAAGGTCGCAGAGAAGAAGGTCGTGCATGTGTTTGGAAGCGGACATGGTGCCCGGAACCGCAAGACAGCCGCCAGCTTCTTCAGTAGGTTCACGGCTCTGCTGGAACAGGGTGCAATTAAGGCACGCGAATTTGCCTTCTCCTCTTCAATCGCGTTACTGATGTGGCTATCTGGTGGTCAGCCGAACCGCGTTGAAGTTTTGCCTAACGGATTGGCAGGTATAGTCGACGGGTTGGAGAGGCTCAAGAATAACCAGGTTAGCGGCCTGAAGCTTGTCGCGCACCCTCAGGAGGGAACCGCATAGCCGTGTGTTAAAGGAGAGGTCAAGCAAAGGTAGTAACGCAGTTCCAGAGTTTTGTTGTATGAATAATATGATTGTTTGATTTGATGAGGCTTAAGGTCGGTATGAACCTCAAGAGTGCGGAACAATTGCTTGAAGTCTGAACGTACACAGGCGATCCGATTCAGAGTGCATAACATTCCAATGTACATGAACGTCGATTTCCAGGTGAATATGGCGAACTACGGAGCGGGGCTTTAGCCTGAACAACTACGAAGTATCGTGGAGACCATGTCAGTCGATCCACTCGTGTAATTCGAACAGGTCTACCGACCAAGGACCTTGACAGTGCCGTCAAAACTATGTAATTGGAGGCACATCTACGAAATTCGAAATCACCACACGATTGTCCAAGCAACTTAATACTCTATGCACGCCATAGCATTGTATGCTGACGGCTCAGACTATTGTAGAACTTGCTCAAGACAGGCGACGTCATCACAACAAGAAATCACTCAATAACCGACAAACACACGGAATGACATAAACAGAACCAAATATTTTATAGATTACAACCACATCCACTCCCGCGTTATACGTATGGACACCTAGTTATACTCATACCACGACGGGGAGCTGAGCACCTTCTTAATAGTCGAACGGAAGAGGGGAGTGCCCGTCTTCGCGCGGAAGTTGATCTGCTTCTGGACCTCGGGCGTGATCGCCTTCGGTTCGCGGCGGAGGTAGACAAGGCAGATCAGCGCGCGGCCCTCGCCGCCACGGTTCAGCCACTCGATGGGGCTGTGAACTATGTCAGAGCGGCCGTAAGCTTCTGGAGCGCGCATGCTTACGTGAAGAACTCGAAGGCGCCTGGGTGACGCGTCAGTGATCCTGCGAGAACAGCAGTGATAGAGGAGACACACCAGCGTTGATGAGAGGCAGCCTGTTGATGTCGGAGACGATCTTGTCAGCGTCCTCTTCTGCCGTCTCTGTAGGGTTCGCTGCAAGCTTTTCGAACGCGAACCCGTTCACCATCCCCACGTAGAAGGAGCCTTTGCGGAAGCTGGTGTTCCGTCAGCACCTGCTGAACTGGAGAAGAGGATAATAGACTTGCGCCTCGCCATTCATGGTAACCCACGCCTCGCCGACACGGGTCAACTCGTCGTACTTGACCATTGTTTCTTGAAATTTGGGGGAAGGGGAATTGCAATAGGTGGCTGTTGTGGAAGGCGAGTGTTGTGACGATTTGGACTGTGAGCAGATGAGCTAGTTGCTATATAGTCAATAGATAGAGTCGTCTGGAACGAGCGCAGTGATCCACGCAGGTGAAAGTGAGTCTCGACGCGACCTGCAAGTTATCCGCGGAGACGCGTCGCGATCACGTGAGCGCTAATCACCTATCCGCGGATTGTGTCCACGGAGCGCGCAAGAAAGCTTGGCGCGTCGCCTTGTACGCGACAGGCATCTGCTGTGTTGTTCTTGATGTGACTGCGCGAACCGTTCCCTCTCGCCGGGGTGGAATTCAACTTGAAGAATAATGGCACACCATGGATGGAGATTATAACTGCGAGAGATCTCGAGCACCAGACGACATCCTCCATACCCCGATCCAACTATGTCCACCACAGCCTACGAAGAGAACCGCCGCATCCTTGCCGACGTGCTCGCATACTATGACGCAAAAAGCGTCGAGGAGCTTAACACGAACGACGACGATGCCTTCTGGTCCGAGAAGATGTGGGAGTCGTGGAAGTTTATCTTCCACGATAACGGGTGTTACTCGCAGGCGTTCGACATGACGAAGCCCAAGGATGGCGTGTTCCCGGTGGTGGAGCACTTCGCAGGCGAGCGTCGCTTCTATCGCGATGAGGCTGGTGAAGTCGCCCATGAAAAGAGGTGAGATTCTCCCGAGAAAATGAAGTCGTTTCTTGATGTTCGATGACTTATTGCGCACAGATTTTTCAAGGAGAGCGGAGAGGAGCACAAGGCGTACGTCATATCCAAGTCGGAGAACCTGTTTGAAGACGGGCTCGCCATGTTGCCTGAGGGCCCAATGATGGCCACCGTCAGACTGTTCGGCTATCCACCGTACGGTACGCGAACTTGCAGTCTTGTCGCATTAGAATCTCACCTTTCTTCCAGGACACGGGACGTGCGCCGTGAACCAGATGAAGTGGGGTGCGCCCGTCGTCAGCCAGATCAGCCTCCAGCCGAACGAACAGATCCGACTCTCCGTCCTCCCGCTCTTTATGGCCGTGCCAGGTGCAAAGGGCCCGCTGCTCAAGACCATCATCTTCCGTGATGAGTCGGACGCGAAGCCCTTTTCCAAGTCAGCTCACTGGGCCCAAGACGGCGCGGGTGCCGTCATCCGCAAGGTCGACCGCGCAGAAGCCATCAAGACCATCTTCCCCGACGCACAGTCTGCGCATGGTTTCGTGATGAGGCCCGAGATGGTCAAGGGATGTAGGCTGCGGGTGACAGATGGAGTGGTGTTCGACGTGCAGGCGTTGAGCGAGGGAGGGGACGACGCGCAGTTCTTCGCGTTGAACGAGAAGAACGTGCTCTTGAACGTCGTGCAGGCCCCAGAGCAAGGCAAGCCGCACGCCCTAAAGTGGAGGCTCTTGTGGCGGGTGGATAAGAGACTGATGGTCGGGGTGATCGCGTACAATGCGGAGACGTTGAAGCCCGAGCATGAGGCTCACGAGTACGCGTTCGAATAAGTGGTGTCCTGTAGCAGTTCCCAATGTACCTTCAGAAAATTTAGTCGAGTTCTGTCTATTTTCTTGAACAAAAACAAAGCTCCTGGCGAGGGTCGTCTGGTCATAAAAGACGATGAAATTTTATACGTGACTGCACAACCGCTGGAACGAAATGCGTGTCGCCTTTGCAATTGAAAAGTGATGGACATTGGAGGTACAACGCTGACAGCGGTCCTAATTGAAACGTGATCGCGATATGTACTAGCCCCCGAGGAGCGCTCCTTGATCTGGGACTCGAACGAGCTTCGCGCTAGTGTTCTTCCACTAGTCTTCCGTAGTGACCCTCACAGTCGTCAAATCCACTGACATGTACTCAAGTGAAGTCTCCCGACTTACAATTCAACTGTCTATGATAATAATGAATAAACTTGGAGACTCCGAGAGCATCATGATCCACTCTGTCTCGTACATACGATTTGTCCCGCTCAACAGCATTCGACCGCTGTGTTCAGTCTTCCTGAATCTGACTTGAGCGACCTATTGTATCTGGCACAAACTAGCCTCAAAACCACGTTCCGGCTTGTAGCTTACGACTGCATATCTCGGTCACACCTGGAGTATCTGGACCGATATACTCTCATCCGTGGCTTTGCAGTCTTCCGTGGACGTCTACGATTGGAAGATCAATCCCGCTAGGCGTCAGAGTGATGCCCATATCCGCCGGAGATGCAGTGCTCTGAGGAACCAATGATCGCACGTTTCAATTTCCTATTCTCTCTGTGTCTAGCAAGTCAATCCACGGTGCGCAATGGGATCCGCGCACGGATCGGTGTTGTTCCTTGCTTTTAAGGCAAGTCGGCCTAGATTTTCCCACTACGTTTGCAAACATGTCTGCGGCCGTATCAACCAGTCTGCCTGCGGATACTCTCTCTTTCGAACGTAGAGGTCCTGACGACCAGCATTTCGACGAGTTGGGCGATTTGGCACGCGTAGTGTCGTTTTCAGGAGTACTTGACCTTCCCCAGGTTCTCCACCAATTTCACGCCGATGCCCAGCGAGGCATCCACACGGATTTCGAAGCAATTGCGAGGACCCACCCGGATCGGATTGCTGTAGAGCTCGGTGTCACCGACGTGAAGCTCACATTTCGCGAGCTAGACCAGTTGGCCAACCATGTCGCGGATCAATTACTACTTGCGGGAATTGAGCGTGAAGAGTTAGTGCCTGTGATTGCATCGCGGACTCCCCAAGCGATTGCTGGTATAATTGGGATCGTGAAAGCAGGTGCGATTGGTTATGTCTACTTCATTATCTAGAAATTAATCTTATTTACAGGAGGAGCGTACGTTCCGTGCGATGCAGAGGAATGGACGCAAGATCGCATAGATACCGTCTTCGCCACGATCAAGCCCAGGGTTGTCGTGGTCTCAGACCCCGGTTTTGCTACACTTGTGCCAGCTCATATGTCCAAGAACGTCATATATACAGAAGCTTCAAAGGCCATCGCTCCTTCATCTGGCCAGGTTGTACCGTCTTCCAACCGTCTTGCATACGTGATCATGACGAGTGGAACCAGCGGTGCTCCGAAGGGCGTGATGGTCGATCACAAGAACCTGATTCAATATGCTCATCGCTCTGAACACGCCAAACCGGGAAACATGGGCGTACAACCCGGAGACCGCTGTTTCCTTGTCTTTTCAGTCGCATTCGACGGTATGCTCGTTGCTGAATAATCTACGATGAGTCCTAACGTCATGAACTAGCCTTCTCCGGTGCCTTGTGGAGCTGTCTTTGTAACGGAGCGACGCTTTGCCTTGCAGACAAGTCCAGCATTGCCTCGGTGGCAAAACACGCATCTCACGTTCCGCTCACTCCCTCTCTTCTCTCCTCGCTCTCACCTGGGGAATACCCCCGCATTCGAGGCATATTCGCCGGTGGGGAGGCGCTCCCGCTGTCGCTCGTGCAGAGCTGGGCTCGCGAAGGGCTCCGGATATTCAACTGCTATGGCCCGACGGAGACGACGTGCGCAGCTACTATGATCGAAATTCATGCCGACTCCCAACAGGTGACGATCGGACGCCCGCTGGTGGGGTATGCCGTGCTTGTGGTGGACGAGAATATGAAGCCGGTAGGCGTCGGTGTGTCGGGCGAGATGGTGATCGGTGGACGGGGTGTTGCGAGAGGGTACTATGCAAACAAGAAGTTGACTGACGAGAAATTCGTGGAGCTCGAGTGGGTGGAGAAGACGCTTGGGATCAAGGGCACCGGGAAGTGGTACCGCACTGGCGACTTGTACGTGTTCTCGTCTTGTTGTCGATGCTTACTTATGGTACAACTAGGGCGAGATGGACGGCAGACGGCACGCTTGAGTACCTCGGGCGGAGTGACTGGTAAGCTGGTAGCATCTCAGGGTGCAATCATCTTATATTTTCCGTTCCACCAGGCGAGTTAAGAACCGCGGCTTCCTCATAGATCTCGAGGGCGATGTCGAATCTGCGATGCTGAACGACGACACTGTCTCTGACGCCAAGGCGTTCATGATTCGTGGGCGTCTCATCGGCGCCGTGACCCCTGCGAATGTCGACGCGAAAGCGCTCCGTGAGCGATTGCTTATGCACACTCCTGCATATATGGTCTGCAACAAGATCTTCGCGTTGGATACATTTCCTCGAACATCGAATGACAAGACGGATCGCAGAGGCGTGCAGGCTCTTATTGAGCAGTTGCTGGAGGAGGACAGTACCTCATACGGCCCGGCTCCTGCAAATGAAGCACAGCGTGCCGTTGCAAAGGGCTTCCGTGCACTTTTTCGGTTGCATTCCGAGGTTGGTGTCCATGCGTCGTTCATTGAACTTGGTGGAGATTCGTTGGGCGCTATTCGTCTGGTATCGCTCGTTCGCGCTTCAGGATTCAGCATCACCTTCCTGGATGTCATTGGGCTCAACATCATAGAGGCCATAGCTGCCGCGGCGACGCCTCTTTCTTCTGCGCCAAGTGTATCAAAGGAGCAGGCTACCACAGACGAGGACGAAGCTCTCCTGCGCGAGGTTCTTGGCCCAGACGCCGATGTCCTTGCAGAGGATATTGCGCCGCTGACCCCGGTACAACGGGGTATGTTCATGACCACTGCGACGAAGCCCACTGTATACTCCATTCAGACTCGCAGCAGTCTTCAAGACTTGGATGGGCCATTTGACCGTGCGCGATTCGTGCACGCTTGGAGACTCGCTGCACAGAGACATGCGATTTTCCGATCGTCCTTCCACCTCGAACATGGCTCGAGCGGCGTACAAATCGTGCATCGCCGCATCCCCGAGCTGAACTACAGTCTGCGTGAGTTCGAGAGTGATGCGGACCTGGAGGCTGCTCTGGGCGCGTACGTCGAAGAGGACCTGAAGACCGGCTTCAGCGTTGACGATTTTGTACTCCCGGGGAAGCTGATGCGACTCGCACTTTTCGTGTCCTCTCAGTCAAACACGGCTTCTTTTGTGTGGACTGTTCACCACGGCTTGATTGATGGTCTTTCTGCCACGGTCCTTCACGATGAACTGATCCAGGATTACAATGATTCGCAACGGCCCCTGTCACCCGCTCGCTCCTTTGCGTCTGTCGCGCGATCGATCGTCCGCAAGCAGAGTGACCTCGAAGAGAAGGTAACTTCCTTTTGGAAAGAGAGCCTCAAGGGTGCAGAGCCAGTCGCCCCGATCAACCTACCTTGTCTCTTGACGTCCGCTCCTGTGGCGCACGAAATTGTCTACGAATCTTCGCTTGCTCTGGATCTTGTAGCCGAGTTTGCGCGACAGTCCTCTGTGACGATGACCACCGTCTTCATTGCGGCAGCTGCTGTTGTCCTTTGCCGATACACGAACAAACGTGATACCAATATTGGCATTGTACTCACAGGACGGTCGACGATGTTCGATGCAGAGCGCGTCGTAGGCCCAGTTGTCAATACCCTGCCAATCCACGTGAACCTGGAAGACGATTCTCTGTCTGTCAGGGATTTCGTGAAGGCTACGTCAAAACAGGTGATGTCGTTAACTTCATGGGAATGGGCGTCCCTCCGCTCTGCAATGACGGCGCTAGATATACCAGCAGACAAGAACCTGTTTGACTTTGGATTCTCGTTCTCCGACGACTTCGCCTCAGAGGTGACGCCGTCGAGCGGTGCGACTGGATTGCAGATGCTGAATTCTGTGACTACGGAGCAAACAGAGTTCCCCTTCACGATCACTTTCGAGAGGAGTGCGAAGCAGACTGCGATAGTTAGGTTTCGCCAGCAGCCACAGCGGATCCACGAGACGTATGCACAGAATATGGGCCGGCATTTCTGCAATGCTGTCACTTCTTTCATGTCGGCTTCTCTTGTGAAGGGCGTCCAGCTCACGGATGCGACGGAGCGTCAATTCCTGACGCACGGACTGAATAGCCACCACACGGAGGTACAGCGTCAGACGGTCACTATCCTGGATCGTTTAGAGCAGTCTATGACGGCGCACAAGGACCTCGATGCGATTGCTCAAGGTACTGCCTCCATGAGCTACGCAGAGCTGGACCGACAGTCTTCTGCTGTTGCCTACTACCTTGCTTCGCATCATGGCGTAACAGTTGGCTCCACAGTCGGCATACTCGCAATGCACAACTTTGAGTGGTTGATTGGTGTTTGTGGAATTCTCAAAGCGGGCGGAACCTATCTGCCGATTGACGCCAAGTATCCCCTCGAACGTCAGACCTGGATACTCGAACAGCGGGACAATGTCGGCATACTCTTGGTTCCTCAAGCTACTGAGCGTTATCGCGCCATGTTCAAAGTGAAGCTACTCCGTGTTGCGGAACTGGTTGAGGCGAAGACTCCACCCGTCTCGCTCGCTAGACCGACAACACAGGATGTTGTGGTCTACATCTACACATCGGGAACGACAGGAGTACCGGTGCGCATAGTTTCTCTTTCTTGACTGTACTCAGAACGTCATCACTAAATCGTTGTAACCTGCGATACTGCTTGCAGAAAGGAGTGCCTATGTTGCATGGCGGACTTGACACCACTTTCATGAGCGATTACGGCCACCTTTGGGCTGCGCCTGGTCGTCGGGTTGGGTTGATGATGGCACTTGGTGAGTCACCTTCAAAGAAATCTCCCTAAACTTAACGTTGCTTCCTCACAGGCTTCGACGGACATCTGATGTGTATTTTCGGACCGCTCTTATACGGTGGAACGGTCGTGTTACAGGATCCGGATGACCCGTTAGAGCAGCTCAAACACGTACACTGCGTTATGTGCACTCCTTCGACCCTGGCAAGTCTCGATGAGGCTGAGCATAAGAACATCGAATACGTATGTCACAACAGTGACATGACACTTATCCTCTTCTGACGCACGAATTCAGGTTGTTGTGGGCGGAGAGTCTGTTCCGCAAGGTTTGGCAGATACCTGGTCTGTCGGTAGGACTGTCGGGAACATGTACGGGCCGACTGAAGTAATTTGTCTCAATTTCACTACGCTGTTGACTACACTGAGTGCTTGATCTGCAGTGTCATATCGCGGTAACTTTCAAATACCTCACACCTGGTGAACCAGTAGCACTAGGAAGACCATTCCTGCACACTAGGATCTACTGCGTTGACCCGGATACCTGTCTTCCTGGTAGGCGAAGCTGTACGCCTGCGTGTTCTGGATGAGCGCTGAACTTGTTGTGCAGTACCTGTTGGTCTTCCTGGTGAGATGTGGATTGGTGGAAGCTCCCCAACAAGTGGCTATGTCGGTCGACCCGACTCAACGAACGAAAAATTCATTGCTGACTCGTTCGGCTACCCTGGAGAGAGAATCTATCGTACTGGAGACATCGGTCGCTGGAACCTGAAGGGAGAGCTGGAATACGTGGGCAGGTAAACGAGGCATTGTTGTCCGAATGCACATAACTCATGTTGAGGCCCCCGTTAGAATGGACGATCTCATCAAACTCAAGGGCGGCTTCCGGCTCAGTTTAGTAGGAGTGGAGAACGCGCTGATCCGAGAGGCAAGCAATTTCATGGGCACTCCTCTGGCAACTGCCACGGTTGTTCGTGCGTACATCAACAGGTTATTTTTTCACGGTTCGATACTGATTCTTGGCTGACGTCTGAAGTTGTCAACGATCGTTTGGTCGCGTATGTGACCCCAGGAAGCATCAACACAGGATCTCTGCGCGAACGTCTGATGGAGACTGAACCACATTTCGCAGTCCCAAAATGGATCATCGCATTGGACAATCCACCTATGACGGCCAATCAGAAGATCGATCGCAAAGCTTTAATGGCGCGACCATTGCCGCAGGATGAATCGAGAGATTTTCAGCCCCCGAAGACCGAAACCGAACAGCATCTCGCTGAGATATGGAAGGATATGTTGGATACTTCAGAGGATGTCTCTGCCATGGCGCATTTTTTGCGACTTGGGGGCACGTCCCTGAACCAGATCAGGCTCGTGTCGGCGTTGCAGCGTTTGTACAAGATCAAGATTCCGCTGACGCTGGTCATCATCCATCCCGTCCTGCGCGATCTTGCACGTGCTGTTGACGATCTTCTGGCAACAACGCAAACTGTTACCTACAGCGCCGTTGAAGTGACCGACATTGGAGTGTTATCGCACAGTGAGCGAGGCATGTGGCTGGGTTATCAGCTGGCAACCGTCAAGACACCTTTCACGGTCTCCGCACTATACACTATCAAGGGAGCAGTTGATGTCGATCTGCTGAAGCAGGCATTCGACTTGGTTATTGCACGTCACGTCGTCTTCGGTGCGAGGTATACTGTGGATGAGAAAGGAGAGCCCCGACGGGAAACCTCAGGCCCTTCTCCGCAGGCCTTAATCGTATCGCCCCAGGACTTTAACGATACTCTGCATACAAATTTGAACTATGTCTTTGATATCTCTGCTGGACCGCTCGTTCGCGTTCGTCTGTCGTCCAAGGATAGTACGACCTCGGTGTTGTTCGCTGCAAATCACATCGTTGTGGACCGTCAGTACCACATTATATTGTTTACTCGTGCAATCCTGACATTGGATAATATAGATTGGAGTATTGACCTCGTCATGAAAGATATATCCAACGTGTACACATCAATGATTCGAGGAACGTACGTAACTCCAAGCCCTCGCGAGTTGGACTATCCGATATGGGCAGCGTCCGCATCGCGCAAGCATGAACCCGAGATGTTGGCGTTCTGGGGGAGCTACCTGCGGGGCATTCCGGACTGCATCGCCCTTCCCCTTTCTCGCCCACGGCCCGCAATGAAGTCTTATGCTGGCAGATCTCGCTTCTTCGACCTCCCAGAGGAACTGCGACAGATTGTGGAAAGGGCAGCGATTGCCGTTGGGGTAACACTCCATCAATTCTTCAGCGCCGCCCTCATTCTTGTCCTTTCGGTGTTTGCTCACCAGGACGACATAGTTGTTGGTGCATCTCATGCGAATCGCCGGACTGCAGAGGAGTACGAGCTATGTGGTCTCTTCCTGGATCGTGTTCCTTTCCGTCACCAGTTACATGATGGCAACCGAACGTCGACGGAGAAATTGCTTCGCTCAGTGGTGGACTCACAACGAGCAGCCTCTCTGCATTTCAGTGTTCCTTTTGACGAGATAGTGCGGCATGTCGGGACTCCGCGTAACTTGGGTCGGCACCCTCTTTTCCAGGTTATGCTGTCTGTGGAAAATGAGAACGAGACCATTCCGAAGCTGCGCATCCCTGGTGCTGAGGTGGAGAGTGTGATGGTCGCACCGGAAGGGTCAAATGTAAGCGTACCTCTCGTCCCCCCTTCTAATGCAACTAATAGTCGCGAGATACCAGTTCGACTTGCTCCTTGGCTACCAGCTGCTCCCGAAGAGACAAGGCATGCGGCTACGCTTCGAGGCGTCGGATATTTACGACGACTCACTTGTCAATGCCCTAGAGACCGCCATGCGCACCTCCCTGGCAATGCTCGCTGGCAGCTCCTCGACGCCCCTGCAGATCTGCGCGGCGTTGGACGCTTACGTTGTCAGGGCTCCCAGTTGCGAAGACAAAATGGCCGTTGTCCGCTGCACCATGCTCACAGTCATTGATGCCACGCCGTCTGGTGTAAGGCAGACCTCGCCAGGATCAGATGTGACGTTCTTTGAGCTGGGAGGGACGTCCCTGATGGTACCCATGTTGTTGAAGGAGTTGGAATTGAGAAGGGTTCGCATCAGCTTCATCGAGTTCTTCTTGGATCCGTCGATCAGTGGCGTGGCTTCTCGTGCATCCTTTGAGTTGAGATGAATCATTCTGGGGTCATGCGCTAGAGTCGCACAGTAGTTTATGCTTCTAGATACGCATAGGACAAGTTTTGCGTGAAACGATGACCTGCGATCTATATCACTATGCAGAATAAGCACATGCGAACGACTCTGGGCAGTGCAGAATTACATAGTCTGAATAAATATCGACACCTATACACAGCCCGGGCCCATTTGTGTACCGTTGCCGCATTCTTCATGCGTACAACTCCACCTGCGCAATTCCGCGCTGCTGCAATCGCGGTAGCATAGAAATCAGCTCCATCTTCCAACTCCGGTCAAGGCAGTCGGTATCGCGCACGGAGGAGAACCGGAAGACTACTTCCTCCAGTTCGGAGAATTGCGGCCAGGTCAAGATATCCTCGATGCCTGTGCGCTGCAGGCCTGAGAGAGCACATTTCGCACTCTCCAGTGGTGTATCGGTACAGCCGTAGTGGAAAGAGAAGGTCAACTTGCCAAGAAGTTGATCACATGTAAATTGGGTGAGCAGCGCCTTCATCATGCGGAAATCGGCGCGATCAAGGCGTATTGGAATTTCGAGCGACTTAAGCCTTGTCAAGTATGCCATGGACATGCCCTCGTCTGTGGAAAAAATAAGGTTAATCTGCGTAGAGCGGAGGATAGAAAAATTGACCTGATATAAATGACTCCAGCCATTCGTTATCCGCTGCAAACGTCAGATGCCGGATGGAGGATCCGACTGCACGCAGCAGCTGAGTTAACCCGGTGGGCTCTATGTCGTCAACCTGGAGAGCAACAATTACGTAGGGAAGAGAGTAGACATAGGTAGTAAATACTCACTTTCAGACTAGTTATTTTCGGGCATGCCGTCTCCGAAAATGGATTGGCGTCGCATTCTGACCAGGCTACATTCCAGCACTCAATGGCTATAACGTTGGGCAAGCTGCATACCAGGCTGCCAAAGTCATCGAAGCTATGGAATTCGACGTGAAACAGTCGCAGAAGGGTCAGGGTGCTGAATTTGGACATGGACTGAAAGAATTCTGGAGAGAGACGGATTACGGATGGCTCCGCATGGGGCGACTCGATGGCAAGCGATTTCACTTTTGGAAGCCGCGCCGCAAGCTTGGTGGGGAAGGCGACCATTAGATGGAACGGTTGGTCGTCGTCGGGATGAGTTATGGTTAACTTCAGAACCAGATCACCAAGGGCAGGCGACGTCTCGATCGAGCGCGTAAAACACCCCAGCTTCTCTTGGGTGTTTAGCTCGACTGTGTGGAAGATGTGCGCACGACTTCTAGGAAGCCAGCCTTTACATGTGAGAGCACAAGACCTCAGAGCCCCGTAGTCAGGTTTGTCGGAGGTCGGGTCCCACGAAGAATAATCAATAACGGAGTCACAGACCTCTGCCGGAAACCGCCCCATCTTGAAAAATGTCTGCATTCGGTGATGAAATGCTGGAAGGAAGCAACGTGAACGTTTGCGGGCTCTGCTAGAACGACAGTCATGGACGTAGCACTTGGTCAATATGGTAGTGTACATACATCTGATACCGAAGGGTGCACTGAGTCGTGGTAGGGCCTGAAAGTCTAAATCCCATATACGTGTTATATAGCTGGACAAGTTCCCGATTCACGGCCAGCGGCTGATTGGATCAATATTAAGGTCGCCACAACTTCCGCTCGATCCTCGAGGAGCCCCACCGATCCGTGTGTGGCACAGATATCCACAAAGCGTCTAAGCACGCTCAACTCTCGAGATCTGGAACCTTCTCCATTTGTCGGATATGGGCGAACAAATTTCTACTTTAACCATATGGCTGACGGTTCGTCTACAGAGAACCATCCCGGTTTATCGCGCCGTCCCGTAGATATCGAGGCCTCAAAAAATTCAACGGATGAAATCACAAATATATCTGTGGGAGCGAGCGCGAAACGGAAATCTGGCTTTGGAGAAACACACAGTTCCTGCTTGAACGAGACTGGATGTTTAACTTATACTTCATACCCTCCCTGCGCAGATGTCCGAAGAGGAACAAACTTGTGCGAAATGGGTCATCGCGCGCGACCAAAAATTCTTCGCAGTGTTTTTTGTCCTGGTATAGCTGCCGTGAGCTTGCTAAGCTTGACAGTCATGGATGCGCGTGTGCTTAGACAAGGTAGATCAAAGTAGTGGTGCGCCGTGTTGATGACCTGGCACTCCCGAAACCGTCTAGCGGTATGCCAAGGTATACAGATCACGTTCAGGCACCACGGCAGACCACGGCAGACCACATCTAACCACTGAAGATCAGCTCCAATAGTCAGAACGATCCTAACACTTGCAAGTAACTAACCTCGCTTATACGACACCTCTTCGCAATTCCGCACGCCTGCGGTCTCCACAACAGAGGGACCAGCCGAACTATCCAATATCCACTGCGACAATCGGTATCGCCTCAAGTGGCAAACCGGAGAATCTTTGCATATTTGGGGGAGCCAATGGGGCAATAGCCCTAGTCTTGTTGGAGTGTTGTAACGCCTCGACCAATTCCAAGAACGCTTTCAATCTTTCTGTTGTCCTTAGTTGAATCGCGCTGAACAAGTTGTATCGGATCCTGGAGAGGCTCGACATATGGGAACGCAAGATCGAAGCCTGTAAATACACTCGGCCGACGATCCCCTCAAGACATCAAGGCACGGCCATAGACCTCTGTGTAACGTAAATTCCTTGCTAGAAAACTTTCAACGCTCAGACACATTCCTCAACTGCTGGCACAGCTACTGCCAGAAGTTAATGACATGCTGTGGTGTGAGAGCACTGTTCGACCTTGCCGTTCAAATCGAGTCATGAATGGTGCAATTACTGAATATCGGATTGAGCGTACCAATACGAGGTATATTGAAATGTTGGATAACCAGCAACAACTGAAGAAAAGACACCCGCTAAGAGTGGAGTAAGTGAAGTGAGTAGGTAAATTGAGCCGACGGTGTCAGTGATCCTACCCAGTATTATCCAGCGCAAGGATGACCGAAAAGATGGTCATCAAGCCAGAACAAGTAGTCATCGAGAGCATCTGAAGGAGTATCTCAAGGTCTGCGAATGCAGTTAACACTTCCTATGTGGTGAGTTCGTCAATATGGAGGAAATTAGAACGGCTCCTGGTCATCCATACGGCGCATGTGAGAGCGCAAGATCGTAACGTACCGCAACAAGGCTTGTCGTGGAACGAGTAATTAAAATAGAGACACAAGATAGGTATGCTGGGTTGTTAGTGCTAGTAGAGCAGACAGCCGCCGACAAGATAGGGAAGAGGCGAATTTGAGACCAATCATCTTTGTACTCGAGAACGATCCACCTGGTTATTTAATGGCTTACCGCAGACGATGCACCTAGCGCCTACTCGGGACACCATATATAGGCCAAAATACGGTTATGCGAGCTCTGGCGAGACGAGGCGCCCACCCCAAGCCCAACAGTGCTCTCTGATTGGCAGAGTCCTCAAAGTACCGACAAGGTCGAGCTGTCGACTGTGTGGTTTCGAAGTACAGCACCGATATGCGCACGTCCGCATACTGCAGGTGACGATGAGCACGAGGCGCCGGAGGACGGCGAGATATCATATCTGGATATCCAGCCAAACCTTTGAGTGCCCGCGGGTTCAGTGAAGCTGTCAGGAACCAAAGGAGATACAGCGACAGGTGGCCACATATTGTCAATAGATCCGAGTCAAGGTTGCTCGACCCTCCACCGTGAACTAACGGTTGTGTAAGGAGTCAATTACGTAAGGAACAGTTGTCACGGACGCGTACTGCACGTGAGACGTGTGACATAGCGCGTCCCGGGTGCTACTAGCAAGTGGCAAGAGCAATGCACCTCCCGTTCGATCCGCTGCTCTGCATCTGTTCCGATGTGCTCGTTTACGTTGCAGGCAGTGTCGGCTACACGAACAAACGGCCAAGACAGAGCCTGAGTTGCGCGCTGTCTATCCACGGAACAATCCCATGCGAGAACATTCTCAAAAGTCTTCTCAGGTCCTCGTCGATATAAGACCCATACATACTTGGTGTCGGCCTTTCTCTAGGCTTCTCTCTCGTATCCTATGCTCTATGCAACGAAAGCTGTCTCTCCCCCGCGCCATGTCCCTCCTACTATTTGTGATTGCTCCCCGGGCTTGTTGATCGTGGGAGACTTTCCTTACGCTATATACCTCTGGACCGCGGAATGTACCTAGCTAATTGGTTAAGACACTAGGCACGTTGATCCTCGATCCGAGGAAAAGCGGTGTTCTCCCAGGAACAAATAGAGTCGTTGGGCTGTTCGCCATTGGGCGGTCCCATTGCTTTAGCATGCCGAATATTGTCTGTTGATGGTGATACCTTAAACTTGTTCAGGTTGAATTCTCCGCGGCCCTCTGGGCACTATTCAAAAGTATAAAAGGACCACATCTCCCTTCCCCTCTGCGGTTACCCTTACCCATCTCTCTCTCTTCGTTCGTTCTTTCTTTCTTTCTTCTCGTGTAGCCATGATTGCTGCTCCTATAGTCCCTACTGCTCCCATCTCTCCCATTGCGGTTAATTACCGTAAGGCTCCCCGTCGTACTGTATCTCAGAGTGTCTACGATATCCTGAACTCGGTGAGCGTTATGGGTGCATGTATCTCACCCTCTGGCTATTGCTAACCTCTCGCTATATAGACTCTTAGGTTCGGTGAGGATGAACGCTTCTGGTGGGAGACGTCCGGCCGCGTCCTCGCGAATATGTTCCAGCGCCTGGGATATAGTGTCAACGTCCAGTTCCTTCACATGCTATTCCTCCATGTCCGCGTCCTGCCGTTCATGGGACCTCGTCCAGACTGGCACAACAAGCCTGTGTTCAAATCGTACATGGTGCGTTCCACATTAATATTACTCGCCATCCTCTCTTTGACGAATCGTTGATGCAGACGGATGACCACACTCCGATAGAAGTTAGTTGGATTGTCGGTCCTGACGGCTCGGCTACCGTGCGGTATGCGATTGAACCCATCGACTCGAACCGATTCGCCAGGAAGCCCGCGGCGCTCAGGATGATCGACGAGCTGCGCCCCGTGCTGCACGACCTTGACCTCATATGGTTCTTCTTGCTGGACAAGGCGTTGATTTGGCACGGTCGGACTAGTGCTTCGGGCACCAAACATGTTACTCAATATTTCCTCGGTACGCCAAGCGTCCGCTCTCGTAGATGTCCGTCTTATGTCCATACGCAGGCTTTGACTGTTCTCACACTGGCTCCATCACCTTAAAAGCGTACTTTCTGCCGGAGATCAGGGCGGCGGAGACGGGGATCTCAAAAGAGGAACTAACGATGCAGGCGCTCAAATCATTAGACGCCGGGCTAACAACTCCATGGGAAGGTGAGTGCAGGAAGTCCAGGGTTCCGCGGCGATCTGAGATTCTGTTGCTCATGCAGCCACCATCACGTACTTTAACACGCTTCCGCCGTCCGTGCGGCCTGGCATTGAGATTCTTGCGACGGACTGTGCTGCACCTGAGAACAGCCGCATCAAGGTGTATGTGCGCACGCGGTCGACGAAGTTCTCCGACCTCGAGGGACTTATGACGCTGGGCGGAGCTCTCAAGGGTCCCCTGATAGACGATGCGATGGCTGTACGTGCTGCATTCTTGGCATATGCTCCTTTGTCCCAACTCTCACTCTTTGATTATGCACAGGCACTGGTCGACCTTTGGCACCTCGTCATGGGCGTCGACATCTCCGCGCCGAACTGGAAGGAGCAACGCCTGGTCCCGCGCTCATCGAACGACAACCACATCACGGCCGGGTTACTACTCTACTACGAGCTGAAGCCTGGGTGTGCGCAGCCATTCCCAAAGGTATACTTGCCCGTGCGCCACTACTGCGCGAACGACCTCGCCGTCGCACGCGGGATGGAGGCGTATCACCGTGCACGGGGCAACGTGCGGGTCGACGGGTACGTGCAGGACGTCGAGGGGATCTTCGGGCGTCATCGCCCGCTTGGCGCGCGCACGGGCATCCACACCTACGTCTCGCTCGCGATCAAGAAGAAGGAGTTCGAGGTGACGAGCTACTTCAATCCCGAGGCGTACGCGCCCGAGCGGTTTGGCTCGTGGGGGTTTGATTTCTGAGCTGTTCATGGCGCGGTAATTATTTCTATGCGTGGGCCATCTGCTTGGTTGGGCTCTATCGACCTCATTGATAGACACGCTCACTTATTATCGTTTTGTCCGTCTTCTGTGCTGTACATATGGGTGTAGGAGCTCCATATTTATCGCATAGTAACTTATCGCCAGGCCATTGCTCGTTACAGCGTCGAAGGAGAGCCACGTGAAATCTAACATATATACGTCGAAGATTATTCATAAGTTGTTCCTGCCTAACTCGACCGGAGCCTGAGCTGCCGGTATGTGAGTCGGATGCAAATGCACTGCGCAGAGAAAGTGGGTTTTGTCGCGGGCAGTCATTTGGCGGTCATGCATCATGGGTGAATCGACTACGGTGCACGTGGTCGAATCGAAATGAACAGCAGACGCTCGACACACGCCCACTGCTGCGCGAGTCTGCAAAGCTGACGACGGTCGCCCTGCCTCTCTTTAATGTGTGAAGACCCCGATGCACCTAGACAATACCAGGTCTTATTGAACACGGCTGATGCATGATGTTCGGTGCTGTTTTGTTTTCCCAAAGAGGGTACTACATGTGCTTGCTGTGCATTCCGGTGCGCAACTGGCTCCGTCTTCTTCGTCTGTCCAGGCGACATTTCCTGCGCAAACGAAGGAGATGTATGAGGATCACAGTTGTAATACACATGCCGGTCGATACCACTATGGCGTCTGCTCAGCGTCATTGGGCCTATTGTCCACCTAGCTCAGCAATACCGCTACCTGTTTAAGTTGAATCTATCCGTGCACGGTCGACGCCTTGTGCGACACTTCCACCTTCCCTGAGGCGACAAGTACTTATCAGATGACAAGTGAGCTCCGGTGCTCCAGGAAGTTTCTGCTCTAGGCTGCTTGAATCTACGGGGCTCCATCATAGGCATCGATGCGGCTGCGGTCGTTTTACTCTATGGATGACAGGATACCAGATACATTTTCCGTTTAACCGCATTTATTTGCCCGGAGGATCTCTGGTCGCTCTGGAGTGCTTCAGATTCTGATCCGCTCTGCTAGTTCGCATGTCTCAGTGAGCATCCGACCACGGACAGTGTCTACACGCGTCGAGAATGCTAAGCTCAGCGTACGTATACCCTCGGCCTGCCGGCTACTCCCTAAATTGAACGGACCGCAGGACATCGGTCCACACGCCACCGCAAGCGTGCCTTCGAGGCGTTCGACAACCGCTCAGCCACTGCCGCCCACGCAGCGCTTACATAAACTCTCCGCGGGGAGACGCAATTATCATGGTGGTTTCCCCTCTGTCTGTCAACGGAGAGTATAAGTGGGTTCATCTACCTGGAGAATGTGTCGTTCAATAAGCACCTCAGGCTCTACCGTGGGATCCGCCCCGACCACTCTTCCTACTCTACCCCCGGGTTTCGTGCCATCGTCGAAGACATGTCTGCGCCGAATCCGAACGATCCACAAACGGCCGAGGGCGACTTCGAGTCTCAGTCTTCTGTCGTGAATGAGAAAAAGCCAGATACCGTTGTGGATTCGGAGTTCCCGGAAGGCGGTTCCCAAGCAGTGAAAACTGTATGGGGCGCGTTCTGCGTGCTCTTCGTGCAATTCGGGGTCATGAACTCGTTTGGCGTCTTCGAATCACAGTACGTGTTCAACCATTGTTTCTCCAAGCTTCCTATTCAACAAATTTCATTGACAGATATGGAGAGGTGCAATTGAAGAATAAAACGCCTTCCGAAATTGCGTGGATCGGAACGTTCCAGCTGTTCTTCTTTTTCTTTACAGTTCGTCTTAGGTCCTGTATACTTCAATTATCCGTCTGATTACTTTGCATCTCTAGGGAGCATTCGTCGGGCGCGCATTTGACTCCTTTGGACCTACCGTGCTCATCGGGCCCGGTTCGCTCTTGCTTGTCTTCGGCCTCATGATGACATCGCTCTGCAAGGAGTATTACCAGTTCTTCCTCGCGCAGGGTCTTGTCTTTGGTGCAGGGAGTGCTTTAGTCTTCTAGTAAGTGTTTGCCTTGTGAGGAGCGTGTGCCTCGTGGACTGACAACACTATGCAGCCCTGCTTTAAGCTCGATTGCTCACTGGTACAACAAGAAACGTGGAACAATGATGGGGCTTACGACGGCTGGTACGCACACGGGGCATATTTCCCTAGACTTGTCTTATTGTCTTGTTTAGGCTCCTCGCTTGGTGGCGTGGTCTTCCCCATCGCTCTGAACAAGCTCATTCCGGTGGTCGGTTTTCCTTGGGTGCGTTAAAGGTCTTGCTTCTCTATTCATTGTCTAACTGCCTTCATAGGCTGTTCGGATTGTCGCCTTCATCTGTCTCGCATTCCTTGTTCCCGCAACGATGCTAATCAAGTCGCGCCTCCCGCACCGGAAGTTTAATGACTTCAGCAGCCTGTTGGACTTCGGCGGCTTCACTGATATCCGCTACGTGCTTTTCCTGTTCGGAGCTGTCATAACCATGCTCGGGAGTAAGTGTCTTGCTTGTATTTAACTAACGTCACGCACTGATTACGGTAAACCAGCATACAACCCGTACTACTACGTCGAGACGTTCGCCGTCGTGCACAACTACAGCCCCAGCGTCTCGCTCTATATTCTTTCCATCCAGAATGCTGGTTCCTTCTTCGGCCGTATCATTCCAGGTGTCCTCGCTGACAAGATCGGCTTGTAGGTTTCTCACTCCACTACGAAATCGTAGTCGCTAACGATGTGTACCTAGCGTCAACGTTATGGCGCTCGCGTGTACCACGGCAGGCATGGTTCTCTTCTGCTGGCTCTCCGTCGATAGCGCCCCAGGCCTGATTGGCTGGGCTGTATTCTACGGCTTCACCAGCGGGGCCTTCATTGCTGTGGGTCTCCCATTTTCTTCGCTAGGTAGAATGAGCTCACAAGATGATTCAACAGTTGATGCCTGCTTGCATTGGTCGTTTCACCCCAGACACGACCAAGTACGGTGGTCGCGCGGGTCTCCTGTTCGGTTTCGTCGGCTTCTCCGCACTCGTTGGCCCGCCGATTGCTGGTGGTGAGTGCCATTTTCGCACGCTCCGTTGTGAGACAGTGCTGATACCGTGCGGTCTAGCACTCATCAACCAGGACCATGGTAGTTTCCAGCACATGATCATTTTCTCTGGCGTTGTATGCCTTGTCGGGGCCGCATTCTTCTGGGGGGCGCGCTTTATTCGCGAGCCGGGGCTGTTCGTCAAGTTCTGAGGGCCCACCAAGGGCAGAGGGAGTGTGTGATATGTCGGACTTGTTGCATGACGTCGCATCGTATCGCATTCGTTAGTGTATTTCATCTGATACCACCACTATTTCACTGCATCGGCGCAACTTATCCCATGTACGTCGCATATTCTGCATAATTTACGATCACGAATTCGTTCAGTATTTGTTCTTTCATTGGTAATTGGCAGAGATGCTACAATAATGAGGCCCATAGGATGAATTTTTTTCCATGCCGTTACTCGTGAGTCGTCTGCAAGCATTTGAACTTGGCCTACATATGATTAATAGTATAGTTGAAAACAAGCCTCCAAATCCCAGCTGCAGGCGGCAAGCGGCACGTCACGGCCCGTGAGGAGATACTTGATCTCCGATACGATCCAGATCTCGCCACCAGATTCCTCCGTGGAGACGTTTGTCCTGCAACTTTTGCGCCGCAGCTGGCAGACGCGCACATGTCTGTCGATACCACACACCGAGTTAGCTCCAGTCTCGGGTCTGGAACGTTCTCTTGCACGCAAATTGTTCGTCCTTGACATGGCCGGGCCTAATGCATCTCAGAGCCTGAGGAGGGAGCCATGGACCGCCGACGCGGTTCGACAGGTCGGGTATCCATGGAGGACGGGCCAATGCATGCACTGAGATGCATGGAACAACCTTGTGTTGATATAACGCTTCGAAGGTGCATGAGGAACTCTTAGTGTATGCGCCTTCCCTTCGATCGTCGTTCTCTGAGGACGCCCGTTTAACTTTTTCTGCAGACCATTGTTCTTTAGTCTTGTGCTACTGTCGTATCTAATATTCTCTTTAACATCTCGAAGATGATTGAAGGCGATACGTCTTTGAAGAACCTCGTGTCCGTCTCCAATGTTGTGATTTTGACCGTCGTTGTAGCCTTCTCCCTTCTCCTGAAGGTAAGCTACATGGTCTCTGGCTGGAATCATAGTGCTCATCACATGATTGTACTTACAGGGTGTCAGTCTGCACACAACGCTGAGAAACCTCGTCATAGGCCCTCACGATCGAGTCGCAGGTTCAAAGGGTGTGCGCCGCATTCCAGGACCTGCTTACAAGTGGCCTTTCGGTATGGTTTCCACTCGGTTTCACCGTCGTCGTCGTCGTCGTTTGCGTCTCATCTCCTGATTAGGCCAATTGGAGGACAAATTCTTGCGCGGCAGAAAGAAAGGCCAGGAGTGGCAGGCACTGTATGGCGATATTTATCGAATCTGGTCTGGCGATCAGCTGGAAGTGTGAGTGGATCTCCGGCAAGGCTTGCGCCCGCGCGAATACTGACTTCAATGTGCTTGGCGCTACAAGCGTGCTCACTCGCTGGCAGGACGCCGCGGTGTTTTACCGCGACGCACATCAGCATATTAAGCCGCGAGACTCGGACGGTGGATGGCTCTTCAGGAGCATTCTTGGCTTTGGGTACGTAAACAGTTGTTGATTCTTGCACTTATTGTTGATATTCGTCTCCTCTACAGACTCGGTCTAGTTAGGTCCGTGTGCGAAATTCGTCTGCCAGAAGTGATATATAAGTCCTATGTTTTATCAGCGAAGGTCAATGGCGGCGTCTTCGAGGCCATTTTGATCCCCACTTCAGCTTTGCATCAATTGTAGGTTCCTCTGTTCTCAATATGGACGCGATGCTTATATGTTAAATAGTCTACGTTCGTCCCTGACGTTATCTGCGACGGAGACGGTGCATAGACCTCCTTCCTCTCATTTTGCCTATCTTTTTCTAATCTCCTCGTTCGTAGAATACGTGAAGCAACTCCTTCCCAACCCTGCGCAGATATCGCGCGACTTCCACGTCGGAAATGACTTCAAAATGTTCGGATTCTTCCTTGTTGCGAAGCTCCTCTTTGGGGAGCTCGATGTGAAGCAGAAGAAAGCCTTAGAAGAGCTTATTGACATGCACTGTGAGAATTTCCAACGTAGTAGTCATGCCGTTTCCTCACTCGCTTGTTCTCCATGGTTAGCGGACATCTTCAAGCTCATCTTCAATGACGTCACGTCAATGATCCCAGCAGCTCGACATCTTCCCTTCCTCCGGTGAGTTGTATCATATGTCCTCGCAATGTCGTCTTCTTATACTCTCCCGTGCAGGACGAATCGCGCATTGAAGAAATTTCATCACCACTGGCTTCAGTTCAACCATGACGCCTACGCCAAGGTGAAGGGCGACACTAACTATCCCATCACCCACTTGTGGCAAGCGATGGAAAACGGGAGCATGTCTGAGAAAGAGGTACGTTTACGTTGAGGTATCCTTCTTCTGGTGCTCAGTGGTCCTCGGCTTTCCTCCAGCTCCTGAATACTGTGGACGAGTCTCTCTTTGCGAGTAAGTCATCTCTCTGGTCGCCATGACTATTCGCGCTGACATTGCGCACCATGATCACAGACGTCGATGTATCTGCAAGTGCCGTCGCCTGGTCTATTCTCCTGACCTGCACGCTTTCCGCGCACCAGGCTCGCCTGCGTACTGAAATCGCCGAAAACGCGCACGACGTGGACGGCTACGTGCGGCGCACGGACACGTACCTTCACCGCACGCTACTCGAGACCCTGCGCGTGCGACCCGTCGCCTCACTCATCGCGCCCGAGAGTGCGACCGTCGACAAGGTACTCGACGACGGACATGTCATTCCCTCAGGCGTTAAGGTTATCACAGACGTCGTCGCCGTAAACGTGCGCGACCCGTTCTGGGGCGCAGACGCGGAGCTCTTCCTTCCCGACCGCTTCGAGACGCTTGCAGGCGAAGATGTAAGGAGACATCTGTTTACGTTCGGGTTTGGTCCCCGCCAATGTTTGGGCAAGTACCTCGCGGATAAGATGATCAAGGTATGGCTTCCGCATGCTCGTTCCAAGCATCAGGTGACCGATGAGCTTGCTAGACGTTGTTGGTGTATATGTTTGGCCGCTTCGAAGGCGAGACCCTGCCAGGCGGGAAGGACGCGGACGACGAGTGGAAAGTCAAGGTGGACACATTTGTGCAGCTCCCCGATGCATATGTACGACTCACGCGGCTCAACAAGCCGCTGGTGTAATCGGCTTTGTTGTACGGTTCAGTTCTTCTATCATATTCTCCTAATGGAGTAGAACCTTGTTCATATGGGTAGTCCTACAATTAAAGTTACGGTCTCTCTGGTGACTGTTGCGACCCACTGAGGCTTCAAAACTTCAAGCTTCAAGCCCCATACTCTGACCCGACAGAAAAGGCAATCTATCTGCTATAATGGGCAGGTGTGGAAGTACAGAAGACTGGTGGAATGACGCAGATTTAATATTCACCGCGCGAGTGTAGTATTACCGGTGTATACGTAGTACTCAACTGCTCGCAAACGGCGCTGCTTCGGCCGTCTTCATACACAAGGGTTGATTGTCAGAAGAGGAGTTATCCGTCGGTTGCTTCAAATACGGCCGCGCATTGTGATGCACTCGGGACCAACACAAATAAGGGCGAAGTGAGCATCATCGACGCCGGCACTAGACTCAGCCCTCACATGCTGAGGTGTGCCGGTGCGTACTTCTACCAGCTATCACGCAATGCCGACGTCGGTGAGAGTCTATTACCAATAGCAGATGTAGCGGAGGAACACGCACTCCGCATATGGTTTGTACAGCTCAGGCGGCATTGTGAACTCTGCGGTCCTCTGCCACGTAGTCGTCGGCCAGTCGAGGTCGCCATCATTGTGCAGGAGCAATGCCGGGATGTCTTTGTGCATATCGAGCGACGTCTGGGTCGCTTTGATAACCGCGTCCGAAATGTCGGTCAGGGCCTCCGCTGTGAGCCCGCTGCGACGGAGCGCATCAGGGTCGAGAGTGTGCAGCTCGCCGACGAGGTGGCTCATCAACGGCGGAAGCAATGCCTGAGCGTGCGCTTCGGCTTTTGTCGCAGACCACGGCTCCGACTTTGCAGTGACAGCTGCGATGTACTCCTGGAAGCGGTAGAGTTCAGTCATGAGCTCCTTGTGCTGTGACTGCTCTGTCGTCGTGCTGAGGTTGGGAGCCCATCTGGGAAATGAGATTTCTTCTTCGAACGAGTGGTGATGATGAACCTGTCATTGGGGAGTAGTAGTTAGTGTGGGATGATACGCTACCACTGCCACGACAAGTATCATGCCATATCCACCCAGTGGCCAGCATACCCGAAATAATTCTCAGCATCGTCTATAGGTGCGGAGGTATTGAATTGCTGAAAAGGTTCATCTGTCAAAGTTTTAGGAGCGATGCTGCTAAGTTTCACACCTTGTGGATCTGTATCCAATGGCGGACGATCAGCTTGTGTACTCTAGCCATTTCCCTGGGTGACAGAAAACATCAGAATCGTAGATGTAAAGTTAGACGGGAAGAACACACCATTGGATCTTCATGTAGATGTCCTCAGGTTCTTTGTCTGCCCCGAGCTCGGTGATGACGGTCATGTCGCGGTTGAGGTCCTCTTCAGTGTAGGTCATCGTGCAGCTGTGGGGGCTCTTCGCGGGAAGGGGAATTGTAGCAATGAGACTCAGATGTGATGCGCCAGTCTGGTAGCTTTTATAAGCGATATCGCAGAAGCGCTAGCCTATTCGCAGTGCGACACCAACGCATGTCGGTCATATCGATATAGCGACCTCCTGCAACGGTGTCGGAGGTTGGTGAATACCGGGATATTATCTACATTTGGACATGTCAGGCTGGGGGACTCGGATGTTCTTGAGAGAGCGGTAAGAAATGCCCTTAGCACAAGTATGACATGAGTACTGTACTTACGTGTTCCGGAACCACGATTGAAGTGAGGACTGTAGGGTAAAATCAAGAGGCAGGTAAGATCTGAGTCTGGCCCTCTCGGTGGAGCAAGTAGCTAGCTTGTGACGTTGATAGGCTGTCATGACTCTCCTCACAAACTCCTGAAGCTCGACAATTTATCAGATTTTCATTATCTCTGAACGCATCCTGAATGTACATCAGTTTCTCAAGAAACGAGCTGCAGAGTGACGTGGACGTGCCATAAGTAGCCTGCTGGCAGGACCTTCGCCAAAAAAACAGATCAGAGGACATTCAGCCACTACAAGCTTTTCGACTTTATCACACCTTCGCCTTTGCGCCGATGTAGTTTCTCTTTTTGAATACTCTGATCTTTTATCGGACTGGGTGGCGTGGAGCCAGGCGGGCGTTGAACGTTGAACGTTGAACGCTGATAACAAGGTGGCCGGCGCGTCTTGTTGTTACGGCAGTCAGTACTGTTACGAAAATCTATGCTGATCGATAAGAAATCTGGTTTGTAGTAACTTCTGATAGCAAATTTGTACCGAATCGCCAGTAGCAAAGACCGCAACGTATAAACGTCATGAATTCTTCGCTCCGCGTTGATCAGCCTACCTCTTAGGTAAACTCCGTGTTCTGGCTGGCGACGATTAAGCAGCTAACAGTAAATTTCGGGCACTGTCGCACACAGCCAGCTTCTAAACGATAAACGGCACTCGGACTTGCGTCGTCACACATCCAATGCGAAGATTGGCCAAAATTACGGGGTACAGTGATACATGAACAACACGCACAAGGACGCAACTTCAGTAGACAGCATTCTCAGCATCGTCAATCACACCTTCAGCGGGTCTGTCGAGTACTTCCACCAGCTGCCACATGTCATCCTCAGCAAACGTCGATGCAACAAGCTTCAGATCACTTACCCCTCGTGCGCCTTGTACAACTCAAGAGGCATCCTGTTCTCGGGCGTGATCGGCCACGGCACCGGGGGCCAGTCAGTCGCGCCATCGTTATGCGTGAGCATAGCAGGAACGTCCTTGGCCATATCGAACAGCGTCCGCGCCTTCTCGCCAACTGCACGGTCGACCGCGCGTAGCGTGTCCTCCGTGAGTCCGCTGCGGCGCAGCGCGTCAGGGTCGAGCGTGTGCAGTTCATGGACTAGGTGGAGCATCAGGGGCGGGAGAACCGCCTGGGCGTGCTCCTCGGCCTTGGTAGCGGACCACGGCTCAGTCTTTGTAGCGATGGCGGACAGGTATTCTTGGAAGTGCTTGAGCGGAACCAGGAGATCTTCGTGTTGTGTGTGGTCCTTGCTCGTGTCGAGATAGGGACCCCACATGGGGAATTGGATCTCTTCTTCAAGCTGGTGGTGGATTTGCACCTGGAATTATAATAACGTAAGGCTCGTCTGCTGGAAGGTCGTCGGAGTTACACTTACCATCTTCACCCAGTGGTCGGCGTAACCGAGGTAGTTCTCGGCATCGTCTACAGGTGCGGAAGTACTGAATTGCTGGGCCTCACTGTCAGACATGATTTCAAGGAGCGTTGTGACTGAACTGCACACCTTGTAGATCTGTTGCCAGTAGCGGACAATCAATTTGTGAGTCCGTGCCATCTCCCTGCGCGATTGGAACGCAAGTCAGATTTCGACGAATACAGTATCAAGGGGAGAAATACGCACCATTGGACCCTCACGAAGACGTCGTCGGGCTTGGGGATCGCAGCGAATTCACTGATGATGCCCATGTCGCGGTTGAGGTCCTGGTCGGTGTAAGTCATGGTGTGTTGTTGTCGGCAGAATGGTAGCGGTCGAGAGGAATTCTTAAAGTTGCGATGTACTGCACTATGGGTGAATGGACAAGGAGCTCTCCTCTTATATAGGCTGGGAGAGAGCTGGAGTTTAGCCAACGGGAACAGGGTCTTGGTGCACGCGCAGACGCAAGCCCTCTGCATGTCTCCGGCAAGCGCGTTGATAATCAGGCGAATTCAGCGTAGGTTCGTGATGGCCGGGATATGCCTGCGAGCTGCCGCACAACGCGTGCATCTTGAGTGTATACTAACCTTCCGAGAAGTCCTTGGTCCGTGGAGGAACTTGGCAAGGAAGGCTCTGCTGACTAAGCCTCCTTCCCGCCGCGGAAGTGGCTGCGTGAAACTCTCCAAGTAACCGTCGCTTTTCTTCCGTGGCTGCGGACTTCCCCTTGGTTGCCTGCTGACGACGCCCGCGACAAGGCTCTAAATGCTGGACTTGTGTTCCGAGGATCTTTGTGTTTGCAATAGACTGCTCCAGCCCACGATGAGGCTAGGATAAAGGCACGGAGAGCGATACTCCAAGCCGCATCGACTCGGTCAGAACAACTCTTCCCATCCAAATCAGCCTCTCGTATCATCTGAATCAACATGGTCGCTTACGAGGTGAGAATTCAGCAGCAGTTCGATATTTCACACAACGGGGAGCTTACGACTTCGCAGGAAGTCACCGCTGAGGCCGACATTACGATCAACCACGAAGGCAATGTCCTCAAGAAGGGCTCGCTGCTTGTCGCAATGGTCAACGCGTCTGAGTTCAACAAGTGCGCATTCTAAGTTACTTACCTCGTTGTGCACTCGATTCTGACGCGTCCTGTCATAGGCTGTTAGCAACTACAGAGCCTCCTGCGGACCGCCAGGAGCAGCTGCACAAGATCACCGTCGATCTCGCCGATTTCATGGCTGCCATTGACGGCTCAGGCCTATTTGATTACTTCGAGCCCGAGTGCGCGTTCCCTGATTATCTCATCGTATGGTCTCGCCTAATGTTCTTCTCCTCAGCGAATGGCTCGCCAACAAGAACTACGGCCGCGCGATGATTGCTGCACACTGGCTCAAGATCCACCCTGATGCTGTCTCTCCCGCCGTGCGCGACAACTTGAAGACCATTCTCCATGACGGCGGTGCCGCCTTCCAGGAAGAATTCATCTCCGTCTACCCTGAGGCCCAGCAGTTCGTTTAAGTTGACTTCGTCTTGTAGGGTGTACTGGGGCAGAGCAAGCGTGTCGCGGTGTAATTCGGTACTTGATATTATCTATATTTTACAATGTGATCTTCGGTCCCGTTGTCATGCAGTGATGGAACGACCGTTATCTTGGACCCGAAGTGGTTTTTGGATTCCGAATGCGTAGGTTGTAGACGAAGTTCACCCAGTTTCAGAAGTATACTTCTTCCATTCTCTCTGAGTGCGAAAGACCCACGTGCTCTTGATTTCTACAAATATGAACACAATGAGTTAGTCTCCGTTCGAACTGGATGCAGGACTGCTGAACTGGTCGCTGAAGGCAGCGTCTGAACGAGTGTTCGAGGGGTGGGCTTACCTTGGTTTGCTAACGCTGCAGATGTTGTGAAGGTGCTTCAGTCCCGGAACATCACGAGGATGATTGTGTTCTCGACGTGACCAGACAGATGCAGCCGAAGTGTTTTCTGTGCTGCTAACTTTGCAGGATGGCGGTGGATGCTGTGGCCCCGAGAATTATACCAGGTGGCTGTATCATAACAGGCCAGAGTGGAGCACGCATGGTATGTCGGCAAAATAGACGGGGAATAACCAGTGCGGAACGACAGCATACGGACGCATCCACAATCGTCAAAATAAGAACTGCCGAAGATTGTCTATACATTTACCGATAAAATACTAGGAAGATGTCTACAGATTGATCCCTGACTTGCAAGGGTGCGGGCGAGCGCACAAAAATTTCAGTAGGACAACGCCGTGAGTTGTATTGAGCCAGGTATTCGAGCGCCAAGGCGAATGGTTAGCGTCCAGGCATAGCGTTATGCAACAATAACGACAGCCTCGATGGCCGATCGCTGCATGGTCGCAAACACGACAAAGTAACGTGATTGCGGTACATCATCCTGAACAGATGGAGTAAATCACCATCGAGAGAACAAGACATATGCACGAACATACTGTCCAGAAATAGATAGTGCTTGTCCGTGTCGGCATCCCAAGCGAGCTTCTCCACCCTTAGACCGGAGTAAGCACTGCTATGATTAAGTTTAATTTTTAATCTGTCTATTGTGAACTCTGCCGGCAAATGTTCCTCTCCGGGTCGCCGAGATATTCAACGAATCTCGACAGGAATGTATTTAAAAGCTTGATTGGCATGTCCACGAGCTACCATGTGCGGGCGTGGCGGTCCGCAGTGTGCGTGCGGGTATGAGATACGCGTTCGGAGATAAGTCGAGAACGGACCTCTTCACGCGTGACAGACACCATAGAGCAAAAGCCCATGGGGGTTACTGCATGAACTGCATCAGTGACTCGCGTAGCTGCCGCGAGATATACCAATCATGAGTCCTGCAGAGCAAACATGCGGATACATGTGGGGCCTAGGATTGGCACTCACATTCGATAGGGTTTGACCTTGCTTCGTATGAGATACCACGGGGGAATCGCCTCGATCAAGATCGCGCGGAGGCAAAATCGGATTTAGCATTTCGCGGTACGAGCATACCCCCATTGGCTCCGGTCTTCGATGGCAATTCACATGATAACAATTGTCCACTGTGGGATCACTACTCCGCGTGCCTAATACACAGAGATATCGAGATTAGCTTTATCTGGCGTGTTAGATCGCCTCGAAAGAAGGTAGAAAGCGTATCTTAGATCCAAGCAAGAGCACGGCGTAAGCTGCAGCGACAAATTCTTGTAGCAATTCTTCCTCAACGATCATCCCATCTCTTCCTCTGAAGGTACCAAGAGCCCAGGCCGTGCATGGCACAGGCAGTATTCGAGAAAAAGTTATCACCATGTCTGATGTACGTCGAACACACGCCTGTTCTTACAAATTCCCAGTGTCTCCGTGCAAGCCACCAGTGGAACGACAAAACCTATATTTTTGTACTACCCAGGAGTCCACGAGTCGTGACAGCCGTCACAGCGTTGGGGACGATACCGAGACACAGAGCTGCACAAACATGCTGACAGTAGTTGTGATGAAATGATGTACCAGATTCATCAAGTTATATACCAGCGGTCGCACCTGGTGTCTGTTTGGAGTGTGACTTGGTACGCGTTGCGTCACGATGTGACCATACGCGTCTGGTAGTAGGCGCGTGGCAGGAGGAACACGTCAACGACGTGTTGGTAGCGGCGCCGCAGCCATATACATATACTTGACAGGTCTTCATCTTCTAGAGACTATGTACTGGAATAAAAGGCAACCCTGTTTCTCACTTTTTCCCGAGAATGCCGTTCGAGCCTCGATAGTCAGGAACTTACTACCGATCGCGAAGGCGCTGTCTCGCTATCGCACTTCAAGCGGACGAGATATGGGACGATTAATATCCGCCAGGTGATCATGACGTGTGGTTGAAATATTGCGCGAGAGCACCGTCTCCGAGTCCGATTTTCTACGAGAAGCAGAGTGCTATTGTGACCAGTTGAAACCCTGGCAAGGAAAGGTTGTACCAAGATTTCACAGGCCCTACCGAGGCACAACTAGTAGCGGCGGGCAGGCCGTCTGCCTCTTACTCGAATATTGCGGAGAACATCTGGACGGCCGCGCAGTAATGGCGAACTCGAGAGTCTGCCTGTCAAGAACAGGTGTGTTTGCGATATCGCGTTGGGTTCCATGCCTGAGATCTCATGTCTACTTTGTCAGGTCAGAAAACTTCAGATAACTTACGTAGACACACTAAACCAGATTGCATCACAAGGACGTCGACATCCAACGCGTTCTCTCTATTTCACGAAGGCAAATACAAATTCATTCATCTTGACAACGCAAAAGCACATACGAGAAAATGTACCTTTGACATTGACCGCCTGGAGGCGGGCGGCTGCATCCCGAGCGGGAAGAATTGTGCTAATCTCTGTGGGACATGTGCCCGGAGTTCAGCATCTTGGACGATGTTATGTCCGTTGTATATTACCATTAACGTAGGCTCACCAATAGATGGGGGCGCAATGATGGCAGGTATCTCATTCGCGAAGGCCGAAGGGTAATCGCTTCAAGAGATTCGTCGGCGCTGCCTTGCATTGGAAGTAGCCTCCGGAGGTCGAAGCCGCTGTCCGAAACTATTTTGATATGTGAGTTCCAAGCTCAAAGATGGTGCGACAATAGAACCAAAGAGTCTTGCCCCTGAAAGATTTGTAGAGACGCTGTATGGGGAGGTAGTGGACTATATCTTCTGGTAGATGCCGTGATGGCCTTAGAGCATGCCTTGCGACACCAATCTTGCATGGGCCAGATGTTGCAAAGGAAATGGTTACCGGCGAATTTGACCACGCTGTCCCCATTTGAAGTCGCAGATGCGGCGGCTATTGTATCTTTTGCACGGGCGACATAACTCTGAGGGTAGGATGTAACCACGTTGAATAAGTCTGGACTAAGTCTGCAGTGTCATTCCAGTGCATCAGTGCATATAACGCACATTGATTAGCAGTGCAGGGTTGGCATTCTAACCCTAGTGAAGTACTCGCCCAGCTTCAGAAGAACGGAAAAAGCAATGCAGACAATCCAGAGAACTTCACGTCCATTTAATCGAGATTGTCTTCGTGCCTAGCTATCTGTGGGGCCCATGGTCTGCAGCAGTAAGCACAAGGGAGAGGAAAATAGGATAAGTAGCCAGAGTGGTCACCACATACGCGCAAGGCGGGGGCGAAGTGGTGAAACGACAAAGAAAAGACCGTTTGATGCGTTGCCGCGAATCAGAGTCTGCACGAAGTTGAGCTTGCCGATGTAACAAGCTGACAGTACGTTGTCAGGAACTGAAAGGAGAACTCACCAGTGAGACGGGACATATGGGCGAGGTTACAATCCAGAAATAGTGGCCTCTCCGGTTCGAGCGATCATCCCTGGTAGAAATCCTAGGATCGGCGGTACCTTCGGAAATAGCGGAAGGATGCCGTCCACTCCGACAGAAGCGGGGGGAAATGGTTATGGAGTTTGTGCTCGCAGATTTTTGCCAGCATTTACCGGATCTACAAAGCACGTTGCCGAAGCATCCACCGACTACGTTCTGTGGCCGTAATGGCAGGACATCAGTCTTTGTTTGGAATTAAGTTAGAGAGGTCTATCGTCTCCGTCGTTCGCGGAGAATGAAGCTAACACAAGTCATTCGCCAGAGTACCATAGCCTCACGGTCTAACCAACCTATGTTTATTACATCTCAGTGCAGGCAGGAATCATCTGGAATAATTACCAGGAGCTGCATGGAGTTTTCTAAGGGGTGTGCTATAAGTGTCAGAAATATCTGGGTAAGCAACACTAAGGACAAGTGCGCTACATGAAGTGGAGACTTGCCAGCAATATCCTTTAGATTGAATCGCAGCTCGAATGGGGTACAGCGCCCAGTGTGTTCAGATAATATATGACACGTTGTATGAGTACAAGTAGCCTACACGAAAATGACGTCACTGTGCACGTGACCCTACGTGTCTATTAGTAAGCAGTGGCGTCCGAGTTGGCCCATCGCATAATGTTCGTGAATTCTTCCGACTTTAATTTGCTCAAATCTTTTACTTACAATTCTTCGAGAATTACGTCTGTCGGCCTGCCACACTGCGGCTGGATTAAATCACCTCGTGCTAGTACATCATGATGCCCATCATTGAAATACTGCCTTATTTTACCGACGTGGGATTCTCCTCGTTTTCGTGCACCTGTCCTCCGAGGCTCCTCCTTACCGCCGATTTGTCGTATAGGTGATGAAGCAGACACACCAAAATTGATGTCTGCGCGTCCAGAGCAGTCGACCACCGTCCATTCTGATGCGTTGGTCCGGCCGCGCTTGTTACGCCGCCAGCGTTGGCATTGTCCCCCGAAACCTGGCAGGTCTTTGAATAGATTGCGTTCCACTCCTTTTGAAGGGTCCAGCTTCTGGTCTTACTCGTCCCTGTAGTGCCAAATGATTTCTCAGAAATATTATCATGGTGGATCAAGTTCGCACGCATTGATCCCCGGTGTCACGAGCCCACTGACCCCGTCAATGATGACTGAACAGTTACAG